CCCAAACAACGCCATCTTCCTTTCCGAGTGCAGTGATTAATACGACTATGAACCATGAAGCATCACCTGACATCTGTCCCAGAGGATGATGACTCGGCTACTCTCCATTGAACTCGCCACTGTCTTCCTGAACCCTTTGACGCATTTCCAAATCTCAATGCAGCTCTAATCGCTCCCTGGAAAGCGCCTCTCCCAGCGTACCATAGCTGGCTGCATCGGCCGAGAGAACATGGACTGCGGAAAAAGAAAACAAAGCATCAGCATCACAAAACGCACACAGTGGAAATTTCGCATCACTTACCGCGTAGTCAGTAGCCGGAACGCCTTCCCTATCCTCGGGGTTGCTAAACTTAAAGTTCCTCACCAGCGTCGCCACGATGACGCCCAGGTTCAGGTACGCAAACTTCTCGCCGATGCAGCGGTGGCGGCCCGCGCCGAACGGCAGGTAAGGGCTCTTGGTCCCCTTTGAGACGGCGCCGTAGCCGTAGTCGATCATGTCCCCGCCCTCTTCCTCGTCCTCCCTGTCGTCCCACCGGTGCGGGTTCCACGCTGTTGCGTTCGGGAAGTAGTTCTCGCTCATGGCCGTCATGACCGGAGACGCGAGCAGGACGTGGCTGTCGGGGACGACGACCTGGGTGCCGGGGATTTGCAGCGGGTTCATCACCTTGCGCATGATGGAGTGGATCGACGAGTGGACGCGGAGAGTCTCCTTGATGACGTTTTGCTGGAGCGGCAGTTTCTCCAAATCCTTGTACTGGAGCGGCGGCAGGTCCTTGCCGGAGGCCTGGACTTGCTCCGCGAAAAGCTCTTCGACAATCTTGGGTTCAGATGCGAGACGAAGCATGATCCAGGAGCTGGCTGAAGAGGACGAGTGTTGGCCGGCCATCAGGAGGGTGATCATCATGTGGGCGATTTCCTTGTCCGGGACCGGGGTGCCGTTTTTGTACGTAGAGCGCATGAGGTTGGTGATCATGTCGTGCGTGTCCTTTTGCGTGCCGCGACGCTCTTGGATGATCTCGGTGTAGACCTCGCGCATCTTTTCCCGCGCGGCATCTCTCTTGCGGTTGCTTGGAATGGGCAGCCAGGGCATGAGGGCGTTGAGAGGGGAAAATCCCAGGTCCAGGTCGTGGTACAGGTCGGCGAACTCGGCAGTGAGCTTCTTGCGGACTTCTTCGCCTTGCAGTGCGCGGCTGGCGGTGAAGATGGTGATTTCCGCCATGGCTGCGGGGATGTCGATGGTTCCGGATGTGCCCTTGAAACGGCCCGAGGTTTTGATGTACTGAAGGACTTCTTCCTCAATGAGCGGGACGTAAGATTCGAGCGCCTCCTGCGTCAATCCAAACTTGACAAACTATCGAAAGGTCATGAGCAGCTATTCGAGTGTCGGACACGCAGACAAGGTACCTTCTTCTGCTCCATGAGCTTGGAGTTGGGGCAGTCGTAGACGACATCGGAGCCAAAGACGGGGGTTGTTATCGGCCCATAGACTTCCTCTGCGTTCACATCCTTGAGCTTGCCGTTGAGAATGAACTCGTTGCCGTCGATTCCAAGGTAGACGGTAGTCTTCTGTCCGAGAAGAATGAAGGTGAAGACCTCGCCGTACTGTGCAAATGTGAGATGGCTTCTCTGGAAGGTACGTGCAAGTCTGGTACCTTTTCTTTGCAATCTTGGAAGAACTTCAAGGGGTCCATGCCATAGGTGACAGTGCTGCCGACGAACGGGAACCAGTGGAAGACGACCGGTGGCTCATTCTTCTTGTAGAAAAAAAGCTGACGGGTGACGTGAAGGAGAATAGTGGCAAGAGCCGCCACGACCGCGTATCCAACAAGATGGAATCCCATGGTGACTGGTGATGGCTTTGATGATGTTGGAAGTAGCGGGACAGAGCGCTTTAAATAATAACGCACTGGGCCATCATACGATTGGAACGGCTTCGGAGAGTAATTGGGCCGGCGAAAAGCATGTGCTTCTTGATATGCGATGTCAGGCAGATATTGCTGAGATCGTGGAAGGATTGGCTGCGGCTCCTGCTGTATGTGGATCAGCAAGGGGTAGTGACGCGTGCAGGCGGAGTAAAACGTCAGGAAGGAAGCGAGAATACAGCGAGTCCTTCTTCATTCTATTCGCCCAAAGAAGTGTGCGGAGAAGGTCCATGTGAATCAGCATATCGGAAGGGAAACGGCGAGGGTTACCTCAGGATCATGCTCGTACAGAGCCGACGCTGGTTGGCTTAGAAAATACGAGACCGCGGGACCCACATTTTGGCGGCTGCAGTGGACTGTGCCCCTGGTCGCAGCGCAACGCCATGGAAGCCATCAGCTACTACCGATGCAAGCAATAGCGTCATTAGCTCATTTGTGGGCCGATCCAGGTCATCGCAAGCCAGTCCGTGGATTTGGTTGCGTTGAGGGAGAGCCAGCACTTCAGGAGGTTGCCGACCCGGGCTGCTATCTACCGCCGCTATCGCCACGAACTCTCGTTTCGACCCAACATCATCTCTCCACTGTGGTCCAATTAATTCACGTTTCATGGGAATTGTTTGTCAAGCAGGCGATGCTTCCATTCTCTTCTACTTTCATGTATTTTCTCTCTGCTGTCTACGTAGAAGGTCTATAAAAGCTGTGACGGCGCTTTCCCGTTCCTTGAAATTGAAAAAAGGTATGGCCAACGCCGTCTTTTACTATTATTTTTACCTTATGCTCTTTACACTCATCACACTCTAGTATGACGTGCGAGGATACCCTCGTCTTTACTGTACCGTATGACGGCTGTGGTTCGGTTAGATGTTCATCCCTTGACACGAAGAACATTGAAGGCGGGATATGTTGAAGTTGACATGGATATAGGAACACCTGGGACACAAGGATAGCATAGAGGCAGAGCGCATGCGTTCCTTTGTTTCTTGTTCGAAGTTCAACCACCATGCAGAGTAGATACGAATAAGATGTTGTCTCCCTTCTGGACTTCGTACTTGTCTTCGCCCTCGAGCTCCCAGTCTGCCTCGTTGATGAGCACGAGAATGCCGGGCCGTCTTTGGCTGATTAGCATGCGCAGTCGTGGCGAGTATAGAGAGACGGCTACCACTTACACGGTATCGTCTAGAACGAAGAGGTCTTTTCTGGGGTCTTTCATGGTGTTCTTGCAGAGGTACTGGACAAGGAAGGCTACATTTGCAGCTTCTCCATTTTCGTCTTTGGCGGGCAGGGCGATCTCGTGCTTGCGCTGGTGCGAGAAGAGCATCTCCAAGCCACCACTAACACTGTCAGTTGTTGCAGGTACTTGCATGGGCCTGTGCGTACGTGAACTCGACCGTGATTGGCACGACGCCGTCGTTGCTCGTCGCCATGGTGCGGGGTGATGGCCGGTGGTGCGGCAGCGGCAGCGGATTCCAGAGGTTGCTCTTGTAGAAAGATGTAAAGGGTTGGTTTGGAGAGTGGATGCGGCTAATAGCTGGACGGCGGTGGTTGTGATGATGTGGCGGATCAGGCAGCGTCGCGGGGAAAATTTACGCGAGCGGTTAGCGTGACGCTGCGCAAAGAATTCCGTGGTGTTGACCTTCTGCCATCTCCGCCCACCCAACTCATTCGCTCACATGATCGCTTCTCGATTCCACTAGGGCCCGGACCAAGAAGAAGCCTGCCAGCATCCATACAGGCATTTGACTGGCGAGATGGTACAGGTCGCTACAAACTTCATTGCCGCGGGCGGCAACAGACAGCCCAACGCTGCCGACTGGGACCAGCACGGCTCCGGCTTGCTGGCTTATGGCGCTGGAAACAACATCGCTCTGTGGAATCCCTTGGTATGCTTCCATATTTCTCCACTCTCGCATCTCTCTTTGCGTCGTCGTATTTCTTTGATGGCTACTTCCGATCCCTCCTTGATTTGGTGGCCGCATTGCTCACGTCAGTCGTCGCGTTTCATATGCTGCCTTTCCCGCCAGCTTCACTTTCGCTTCTCTTGCATACATTAGTGTTTTCCTTGCCGGTTCCATTGCCGTCTCTGACATGCGAAACAGGACCCTACATATCGCGGCAGCTACGCCGCACTTTCAGGCCACACCAAAAACGTCAACGTCGTCAAATTCTTCCTTTCATCAAAGTCTAAGGAGACCATAATTCTGAGCGGAGCCGCCGACAATACCATCAGGATATGGGCCAGCGATGCTTCCTCCCCCACGGGCTTCCTCGAGAAGGCGGTGCTGACAGCACACACCGCGTCCATCAACACCATTACCGTGCTCCCCGACTCGGACATCTTCGTCTCCGGCGCCGCCGACGCTACCATCCGGAGCTGGAAGCTCGAGCCCAAAGACGACGGCTCCATAAGCGCAGAGCTGCTCCAGACCATCGACCTCAAGCAGGAGCCCAAAACCGCCTACTTCCCCCTCTCCGTCGCCCTCGCCCGCCTCTCTCCATCCACCCTCATCCTCGCCTCGGCGGGGACAAAGAACCACATCCAAATCTACGTCCAGCAGGCCCCTTCTTCACCAACCTTCACCCTCGCCGCCACCCTCAAAGGCCACGAAGACTGGATCCGCTCGCTGACCTTCGCCCTCGAGCCGTCCACGTCCGATCTCCTCCTCGCCTCCGCCAGCCAGGACAAGTACACGCGGCTGTGGCGCATCCACGCGGGTGAGGAGCTACCCGCCGCGACGGCGGCCGTCGAGGCCGAGGTTGATCCCGCCCTCGCAGGCAGCGTGCTCGGGCGCAGCCTGCACAACAAGGCGCACCGCATCGCCGACGTGGACGGGTCGCCGTACTCGATCACGTTCGAAGCGCTGCTGGTCGGGCACGAGGACTGGATCTACTCGGCGCAGTGGAGGACCCAGGAAGCAGAGCATGGCAGCACCAGCAGACTGCAGCTCCTCACCACGTCCGCCGACAACTCCATCGCCGTGTGGGAAGCCGACCCGACGTCGGGCGTCTGGGTCAGCGTGACGCGGCTGGGCGAGATCAGCGCGCAAAAGGGCGCAACGACGGCGACGGGCAGCGTGGGCGGCTTCTGGATCGGGCTGTGGTCGCCCGACGGGCGGTCCGTCGTCTCGCTCGGCCGCACCGGAGGGTGGCGGTTGTGGACGCGAGGCTACCAGCACGGCCAAGGCAGCGAGAGCGATGCCGTTGACGACGACCGCTGGACCCAACGCGTCGCCGTGACGGGCCACGTCCGCGCCGTCCGCGACGTCAAGTGGGCGCGCGACGGCTCCTACCTCCTGACGACGAGCGCCGACCAGACGACGCGGCAATTCGCCCAGTGGAAGCGCCATGACAGCAGCAGCAGCAACCAAACCGCCTCCTGGCACGAGTTCTCACGCCCACAGATCCACGGCTACGACCTCAACTGCCTCGCGCCGCTCTCCACCCCCCTCCGCTTCGTCTCCGGCGCCGACGAGAAGCTGCTCCGCGTCTTCGACCAGCCCTCGGCCGTCGCCGAGCTCCTCTCGCAGCACTGCGCCATCGACTCTACCGACGGAGCCACCGCCGCCGCCGCCGTCAAGCTCCCCGACGCCGCCAACATCCCCGTCCTCGGCCTCTCCAACAAGGCCATCGAAACCACCGACGACGACACGACCACCACCGACCTGACCGCCGCCGGCGCCGCCGCCAACGACGTCACAGCCGGCGAGACGTCCGCCCGCAAAGCCGTAGCAGTCCTCTCGCACCCGCCCACCGAAGACCACCTCTCGCGGCACCTGCTCTGGCCCGAAGCCGAGAAGCTGTACGGGCACGGCTACGAGATCAGCAGCGTCGCCGCCGCCGCGAGCGCGGGCGACGTCGTCGCCACCGCGTGCCGCGCCACCTCGGTCGAGCACGCCGCCATCCGCCTGTACGAGACGCGCGACTGGCGACAGGTCTCGTTCGACGCCGCCGCCGACCCGTCGTCATCGGCTGGCGCGGGCGGCGGCGGCGAGCGCGTGCCGAGCATGAAGCTGCACAGCCTGACGGTGACGGGGCTGGCGTTCAGCGGGCCGTCGTCGTCTCCGTCGGCGACGAGCGGTGGCGGTGACGCAACAGCAGCAGCAGGAGACGAGTACCTCCTCAGCGTCGGCCGCGACCGCGTCTTCGGCATCTGGGGACGACAACGACGCGAAGGCGACTCCCCCACGGACGGCAAACAACAAACACAAACCACCCCGCAGTACACGCTCCTCCACGCCCAAGAAAAAGCCCACTCCCGCATGCTCCTCGGCGGCTCGTGGGCACCACCCGCACCCGCATCATCATCATCACCATCCCCTCGATCCCGCGTCTTCGCCACCGCAGGCCGCGACTCCAAAGTCCGACTCTGGCGCCTAGACCCCACCTCTTCCTCTTCCACCTCCCCCTCCCCCTCCCCTTCCTCCCCCTCCGGCGACGGCGATGGCGAGAAGAAGAAGAATGCAACAATCTCCATCACCCACCTCACAACCCTCCCTTCGCCCAGCCCCGTCACGGCCGTGGCGTTCCATCCGGACGTCGTCACCGCCAAGAACAACGACAACGACAACGACAGCGGCAGTTCCGCACACGTCGTCTTGGCTTTCGGCACGGAAAAGGGCGAGGTGCTAGTGGGACGGTTCGCTGCGGATTTCGGGGACCTGGTTGGTGGCGAGGGAGGCGGGGGGCAGGAGGACGCGGGTGGTAGGATGCAGGCGGTGGAGGGGGCGGTGGCGCCGAGCGATGTTGTTAATGCGTTGGCGTGGAGGCCGGTTGGTGGTGGTGGTGGTCGTGGTGAGTTGGAGTTGGCGGTGGGGAGCGATGATGGGAGCGTGAGGGTTTATGGGGTGAGGACCTGAGAGAGAGGTTGGGCGACGGGTGACTTGATTTTTTGTTTTTTGTTTTTGGGAGGGTCGTCGTGATGGGTGCGAAGTGAGTGGTGGGTGTGTGCATCACGAGAAAATATAGATAAAAGGAGTTAGGAATATTGTCTTGCAAGTAGAAATGGAAATAAGAGCATCGCAGCTTCCTCAGTTAGATGTCTCCAGCAAACTTGATACGCAGACTCAATTATATATAGCGAAGCGTGCATTATTAGTAGTATGTACTAATAGAGAATTCGTGTCAACAAACAGAAGGATATAAACCAACGATGCACCTACCAAGTGCCTCTTCATAGCCACTGTACAGCTTTGGATGCAAAGAAGCACGACAAGACGGCCAAACCGAGACGCATCAAACCAGGCTTTCCAATCCAACGTCTCATGCACAAACCCCCAACACCATTCCTTGTCCCTGGCTATCTCCCGGCCAATCGCAATTCCTCCTCATGTCGTGGTGGCTCTTCGTCGGTTCGTAAAAAGAGGGAAGAAATATTAATTACACCCCACGCATCCCAGCCCGTCCTATTGGGCCATTACCCGCCCCCTTTACCTCCAAAAACGTCTCGTCATATTGTTGAGCTGTGCAGGCTTTTGAACAATTGCCTTAGCAGCAGTGATCCAATCCTAATCCAAATCCCACTTTTATGTTGGAGCAAGTGCCGACTGACTTCGGGAACATAGTCCTCTGGTACAGTGTCTAGTACAAGCGTATGCGGTTCATTCTTTATGCGCTGTTGTTGGTGTTGTTGGTGTTGTTGTTGTCGTTTTTCGCCTTGAGACCGAAGTACAGGCCGAGTACGAGTGCGATGATGCAAATGATGAGGATGAAGACGAACAGAGTCCAGCGACGCAGGCGGTTACGGCGCTTGATATGCTCGATACCCTTGTCAAGCTCGACGTGGGCCTGCTTGCCTTGTTCGAGAACGTTCTCCGTCTGCTCCTCGGTCCGTTGCACTTGGGGCTCCTGAAGGACGACTTGCTCATTCAATTGGATGAACAGCTCGGCAAGCTCCTCCATCGACTTCTCGATGCGCTGGAGGTCATTGTGGCGAGCGCGAACGGAGCCGAGGACACTGTTGGCGTGCGCAGAACGGTTACTCTGGAGCTGTTGAGGTGACGGTCATTAGCCATGCAACTTTCGCATCAATTTAACCGGCGGAGACACTTACAGCACTCGCGAAAATTTGCTGAGGGCCATCCGCGGTACTCAGGGCCTGCTCGACTTCGGCATCGGTAGCTTCGGGGTTTACGATGTAGATCTGGCGTCTGATTTGTTCGGCGTAGCGGTCGCGGTACTTCTTTTCCACATCTTGGTAGCTTTGGAGCTCGGCCTTGAAGCTGTTCTTGAGGTTCCGGACTTGGCTGTCCTTGGTGACATTGCCGCCGCTGCGGACTGCATCGGTCTCGAGGAACTTGATCTCGTCTTTGATCTGAGAGTTCAAGAGCGAGGTTTGAGTGGCCAGGTGCTCAAGCTGCGAGTGCGCGCCCGCTTCGGCAGTGTCGGCGAGGAGGCGCTGGTGGACGGTCGTAATCTCGCCAATTTGAGATGTGAGCTGGCGAATACGCTTCTTGCAGCCGTCGACGCGGGCCAGGAACTCGTCGTTGCCCAGGACGCGGGGAGCGGCTTGAGGCGGAGCGTTCAGATTGCCCATCTCGGTGTAGCTGGGATCCTGCGAGTAGTTGGACGAGTCGTGGTGCTGTAGCGGCGGGGCCTGTGCGTGTTGCAAGCGCGAGGTTAGACAGTTCTACTAGTTGCCTGCGTGTTGACAAGCCGTTGTTTCATCGCTCAATGGAGCGACTCTTGAGGCCTGATAGACTGCGGTATACGAACCTGGCCTCCGTACGGGTTTGAGGAACCATAGCCGGCGCCGGTAGTGGACTGGCCGCCGTACGGGTTGGAATCGCCATAACCGTCATTGCCGTAGGGATTGCCGCTATATTGTTGGTACGACATGATGGTGGTGTTGCGGGGGGGAAGCGGGCAGTCGGTCTTGGCCTGCGATGCGGGCAGCTCGAGCTCGCGGAAGCGTGCGGATGACGTTATGCGGAGCGCTGATGGAGCCTAGGCTTCAAAAAAGCGCAGTAAGGGGCGCTGGGGCGGCTGGCGGCGTCGGACCGTCAATTGTGGGCAAGGCAAACGGCGCTATATTTACGTCTAAGGCGTCGGGTGGTTTTGCGCGGACGGAGGAGGCTCGCGGCGAGACGGATGCGATGGAGAGGTTGAAGAGACGGAGAAGGAACAGACGACTGGCAGCCGGGCGGGAGTGGAGAGGTTAATTTCTCCAGCCCCGGGGCGCAGCGCCTGAGCGCGTGGGTAGCCTGTTGGCCAGTCAGCGGCTAAGGGCCAGCTGGACCAGGCATCAAGGCAGGCCACAACGGGCGGCTGGGCTGATCCGCCATCACGCAGTAGTCGCAGTCGGGACCGTCCCACCTCACCTCAGCCACTCGGGGAGTCACTGCCGCCCTCTCACTGCCGCAATCGCCTCCCCCCCGCCTCCATCGGCAGCAGCATTCCCGGCAACAGTGCCACGCCGAAGGTGGGCGCAGCAGGGCAAATATCCATCGTTTGCGCACGGGCGGTTGACGAGCTTGCTGGAAGCGAGGTGGCCATGAAGTCACCGCCAGGCACGGGTGGGCCGCCTTAAGCTTAATTTGATCAGTCGCCCACCGCCAGGGTCCTCAACGAGATTTGCAGCAAACCAGCTTTCTCAAATCATGGTGCAACGGCGTTTCACGGCTAGCTCGTCGCCCTACCCGCGCGGTTACCAGGCAACGCCTCGTTAGTTCCTCAGGGCCAAATGGTCGGTGAAGACCCGCCCAATCTGTCCTGACCGCTCGAACAGTCGCGCCGTGAAGGATGAACGGTGAGGAAGGGGAGCCCAACCCAATCAGACACCGGACCTCTCGCCATCGAACATGTCTTGAGCCCTCAACCCTCCCCATTGGCGACGCGTCACTTTATCATAATTGCCATGATATCTTTTTCCCCGCATCCAAGACTTCCATAGCACATCGGATTGAGATGAAACATCCAGCCCGTTCGAAACGCCGCGCGCCGCTCCGGCCACTGCACATCGATCCCAGGTTGGTCATGTTCACGTGACAGCCGTTTCCCCTGCTTATGGCAGACTAAGTTCGTCCGAGGCAAGAAGCAGAGGGGGTGAGATCATCCGGGACAAGGTCCGTGAAGCGGGAGACGAAGAGTAACACTCGTCGACTGTGAAGCAAAAGGACCTGTTTTAAACTTAAACCTGGCGACAAGCAGCACGCTGCAAACCTAACTAACTATATCAACGCCCAATAAGCCATGGTGTCTCAACCCGCCCCAATACAGGGCCAACAAGACAGCAACATATTCCCCGTTTCGTCATCCTGCCAGTCTCATCCATCCTCACCGTGTCATCATCCGGCAGCTCCGCACACCATCCTTCCCACACACGCGCAACCCTTCTCCCAGCATTCATCCCTCTTCCACATCATCTGATTCTCATGCCCACTCCGTCCCGCAGTCGACGACTTCATCCACGGAGCATCGGCCAAGACGTTCCCCATCGAAACGCCGCTGTCCTTCCGCGTCGCCGCCGCCATCGCCTCCTCATCCACCGCCCTCACGCCGGCGTCACACGCCAGCTCCTCCGCCGCGATGCCGCGATCGAAGCTCACCAGCACAATCGGCCCGCTGCGCTCCCCGCCGCCATACTTGGGTCTCCGCAAGAAGACGACGCTCCTCTCGTCCGCCGCCGCCACAATCTCCGTCGCCGGCGGCGGAGCCGTGTACCCGCCCGCACCGCCGAGAGACAGAGCTGTCATCTGCGTCGTCGTCGTCGTCGCCGTCGTCGACGATGCAGGAGAGACAAGGACAGGCTGAGGCGGCGTCAGCGGCGCGTTCAGGATGTCGTGCAGCTTCTTCGCGCAACCGTACGCCCTGACGCCCGCGCCTGCGCCCTCACTGTCATCGCCGTCGCTGGTGCCGGTGCCAGGCTGCTGCTGCTGCTGCTGCTGCTGCTGCTGCTGCTCGCCAGACGGCGGCCACAGCCTGACAGGCGGGTAAAGGAAGCGGTCCTCATACGGCGGAAGCTTTGTACTCGCGCCGACGTCGACGTCGACGGCCGCAGCCACGGCCCTGGCCTTCCCTTTCCTCTCGGCACCGACGACGCCGTCGCAGGCCTCGACGGGCAGCAGCGGCTGTCTCTTGCGCGCGCCGATGCGGAGGCGGAGACAGGGCGGGTCGCCGGCGGCGGCGGCCGTCGGGCAGCACCTGTCGTCCTCGACGAGGTCGAGGAAGGCGGAGCAGGAGAGGTTGTAGGCGCGGTGCTTGGTGCGGGCGAGGATGAAGGCTTGCGAGGGGGGCAGGCCGGCGGCGAGCCGCTGCTCGTCGTGCTTGCGCTCGGGATGGTAGGCGCGCGGCAGCCGCTCCTCGGCGGGCGCCCAGTGCGGGTTGTTGCCCGAGCCGAGCGTCTGGACGAGCAGGTCGTCTGCGGGGAGGAGGGGCGCGACGTCTTCGTCCTGCTGCTGCCGCCCCTGGGCGCCTTCAGGGGTGGGTGTGGCGTCGGGCGATGCGGATGGCGAAGCTGAAGGAGTCGGTGAGGCTGACTGCAGCGTGCCGTCGCCTCGACTCGCCACCACCGCCCCTTGTTCACCGGTCTGTCGCCTCGGAGCTGAGCGTTTGGGAGGGAAGGTGATCTCGCGCGTGTAGAAGGTGCGCTCTTGTTTGCTGCCTCCGTTGCGCCACTCACGCCGTGCTTCGACGATTTGCAGCTTGTTCGTCTTCTCGTCCACCTGTAGGCCCAAGTCCGTCCAGGAGTCGTTGATTGGACCCTCGGCGTGCTGCCTGCGATAGACCCTCGTGTTGACTTGTACCTCCTCTCTGACCGGTTTATGCAGGGGGAACCTGATGCAGTGGTAGAAGGATGTCCAATCCACCTCCTCGACCACGAAGGACGTCTGATTGGACACGGCGTAGAATTGGCCATCGTGAATCTCAAAGGCAACAGTTGATCCGAGGTCGGAGCCAACCAATTCGTCCAACTGAAGTGCGGGCATGTGCGGTAGCGGAGAGTCGTCAGACAGTGAGAGGCCTTGTACTTTCCACTCGTGGTGGCCGTGTGTACCCACGCCGGTGTGGGTTCCGTAAAAAAGATAATTGGCCGTGTTTCTAACGAAGAGCTTGCTGGCTCCTTCGGGGGGTCTGATGAGACTGACACCAGCGCCGGTCATGGGGTCGAATTTGCGTAACTCGACATAGATCAACCAGTGCCCGTCATCGCGCCAGTTGGCACATAGCTCCGTCTCGCTGTAGTCGAAATGTAGCGAAACCACCCAGTCGCTGTAGTACAGCAGGCTAATTTCCGGCTGGATGTCCGCCGTGCCGAAGTGAGTCTGTGACAGCCATTTAGCCACGGGCGCCGTGTCTACCTCAAAATCTTCCGATGTGTCGAGCACAGAGCGAACCCGCACGATGCCATGTGACATGTAGCAAAGAACATTCTGCCTATAAATGACAGCGGATCCGTAGTCGACGACACAGGCTGAGCTAGGAGTGGCTGTAGCAAATGAGCCTTGTCGGGAATAGATGCGTTCCAAGGCTTCGCGATAGGTGATTTTTTCTTCGGCTGCCAACTTTGCTTCTTGAGTGAAAGGCGCGTGATCCTGTAGATTCAAGTCAGCACCATCTCACGGGAGGGGCCGCGCGTTCTGGGAGGGGACATCCCCCCGAAGGTCGCTTACTTGCACAACCCGTCGACACAATGTACTCTCGCCTCTGAGCTGGTATAATTGTCTACACGTCAAAGTGAGGTGGATGACGTCCGCATATGATAGTCTCGCAGCAACGTTGAAAAGAATATCGAAAGGTAATCGATCCAGGTTAAGCGTCATGAATGAAGACTTTTGCCGGTCCGGATACTCCAAAGAGGGATCCGAGGAAAGCGGCTGTTCTCGAAAATAGGAAAGTGGTAATATCAGATGGCCTCCAAGTCTAAAAGGAAAAACCTGATGCTTCAAACGCCGTTCACGTTTCGATCGTTCGGATTCCGTAAAATTGAAATAGTGGTGAAACGAATGACAAAGTACTGTGAAATTTCCTACGGGTGTTTTTGGTGTAAATGAAGATTTGGTCGGGAACCATTATGTGAGCGACAATGAGTGAAGGGCGTGTAGGATGCGGCTGTTAAGAAGGCAGGTCGATGAGGCTCTTCGGATATCCGAGGCCAGATCCCTTGCTTGTTGGGCCGTGCATTGGGTTGGTTGCACACGGGTTCGGCGACCAGCCTTGCCGTTCATTATTGAGGGGCTGGCTGAGCCGAGTGTGATGAGCCAGCGTAATCCTAAGATGGCTGGGCATCACGGGAGTCTGCAGGGGCTAGCCATCTAGATCAAGCAGGGCGTGCCAGACATCAGTGTGTCAGTGAACGTGCATGATGAGAGCCGCGTATTAGGTCCGTTTGCGGAGGATACTCGGTAGGCTACGGTGAGTCTACGCCACTAGACGGAAGCCTGCGAATGATCACGCTGATAATGCCATGCCGTGGCGAAGAGCCGGCTATGCAACAAAAAATGCGGCTGAAAGTCGAAGTGGGTGGCAGGCTAGACAAAAGCGAGGGCGTGGCGGTGGCATGAATAATTGAGGCTCTGCAATGCGGGGACTACGGTCAGCGCCATTGGCCGGCCTTGCACAGACTACCTACAGCCTTGTCTTAAGCCCCCACTTTCGTACACCCAGGATCGGGTGTTATTATTATTCTCATCTGTTTTGCCAGTCGTGTGAGAGTGCTAGGCATTAGTGCAGTGGGGCTGCGATCTGCTGGGCTGAGGAGTGATACGGCTCTTCCTGCTTATGCCGCACAGGCTTACGCCAAACGCGCTGCGGCACATTACATCACTAAGCTGTGAGACGGTTATAGAACATCATCGTGTAATGAGATAAAGCTGAGTGAAACAGCAGAAGAGTATCACATTGACAAGGGAAACGTCATGCGCCGAGTTCCATGTCACGCGCAGTTCAACGGAACACGTAGTCGATGGATGGTGGGTCGACGGACTCGCAAGGCTGTGAGGGGTTTCTGCACCGACGCCCCAATTCTTAAGGACTTGTAAATCAATGAACGCGAGGGTGCAGTCGCCCTTCGTCTGGCCTCTTCGTTGGACAGATCAATTCCTCTCCAGAACACATGGCGGGGTTCGTGGCTCTGGACGGAAAGTGCTCCAATTGGCGATCCAGCGCGGTAGGGGGTTGGGTTACTCAGGCAGCAGCACATGGTGCCCGTTTTGGCTCAGAGATATGATGCAGATAAAGTGAGGGGCGGGCGCACGTGCAGGGGAATCTTACTGTAGACATCTGCGGTCCCAACGCGGCTTGTGACTGACGCAGAATGTAATACACATGCAAGGCTTTTGGTTTTGTACTCACTGTAGTAGTGCGTCGCATTCCATTCTTCAATGTATAAATCGGTTTAGCTCGGGACACCTGGCTCCACTACTCTTTCCCGCGGGCCTAAGTCCCAGCCAACAGACGGCCATCCGTTTGGTAGGGTCGAAAAAGGCGGAAGAATATAGCGCCCTTCGCACATGCCAATCTCAGGACACTTCAAATCGCACAGTCCGAAGACTTTACAGTAGCAATCCTGCGCCGACGGGCAATGGATGGCTTCTTTACCGAACAGAACTACGAGTGGACATGTTAGTCAAATCTTGCATACAGCAAATTACCTGCAATGTTGCCCCGATTGTGGGGTGCTAAGAATGCTGCTGCCCGAATGCTGCCCAGGACTGATGCGTCGACAATGAATGTGCAATATAATGCATCAGCGCCCCATCAAGCAAGGCTGCGGCAGCAATCGACAGTAGTATCGTTGGGACAGTAGCGGCAGACGCATGAACGCCCGGTGGAGTGGGACAACAGAAGCGCAGCAGTGCCAGCAATCAAGCGTTGAGGCGCTCGTGCCGGTGACTGAGGAAGAAAACTTGGCCAGACTTACTATGCCACGAGTACTCCATCACGCGCCCGCTTATTGAGTCTTGCAAAGGCGTCTTCGCTAGCCACTCCCTCAATCGCACGTATTCCTCTCTCGGGATCTCACGAATCTTGTTTCTCGTGAGAGCAAACTGTGCGCAGCAGCTGACGCCGACCTCATGTGGGACCTCACGATCCTCGCCAAAAATCTCCTTAAACGCGTGGTAGTATGAATTCCCGGCATGCCCTTGTTGCTGGTTTTCGCGTGGATCTTTCTCGTAAGGCTTGATCTCGTTCGGGCAGCCCAGCTGCCATGCACAGCGCAGGTTGACGTAGCCTTCCTGCTCAAGATTGGGCACCTGGAAATTGCGCAGCACCATCAGGCCGTCATAGTCGGGATCGTCATTGTGCCATTGGTATCGCGTCGGGTGCAGAAAGAGCGCATAGTCGGGCAGATTCTCGTAGTTGTCGATGATGAAGCTGAGAAAGGCGTAAACAGGGTCAGCGAAGCCCCGCGATCGAGACCAGAGCAGGTCGCTGCACGTACGTGAGATAGACCATCGACTCCCTCCCCTTGTTGAACGGCACGCGCAACTGCGCCTTGGGGTTGTCTACGATGTAACGGTATTTGGTCCAGTCGGGGAAGTAGTCGTACAGCCAGGCCACGTCGTCCTTTTCCTGGCTGGCAACGACGAAAGCCCTCTCGCCCTCGCGGGTTGCGGGCGTTTGGGCATAGGTGCCCAGATCCTCCTCGTAGGTCAAGTCCTCCGTAACGTCATTGCTGGTGGCGCCCCGCTGGCGATTGACCAGATAGCCGACGATCAGGACGAGAATCAGGAGGTAGAGGACGAGGCGAATATTGGAGGTGCGGCGGCGGGGGCGCATCGTTGGGGTCGCGGGGTCATGGCCGGATGGAGTGCAGAGACAGCGGGTTGGCGTCTAGGGGAACATTGATGGGGTGTCGGGGAGCGCGTCGGGAGGCCGCGTGGCGGCGTGGTCCATCCCCTGATGTTCATCAAGGCGTTCACCAGAGGTCGAAACGTCCCTTTACCGCGGTTTTCTTGCCGACCCTGTGACCCCAATTGCGTGCGCTGCGCTGGCGAAAGATCTGCCCGGCCCCATCGCCCGCACGCCCGTGCCGATGACAATAAGAATCCAATGCAATGGCCATCATCTCGACGCGGTTGCACAAGCTTTGCGAAGCTCCCAGGCCCGGCATGCAAGGCACGAGAGCCGCGAGCGGCGAAGAACGCTAGCAAGTCCATATTTCCTGCCGGAATTGTGGGGTCCGAGGCACAACTTCACGGGGCCCTAGCCAGCTCCTGTGGAGACACGCAGAATAATGTAGTATTTTAGGCCAGGCGAACCTAGCCGGCGAGAACTAGCTGCGTCGCTCGTAAAGAGACAGCTTGAGTGGTATCCAACTAAACAATGCCCTTTCGTGTAAACCCTGACGCGCCAACGCCACCGAAACCGCGCGAGACCCGAGGGTGCGACCTAATGATGCGTATAGTCGTCTGCCCGTCTATGACTGGCCACCCTCCGCTTGCGGCGTGTAAACATGAGTAGCGTATGAAAAGGAAACAGGGAAAAAAAAAAAAAAGGAAAACGACGGGTGTGGGCGTCTATCCATGCACAAAACTGGTAATGCATGAAACAAGCCACGGCCACCAGGGACCCTCAGTCGCCCGTGGCGTATATCTCCGACAATACTCCTTGTCCGCGGAGGCAATTGCAGCGCTGCATCGAAGCATCTCACACCACATTCATGACAGCTCCACGCCCTCCATGTCCCGCATCAGCACCGCCATCTGTGCGCGTTTTGCCGCCTCTGCCACCAGGCTGTACTCGTTGAGGTACGCCGCCGTCTCCTGTGCTGTTCTGCCCGCGCCATCGCGGTTGGGCTGGTAATCCACGCTGGCCGTCCTGCTGACCTGCTGCGGGGCACGCTGCACTTGTGCCGCCTGGGCTGCCGCCATGTTTCCGGGTGGTAGCGAGCCGAAGAAGTTGCTCTGCGGGACGGGAGACGAAGGCGGCATCGGGACGCCGGCGTGCGACTGAGCCTGCTGAGAGGTAGCGCCGGAGACAGCAAAGACCGACGGGCTCGCGAGAGTGGAGAGGCTGCTGGAGCTTTGCGAGGCCGAACTGACCTGCGAGGCGAAGCCAGGGAAGGTGGGACGCTGTTGTCTATCGCCGGCGGGGTCCATTGCGAGAGGGGATGTGGGAGCTTCGAGGGCGGAGGAGCAGGCTCGGGGGTTGCAAGGCGAGGCCTGGAGGCTCTACTTTTCTTATAGCGTTATGCAGGGCCGGAGGACGCGGTCGGAGCAAGGCCGGGCTACTGAATCGGGAACGGAAGCGGAACCGCAAGCGAGATGTGCGAGGGTGGTGGCACGGTGGATGCAGGCGGTCTAGGGTCGAATGGCGCTTCGAGAATCTGGAGAAGGCCGGTGCCGAGGCTGTACAGTGACGCGGACGGGCTGTTGGTCTCTAGGAAGCATCGGACGATCGAGCAGCGGGTGAGCAGGCGCTTTATGGCAGCATGGGAGGCGCTTGGGCGAGGGCGATCTTGCCTCGCTGGTCGCACCACAATCGCCTGCGGCGCCGAGGCGCGCCCTGGAGATTCCTTCCCGGGCGGACCCCACATGGCACCAGAGCGCGCCTGTGGCCCGGCATCTGCCAAAGTGCAGCGGTGGTGCCAGCACCCTCGGCACAACAGCCCTATTTCCGCCGCCGCCGCCGCCCGCCGCAGCATCAGAAAGCCCGCGAGCCCGCGAGCCCGCTGCCCAAGCCAGCACGCCGCCGAACCCGCCCAGCGATGCCGGTGAGTGCTGCCCAGCTGCTGCCAGACGCAGTGCCGCTCACTCTGCCCAATGCCTAGCTCGTCCTGATCTCCGGATACCCGTCCGCTGGCAAGACCTACCGCGCCCGGCAGCTGCTCGACTTTTTCCGCGACAAGATTGCGCAGCTCGCTCCGACCGACGCCCGCATTGCGCGCCTGAAGGTCCACCACATCAACCATCAGACACTCGGCCTGCACCGCGATGTCTACCACTCGGCCCGCGCAGAGAAGGACGCCCGAGCTGCCGAGGCTTCGGCCGTCAAGCGCGTCCTGGGCCGGGACGACATTGTCATTGCCGATGGCATGAACTACATCAAAGGCTTCAGATACCAGCTCTACTGCGAGGCCAAGGCCATGCAGACCCCCAGCTGCGTTGTAAGCCCGCCCTCGCCCCCCGGTCTCACACCTGCTGATAGTCCTAGAGGTGCACGTAGGAACGCCCGTCGACAGATGCCGTGAGATCAACCAGCGGCTGCTCGCCGACACCAGCACCGATGGGGGCTACGTCGAGGAAGACTTTGAGAACCTGGTCTTCAGATATGAGGAGCCCAATGGCATGACGCGCTGGGACAGCCCTCTGTTCACCGTTGTGTACGATGACGAGACCCCGCCTTTCGATCAGATCTGGGACGCAATGGTGGGCAGTGACGGAAAGGCCAAAGTGGTTAGGCCAAACGCCGCCACCGTCCTGGTAGGCGCTCGCGTGACATCACATATTCATATATTGCAAGCATGCTGACACAAGCTGGCCAGAAACCTGCCACTGAGCAGAACTACCTCTACGAGCTCGACAAGACCACTTCTGACATCGTATCTCATATCGTGTCCTGGCAGAAGGATCATCCGGGCGAAGAGGGGGGTGAGGTCACAGTCCCGGATGCTGAAAACGCAGTAGCCCTCCCCGCATCCATTGTCTCGCTACCACAGCTCCAGCGCATCCGCCGACAGTTCATTTCGCTGAACCGTCAGCACAATCTATCGAAGAACCGCGTCCGGGATCTCTTCGTCGACTACCTCAACGACGCATTCCAAGCCGCATGAGGCTCGACTGTGCGACTCGCCATGGCTGCAGCTAACGACGGACGTCATGGCGGGGTTCTGACCGCGGGCCGACTTAGTATGCCGCGGTTTTCTAGAATACCGTGACATGAATAATGGAGCTTGCTGCACTGACGCAACCCAGGGAATCCTGAGCGCAAGCTTCGGGGACTGCCCGGCCCCATGTCGGCGACCCGGCTTTTGAAATCAACTTAGAGCTTTATACCCGGTGCTCCAGCTCTCTCCATCCATTGCTCCGCATCCCGCGGCGGCCAAGCGGATCAGCGCAGCCATGGTGGGGTCTGGACACGTAGAAACCAAGACCCCTCCTTAGGCCACCTGCCTGCGAGGCAAACGAGATGGTAGCTCCGGAGATCAGATGAGAGGTCAGCCCCAACCAAAGGCTGACTGGGACGCTCAATGGAGCATTTCCGCCCTTGAATCGCATCATCTGCCCCGGATGACGACAGATAGCAACCTGACTGGCAAAAAAGTAAATACCTACCTACTGCATACGGCACACACCCGTCACCCGATCTTGAATTAGCGCCTTGCCGTACTGTGATTATCGCGAATTGGTATCCGGCTATTTGGATGACATCAGGCTCCGTCGCAGCAAGGAACGCGTTCGACACGATCCCCAGATTTGCAATCTTCTGGTGTCGCAGACGACGTGGAGAGTGTCTCCAGCCGAAATGGCCCGAAGCAAGCCTCCCGCTGCGCTTTTTGCCTCGGCGATCCACTCGGATGTGGGGTCTCCACAGATCGGCACTGCGAACGAGCTCTCCGCCCACATAGATTTTGCCTCCGTGCCTCTGCAGTCCCTTGTGGAGCTCTGTCTCCACTGTAAACGCCGCACCGTTGCTCGCCAACCGAGTCAAACGAGCACGAGATTCAGTTGTACGCGCAAACACGCCTCGCCAGCTTTCACCGCAACGATATCCCCGGCTTGGAAGCCCCACGTTGCCACAGCCCCTCGGCATGTGAAAGGAGGAAAGTGCTGAAACATACCGCTCACCAATTCGATATCAACGCCGAGCAAGCGATCGTCATGTCCGATCTAGGCAACTACCGCGACCTCATAATAACATCCCACCCGGGCCCTTCCAATGTTTTCATCCTAACCCTGTCCCGCCCACCGGAGAATCGCTTGGATGCCTCCTTCGCCCAGGAAATTACACGCGCCCTCCGGGCTATCGAGTCCGCCATCCCATTGGATGCTCCAGGTGCTATCGTCACCCGTGGCGCCGATGCGAAGTTCTGGTCCACGAGGCTAGACCTCGAGGAAGTCGACCGGAACCCTACCGCCAACAATAACGGCTTCTATCCCCTCATTGCCACCCTTCTCGACCTTCGCGTTCCAACCATCGCTCTCTTAACCGGTCATACCTTCGGCGGCGCCTGCCCGCTTGCCCTCGCCCATGATTACCGCATCATGAATGCGGACCGCGGCTTCTGGTGCATGCCCCCAGTCGACCTAGGCCTTCACTTTGATGGAATCGGTGCGCTGTTGAAGGCTAAACTCGCCCCTCAAACTGCACGAAAGATGCTGTTGGAAGGGCACAGATGGACTGGCAAAGGGGCTTATGAGGAGGCGATCGTCGATGTGACTGCAGCTCCAGACCGGATGCTTGAGGAGGCAGTAAGGCTAGCGGAGAGGGTGGCGCCCAAGGCGAGGAAAGGCGTATACGCGCTACTACGAGCAGAGCTATGGGGAGATGCGGCAGACGCGTTCAGGCGGATCAGCTGGGTGCATGGAAGAGAGACGAGAGGGTTTCTGCCTACGGTAGGGAAGGGATGGAAGGCGAAAATGTGATTCGTGCCGAGTTGACTGAGTGACGATGTTCCATGCGCAAGACTCGATGTGCTTATCATACTAGCAGATTCTTTGGTTTCGGAATCACTTTCATTTTAAAGAAAAAAAAAATTAAAAAAAGGAGGAAGGAAAGAAAGGAAGAAAGAACAAAACGCCTGTTTCCACGTCCAATCAGTATGCGAATACTCTTTTGATACTCTATCGTCACAGCGAGTTGGAAAGACCTAGGTCCAGAGAAATACATTGGTATTGTTATCGTATGGATGGATGCATATGCACAGCATCAACATCTAGGTCGATCATTCGCTTCAGCTGCCAACTCCGGGGGGCTCAGGTTTCCTGCAACCCAATAACAAGACGACTTACTGAATCGTCAACACGCAAATACCCAAAGGACGGGTGACACCTGTACCATCAAGCGCGCTGCAACAGCTCGCTATCAGAGTTGGTTATGATCGGCTATATTCGCGAGATACCCCTGCAACACACCAGCAACCGCAGGCTCAGCTGCAACCTTAGGAGTCTCCAATGCTTCTATAAAGACATGGATTATCTAAAAATGGACCAGCTGCTTGGATCACATTCGATTTTGAGTGGGACAGTATGTGGGGCGGCGCTTGGTGTAAGCGCCTGTTGGCTGTGCCGCATTCGCATATCACACACACAACGCTTTTAAGCCTTCACCGAGGTATCATGTATCTCTCGTTGCTATCGGTTCCAGTTCAGTTGATTTTTCTTCCTTGCTTACATTCCGTCGTATCGTCGCCTTGTTCTCCGCCTGCAGGACTCAATGTCGTGGCTACAGAAATTACGCACTTTTTCCAATGGGCTCCGCTCCGAGAGCCCAGTACCCTCGATCGACCGATCCAATCCCCAAAAGAACAGGCGGAGGCTCAAGATTTTGACATCTGCCGATTCTGGGAAGCTGAGAGTTGCTGTGGTGGATGAGGAGTTTCTACGAAGCATGACTTCTGCGTGCTTTGATACGAAACTTTGTCCACAATGCGAAGCTCTCAAATTGGACGAGCGCATTGCAGAAGCCTTGCGATCGCCGAAAGATCTTTCCATATGGTCACAGTTCAGCACCCTCTTACCCACCATGGATGAATCGTGTGCTTTCTGCCAGTTCTACAGACAGATATCCAGTGGCTCAAGCGCAGCACCCAATGTCAGATGTTTTGAGGTCCAGTCTGTCAGAGAACATCATTTGTTGGTAATGAAGAGTTGGGATTTGTTCATCACGAAGCACGCCAAAACATCTGGGTTCAGCGATGTGCAAGTGTTGCGAGGAGAAAACAGTCTTGGGCTGAGATGTCCTGAAGCCTGGCCAATCAGCTCTGTTGGAGTCGATTATGAGGAGTTGCGCAGGAAGCTGGCTTTCTGTGATGGTCGGGGAGCGAAGTATATCCTGAAGGATACACCACCTCCAGCACATCCCATCTTCGTCATCAATTGCCACACTCGGAAAGTGGAGCCTCTGGTACCTGGGACAAAGTACGTGTGTCTCAGTTATGTGTGGGGCCCGCCGAAAGGCGAGAATCCCGACTTTGGAGATCTCCCGGACCCCACGGAAAGGACTGTCGAAGACGCAATTACAGTCACATCAAAACTACATTACCAATACCTTTGGGTGGACAAGTATTGCATTGACCAGAAGGACGAGAACATGAAAATGGCCCAGATCAACCAGATGGACTGCATATATGCACAGGCGGACCTGACAATTATTGCAGCGGCTGGCGACCATGCCGATTACGGTCTTCCCGGCGTCAGCACACAGCCCCGCTCACCTCGTCGGAGCTTCAAAATCGGCGATTACGTCCTGATGTCCTGCTGGGAGGAGTCGAGCTTGGCACACGGCCTGCGGCAATCGAAATGGATGGAGCGTGGTTGGACGTATCAGGAGGCGCTCCTTTCTCAGAGACGACTCTTTTTCACCGATTACTGCTACCTCCATGATTGCGGCAAATGCTACATCGAGGGCGACGAGTCGAAGAGATTCGAATCTTGGGTCAACTCGCCGACGCTCGTCAATCACGGACGAATGAAGTCCCAGAGCAAGTGGATGGGATACAACATATCCACCACGCTGCCAGATGCTTGTGCACGGATTGAAGAGTACTCCAAAAGAAACTTATCGTACCAGTCGGACAGTCTCAACGCTATAACCGGAGTCCTTCAGACACTCGAGCTTTCCGATCCGCCGATCCACCATTACTATGGAGTCCCAATGCTTCAGCCATCCGAGCGCGAGGCCGAGCCATCCACTAGCAACATGGACGGATTCGTGCAATCATTGCGATGGAGTCTCAACGCATCCGCGGACAAGAAGAGAAGGCCTGATTTCCCGAGCTGGTCATGGGTCGGTTGGCAGAGTCCTTGCTCCTACCTACAACAAAACCTGTCAGTGCTTGCACCGAGCACCGTCAAGGTCGAGATCGAACAAAGCTCCGGTGCCCGGATCGACTGGTCAGGGTTCGCAGAGAAGGGATACTTGAAGCAGGACCAACCGAGCCAGTCACACTGCATATGGATTGAGGCTTGGACCTTTCCGGTGGAGACGCTGGACACGCCGCCGTCTTTCCATGAGAACGTGCAACGTGCATGGCTCGTCCGCAACCATGATTTTGAGACTTCCCGGTTCAAGGGTCTTATTGAAATTTTTTACAGGAACTCGACGGAGGATATGAAGAGGTTGAAGGCAAAGTGTGAAGCTAGAAAGGTTGTCGCCGTCGTGCTTGGAGACATCAGCAAAGAGCTGCCAATGCGTTCCATCATTATCGTCGAGGAGCTCGACGGTGTTTACCAGCGTGTTGGGAATTTTGACGACAATGATTTCTCTTTGCTTTTCGATATTGGGCCAAGTTTCTGGGAGAGGGACATTGTCAAGTTGAGCAGGCGATGGATCAGACTTTCGTAGTCTTTTTTTTCTTTTCTTCTCTGGTAAGTATTTCCGGCGTGTAGGAAAGAGTCTGATATTTGTTTCCTTCTTAAATGAACCTCCCTGTCCTGACATATTTGTTCGTGGTCTACTCCTGTCAATTGGCGGTCAATCTTAAGGTGTGGTCAATAATTTCTCATGTTGTACGGAGAGAATTGTCACCAAGCAAGTTTTGCCGATGAACCGATGACGAATGACAGTCGTTTGACGTAAAGGCATTCTATTGGACTACTATGCGACATTGGCCTGTGACGCACTGTCCTGGTCTCAAATAGAAAAAATATGCGAAAACAGGCAATAGACGGGTGTGCGCGGATAGGAACGGAAGCCGCGGACATGGCCGTTGCATAAGAACGTCAATTCCCACGTGATGGCGCGTTGGCGCGTAGGTCCGGGGGTCCGGGTCTCGTCCTGCGTCATTATTCAGTCGCGACGTCTTGTCCACGACATTAGCTCTATCCCACCACCCGACACATACAACGAGTTCAGCCCACCCGCGCTCAAGCATGAGCTCGTCCGAAGATGAGGACCTTCAAAGAGCTATCGCGCTGTCTTTGGCGCACCTCGACGGCACTGCTGAGGACGCGGCAGTCTCGGCAGCTGACGCCGTGGACGACAACACGAGTGAAGCTCCACCCGCGCCCACAAGTGATCTAGCTGCCAACGAACCACAGCCCGCAAGCAACCGAGCCGTCAACGATAGCCTGAAGAACCTCGATCGCAAGCAACTTGAGGCAGAGCGCCTTGCCCGCCAAAAATCCCGCAAACACCAGAGCGCCGACTCTCCACTCTCCACCCAAGAGCGTGGAAGGCCTTCCAAGAAGGCTCGGACCAAGGCCAGTGTGCCTGCATCCCAAGAGTCTGGATTCATTGACTTGACCACCCCTCCTCGCTCGCGCAAGGAAGTGGCACCTTCTGAGGAGCTTCATGCCGATCAACTGCCGGCAGCGCGGTCTCAAGGCCAGGTACTCGGACAGATTCTACAAAATGAACTAGGCATTTCTATCCCACCCGAGACCCCAAACAGGCCAGTTTCAACCTCGTCCCGCCGAATCACTGAGCCACAATATCTGGATGGTGCGGTCAAGAGAACTTGGGCCCTAGGGTTACCTCGAGACAATGATATCAAGATTGAGGAGGTACTGCAGAAGGCAGACTTGAACCATTTGCTAGTCAGTTCGTTCAACTTCGATACGGAATGGTGGAGTACCAAGATCGACTCCCATGTTACCAAGCAGACTTGGATCCTTGGTTCTTCGAAAGACGATGTGGTGAGTCCGATCTTGATATGTTGGATGCCCTCTCTTACTCCATTTAGGCAGCAGAATGGACCATGGCTCCTCTTTTGTACCCCAACGTGTCTGTCAGTCTGGCTGACATGAAGGGTGCCAATGGCATTTACCATGCCAAATTGTGAGTCCCACCTGGAGGCAAGGATTTGAAGTCTATTACTGACTACATGCAGCCTCATCGGTGCGCATCCCAAGTATCTACGGATTGTGATTACATCAGCGAACCTTACCGAGTACGCCCCCAATGCTACACTTTTGGTACCGGATAGTAAAGGACTGACACGATGTTTCCAGGTGGGATTGGGGTGAAACGGGTCATATGGAGAATGTGAGAGGAACTAGTTCGCACGCTCAAACTGTGTACTGACAGGGACAGGCTGTGTTCCTCATCGATCTCCCGCGCCTTCCAGAGGGCCAGATTACATCCGAGGACGACTTCACGGCTTTTGGAAAGGAGCTTCGACACTACATAGAATCCGTCACACACCGCCGCAACCTCTGCAACAGCCTCCTCAAGTTCGACTGGTCCCGCACCAAGCACCTTGCGTTTGTGCATTCCTTGGGAGGTCCAAGAGTTGGCGAGGAAGCTCGACGCACCGGTCTTCCAGGGCTTTCTCGGGCAATACAGCAGCTCAATCTAGGCTCAACGACGCTTGAGCTTGACTATGCCACCTCTTCTCTGGGTGCATTGAGCAGGGGGTTCATGGAACAGCTTTTGACCGCTGCAAAAGGTGCGTATTCCAAAGCACAATTGGGATCCTCAACTAATTCTTCACAGGCAAAGAGGTCAAGGCCACCAAGGAGAAGTATGACCATGACGTACAGATGGGGGATCTTCTGAAGCGCTTCCGGGTGTATTTCCCCACATCCGACACTGTCGAAGCCAGCAAAAGCGGCACAGATGTATGTCAAGCCACTTTACGTGTGGGGACATAGCAAAGGCATGCAAGCTTACGTACTCTAGGGTGGCGGTACCATCACACTCGCGAAGAAGTGGTATGAGGCGGCGAGTTTTCCTAAAGCGGCCATGCACGATCACAAGTCGACGCGGAACGGTCTGTTGAGTCACAACAAGGTCAGTATGATGGAGTATGATTCATCATGGTGTATGTTGACAGTGGCGCTGCAGATGATTGTCGGCCGTGGACAGCGCTCGGAGGATGGAGAGGAGGCAACGGCGCATAAGAAAGTTGCTTGGGCATACATTGGGTCGGCAAACCTCACGGCTGCTGCATGGGGCCAGCTGTCAAACGACCGCGCAACCAAGACGCTCAAGGTTACGTGCCGCAACTACGAATGCGGCGTGCTCGTACCTGTCGATGCAGAGAAGCCGGACAAGAAAGCGGAGGATGAAGAGTTGCCGGGCTACGAAGTTTTCAGGGGAACGTTGGACATCCCCTTCGAGATACCCGGCGAGAAGTACGGTGACAAAACGCCGTGGTATTTTGCAGGCTAGGGTGCTCGGTTGGGCCAGGTGTTTCGGATGACTCGCGTTCCGGAAGTCAGGGTAGCAGGGCACATGCCGGGGAGGGGCTTGCACAAAAACATTGCGGATAGAGCCGGAATCATCAGCTGCGGCTGGTGGCTGACGGGCTGAAGGCTCTTGGATAGATGGCATGGAATATGCATAGCTTGGATGGGAAGACAGGCAAACAAGGCAGATGCATAACAATCAGCCCACAAGCATGCCTAAGACCATCGCGAGAGATGCGAAGTGACGTTTGCGGGAGGGCGTGCTTGGCTGCGGATCGCAGCTGGCCGGCGGGCGGGAGCGAGGCGTCCGGCTCATCTTGCACAATTCACGACATCGACCAGCTGGCCGCGCCCCGAAGCCAGCCAACACCAATGCCGCCGCCCGCATATTCAAACCCATGAGCTCCGCTCACCGTTCCACCCCGCCCGCTTCCGTCCCCAATCGTCCTCCAAGTCTTCGCCGACCAACCCCGAACCGCGCACCGCCTCGCTGACGACTGCGGGTGACGTCGCCGCGCTCGACCGCCCGCCCGCCATGGCTCCCCAGCCGCCGCGGACGCCGCTGGACAGCATCAATAAAGACGTTTTCGCCGGCCCGCCCATGCCGCTGCAGTACACGAGCCCCGTATCCGTGTACCAGCGCCAGAATCTCCCGCTCAACCTCATCGCCTTGATATTGTCATATGTGTGTTGGACGCCTTCCTCGTGCGCGCGCCCGCGCCAGCTCGCACCAGTTGAGCTCCAGATGGCCGGCACATCCGCTCAGCTCGCGCCGCCCGCTCTGCCGGAGCTCCGCTGAGCTGCCCGGAGCGCTGCGGCGTGCCTGTCGGGGCTCTACGCGTGCTTCCAGGCTGTGCGCGCCGCTGCTTTGCGACCTGCCTGGGGCCCATAGCTAACCCAAGCCGCTGCCAGATCGATGACATTACCGACCTCGCGCGCGTGACGCGCACCTCGCGCCTGCTCTACTACATGGCCCTGCCCCGCCTCTACGAGAAAGTCGTCTTGCGATCGTACAGCGAGCTGCGCTACATGGACAATGGCCGCCCGGAAGGATACGGAAGCGGGAGCCCCTTCGCCATGGGTCTCAATGGACTCGTCACCAAGAACATCGCCCAGTACGTGCGCAGCTGGCGCCTGGTCGGCGATTGGCGGGAGAGCGACCTCGACGACTTCTCCAGAGGGCGCGTGCCCGACAACTCGATGATGCTGAATATCGCCGTTCGCGCCGGCATGGATAGGATGCAGAGATTACAAGATTTTGCGTAGGTTTTACCCCGGGCGAGGTTGGTGGTTGGTTGCATGCTGACGGGTATCTGCAGCTGGGAGCTCAACACCAAACCGCTCCAGACGATATACCAGGGTCTGCAGGCGTGCGGCACCCTGCAATCCCTGACTCTGAAATTTCCGAGCACCCGCATTCCTCGTCCGACCGTCGTGATACCACCGCTCCCTAATCTCCGCGAGTTCAAGGCCCTTGAGATCGATCCTCTTTGTTACCCCGACGACATATCTGTTCTGCTTGCGCATTCAAAAAAGCTGGAAGCATTACATTTACATTTCAGTCCCCGGATGCGGGATGCGGGCGAGGAAAGCACCAATCTCAGCGCCTATTTCGGACGTTGCATAGCGAACAAGCAGCCTCTCAAGCTCAAGCGATACTCGATGATCAACATCTACACCCGCGCCACCAACATCGACCTGGATGCGCTGATTGATGTCGACACACTGGAAGAAATATCCTTCATCAACTGCAACACCCAAGACGCCATCACTGTCTTCATCGACGACACCTGGCGGTTATTCGAACCGCAAAAGATACCGAAGCACCTGAAGGTCATGCGCGGCGACGTGCTCGACGCCAAACAAGCGACCGTCATGGCGCAACTCCAAGGCCTCGAGTGCCTATACATCGTCAACGCCAGGCGGAAACCCGCGCGCACAACCCCCAACGGCGTCTCGCCCGCGTCCAACGGCAACAACAACGTCTTCGGCATACCGGACGGGGGCGCCGGCACGTCGCAATCGCCGTTCGGCACGACGGGCAACGGGCAGCCGGACACGCCGATGAGCCGGGAGAGCGCGACGATCGCGGGCGACTACCTGGCGGCCATCACGCGGCACCTGGGGCGGACGCTGCGGCACCTGCTGCTGAGCGACCAGTGGCTGCTGGGCGGCGACGTGCTGATGCAGCTGGGGCGGGCGTGCCCGCGGCTGGAGCAGCTGGGCGTGGCGCTCGAGGAGAAGAACCCGGACAACATGCGGCAGCTGCTGCGGCAGTTGCCGCGCCTGTGGGCGCTGCGCATCCTCATCCGCGCGACGACGCAGGAGCTCGAGCTCATGCAGAGCATCTCGGGCAACCTGCACGAGCAGGTCATCTCGTTCGAGCTGCGCCGCCGCGAGTGGGACCACCTCAAGTGGCTGGGCATCGGCGACATGGTGTTCCAGTGCGGCGGCGTGAGGGAGGTGCCGGGCGGTGCGGCGGCGAACACGCCCAAGAGCCCGATCGATCCGACGATGGGGGAGGAGCTGGGCGTCAGGAGGGTCGTGAAGAAGGTGGATAAGGAGGCGGTGAAGGATGTGGAGATTTGGAAGATGGACAGCTTGGATGTGATATAAAGTGGTGGTGGTCCTGGTGGTGGGGGCTTTCTTCTCTGATGATTTGATGACCGCGGCGGAAACAGGGGGAAGTGGATTGGTGCATACTCGGATGGGGTGATTGGAGTGGTTGGGCTGGGTAGAGTAGGAAGGAGGTTTGCGCATACCCCCTACATTTGGCGGTGTACTGGCGTTTTCTTTCCCTTTTTTTGATTGCAGTCCATGGATCTCAAAAGTTCAATCCTTCTTGTCGTCTTGGACCCCGCTGTTTTTTTCCTTTTCCTGTCATATCGCTTTTTTTATTGATTGATTTTCTCCCTTCATTTCTTGGAAGAGCACCGCATTTTTGGTTTGGCTTTGCATGTACATGGGAAACCAGAGATTGGACCGGCCCATTCTTGATTTTTTATGGTCGGCTTTTCTTTGAACATAATATGTAGATATACTTTCTGGGCTTCCTTCTCGGCCACGGCGGTAGCATGAGAAGAACCCTGTGCAAACGGCGCAAAATGAGACTCGACTCTTCATTTCTCTTTCATACTTCCATTTGCACTGCATTGGGGGCGTCGCGTGAGGAAGGCTTGGTCAGGTTAAGAACTGTCAAGCGGTTCAAGGCAGGGAAGGAAGTCGGAAGCTGAGTGAGTGTACTGTGTTGTGCCTTACCTAAACAAGAGTGAAGGTAAGGTGGTGTGGAGAAAGCGTTGTTGCCTGCAGGTTGCTATTCCGAATCAGTAAGGTAACACAAGGCCATCTTCGAGGGTGGCGAAGCGCATGCAGCCCCGTTCTAAATGGGGGGAATAATGCCGCGGCGTTTGTTTCACGGAGGCTCCAGGCAGAAACCTGCGCCGCATTCGTAGATAAGAATGACGTACCAATCTTTACTGATATCTTATTTCACATCCTTGTCAGCTCATGAATGTTTTGTATAGCCCTCGTCTCATCTCAGATGCGCCAAACATCCGCATTCTTAATGTCATGGACTTTATCCTCGTTGTGCTGCTCTTTGACACATTCGATCAACGCATAGACATTATTTGACCAACGGTCACGCACCAATGATTCACCACCCTTCAGTGGAGAAGCAAACGAGAGCTGGCGGAAGGTTATACTGGGCGAGTCTGTCGGACAAGTAACCACTCTATCTACTATTGCGATCCGGCTTGCTGGTTCAATACAAGCGGGAACAGCCGTTGCCATATTGGCTTCGGTTTCTCTTGAGCCTGCAAACAGAACTCGAGACGGCGTGCTCCTCGTGCATATTGCGAGCTACTCACTCATGCGCCACTGCAATACCGACCCGATCACATCTCTTTGGCCATTCTGGAAGAACCTCGAGTGGCAAAAAGGTACAAGTAGGTTTGAATCGGAACTTTGAGTTGACTACGAAAGTCAAAGCTATCCAGGCAGTGTGGTTTATATACATGTGGGAAAGTCCATACAATTTGGGGATCAGAGAGCGTGGTGCGATCAGTCGGCCTTGGCAACTGATCGAGTGGTGTTGACTGAGCGGGTGGCCCAACCGCGGTATCGTAACAGCCCCCAATGGTATGGCCTGTGAGATAAGCGCTGGCGTGGTTGATCCTTAGCTTGCTCACCCTGAGGAGGTTGCGCTGTGAATTGTCTTCCTCCATTAGTATTATCACTCTATCTCGAATGAGTGTACGTGACGGTAACGCCAAAGAAACTCTTTCAGGTGTTGCTGGATGAGAAGGAAGTGCCATAGTGGAGATGCGACTGCTCGGAATAATGAGGCTGACGTATTCCGACGCCCGAATCGCGTCACCCCGGCCAGGCGTTTAGACGTAGGGAACAGCTTTGGATGACAAACCAATTTGACTCTTCTAATTGCTGTCTAGAATTTCTTGGATTTGATCGATTAGATCTGAGGCTCCTACGCGGTAGGAGCTCCTCAATGATGTCGTGTTGATGTTTCTGATATCGGGTGGTGTTTCGTTTCGGGTATGGCTTGCTGTCGCTTACCTACCTAGCCGCTCCAACCTCTCTATAAATTCACCCAGCTTGCCCACTCACCTCCACTTTCATACACTTGGGGCGCTGTGTTTGGATTTCATACGAATCCTCGTTTACATCACATGAGCCACCACTGCCTTGCTATGCTTCCAGCTCATATTGAATGAAACGCCATGGCAACCAACGCCCGCCTCAACGCCATCATCCGACCGCTCCAGCTCATTTGGCTCTCCATCCAATGCAATTCTCCCTCCTCATCCTCATTCTCACCTATACCGGCATACTTATTTCCAAGATAGTGCACTACGATGCGTTCAAAAAAGCCCTCCGCAAAGACGGCCTCGCCTCACTTACACAAATCCAACGAATTCGAGATGTCGCCACAGCGAAACTCTTCATCACACACTGTACCACCCCTGTCTTCACCCCCAACTCCCCGCATACCAACCATCGTGCACAGCCGACGGCTTCATCGCCTTCGAAGACACCACTTGTGTGCCCTCCCTTGTCCTCGCCGCTCAAGGCAAAATCCTCGAGCTCGGCCCTGGACCAGGAAATCAGATCCAGCGCTACGACCCAGCCCTCGTAGACTTCATATACGCCGTTGACCCCAATCCCTACTACGGAGACCACATCGCCGCAAAGCTCAAGAGACTTGATCTCCAGGATAAGTACAAGCTCCTAGCGTGTGGCATTGAAGACAGCGACGTTTTGAGAAAGGAGGGGGTTGTAGAGGGGAGTATGGATACTGTACTGAGTATCCAGGTCTTGTGCTCGGTGAAGGATGTCAAGAGTGTGATGAGGGAGGTGTGGAAGTTGTTGAGGCCGGGATGCAGCTTTGTGTTTTGGGAGCACGAGAGGAATAAGGATGCTGCTATGGCTGTGGCCCAAAGTATGTGCGGGTTACTTTCGAAGCTGTACGAAGTTGCTGACATGAGAATAGCTTGTTTGAATCCTGCTTGGAGTGCGTTCGTCGGGTGCTCTATGAATCGGGAGATCAAGGCGGAAATCCTTGCTGCTGGGGAATGGGAGAACCCCGATGGTATTGAGGTGGCCGATGATCTAAATACCTGCTTGCCTAGGATCTGGGGCGTGCTCAAAAAGAAGGCTTGATTGGAGATCGGTCTGATTTCATGCAGCCGCCCACCGTCGCTGGAACCCCTCAATCAGCCGCTTCTCGAACCATTGCAGCAGCGCGCCCCCGACACCACCATCCGCCTGCACCTTGATCGAGCAGACTTTCTTCGCCAGCGTCCAGCCAAAGATGAGCGCCCACAACCGTTCGAGGAGGCTGAGGTTCATGGGTGCTTCTAAGAAAAGAATGCAGAAGATTTCCACCTGTTCTATTACTCTGAAATCTTCGATGACCAAGTCATCACTGCACCCTCACACGTATGAGGTGGCAAGTGACTTTCCTAAGCCTTTGAAACTCATATAGTTAACTCGAGAGCTTTTCGGACCCAGCCCCGAATCAAGAGAAGCCGAGCGTTGGGAAGAGAAGAGGGCAGCAGCGACGATGCCGGCGACGTTGAGGGGGAAGAAGATGTAATTTCCTGTGAGGAGGGTGTTCATCGAGACGTTAGTAGGTTAGGTTAAGGTTTTCCCCTTCCGGGCGGCGCTTGGCCTTAGCGTTCATGACGGAGGTGCATTTCGCGGGCTGTGGGGTCCCCGCACTCGAGCTTCCGTGGAGTGTTACCCGGGATTGTGACGAACGTGGCTCCTCGATTAGCACTCACCGGGCAATCATCTCCAGGGTTTTATACAACGTCCAACCGGCTTTCAAGCGGAACAGCATTTGCACTGACTGGCATATAAAATTGCAGCTACGTGGGCTGGAGGTGATATCGCAGCAGTGATGTTCTCGGTCGTCACCCAGTATGCTCACAATTTTGGCGAGGTATGTATTTCAAAAGACGCGTCATGGCATCTGGTTGATCTAAGGTAGCAATACTGAGTCTTCTACTGACCTTGAGGGAAAGAGGCGACAGTAACTCGCAACTGACCTCGAGCATGACAGCGAACTCAAACAGTGAGGAAACAATATCAAAGCCAATTAAGTCATCTCCTGAATGCGTTTCTCATTAAGCCCAGTCATTACATTACCCCGAAATCAAGACTCGCCCCGGCATGATCAAAGCAGAAGCACCCCGTACACCGCGCACATCACCAGCGCCACGCCCTCCATCAGCACTCCCCAGCTACTTCCAACCTTTCCGACAACCGCGGCAGCACTATCCGACTGGGTTGCCGAAGCAGCACCACCCGACGCCGTCCCCGTACCAGATACCGTCTCCTCACTCCCACCCCCACTCGTCCGACTCGCAGAGCTCTTCCCCGACGACGTCTTCGACCCCGTCTTGGACGCGCCCAGCCCGCTCAAAATCAACCCACCCAATCCAGTCGTCTCCGTCGCCACACCCGTCCCCGTCAACGCCACCGTCCTGCTCCCGCTCCCGCTCCCGCTCCCGCTCCCGCTCCCGCCAGCTCCCTCCACCACCACCGTCCCGCCCTCGGCATCCGTCGTCAACACCACCGTCGACCCGTCCACCACATTCGTCCCGGACGTCAACACCGTCCCATCAACAACATACCCAGACACCGTCCCTTCCCCGACCGTGACCACCTCCTGCCCCCCCGCCAACGTCGCCACCGCCGTCACAGAAGCAGCAGCAGCAGCACTCTCATCAGACCCCGTGGGAATCGCCACCGTGCTCCCACCACCAACAATCACACTCTCCCCCGCCGCATCCGTCGTCAACGTCACAACAACACCCGATGCCGTCCCCGTCCCCGTCGCGACGGTATTCCCGCCCGCCGACAGCGTCGTCGTCCGCCCCTCGCCATCAACCACAACCACCTGCCCCGCGCCATCCACCGACGCCGTGACCTGCCCGCCGCCGCCAGGCAGGACGATCGCCGTCTCGCTCGCCGACGCAGCAGCGGTCGGCAGCGCCGCCGTGCTCCCATCAGCAACGACGACCGTGCTGCCAGCCGCGTCGGTAGTCAGGACCACCGTCGCCGTGCTGCTGCTACCACCGCTGCCGCCATCGCCCCCGCCGACGACCACAGTGTTCGAACCAGGCTGCAGCGTCTGGCTACCGCCCACGACGACGACCTGCGACCCGGACGAGCCCTGCACGACGGAGGCCGTCGCGCCGTTGGGGAGCGTGACTGCGATGGGCGTCGGAGCAGTGGCGGCGGCGGCGGACGTCGGTTGCTGCACCGGCACGACGGCGAGGCCGCCGCCGCTGTTCGTCGCCGCCGTCTGCGCCGCCGCGTCCGAACCCCCAGTGGACGCCTGCACGGGCACGGGGACGACGACGGTGACGGAGCCGACGGTGGCGGTCTGGCCGGCGGGGATGGTCTGGGAGCCGATGACGAGGGCGGTGATGGACGACGTCGTTTGCCCTTGGCCACCACCTTGGGCGCTGCCGCCGGCGCCGCTCGCCGGGATGACGGCGGTCGCCGGGATGACGGTCGAGGCGATGGGGTGCGTCTGGCCGCCGATGACGACGGCGGGGGCGGACGTGGGCGAGCCGGCGGCGTCGGTGGTGGGGACGTTGACGGTCTCGAAGGTCGAGGGGGGTTGGCCGGTGGCCGGCTCTTGGGCGCTGGGCGTCGGCGATTGGCCGGCGGCGCCGCTGGCGTCGTTGGTCGCGGTCGCGGTCGGGTCACTAGGGCCGGCGGCCGGGGGGGACGCGGGGTTGGACTCGGGAGGGGGGGCGGCTGTGTCGATGGTTTCGGGGGGACTGGCTTCGTTGGTGGTGGGCTGTTGGGTTGCTGGAGGGAGGGCCGTGTTGGGGGGAGGACTGTCTTCGCTGGTGGTTTGTTGGATTCCTGAGGGGAGGGCCGTGTTGGGGGGAGGAGCCTCAGCCGTCGGTGAGGGGGAGGGTTGCTTGGTGGTCTCCTGTGCGGGGCGGCTGGTTTCGGCGGGTGGTTGTGTTGGCGAAGTGGTCTTTTCCGTCTTGGGGGAAGTGGTTGGCTTTGGTTCGGTGGTCGGTTTTGGTTCAGTTGTTGGAGAATCGTCGCTGTCGTCAAACGAAGTGGACGTCTCTGTAATGAACGAAGCGGTCATCAGAGCCTCGGCAGGGGCGGGATACTTCAGAGTGGTGCACGACAGGTATGCTCCGTCCGTCTCGATCGACTTCGGCCAGAGTATGGTATCGTTCTTGACCAGCGTGTAGCTATGGAACAGTCAGCGTCAGCATGCCAAAAGTGTCGCAGAGTCCTTACAGGAAGCCATAAGGGTCGCCAGAGTCCACCGAGGGTACGGTGCGCTGAAATGTGTCGCCGTATAGGACAGTGGCAAACACCGAAGTCACGTAGGAACTAGTCTGCGTCGCTGTAGGAACATACGAGTAGTCGAAGTCGGTAGAAATGGCGAGCGAACCGTTGTCGTAGGTTTCGGTTTTGTATTCAGTCCTCACTTTGGACTTAGATGACACGGTGATTGTCCTGGTGGTCGACACTTTACCAGTTACAGTCGAGCATACAGACTCGCTTTTCTCGTCCAAAGTAGGCAGTGTCCCTGACCAGTAGTATCCTGAATCCCAGCTCAGGTATGGGGTGGGATAGGCAAGGGTTGTGGACAGGGTCCCGAAGGTCGTCACTGTTGCCTGCGTCCCTGCAGCATCTGTCGGCGGCAATGTGTAACCCTCGGGGAGGTCTGCGTACACAATCCTTGTCGAAGTTGTGTTTGTCTTCCTGTTGATGATGATGTATTTGGTCGCCGCCGTCAGTGTTGTTGAGACGTATAGCTTGCTCCAGTACCAATCTTCACAGAACGGTATCTGGAGCAAGCACTCGGCAGAGCAGCTTCCATTTCCTCCAGGACTTGTAGGGCTGGGTGTGATTTGTGGGGTTGCTGTGGCGTTCAGATAATATGCTGGTACCATCTCAAATCAGCCTACGTTGGCAGTGAGTAGTTGTTGTGGGCTTACCGGAAGTGCTAGCTGCAGATGCTAGGCACGGGAGAGCAGACAGTAACAATAACGGCAACATGACGGCGAGGGTCGAAATCCGGTCAAAACTGCGCGGGAACGACTGTTCAAGATGGCACGACGACTGAGTGAGCGACAGTCAGAAGAAGGACGATGCGTTTCCTTGATGTATATGTCAGTCGTGGCGTAGAATTAGGCTCCAGTTGCAAGCGTAACGTCCGCAAGGGCCGGTTGAAGAACGCAGCTCGCTTGCATCGACGAAGACTAGAAGGAGGGGTTTATTGATTGCTACATTATTTTACCCGCATTTCCTGGAAAACATCAGGCACCCAACGCGACAGCTGGGATCGACAACGAATCGATCGGGGTCCAGAGTCGTACCTGGTAGAAGGGCCGGTGTCGATTGGTGGAGCTAGCACCGGTTTCCGTATCAGCCGCCGAAGCTGAAAGTCCGTAAGCACAGTCCTTACCGTTAGCAGTTAGTCTTCACGAATGAGCTGCGCCAAGTGTGCAACGCATTTGCTTGGTGTGGGGTCCAAAAAACTCAGCAGTGCCGGATTCTCCGCGTTGGACAGCAATTCAATCAGAGAGTTGAAGCTTGCATCTCACATCTTGATTATGAGGGACGGCCAGGCGAGAAATGCAGCCGCGTGAAACGATGAAAGAGAGCATCAGCCGCCTTCACACATGGCTCGACCTTACCGCAAACTCACCGAGACACACTCCAGAGCTCCCATGTTCCTGGAGTCAATATCCCCGTTACTCCAATCAGAGAGCGGGTTGCATGCGTGGCCCCATTCCTATACTGCACACGCCAATTTGTGATGCTGAATCCTTCCGTAAAGATGCCGCTACTTTGCCTTCGGGGTGTCACCGTGGCATGTACCAGGATGATGCAGGTAGTGTGAAGCAGCCCAAAGACCAATCGCCAAACAGGCACTGTTGGTTCGAGGTACCGTGTGCAACCACGTCATGCGACGGGAACGTCACACGTCTCACTCTTCCTGAGGCAAGGGAATTCCAGAGACCGCAGCCGTGGAAGCCGAGATGATCATGCTGACCAGGTCAGTCTTGTTCCGAAGACTTTGTTGGCCACGGAGACTGCAATGGAAATTTTCTAACGGGTCTTTGAGTCGGGGATCCGTCAGGTCTACTAAAATCCATTGGTGTGAGCTCTCCCCGTTTGGTGCCCTACAGACGCTACCCGGCGAATCTGGCACTGAGTTAAAAGTTGAGCCGACAACGCCTTGATTCCAGCTATCCGTGAGTCTTCTCCACATGCTTGGTTCGTTCTCGTTTCTCACCGGGTTGTTGATGAATATACTAACAAAAAAAGAGCCGGCTCTTAGCAGCTGTCCAACAGGAACTATGTTGCCATTTGTGTCTCCGTCGGACGGAGGCTCTTCCTTCTTCCCACCTTCTCCGAAGCATAACAAAGATTTCCATCAGAGCACTCACAGCTTAACCCAACACTCCACCAACGTGTAGTTACCATGGCAGTTCCGTCCTATCGAATTGGAGAAAGCGGCCATTCGGGCTGTTACGCTTAGCATTGTCGATCTGTTCACCAAACTCAGACCAAACCCCTGTCCCCAGAAGACATGTTTGTCGATGGAGGATGGATTGGCGGTTGCCCTCGGTTGGGATGAGAGAAAGGGAGTCTAAATCTACGCGGGTGAGAGCATGGTACGTCTTATGTGAGATCTACTGCACAATGCATCACGCGGGCTCCGGGCCCCCCGACCTGAATCACGGTACATACAAATAAGTGGGCGTCTTACGGGGAAATCTTTGCTTTTGCGAAGGTTTCCAAGAATTTCGACGCTTGTAGATGCATGGAATCCAACCATTGCCGACATACGTGCCCATCTGCATGCAAAATTATTGGCGTTTACGACATCAGGCTCACCTGCCATTGAGGCTGTTGCGGTAGTAGTAAAAATCGAAAACCTTGATCCCACAGTCCAGCATGTCTTATCTGTTCGATGGTGCGAAGTTTAAGACCAACACAACCGGTTGTGTAAGAGGGACTCGCTATGTAAAGAGTACCCCATCGTGAACACAATCAATGAGGAGGAAGAAGAAGAAGAAGAAGAAGAAGAAAAGAGCCCATTACTCTGTCCATCTCGAAGGCCCGTCTAAGAATAACCGAGCTCGTCATGTAACATGGTACATCGGTTGTTTGCGCAAGGCAATCCCCTCTCCCACGAGCGGCAGCGCACATAGTAGCATCTGTCGCCGAAATGCTCACATGATGTACAAGGAAAGCTGCCATCACAGGCCCATGCCCGACCAAGATTATGACACTTGTGACAGGCGAGTTTTCGATGTCGCTGGCCCTCCTTGTAGCCGTCATTGCTCGGCGGGAAAAGGTCGTGAGTGCGTGCATCAGCAAGAGTAGCATTGCCCATACGGTCATCCGTGTTTCCAGTACGAGAAAGTGGCTTCTGTGCCAGTTCAGAGCGCTCTACCTTGTGTCCGCCAAGCTTGATGTTGCCGGCCAATGAGCTGGGGTAGGACGCATGGGATGGAAGAGTTATCCGCGGCTTTGCGTTGACAGAGTCAACCGGAGCATCGCTGCGAGGGTGACGAGCAGATTCAGCAACCGGACGGCGTATAGCTAGAGGAGTACAGTTCCTAGATTCACGAATCGGAAGGTCGGGAGAATTGCGAATTGGCGACCTGCTGCGATGGCGGTCGTAGGGTCGCTCTGGCAAACGCGGTGCAACGCCGGGCTGGTGATTGGGTAATACGGGGTGCCGCTCAGCGCCATAGCCGATGGGACGTGTAGGTACTGCCTTGTCAAAGATCTTTTGGCTGGTAGGCTGGCCATCGTTTGGGCGAGTTTCAGTAGGGTTAAGCTCCTGCTTGATCCGATCCTTGTCCGCCTGTCTCTCCGTCCTTCTCTGTTCAAGCACCTGCTTTTTGAGCTTCTCCAATTGGTTCTGAAGATCCTTTATGTACTGTTTCTGCTGTTCAACTTGCGTGGTCTGCTGCCTGATCTGCGCGGCCTGTTGCTCAATCTGCTTGCCCTGCTGCGTGGTTCGCGTCGTCAGCTTCTCATTCCGCGCGGCCAGCTGTTCGTTTTGTGTGGTCTTTTGTTCGAGAAGGGCGGCCTGCTTCGCAGTCGACGTGGTCCATTGCTCGTCCTGTGTGGTCTTTTGCTCAATCTGTGTGTTCTGTTGCTCAATCTGTGTGTTCTGTCGCTCGATCTGTGTGGCCTGCTGCTGAACCTGCGAACTCAACTGCTCAATCACAGTGCTCGCCGGCGCGATCGTCTCCAATATCCATCGAAGGTTGCGGTTCTCCGCCTCGAGATCCTTGACGCGTTTCTGAAGCTGACTCTCCACGTCCGGTATCTGCTCGCTGGACTTCTCAAGCTCCTCGTATGCCGACATGTAATGAACCAGATCCGCTCTCAGACGTTTCAGTTCCTCGTCTTGTCTGTCAATGGCGTTCTTCAAGTTCATGACGCTGATGTGCTGTCGTGGGTCGTCACGTGAGATGTTCGCGCGGTTGATCATGACTTCGGCGAGCCTCCATATTTCGGATCCGGAAGTGGAAGCGGGTGTGGGGTCTTGGCCGTCGGTGATCATGGCATCGGTGACGGCGACGTGTGCTGGCTGGACGGCAGAAGTGGTGGTGGGCGGGCCAACTGTGTCGGCAAAGGAGGGAAGGCGCGTTCGCGCTGCAGAGAAGCGACGCTCCAGTCGCGTTCCTTCCAGGTGGGTTGGCTCAGCTGTGCGCTGTTCTCGATTGCGGTGGTGCTTTTGTTCTGGACGACCATGTTGTCCACGCTCTCCGGCAGGAGCTGTTGAGCAGAGTCTGATATTACCGTTTGTCCTTCGGAGATTTCCAGATGCGGGTGACTTACATGACGTGGCAGGCATGGTCGCGGGTGCTCCGGGTCGTATGTTGTTTGGGTTTGGAGGAAGGTCTGCGCGCGAAGTGCGTTTTATGCTTCAGTAGGCGCGTCTGAGCAAACAGATCACGGGTGGCTACTGCACACATGCAGCTCCGGGGTCCAAGTCTGCCTTTTCAAGGCACCTAGCCTTGGACTAAAGCCACAAGTGATTAACCTTCCACTGTTCTGTCTTCTCATTAACTTTCGCGCCGAGGTCATTCGTTTCGATCACCTCGTACTAACGGGGCCAGGTTTCAACCCTAGACCAAGAGCCTTGGCTCATCATGTAAGAGTTGAAAGCGCTGAAATATTCAAAGACTGTACGTGTTTCAACTGCGGCCCAAAGCCCTCCCGAGATCATTTACGAAAGCTGAAAACAAACTTGCAAACTTCATACGCTTTGGAGAACAAATAGCAGGATGCTGCCCTGTGCTTGCTTGCACCAAACGCAAACAATATACCTTCGAAACCAAAAACATGGAAATAACGCCTTGCCAAGACTATGGATTCATCGCAAACAATCAGAACGCAGAAAGAGTGTGTGTACCAGCAGAAGGTCACTTCGCCGGATGCCCATTCTCCTTCACGCGCTCGGCAGCCGCCTCGGGGTTTAGCGGCTTCTTCGGGTCGTATCCTACCGCTTTCACGATTCCAAGGCCTTTTGTCCTTCCCTCTCGGAACAATATCCGCTCACCGACCGTGAGGTACTCAGGACGCTGTACAAAGCGGAATGCTACCGTCGCACGATCACCGGTTCGTATGTACGAGCGATCAATGTCGATGATGGCGCAGGTCTGCGAGACGGGGCCGACATGAAGCATGGCCTGGTACTTGGTCTTGATGGTCGTTGCATGCGAGAGGATAAGAACTTCGGCAATGAACTCGCGGTACACCTTCGGTGGAGGGGCGGCAGGGTCGACACGTGGTAAGACGACCATGCCTTTTCGAACATCCTTCCGCCGTACGTTACGAAGGGCTAGTGACGCGGACTGACCAGCTGCGCAACCGGGAACTGGTATCCGTTTGCGCTCGATAGAGCGCACTTTGGTCGTTATGAACTGGCCCAGAGAGTCGGGCCCAACCAGTACCGTGTCGCCAGAATGCAGGATCCCACTCTTTACAACTCCCGAGACAACAGTGCCGACGAAGGGAACCGAGAAGGTGTCGTTGACATGGAACTCAAAGGGCGCATCCGGATCGTAGTTTCCATGGTGAGGAAGGATGTTCAAGAACGTGCGGACCAAATCCACACACTCGCCAGTCACATTGGACACCTGGAAGATGGGGCATATCCGCCTGCTGACAAACTGGGCCGCAGTGTTTATGCAAGTCTCCCGATCCTTAATGAAGATGGGTATTTTTCTCGCTCCAGGAGACTTGAGAATTTTCGTCAACTGCGTGATGGTCTCCTGCAGGATATTCGGCGGGCAGATATCGATTTTCGTTATGATGACCATGATCGGCACGTTAAGAGCCACAGCAATACCGAGATGCTCTCTTGAAAACCCAACATTAGTTTATGAAGTGGAACCGGCGTGCGGGATGCTTACTTGCTCATGCCAACCAGTCCGTTGTTGGCAGCAACCATCAGCAAGCAATAGTTCGGCTCGCTGGAAAGCATGCCGAAGACCGTGGTCCTCAAGTACCTCTCGTGCCCTGCCAAATCAGTGAAGCTAATCACTTTGGCCTGCTAAGTGTCAGCTCCCCTGGTACTCCAATGGCTTGACGCAGCACGTACAGATCTCCTACCAATCTCCTCCCACGACAGTTTCCTGCCGGGGACGGTAGACGAAACCACCTCGCCCTTCGTGTCAAACCCCATTATCTCCATTCCCACGGAGCTAGTCCTGCCACTCTCGATTTCGTGCTTGTGGCGGAAGAGGTTGACACGCATCTTTCCACGGCCATCGTCCAAGCCGCCCTTGACCAAGACGCCCAGCATGGTGGATTTCCCCGCATCGACATTCCCAACCACCGCTATCCGCATCTCGATGACGTCTTCGACCGAGTCGGGCTTTTTCCGCACAATCAGCTTCCCAGAGACACTGGTGTTTTTGGCGCCGGGCTCGACGTCGACCTCGCCACCGACATTGCGCGTCATCAGCACGCGGAAGTCGGCATTGACGTCGGCCACGGCCTTCTCGAGGCGCGCGAGAGCAAAGTCCCAGTTCGCCTTGGAGAAGCCCATGGCGTCGCCGTTGTCTTCCAGGCCGAGATCGAACAGCGCCTCTCCGTGGCCCTCGAGCAGTCGGGCGTTCAGGTGGTTGGCGAGCGCGGCGACGCTCTCGTCGGCGGTGTCGCCATTGTCGAGAAGGATGTGCTTGAGGCGCACGGCGGCGCCCGACTCGTCGTCGAGGCCGAGCTGGTCGATGATGTCCAGCTCGTCGTGCTCTTCGGTCACGGCGGGATCGGCGGCGAGCGGCTTGCCGCGGCGGGATTGCTGCTTCTGGACATATTCGGCGAAGTCACTGAGGGCCTGTGTGTGCGGGCGCGGGGTGCAGCAAGTCAGCGCGGTGGTCTCGGGGGAGAAGGCAAGATGGAGGGTGGTGGTGGCGCACCGACTCGCCCCTCCGGCGATCCTGGGTAGGAAGCTGCTGCTTCTCGTGGCGGGTGGTTGGCATGTTTATAAAGCTATTGCGTCCAAGCGTCGTATTATTCGCGCGGCTATCAGAACAGACCAAGCAAAGTCCATAGAAGAGCGGTTCCTGGTTGCGGTCATTGAAGGAATAAGCTGGGTTGAAGTGTGGTAGGCCGCGCGAGAGCTGCCAAGTGTGGAGCAGGGAGCTCTCGCGGCTCAGACCGCCTTTATATCGATAAAAGCTCTCGTATGACGCATCGTCTGGACACCTCAAGTGCCAGGCACAGCCACCGCGTTGACTCAATTCCGCGGTGTGACCAAGAAGCCACAGGCTTCCAGGCAACAGCCAGCGCTCCACAGTCTCCGCATCTGCTGCACCGCCCCGTTGCTCGCGCGCGCAGTTGCAAGAGCCGCACCTCGACGCATTGGCCAATCTTTGACGAGCCGGCCACGAAATTCTGCCTCGCACTGCACGTGTGCGCGCGCGTCGCTGACGCGACTTCCTTCGTACGCGACTACAACCTTTCTCTGCCGCCACTTCCAGTCATCCTGCAGTCGAGGAGAAAAATACAACCACCAAGATGGCCGAGCAGACTCCCCGTATCACGGCAGACTACCTCGAGAAGTTCACCCATCGCACCGTACGCATCCTCGGCAAGGTGACGCAGCTGCGCGGCGAGCAGGCCACCATCGACGCCGGCGGGTCCATCAACCTGCACCTGAACCGCGTAAGTCTGCCTGGTCGGGCTGCGCCTCCTTTTGTGACTCTGTGCGCTAACATTGGCCATCATTCTGTTCCCTGACCCAGGACTCCCATCTGACATTGAACAATGCCGTCGAGGTCATTGGCAAGGTCAACAGTGACTTGAGCGTGCGCGTTCTCACGTCCACTGACTTCGGCTCCAATATCGGTATGTGCCCACGCCTCTTCCATCTTTCTCTTTCATCGCACCATTTTCTTTCCTCTATCTCTCTCCTCTCTTGTTCTGCTTTACCGTTCCGTCCGCATCCTCTGGTTTCCTCGGCATCAGCCTGGTGCTCGATGCTTCGCGCACGGCCTTGTCATGACCCGGCAATGTGGCTGATAATTGTACCCCACAACAGACTTCACTGCCGCCGAGGCAGTCGTCGATGCGACGCATCGCTACAAGGAAATTTTCTACACCGAAGACTGAGGGAACGGACGAGGGTCAGATCCAAAAAGAAATCAAATAAAGAAACTTTCACGCAAGAGACATTACCTTTCGGAGGGCTTTGGCCCAATACAAGTCATCAGTGTCCACTCCGACACAAGCAGCGAAATTTGCAACATTACACAAAGAGACACGAAAAGAATGTGCCAAAACATCAACAAGTCTATTACTCAGAATTGCTCTACGCTAAGTGTATGTATAGTCTTCGACGCCATGCATGATATGTATGAATACGCTTCAAGGAGTTCCCGACCAGCCGTTTGACCCATCCAAACCCATCCAAGCTAACCTAAAGACGAACGCGGAAAACCTCCAATGCCACTGTACAAGCAATTAACGCCAAGTCAGATTACGTAGTTCTCCCTAGTCCATGCAGCTTCGATGCTACAGCAAAAGCAGCCTTCCTTAATGTACGCCGTCAAGCAAGCTTTCCTCAAAGCTTGCTCTTCACAACCTCCAGCCGGAACTTGATATCTTTCAACGGCTTCGTCGTCGGTTTCCAGCTCTCGAACATAGCCAGCAGCCCCTCAACCTCGTTGCTAAGCTCCCTTCTCACGAAGTCCTCCTCGAGCAAGCCCCGCATCGCCCAGGGTAGGAAGTACGGATTGCTTCCCGTAGACCCAGTGCCCTCGTACTCTTTGATCTGCAGGCCAGGGTTCATGGCACCAGGCAGAGATGTGGTTTCCAGCGCGTGCTGGACGGCCAAGCTGTAGACGTTGACGTCGTTGTAGAGGCGGCTGTGGCCTTCGCCACCGTACAGCGACCCAGCGAGCGCAGGTGAAAGCTCACGGATGAGACCATGGTCTGGGAGACCGAGATTGCGCAGTTTGAGAGCGAACCCGACGAGGTGAACGATACTGATGTCTTGTCAGCAACTTGGAGCAAATGGGACAAGGTATGGGACGTACAAATCCGGTGCATGAATGCGGCCGTCCACGAACACGGCGCGATAGATATAGGGATGAGAAATGTTGGAGAAGATGGAAGACTGGAGAATGGGCAGATCAGTGTTCGTCCTTCTTGTCGATGTTTCAAGTCAATCTCACCTCCAGTGATACCAATTGGTCGTCGATACTGCCGACATACATGATCCTCACGCCGTAGTTCAAGACCACCCGTAAAGCACCTTGGTATTTCTGACTGACCAAGCTGTCCGGCCTCGAGAATTCAAAAAGCTCACCGGCAGACCCTCCGAAGAATCGACTGCGGTATTCCGGAAATGGACCAAGATTTACGCCCGCCATGGCACAGACGCCAATCCTGGCTGCATTGACAAAGCCGAACTGGATGAGCTTCGCAACAAGCATTATCGCAACGGGGACGCCCTGGGAGTGGCAAGCCACAAGAATAAAGTCCGCAGTCTTGACATGTTCAATCCAGTTGACGAGCAGCTTCCACAGCGTATCCACGCGGTCCGCCACGTATCCCTCACCCTCCAGAGCGACCGTTTCTATTTCGCACGAATAACCTTGGCTCTCCGTCCAGCCCTGGATCGCAGATGCAGCGGCGTTTGCAAATCGAATAGAAGTCCCCGTGGGCTGGCCAAGCACTTTCTGCAAAATGGCAGCCGGAAAGTATCCGTGGACACCAATAGCTAGGGCCTTCTTTATCCTCGGAAACTCCTTCGCGCGTTGCAAATGCGGAGACTCCGGTTCATGGCCACCAAGGAAATACTTCCGAACCTTCCCCCAGTAAGAAGGGGTCTGGGGCAGGCGATAAGTGCTCTTAAACTCCGGTAGGAGAAGATTTGGGTTTGCCTGTTCTTGTTGAGGCTGTTTTGCCTTCACACCTTCCTGCGAAGATTTTTTGGCAGGCGCTTCCTGGACGGTTTTCCGGGTCGGGCTTTGGTCTGGTGTAGGCTTTGAAGGGGTTGAGGGAGTTGCGGGAGTAGATGGCCTGCTATCGATTTCACGTCCTTTACCACGACCTCTACGGATTGAGCCGACAATAGATTTGGCTGGCGCCTTCGGCGGTTGCTCTTCCTCACGCTCGTTGAACTGCGCAGCCTCCGGATGAGACTGGGATGGGGTGTCCGCCACAGCCAGTTCACCAATTTGCTTGTGGGTCGACTCGGTATCAGAACACTCATCGTTATGAGGGTTAGCTCGCGACCAAAAGGCCCACCCAGCAGAAGTTTTGGGTATAGATTGGACCGGAGGCTTGGTTTCGTTGGGGGAAGGCTCCTTAGTTTGATCTTGGGTCTCGTCACCGGTCTGGTCCTGTTTAGTGCTATCTTGTTCTCCGCCTTCACTTTGCGTCGTTGCCTCTGGTTGTTGTGGCGTCTCGGCGACTATGTTCGCAGTCTGCTGAGCGCTTTGTGTACTACTCCAGAGCCAGAACCAGCTGCTTTTCGTTGGAGCTGCCTTCTCGTCGACACCTTCTTTTGAAGTGGCCTCGCTCACCGGTGCTTGATCTGAGACTGTGTCTGTTTGAGCGCCACCGTCCTGATTCTGTTGGTCATGCGGATTTGCACTGTCTTCCGTTGGTGTGGTGCTCGGCAGAGGCGTGGACTTCGCATCCTCCATGTCCACGTCACCTTTGTCCGCCCCCTTGTCGTCACCACTCGCGTAGCCATCTGGCCTAGACCACCAGCTGTACAAGCCCTTTGATATCGATGGAATATAAGATGTTAGCCCGGTTGCATTTTGGTCCGACGCCTTCTGTTCTTGTGTCTTTTGCTCCGGTTCCGGCTCCACCCTCTCTGTTGTCATCGCGCCTGTCTTATCATTGTCTTTTGTAGGGTCTGGAGGGAGGGGCGGGTCGATTTCAGCCTCCTTGAGGGCTTCCTTGGGCTCGGAAACCAGACTAGCCTTCGAGTCGCTCGCGAGACTCGACGTGGCAATCACGTTTGTGGTGGATGCGGCCAATGCAGTGCTCTTCGTCGAGGTCCTTCTGTCTAGGAACTTGATTGGGGTTTTGTTGACGCTGTCCGGCTTGCTCACGTCGCTAGAAGAATCAGATGTTACGCCGCCAGCAGCAGATGATATGCTCTCGCGTGCGACTTGAGCGATAGGCGCTGCCTTCGCCCTCCAGCTTCCGCCGGCATACCAGCTACTCCGTGGAGCGACTCCTTTTGGGTTCCCGGGGCTACGAGCGTCGCCACTCTGGCTGGGCTGGTTGTTTGCAGGCTCGGCTGCTTCTGTCGGCTTGTCTGAGTCATTCTTTGTATGTGCATTCGGGGTCTTTGGCGAGGTATCAGGTGTACCGGGTTGTTGAGTGGCGCTCTTGTCGGGCTGGGGTGCCTGGGGGCTCGGCTTGGACTTCTTTCGCGGTCCCATGAGGGCGCGATCTGCAAGACGGTCAAGAAAGGGTAGGCGTCGTTTCGAGTCTTCAGGCATGCGTGAGCTCCGGAGGCAGAAGGCGGCGTGGGCGTGGGGAGAGGGAAATGCAGGCAGAGTTGGGACGGGGATGCGGGCGATGGAGCCCGTGCCAGGCGCAGACGTCACCCGCAGGCTGGGGAACCGGCCTTAGGGCTGGCGCGGGCTAGACTTGCGCGAGTCGTGCGACAGCGACGAGGGTCCGATTTATTTCTGCCACCGCTCACCGCCCGCGCTCTCTGAGACTTTTTGCCTTGCGCCGTCGCGCCCCAGTCCTCGCGACACTCCACTGCCCCATATCCGCCATGGCGATCCAGAAGAAGGTGCGCGCTTCTAGGGCTCTCAACAGGCTTCTGCAATGCTAACAAGTACGTACAGCACGGAAAGGGTCGTCTCGACAAATGGTACAAGCTCGCGAAGGAGAAGGGCTACCGCGCCCGTGCCGCCTTCAAGCTTATCCAGCTCAACAAGAAGTACAACTTCCTTGAAAAGAGCAAGGTCTTGATTGATCTTTGCGCTGCGCCAGGAGTAAATATAGCCTCGTGAAAACCGACAAGCGCCCAATTCGCTAACCCTCTCCCAGTCATGGTGTCAAGTCGCCGCGGAGGTTATGCCTCCGAACAGTCTCATCGTCGGTGTCGATTTAGCCCCAATCAAGGCCATCCCGAGGTGTATCACCTTCCAGAGCGATATCACCACCGACAAGTGCCGTGCCACCCTCCGACAACACTTGAAGACAATGAAGGCCGATGCTGTGCTTCACGACGGTGCCCCCAACGTCGGTACTGCCTGGGTTCAGGATGCCTTCTCCCAGGCCGAGTTGACCCTGCAGTCCATGAAACTCGCAACCGAGTTTCTGCGTGAGGGTGGTACTTTCGTCACCAAGGTCTTCCGCTCCAAGGATTACAATTCCCTGCTTTGGGTCTTCAACCAGCTTTTCACCAAGGTCGAAGCCACCAAGCCCCCGTCGTCCCGTAATGTCTCTGCCGAAATCTTCGTCGTGTGCAGAGGCTTCAAGGCTCCCAAGCACCTCGACCCCAAATTCGTCGACCCTCGCCATGTCTTTGCCGAACTTGCCGCCCCTGCTCCGAACAACGAGGCCAAGGTCTTCAACCCCGAGGTGAAGAAGAGGAAGCGTGAGGGTTACGAGGATGGCGATTACACCCAATTCCACGAAGCCACCGTCAGCGAGTTCGTTCAGACCACCGACCCCATCGCCATGCTCGGCTCAATGAACAAGCTCTCCTTTGAGCAAAAGCCCAACGGCGACATCGCCCAGGCGACAATTGATAAGCTTCCGGAAACTACCGATGAGATCCGTGCATGCTGCGCCGATCTGAAGGTTTTGGGTCGCTCCGATTTTAAGCGCCTGCTCAGGTGGCGTTTGAAGCTCCGCGAAATCTTTGGGTTCAAGCAGAAGGCCGCAAAGCCAGAGGAGAAGGAGGATGAAGAAGTGGCAGAAGTTGAACCAATGGATGAGGAACTCCAGATCCAGGAGGATTTGCAGCGAATGAAGGAGCAAGAGGACACGAGGAAGAAGAGAGAAAGGCGAAAGGACAACGAACGTAAACAGAAGGAAGTCCAGCGCCTGCAGATGCATATGACGACACCCATGGATATTGGTATGGAACAGCTTGGTCCTAATGGTGAGGATGCTATGTTCCAGCTCAAGGCTGTCGACAAGGCCGGCGGGCTCAGCAGGATCGCAAAAGGACGGATGACCACGGTCGTGGACGAGAAGCCGAAAGAGATCGAGTATGACGATGACTCGGACAGCGACCCGGAGGCCGACCGTTTGGAAACAGAGCTCGATTCTATGTACGACCAGTATCAGGAGCGAAAGCTCGCATCTGACGCAAAGTATCGTGCGAAGAAGGCCCGGAAGGCCAGGGAGGATAACGACGAGGAATTCCAGGGCTTTTCGGACGAGGATAAGGATGCGAGTAGCGAAGATGAGATCATGGAGGAGGAGGGCGACTCGTCGTCCGACGATGAGGATGAAGATGGTCCGAAAACCCTGGTGACCGACCTCGTGCGGAAGGAAAAGACTGAAGATGGTCTCACAAGACGAGCGGCAATGTTCTTCGACCAGGATATCTTCAAGGGCATAGATGGTTTGGACGCTGAAGAAGATGAAGACAGCGGCATCGATGTCGAGGAGAAATCATCGTCCATGGAGGTTGACGGAAAGGCATCAACAAAGAAACAAGTCAAGGTGCAAGAGCCGAAGATGCAAACAGAGCTTTCTGAGGAGGAGGAAGACGAGGAAGACGAAGAAGACGAGGACGAATGGTCATCTGACGACGAAAAAGAGAAGAGTGGCTTCGAGGTTGTAAAACGCGACGAGAGCAAGTGGGATGAGGATGACGTGCCTATGAAGGATGGCCGCCCTGACATCGACATCATTACCGCCGAGGCTATGACTCTCGCTCAACAGCTCGCGACTGGCAAGAAGACGAAGCAAGAGCTTCTGGATGACAACTTCAACCGCTACTCTCTCCGCGATGTCGACGGCTTGCCCGACTGGTTCCTGGATGATGAGAACAGGCACGCCAAGATCCAACGCCCCATCACCGCGGCTGCAGCTGCCGCCATCAAGGAGAAGCAGCGTGCTTTGAACGCCCGTCCTATCAAGAAGGTTGCGGAAGCCAAGGCGCGCAAGAAGTTCAAGGCGGCTCAGCGTCTCGAGAAGCTGAAGAAGAAGAGCGCGCTGCTTGCTGACGATGAGGGCATGACGGAGAAGGAGAAGGCGCAGAGCATCTCCAAGTTAATGAGCAAGGCGGCGAAGAAGAAGCCCAGGAAGCAGGTTGCCGTCGTCGTCGCCAGTGGCAGCAACAGGGGTCTCAAGGGCAGACCGAAGGGCACGAAGGGTAAGTACAAGATGGTGGACGCGAGATTGAAGAAGGATGTGAGGGCGCAAAAGAGGCTCGCGAAGAAGAAGAAATAGTCGTGTGCGTAGCTGTTGGGATATCCCTGGGCCTGTTTTGCATAGTTGTGGCGTTCGGACGGGAAAAGAAAAGAATTGTTCAGCATTTGGGAATCAGACTTATAGATTTGTTGATTGGGCCTCCGACACCTGATTTCTTATCTGCACCAGTGCACGTGTGCATCATGTACATGTATTTGCCTTAGTTTCCATGCAGCTAACATGCCACACTTCCTGACCTTCCATCTGATCTTCGACTCCCGCCAGTCCTTGATCTCGCGAGGGCCAGCTCACATGACGGCGTCCTAAACACAGAGGTCGACGACGGCAGGTCATGCAACTCCACCGCACTGCTCTCCGCCACACCCTGTCCCGAGACGGACGTGTCCACTCCCCCATCGTCGCCGCTCTCAGATTGAGCAGCAGCAGCAGCAGCATCAGAACCACTCTCCCCATTCTCACCGCCGCCACCCGCCGCCCTCATCCTACTCCTCTTCATCAACCACGGCCACAAGTTGAAATACCCCCCGCACGCAAACACGCCCAACCACAGCGCCAACTCAACCCCATACGTAACCAGCCCCAGCACATCCAGCTCGCCCGGCTGAAACAACACCGCAACCAGACTGAACAGATCCCCCGCCGCATCGATGCCCACAAACAAAAACGAAATCCCCCTCACCGTCCGCCACCGCCAAATATCCCAATAATGCCGCAACACGCCCGCCGCCAGCGCCCCCGCCGCCAGCCCCGCCATCAGCTGCAACGGCCACCGCGTCCCGACCCCGACGCCATGGCGCAGCGCGACGACCAGCCCCGCCTCGACGCCCGCCAAGGCGCACGCGACGGGCAGGACGACGCCGAGCGAGCGCGCGAGCGGCCAGCGCCGCTGGTAGTGGTGGCACTGGATCCAGGTGGCGAGGGAGAGCAGCGAGAGCAGCTGCGGCTGGACCTGCAGCGCGACGGGGAAGCCGGACACGATGTTGTAGACGCCGAGGGGGACGCCGGCGACGGCCCACCACATCATCATGGCGGGTTGGAGGCCGGCGGCGTGGTGCCGGCGGTGGTTGATGACGATTTGGGGGATGAGCTGCGTCGGGGGGGGCGGTTGGTACGGTGCATACGTGTTGTGCGGGTGGGTGATTGTGCGGGTGGGTGGGTGGGCGGGTGAGTGGGTAGGTGGGTGTCTCGTGTTGTTGCGGTTCTTTTTTTTTTTTTGGCGTTTGGGGTCGCGGTCTGGGAGTGTACGTACTTGGATGGACCAGCAGATCTGCGGAATATGCGTGGTTAGCTAGCTGTTGTTTATAGGGTGTGTTTCGGCTGGTTGGGCACATACCGCGCCGATGGTGCCGAGCACGTTGGCGGCAATTGGGACATCCATCTTGTAGATGGAACCTTCTTCAGCTTCTCGACAACGGGATTTGGATTTTGAGGGTGAATGCCGATGAGGGTCGGGTAGATTGGAAGAAAGCAGCTCGTCAAATATAGGTAGAGCGCAAGAGATGACGATCATGGTCTGCTGCCAAACTGGCCAATCAAATAAGAGCGATAGCGGAGATGCAACTTATCAGATAAGATGCTGCCCTTCTCTACCACTAGATTCAAAGTGAATGGGCTTGAACCTGAATGCATGTATATTTCCAGGAACTGACTGGGACTGCTTGATTTGGAGCACTTGCTTTTGTGAAATAGGTTTTTAGAATGGCGACTCCCGGTAAGCCTAAGATGACGTGTCCGGCTTACGGATCATGCAGCCATCCCTGCCCTCTGCTCTTGTTGGCCTTAAATATCCGCCATCAGCACTTGCCCCGGTCGCTCGATTACAGTTTCTACTGCTCACTTGATTCTCGCTCAAGGATTACCTGACTAATCATGTCCGCCTGCATGGACTGTCGAGAAATTCTACTCCATCAGTCAACATTCGAAGCACCAATCCTCAAGCGCTTCTCTCTCTCTGGCCTGCGTGGACGATCGGAATCTGAGTCTTGTGGATTGTGCAAAATCCTATTCCACAAGTTCAGATATGCGAAGTTGAAGGGACGAATGGCATGCAATTGCCTGTTCGAGGCGATAAACAATAATTTAACACAGCTCGTGGTGAACGTCTCCATTTCTTCAAAGTGTCGCGACAGGCAGGATGGAGGAAGACCCCGCGACATCTACGAGTTATGGGTCGAATTTTGGCCAGATTGCAGGCACTATTGCGAGCCAATTACCTCGGGATCCCCATACAAAGTGTACGCTGAGCACGGTATTACACTCAACCCTTTCAAACAGCTTGCAACTGTCGTCTTATTGAAATACATTTAGGGGACCCAGGTGCTCAGTTCATTAGCCAAAGAGAGACAGACCCGAACAATGATTCCGAAGAAACGTACGACAAAATCCTGGAATGGATTTCCCTCTGCGATCAAGAGCATATCCTCTGCTGCCCGGAAAAGCCCACTCCTTTGCCAACCCGAGTCATAGATGTCGGACAACGAGACACAACTCATGACCCTAGACTGCACGTAAGTAGTCCGGACGATTACCACCCATACCTTGCTCTTTCATACTGTTGGGGAGCGGCCCAACCGGTGCATCTCACGAGCACCAACTTGGAAGGTAGGATAAGTTTTCTAGACTACAATCAATCGCTGCATTGTGATGACTTACTGATAGACTACAGAGATGTGCGACAGAATTGACATGTCAGATCTCCCAAAGACTTTGCAGGACGCAATCACAGTTACAAGGCAGCTCAACCATCGTTATCTTTGGGTTGACTCGCTTTGTATTGTCCAGAACTCCCAAAAAGACAAAGCCTATGAGATAGACCATATGGCGGATGTGTACCGGGGTGCTTACTTGACAATTTCGGCCGCAAAAGCATCCAGTTGTGACCAAGGATTCCTCCAATCACAGCCTCTGACTCGACATAACAAGAACCGGCATCCGTTCGCAAGGCTGCCTCTTCTGTACGGAGATGTGGAACTCGGTCGAATTGTAGTCGAAATGGACACTTACTCCACTGACCCAGATGAGCCAATCTATTCTCGAGCCTGGACCATGCAGGAACGCTTGCTCTCGAGAAGACAGCTCATCTATGGATACGACGCGCTGATCTGGAAATGTCGAACGAGTACGTGGGGATGGAAGACATGGACCCGTTTCTGCTTTGAGAAACCACTTGTCGAATCTCTCGGTATGCCATCGACCGAAATGGTCGCAGCATCGAGAGCCGAGTACTCCAAGCAGGTCGCTGGCGAACTTTCTCTATGCAAAAACCCGGATTATGGCAAGCACGGAAAACAGCGAACGGCCGGCTGGCCATATTTTCTGGAATATTGGCACAATATCGTCTGCTTGTACTCGTCGTTGAAATTGTCGGAATACACAGACAAATTACCAGGGGTTGCTGGTATAGCTGCCGAAGTATCACACCTCTCCGATGCCACCAACATTTCCGCAGGAAGATATCTAGCTGGATTGTGGGAAGCAGACCTACCTCGACAGCTGCTCTGGACAGTAACATACCGCTCCAAGCCAGAAACGGGTCCCTATCGTGCGCCATCGTGGTCGTGGGCGTCGACTGCTGGGAATTCATACGCCCGTTACCCTTTTGTGATTGATGAATACCTTTCGCAACCGGCTGCCCAAATCTTAGAATGTTCGACCACACCCCTTCATGCCGGGGCACCTTTCGGACAGGTCAAAGATGGCTTCTTGAAGATCAAGGCCCGGTTGGTCAAGGGCACGTCTATGAGCGAAGATTTGTTGTCCAGAACCGCCAATTTGTTGTCCGGAAACTTTGTGGTAATCACAAACCATCGAGAATTCTGCCAGATGGACTTGTTTGACTCGGCGGAGACTGCTAGGGAAAGAGCCCTCGCATCGTGGATGGCCCAGCTTGGAGATTGCTGTGGTCTGATTCTGGAGAAAGTGGTACCCGGTGAACAACTGTTTCGGCGGGTGGGGATTTTCCATTCGGAGACGACGTCTTTTCCAGACGTTGAGCCATCGGTGTTCACCATTATCTGAAGACAGTCATGAATCTAATACCGAGACGATCCAATGATACGTTTAGCATTTGTCGTGTTTGCTGGTCTCATGATTGATACCCGTATTGTGACCCTCAGTCTGCCACCCTCGGCCGCTTCCCATCCCGGTCCTCCCTGTCATCCCCATGTCTCTTCCGCTCACCCACAGCGCTCGCATTAGCGCCGGTCGCGCCAGCTCTACCCTCCACCTCACCACCATCCGGTCTGAACCGTTCATCGACTCCCTTGTAGTAAGCACCGCCGCCCTTGCCTCTACGGTCACCAAAGTCGCCCCACCGCCCGGTATCCTCGCTCCTCATGTCCTTGTACCTCGTCCTCCCCTTTTTGCCGAGCTTCGTCATATCCCGAATCTGCATGTACTCCGGCAGCGCCTCCTTGTTCTGCACGTCGTCAACGTACCGCGACCCCATGATGTCCCTGCGGTCGAGCCCCGCGTCCTTGAGGTCGTCCTGGAAGAACGCGCCCTTGTGGAAGTACTTCTGCATCGTGCTCATCGTGCCCTTGCCCGCGCGCTCTTCCCTCTGCCTCTCGATAAACTCGCGGTCCTCCGCGTCGCGCTCCTCCTGCGTCAACCCCCTGCGGCGCTCCACCTCCTCGCGCTCCTTCTCCGCCTCCTCGATGGCCTCGCGCTCGCGCTTCACCCGCCGCAGCTCCCTCAGCCTCCACGCCGCGAACTCGGCCTCGGGATCCACGCCGTCCGCGTCGTCCACGTCGTCCAGGTCCCCCAGGTTGTCCTCGTCGTCCCACTGCTTCTTGCCCGCCGCCCGCTCCGCCGCCACGCGCTCCAGCTGCTCCTGCACGAGCGCGTCCGCCCTCGCCTTCCGCTTCGCCTCCTCCTCCGCAAAGACCTCGTCTTCCGTCTTCTGCGCCGCCGCCGCCCCCGCACTCGTGCCTTTCCGCTGGTCCTTCCGCACGAACACCGGGCGCAGCATCTTCTTGCGCCTCGCCGCAGCCTCGTCTTCGTTACTGCTGCTATCCTCCTCCTCCTCTTCACTGCTGCCACTCTCGTCGCTCTCGCTGCCCTCGCCGCTCCCACCGCCGCTCTCTTCCTCCTCCTCCGTCTCGAACCCCTCCTCCGCCGCCGCCCGCGCCGCCTTCTCCGCCTCCAGCCGCGCCGCCTCCGCCGCGGCGGCTGCTTGCCGGCGCGCGTTGAGGTCGACGTTTTTGAGGTTGCTGGCGATCTTCGCGGACGCGTCTTTGGGGAAGGATGAAGCTTTTGGCGCGGCGGCGGTCGAGTTTGTTGGTTGTTGTTGTCGTTGTTGTTCTTCTTCCTGCCCCTCGTCGGCGTCGGATTCGTCTTCTTCGGAGGAGGATGGTTCTTCGGCGGCGGTGGGTTTGCCCGGGCGGTAGCGCGCCGGTCGCGTGGGGTTGGCTGTCATTCGTTTGGGCGGCATCTTTGCTGAGGGGGGTGGATGCGAGAGGGGAGGAAGGGTGTATGTGTGTGTGTGCGTGGGCCGGTCGGCGGGTGCTCGATGGCGGGAGAGCAATTGAGGCGGTTCCGGGGAAATAGCTTTTTTTTTTGGTGAGAAGGTGGGTTGTTGGAGGTGTGAAGAGCGATGGTTGGAAAGTTAGCGGAGGAAGCTTCGCCAGCCCGCCGCCGCCAAGCTTTTTGCGTCGACCTAGCTCCGTAGGGCTGAGGACCAAATGCAGGGGTACGTACATGGTGTGAACAACAAAATGGTATTTTCGTATCTCTACAGTGTGTATATGCAGCCGCTTGCCCTGGGTTTGATCCAACAATATGCCCTGCTTCAACGCCAGACTCCTCATTTTCCCAGAATTTTCCCCCCCTTATGCCATTCTACCAATTGTCAAAGTTACCGAATCCACCACCCTTGAACTTCTTCTTCACTGGCTCCTCAGGCTCGTCCCACTCCCCCACAATCTCGTCTTCTTCTGCTTCGGTTGACTTCTGTTCTGCCAGTGCCGCCTTGAGATACTTGCCAACACCTCCACCACCGCTGCCCGACTCAACCGTGCCGTCGCCCCGGACCCGCTTACCCGTCCACGTCGTCTTGTCGTCCTCCGTACCTCCTGCCTTCTTGATCTCTTCCTTTTCACGATCCTTCGCATCCATCTCAGCCTTCTGCTTCTGGAACTCCTCGAACGGATCGACGAAGACGACCACGTCTTCGAGCATGATGGGCGGGTCCGGTCTGTCCTTGGAATCGGTAGGCGCGTTCTCAAGCCGCGACAGGGTGTCCATGCCGCCAACAACGCGTCCGAATATGGTATGCTTCAGATCCAGGTGCTTCGCCGCGCGGTAGGTGATGAAGAACTGGCTCGAGTTGGTGTTCTTGCCCTTGTTCGCCATACTCAGGACTCCTCTCGTGTCGTGCTTGTTGGGTCCCTCGAACTCGTCGTTGAAGTTTTTGCCCCAGACGCTGGACCCGCCGCGGCCAGTACCTGTGGGATCGCCTCCTTGTATCATGAAGTTCTTGATGTTGCGGTGGAAGCTGATGTTGCTGTAGTAGCCCTTCTTGGCGAGCTGCACAAAGTTCCACACGGCCTTGGGCGCAAACTCCGGCTGCAGCTCGACGTTGAGCTCTCCCAAACTGGTCTGTATCCTGGCGTAACCGGGCGTCTTCACCCGCCGCGGCTTCAGCATGTACTCCTCCTCCGACAGCAGCGCCCTTTCGTTGGAAGTGTGCGGCGTCACGCCCGTGCTGGTGAACGAAGCCGCCGCCTTTCCGGTCGTGTATTGGGCGGCGTTGTACGGCAGGGGCTTGTTTTGGTGCAGCGCATTCGAGCCGTCGCCCTGTTCCGCCCGGGCGCGCGCAAGAGCGGCGGCCACGCCACCCTCCGCCTTGGCCTTGGCCGCCTTTTCGCGTTCCGACCGCGCCTTTGCGACGGCTTCTTTCGCCTTGAGCACCTTGGCCGAGCTGCCCAGAGCGTCCTTGTTGACGCCGCTCGCCCGCTCCTGCTCTTGCTCCTCGGTCAAGTTGCTCTCGCCATCTTTGAGGTATTTGAATGCACTCAGATCCCTGGACTCGAGGTTCTGCGGGTCCTGCAGCGTGATGATGTCCTTGCGCGAGAACTCGTCGTCGGTGACCAGATCGCGCCAGTTCTTGGCTTTGATGTTCAGGCGCTCAATGGTGTCCCAGGCGAAAACGTTTCCAGAGTTCTTGAGCGCGACGATGTGGGTGTTGTTTGTGAAGACTTTGTATGTAACCGGATCGACATATTCGCCATCGTCGTTTTTCGCGAAGTTGAGCTTGATGAGGTCGGCCCTCTTCAGCTGCTGTCCGTCAACGGGATTCGTGCCGTGCTTCTTCAACCACGGGAGGATGTTGGTCAGGTCGAAGATGGTGCCCTGGGCGGTGCAGACGGGATGCTCGAAGGGCTGCAGCGAGAGGGCGCAGAAGTTGAAGGGAAGGCGGCGGAAAGAGGCGCCAACGACCTTGGACTTGTTGACGCCGGCACCGTAGCTGGCGGAGAAGGCATCTTCAGAGGCCCATTCCGAATGGGTGATGTAGAGCTTGTCGGTGCCTTTGCCCATTGTGGGGAGCGGGGCGCGGGGGCAACAGGAAAGTTGGGAGAGCGAGTTGGCGTGGCGCGCGCGGGAGAGATGGTCTTGACGCGGCGCAAGCCTCCACCGCCGCCGATCAAGTCAATGCGCTCCCGGCGCACGGGCCTCGCCTACCACGACCCTGTGCTTCCTTCGGTCTCGACCAACACGTTGTTCATCTTCTCTCTTGTCTGCTTCATGTCCTTCGTTTGCCTTCTGATTGGGAGTAGGAGTGCACAGCATTCTCTCTGGTTTACTCGTTAGAGCATTTGAGTGTCTACGTTCATCTACCAATGGGAGCAATAGAGAGCATTGTGTACTAAGCATATGCCGCTGGTCGCTGGGCGGCGCTTATCTTCCACAAGGCTGCTCGTAACAAGATGCCTCTAGCTGGAATTACTGTCGTCAGAATTTCTTATCACGCAATCGTCCGAGCTAATACTTAAGCAAGACAAATGAATTGATGTCCGCTGCGCTTTATTATTAACTTGGGCCCATGCGCAAGCTTGACCTGCGCTGCGTTCCGTTGCCGGCCGCTGCGTAACATTGAGTCATTTTGATGCTGTGGATTGGGAAGCGCAATGTAACTGGAACACTTGGCGTTGGACATGGGAGACTCAACACCGACATGACTGTTGGTGACGTTAGCGGTGGCGGCTGCAAATCACTGTCGGGCCACTGCTCCACATTCGTCAGGGCGCTGGCTTGATCGCTCGCAACTGATGTGGAGCAGCGGCTTTCGGCCTACATTGCTAGTCCTTGGCTGCGCCTGAAGAACTCGTTACTGGTGTCTCTGCGTCAAGTCAAGCCTTTCATTTAATCCTCATAAGTCCGTATCATGCTGATCGTTGTCCCTTAACACCGTCCAACCATTACGCAGCCATCAGGTCCAGTTGGCCTTGCTTCCGAAACCCATACCATTCGCCTTCCGCTACCACCCCCCGTCTATACAATAGCATCCTCCTTCACTATCCAAACCCGTCTCTTTTTTCAGCGGATTGGCTCGCTCCGATGCATTGTATGCCCAACGCCCATGAAAGTATCCTGTGTGCCTCGACGGAAATAACCAGCCGTCGTTTAATTAGGCGATCCATAATCGCCCCCTTCTTGGTCGAAGTGCTACGCTGTTCCGGGGAATTGTTGCGTGGCATGGCATTAAAAGTGCCGGTAAAAAAACAGAGATGGTATCAAAAACAATGGGAGAAAAGAACAAAGTCCCGTGACAAAGTCGTCCACTTTCCATCACGACAAGAAGAGAATCGAAAGTGCCCACACGCCCATTGCCGTCCCCAGGAGGCACATTGATGATGTCGTTCGCGGAGAGCCAGCTCCGACGGCCAGGTCGAACGGGCTTCCTCCTCCACTACCGTCGTTGTCGTCTGTCGCATCCGAACCACCTGAGGATGTCGTTGCCGCCGCAGAGCTCGACGCTGCTTTCGTGCTTTCTGAGCTCGACTCTGCAGCTGTCGTGGTCGCCGCTGCTGTAGTCTCGGCTGCCGAGGTGGAAGACTCCGCGGTCGTGGTGGTTGCCGCTGCAGTGGTGGTCGACTCTGCGGTTTTGCTTGTGCCCGCTATGATGGTGGTACCGGCGTCAATGGTCTGACTGGAAGTCTCCTTGGTGCTGGTCTGCTTGGTGCTGTGCGAGGTAGAGCTAGTCGACGTGTGACCGCTGCCCAGCGTGGTAGCCGCGATGTTGGAGCAGAGGATCTGAGGGCCCTTGCCGAGAAGGAAGACGCCGATGATTGACGTCTCTGCCACATCGTCATCGGCGCAGGCCGACTTGACCTGTGACGCGATAGACAGCAGGCCGCTGATGCACGCGACGGAACAGTTCTCGCCAGTCTCGAGGTCGGAGGCAGAGCAGTCGTTGATTTGACGGTTGTAGACGGTGCTGCACTGGTCGCTCAGATTCTCCACCCGGGGAGTAAAGTCGGACAGAGAGACGGCGCGGACTGCGGCGGCAAACAGCGGGAGCAGGGCGACGACGAAGCGCGCTGCGCTGGGAGGCATCATCATGTTGAGAGATGCGCAGAGCAGGAACGCCTGGGGACAGCGCGCGAGCGGTAGGGAAACGCGAGTAATAGATAGTGCCGGAGAGCAGAAGCCGGACGGCGAGTTGGCGCGCGGGCTTCCGACAGGGAACTGGTGAGACACGCGCGGTGTGAGGCAAGCAATGAGCGACGGAGATGGCGTGGGCAAGCTCCGAGCAAGAGAAGGATTGGGTACTGGAAAGGACAGGCTTGGGCGCGCAGCATCAAGCAGGCAAGCAGGCAAGCAATGTGCGCACGGAGCGGCGGCGATCTGCTGCTGGAGGGCGCGTTTGCGATGGGCGTGGGCTGACGCTTCGGCCACGTTCTCCGTCGTGCTTGCGTCGTCCGGTTTGCTTGCTGGGCCCAAGCGGATGGCTGCTAAGATGAAGCACAATGGGGCACAAGACTCAAAGAATGAGGGGCTGGGGAAGCGAGGGTATCATGGTACGGGGACTGCAAGGAGACGAGAAAATACATCAAACACCCCGGGTGGGCGCGGCGGCTCGCCCTTTAACGGCGGCATCTGCCAGCGCACTCGCGCGAAAGCGGGGCGGCCATGTCCAGGGCTGCGGCATGCCCGTTCTACACGGGCGCGTAGCGGTGGTGTTTTGGGCCATGGCGAATGCCTGCGGCCGACGAGATTCGCGCTGGGTGAAACGGCGTCTGGCCGCGCGGGCCGCGCAACAGTCCGTCCGCGTGCCAGAGGGGCCTGGTGCAGCGCTTGGCAGCAACGCTTGCATTCTCGAGAGCGTCTTGACCCGCCGAGCCGCCAGCCTGCTGCTGCTGTGTCGCGCGGGGCTGATTGCGCCGCAGCTTCGTTGGTAACTGGCACGCCCGCCGCTCGCCCTCCATCTCAGCCTAACCCGAAGCTCGCCGCCGCCGCCCCAGCTGAGCAGCACCGACCGTCCTTCGGAGCTCCGAGCTGCCCAATCCTGCTGCGCTGTAGTCTTCTTCAGCGGGCCTGTTCCTGCATAGATTCCAGCGGGCCAGACAGGTCCTAGCCCGCGGCTCCGCTGCATCAGCAATGCCCGATCGTGTGGCCAACCATCACGTGCGGGCACATGAAACCTCAGGCATGCGCGGGCGGCGGTTGTTGGCCGCCGGTAGTCAGCCGCGCGCAGCGGTGACATAATCCACTCCTCCACCGCGCCCCGACACCATGCAGGAACACAGCTCAGGATGAAGAAGACACTGCTTCTATGTTTCATCCACGGCTTCAAGGTCACTCCCGCACGAGCCACGATGCGAGGAACAAACATACTGACGACGCGTTGCACCTAGGGCGACGATGATACCTTCCGTAAAGTCAGAGGCGCTTTGAACCTCAAACGAACACCCTGTTAACCCGCCCCAGTTCCCCCAGCACCTGCGCGCCGTGCTAGACAGCACCCTCCAGAAGGTCGACGTCTTGACCGTCACGTACCCCCAGTACGAAACGCGCGGCGATCTGTATGTTGCGCCCACCCGCCCGAGTGCTGCCCGTAGCTGATCGTGCTGAACAGCAAGTCTTGTGTGGCGAAATTCAAGGAGTGGTACGGTCAGGACGCGCGCGCCTACGTGCAGACCCGCTCCGTCGCGGCGCTTTCCCGTTGCGTCGAGCCTGGCTGAACTCGTGCAGGTTGCAGAACAAGGTCATCGACCTCGAGGTTGCAAATGGCACTTCCTCGCCCACCATCGACCCCTCGGTGAGGGTTGTTCTGTGCGGCCATTCGATGGGCGAGTCCCGCTCCCAGATGGCTCCGTGAGCAAGCCTTGCTGACTCCAAAACAGGCGGTATCGTGGCTGCGGAGACGCTTCTCTCTATCTCAAACGAACAGCCCATCAACCCGGACTCGGATAGCTCCACGTCCCAAACCACCCTCTTGTTTCCATACATCCAGGGCATTCTCGCTTTCGACACCCCATACTTGGGAATCTCGCCGGGGATTGTCGCGCACGGAGCAGAAGGGCACTGGAACACGGCAACGGCTGCGTACAATGCCTATAGCAGCGTAGCAGATACATTCGGGTGGGGCAAGAAGCAGGAGGCCAACCCAGACGTGATCGCCGCAAGCAAGACGCTCCCGGCAGCGGCGTCGTCGTCAGCAGACCCAAACGTCGACACGGCCGTGGTGCCTGCCTGGCAGAAATTTGGCAAGATAGCAATGTTCGCCGGTGCCGCAGGCGCGCTCGCGGCAGCAGGAGGGGCGGCCTACATGAAACGGGAACAGTTAAGCGAGGGCTGGCAGTTTGTCGGCTCCCATCTCGAGTTCGTCGGGTGTCTGGCGCGCCAGGAAGAGATGAAGAAGAGACTAGCCACGGTTGTGACGCTCTCGGAAACCTTGGAGCTCGGCTTCGCAGACCTCTACACGCAGCTCGGGCAGGCCGTCCAGCAGCAAGGCGCAACAAAATGGAGCTCGGGCGTGCTGGGCCAGGACCGCACGTTCTGCATCGTCCCTAAAACAGACATCAAGAAGCACTTCATTCCCATCGTGAACGACAAGGCGACGGCTGAGACGTGGGCACACACGGGCATGTTCGATCCCAAGCAGCACCCCAACTACTACAGCATGGCGGAGACGGCCGTGGAGCTGGTAGTGAACTGGACGACGTCGACCTCTTGGTACGAGGAGGCCACTGGGTATGATCCTCCATCACGGCCCGAGGAGGCAGCCGACGACGAGTCACTAACAGTTGATGAAGACCTGGAGATGATCGAGAAGCCTGATGTAGATCAAGACGACTATGAAGACCTGGCTGAGTCTTTGATGCGCCGGCGGCCCTAAGCCCATACCCATTAATACACCTATTCCCGTAGTGATAGAACACAGCGACAAGGCAGAGAACGATTACGGCTGATTTTCGGTAGCCTGGTATGTGTAGTCTTCCTGAATACAACGCACTTTGATTTTGAGCAGTCAATGCCGGGTGTAATCGATTGTCCAAGCTGGCTGCAGGCTCCGCCTAGATTTGAAGCTTCTTATTCCAAAGGTTTGCCGGATGGCCAGCAGTTGGCAGGTGCATATATCCACGCACACCGGATTTATCCGCAGCCGTTATCGGTGATTGCATCATGGGCTTCCAGGATCTCGTTCTGCGGGGTTCAGCCTTCGCAATGGCTGCCAAGGGTGGGAGGACGGCGGTGACGGCAAACGGCGGCTGGGCGAGCGAGTCGGTTACGGCAGTCATCCTGCAAGGCATGCCTTCGGCCGGACGCGATACGCTAGGTAAGCCATGCATGGCCATTCTGCCATGCTGTCGACACGAGGTGGAGGCGTGAGCTTACTGCCGCTGCTGCCTTGAAGGAGCGATGGCGCCTTTTGCTCCGGTGACATTACCGGTACATCCGCGCGGAACGGATCCTCAACGGCTTGGCACTGCTTCTCCCCACGCCAAGCCGCCTCCAGACTTCCTAAAAGCGGAAGGTTGGGAGCGGAGTACCTGGTAGCAGTACGACGGGACACTGACAAGGTTGCATCATGTCTTTCTCAGCTACGTCAGGCAGCAGGGTCGATGAGGCTTATTGCCGGCCACGGTGATAGGTATTTGAGGCCTCAGCCCGCATCATCGAAGTAGGTGTGCTTATCGGTCGGCGCAATGGCTTCAATGCTCCTGGTGTTCTCTGTGCTCGTCGCCGAGGCAGTCGCCTGCCAGCGCGATTTTCTCAGTCCCCGCAGTGCCGGCTCCCATCGCCATTCCAAGCTTGCTGCTCGTCAAGACACCCCTTTCCCCCCCGTCTTGTCCGCTACTGAGTCAATCCTCGTCAATTCCTTCGACAATACCACCATCGCCTCGTGGTCCTACTATTACACCCACGGCCTGCACATTGCCGGCACCAACGAGAGCGTAGCTCAGTGGACTGCCGATAAATGGTCCGAATTCGGCATTCCTTCTTCCCTGGCCGAGTACTGGACTTTTCTCAACTACCCTGTCTCACAGGCAGTATCGGTCAATTTCCCCAATGGCAGCAGCTATTCAGCCACCTTGATTGAGGAGGCGCTGCCAGAAGATGAGACGACTTCGTATCCCAACAGTGTTCCCGCTTTCCACGGCCTGTCTTGGTCTGGCAACGCCTCCGCCGAGTACGGTAAGAGACTTGACTTGTAATTACACCTGGCGTGTTTAGTACTGACTTTTCTTGAGTTTATGTCGGTCGGGGTCAGCAGGTCGACTTTGAGCGCTTGAAGGCGCTTGGCGTGCCGCTTGAAGGCAAGATAGCGCTGGCAAAGTACGGAGGCCCTTTCCGTGGCCTCAAAGTCAAGAATGCGCAGGAGAACGGGATGATCGGCGCTGTCATCTTCACTGATCCGGGCGACGACGGCAACATTACCGAAGCAAACGGCTACGCCGCCTACCCCGACGGTCCAGCACGAAACCCGACATCCATCCAACGAGGTTCCGTGCAGTTCCTATCTCAGTTTCCCGGAGATCCGACCACTCCCGGGTACCCCTCAAAGGAGGATTCTCCGAGAACTGATACCATCTCCGTCACTCCGCGCATCCCGTCTGTCCCAATTTCTTGGAAGGACGCTGTTCCCTTCCTTGCTGCATTGGACGGCCACGGAACTTCGGGAGAGGAGGTTAACCGCACTGGTTGGATCGGCGGCCTGAATGTCACTTACAGCACTGGACCTGCCCCTGGAACGACCATTGACCTCTCCAACCTGATGAAAGAGGAGATCACGCCAATCTGGGATGCCATTGGTATCATCAACGGCACCAGCCCCGATGAAACCCTCGTCATCGGAAACCACCGAGACGCCTGGATCGTTGGCGGTGCCGCCGATCCCAACTCGGGCTCCGCGGTCATGATCGAGCTCTCCAAGGCATTTGGCAAGCTGCTGGCAAACGGTTGGAAGCCGCGGAGGAACATCGTGCTCTGCAGCTGGGACGCCGAGGAGTACGGGCTTTACGGCTCGACGGAATGGGTGGAAGAGTACATCCCGTGGCTGGCATCGACCAGCATCGCCTATCTCAACATCGACGTCGGCACCTCCGGTCCCCGTCCCGACTTCTCGGCCACCCCGGACCTGCACACGATCGCGACCGACGTGATGAAGAAGGTGCTCTGGCCGTACGTCGGCACCGGCGAGCTGAACGAGACGCTCTACGAGACGTGGCTCACGGGCCTGACGGAAGGCGAGTTTGGCGTCTTGGGCAGCGGGTCGGATTACACGTCCTTCTTGCACAACGGCATCAGCTCGATAGACGCGGGTTCCGGCAACGGACCCGACGACGCAGTGTACCACTACCAGTGAGTCTTTGAGAACCCCCCAAGAAAGAAAAAAAATAGAAAAATGGAATCATCCAGGCACTTGCTAACTCAACTCCGTCCGTCCACCACAGCTCAAACTACGACACATTCCACTGGATGAAGACGTACGGCGACCCGGGCTTCGCCGTGCACAAGGCCATCGGCCAGTTCCTCACCCTGCTCGCCTACCACCTCGCCGACGACGCCGTCATCCCGCTCGACATCCCCAACTACACCACCCAGATGCGCCTCTACCTCGCCGAGCTCAACAGCACCGTCATCGCCGCCGAAGGAGCGGACGGAGACGTAGTCGACCTCGCGCCGCTCGCCGCCGCCATCGACACGTTCGAGGCCGCTGCCGACGCCGTCGCCGCCGCGGCGACGCAGGCGGCCGTGACGGGCGACGAGGTGCTGGTGGCGCGCGTGAATGCGAAGCTGAGGGATTTCCAGCGCGGCTTCACGTCGCAGGGGGGGCTGCCCGATCGCCCGTATTTTAGGCATGTGGTGTTTGCGCCTGGGATCGATACTGGTGAGTTTTTATTTTTATTTTTATTTTTATTTTTTTGCAACGAGATGATGAGCTGACGATGCGGGGGAAAAAATTAGGCTACGCGCCGGTGACGTACCCCGGTGTCACGGAGGCGGTTGAGGCGGGCAATTTTACGCTTGCTGGGTCCGAGGTCCTCAGGGCGGCTAAGGCGATTGAGCGTGCTGCGGATATTTTGGCGCTTTGAGAGGGTGGGGAAGGGTGTTTGGGTGTTTTGGTGGTGGTGGTGGTGGTTTGTTGGATGATGCAGAAAGCAGGTATTACAACCGTATTTTGTAATGTCTACGGATGGGTTTTATGGGGCGATTTTACTACGATATGATCAATGTTCACGAAAGATATTCTAGTCGTGTTTCGTGCTCGTTCGATGGTCCATGTGATAGTGCAGCATGGTGAGGATCAAGGGCTTTGTTTGTCAGACTCAAGAGCATCGCGGTATGAGAGTGGCCCGAGACCAAGATGTGAGCTTTCTCGAGATCTCCTTCAAGATGTTTATATTTCTCACCAGAGAAAAAAGAAAGAAGGGCACGGGTTTGGCCCCGATCACGCTAGCAATCACGTAGACGTGCTATCGAACTCGTTTTCCAGCAGTAAGTTTGCTGAAAAAAATATGTGATAACCATTTACGAAAAGAGACACCCTCTAAATGGACTTGAGCATGTCGAGATACGGGTGATATTGGAGTGTTTGGTCGAACTGAAGTACTCACAGGCGTGTGCTGAGGTGCTGTTTCCCTGCAAGGTGGATGACGCGGCCTGTCAAGGTTTAACAAAGAAGCTTAAATTAAGCTTGTATGTGCAAGCAACAATGGTACACAGCATCCCGGCGGCCATGTCTGACTGACATGTGTGTATCAGACCATGGTGAGCGCTGGCTCGATTGCCAAGATGATTAACGGTTGAGATCAGACAGACATGCAGTGAATGTGAGTATGTCTTGAGGTGTAATGGCGCCCATAGCCAGTAACCCCAATAAAGAGAAGGTGAAAGCCCTGTAAAACGAAGTAAAACGTGATCGAAAGACAGTGAAAGTCAGATGATACTAGTATCACCTGAGCTAGGATAACTGGGCATGGCTAATATATGAATCGTCGACTCGGCTTAGTTATGAGGCGGAGATATGAGTCGAATACACCCGGCCCTATCAGGGCACTACAGACTGCAAGCAAGTTGGGTTAAGCACGAATGAAGGGGATTGACTTGGGCAGAAAAAATGGGTCGAAAGTGTATCGCTTTCGCATACGGGTTCGTGTTGGTATGCCTGTTTTGGTGTAGTGTATACACTTGGCGATTCAGGGCTGTGCAGCTTACATGACCTTGTTGTAACTTTATTCTGAGTCATTGTGCCTAAAAGCTCTGTGCCTACTATTGCTGTATTACCTATTATTCCACGTCTCTCAAGAGGTCGTCTCGCGTAGCGCTATTATCAAGATCTGATAATCTTCGAGATCTCATCGCCCAATAAAGGCTGATCAACGACCCCCACCACGAAGGAGCTCGAACCTGGTGCATAAGCGTACAAGAGAACATCGGGTCTCGTGCACAGAAAAGGCAGGCCAAGTAACCATGCCTGCGGCGGATCCACCCTTGGCGATGGCGGACGATGAAGAAAAAAACGCTGTGCCGCATGCTTGCCGAGCCCAAAGCCTACAGTGAGCCTTTTCTCTGCCGCCATCGACTCTCATCTTTAGTTTTCCCGCTACAGCCATGCTTGGTATCCAGCAAGACCGGTGGCGCCGGCCGACGGGCCACTACTGGATAGCAGCCTTCTTCTTATCCATCTTCCTAGTGGCCATAGCTCTTTACTACAGCGCCACCGATCAGCCTCCAAACGCAGTCGGAGGGAACAATCGGCCGTCGAGGCAGATATACGCCACCTACCTGACGGCGCCGTCGGCGGACCAATCCGTCACCTCGCAGCCGCACGGCTTCGGCGACGACGACCCGTACTTCGTCGGCGTGCGCCTGCTCAACTACCAGCTCCGCCACGCGCCCGAGACGCGCACCCGGCGCGGGCTCCCCTTCGTCGTCTTCGTCACGCCGGCCGTCGAGCACGCAAAGCGGAGCGTCCTCCTCGCCGAGGGCGCCGACGTGGTCGAGATCGCGCACCTGGGCGCCGACTGGATCCACCCGCCGCAGCAGCGCTGGGCCGACGTCCTGACGAAGCTGCGCATGTGGGAGTTCGAGGACGCGTACGACCGCGTCGCCTTCCTCGACAGCGACATGCTGCTGACGGCGCCGCTCGACGGCCTCTTCGACGAGCCCGCGGCCGCGGCGCCGCGCCGCACCCTCGACCGCCCCAACGCCACGCTGCCCGACGAGGCGCCCCTGCCCGGCTCGTACGTCATGGCCGGCGTGCCGCAGGCCGACCTGCTGCAGTGGCCGTCGTTCGCCCGGACCCCCAACTACGCGCAGATGAACGCGGGCCTGATGGTGTTTAAGCCGTCGCGCGCCCTCTTCGCCCACTACGAGTCGGTGCTGCGCATCCCCGGCCGCTTCGACCCGACGCTGCCCGAGCAGTTCTTGCTGAACTACGTGCACCGCGCCGACCGGAGCATGCCGTGGTCGGCGTTGGACCTGAGTTGGCAGGCGCAGTACCCCAATGCCGAGGACATCGCCAGCGGCGTGCGCGTCTTGCACGACAAGTGGTGGAATCCGTGGATCAAGAACGATACGGCCGAGCTTTTCCATGCGTGGCGCTGGCGTATGGAGGGCTTCTATGAGGGCCTTAGGGGCGAGGTTTATGAGCCGGCGTACTATAGACATGAGGGAACGACTGAGGGTTAGGTAGCGGAAAGAAGGCGGAATGCCTCTGAAAACGGATGGCAGCTTTTCCAGCAGCATGTTGCGGGAGCTGAAACGGAAGATCAAGCTTTGCCTTCAGGGATAGAGCTTCTGGCAGGGTGAAAGAATTATTGTCAGTCGAATCCCAAAATTGTAGACAACTGCTAGGAATATGCGCACTGCAACTGTGGATGGCCTTGGGTTAAAAACGAGCCATGTAACTTACTGGGACACTCTCTATACTCTCCACTGGTAGGATAGACTTATCAATCGTCTAGGGAGCCTGAGCAGGATCTTGACCGTGGCTGCTAGAGCGAATCGTACAGCTTGCCACCGTATATCACGAAGCAGCTCAGGCCTCCTATCGCCTGTCTTGACATTCTCGCACGTTTTCTACACAGTTATAAATGAGGCGGGCGATCACGGATGCGGAAAGTCAAGGGTAAGGGCGCGACTCGCCAAAGAAAAGCAGTGGAATATTGAACTCTTTATCATCACCTTAGCCCCCAAACGCCGAATTTTGCCTTTTGACGCGTGTTCTGAAACGCGTAGCCACACGAGGAATCAGACTCAGTCAACGATCATCATGGTATCATCACCTCCGTTTCCAGCCTCTGGCTCCACCGGCACTCCCCTACCGCGACCCTCCAGAAGCTCTCGTCTCACTTCGGGGCCAATTGCCCTGTGCCCTCTGACAAGCAACAGGTCGAGTAATGCTTCTCTTTGGTCTTCAGTAATGTCGTTCCTGTAGCGTTGCGCGAAAGCGAGAAGACACTGGTGCCAAAGAACAGGTAGTCTTCCCTCTCCTCCCCTCTGTTCGACAACGTTTCCTTCAGATACCAACTCCATGGTACCGTCGGTCGAGAAGTTGGCGTTTTTGAACCTGAGGAAGTGGAAAACCAAAGCATCGATGACCTTGTAGGGAAGAGCATACTTCTTCTCAAGAAGAACGCGAATAAAGATGTTGGTGGCACCGCCGTTGAACGTGTTGACCGACATCTGCTCCGCGGCTATTTCGCAAAGTCTGTGCAGGGCAGCAGCCGAGTGAAGGACGGGAATGGAAACCCTGGCCAAGACACTGCCGACAATGTGTGCCTCGCGCAAGGTGCAGTCGCCATCGGCCACGAGCGGGAAAAGAACACCCTTGAAGAAGGCGGCGGGCTTATACAGAGCCTTCTTGAGAGCCTTGTACAAGTGCACGTTGAGCTTCTTCTGGGGCGAGTCGTGGATGTCGGAGCGTACACGTTCGAGCAGGATGGTGTTAAGGAATGTCTGGACGGTGTGGGGTTGCGAAGAGACGAAAAGCTTGGTGGCCTCGTAGCACACGTTGGGAGTCCACGATTCAGGGCGGGTTATAGAAATCAGCGTCTCCCACTCAGGAAGCGTGGGGAGGATCTTGAAGGGCTTGGGCAGCTTGCCAGACTTCCAGCGAGAAAGAATGAGGCCGACTCTGCGTACCGATGTTAGAAATGGCAAAGTCTGGGGCTTTCAGATCTCATACTGAGTGTAAACCTCCACGACGCGAGCAGGAAGCTCGACAGCGTCTTCGGGATCGCCACCACCAACGAAGCGGGGGCCATCGCCGTTGTTGGCAGCATCCTGGGCCTCTTTCTCGGCAATTTTCTCCAGAATCAAAGCTGCCAAATTGGTACCTCCGGACTGTTCCTCTGACGCACCAGGGATGAATAAATGTGAAGGATCCGAAGTGGGGTTAAACTTGTTGAACAGCTCAAGATCGTTCGGGTCAATCTCCTACAAGCAATTAGCCAGCGGTCATGGGCAGCACAAGCAGCCTCCAGCACGCACAATCTCCTCAGTGATCTCCTCGTCGTCTTCGTCACCCCATGCCTCGTCATCTTCTCCGTATGCGACCTCGTCCTCGTCCGATTCGGGACCATCCTGCAGGCGCGTCTCAAAATTGAATGCTGGGTTTGCCTGCTTGGGACGGCGGGACTCCAGCTCGGCCTCCTCTTCCTCCGCCAGGTCTTGACCAATCTTCAGGATTTTCCGCGACGCCTTGGAGTCGACGTAGCCCTGTTCGTCCGCATTTTCGGAGCGCGTGTTCTTTCTCTTGCCGGCCTTTTGCTTCAGCGGGTTGGAGGGCGCATACTCTTCGGCGAGCGGGTTGTGGCGCATAGCATGGCGGGCAGGGCTGCCCGATGTGGCTTTCGGCATTGTCGCGGGCGCGCGGGGATCCTAAGCGGCGAGCTTGGGGGCGTAGGAATGCAAATAAAAGGCGGTTGCTTGAGTCTTGTCGTGGAGGGTTGTGCGCTTGAAATTTCTCGACCACGGGCGGCGGCGGGCGCAAATCGGCCTCTCACCGCCCGGCTTTCTGCCAGCACCATCCCGGCCCGCACGCACGGACGGCAGGCGCGTCTTCTTTCGAGGCGCGCGCACCCAGCTCCAGCGCCATCCAACAGCAACAATCACAATGGCCGATGCCCAGCCGCCTTCGCGCGGCACGACGCCTGGCCTGGCAGCTGGAGTCAAGCGCCCGCTTGATGAGGACCACGTCCCCGCCGTTCCTTCGCCGCTCAATCCCGACCCAGTGGCCCGTCCGCGTCCTCCCAAAGCTCCGCAGCGCGAGCAGCGCGAAAAGCGCGATTCGTTGAAGAAGCGTGAGGCCCAGGCCAGCTCACGTGGGAACACTCCGGACATCAAGGTGAAGAACAAGCTGGCCTCGGCCCCCGCCCCGCTCAACTACATAGTCGAGCCGGACACCCTCAAGCTTCAAGACTTCGAAGCTCCCAAGCCTCCCGCTTTCATCTCCCACGAGCCGCCGCTGCTCACCCCGGACGGCCAGCTGGAGCTCAAAAGGCCGCTAGACCAGTACGTAGCCCGCCTGGTCTAAGAGAACGCTGCTAATCGCCTCCCAGTGCGTCAAACCGCAAGCAGTTCCGTTACTATCCCTGCGTGGCCGATCCTCTGTTCCGCCACAAGCAGTACTACCGCCAGACCGACACCAAACCCTTTGCACCCCGTCTTAGCTTTGAGGATAGCGACAAATGGATCCATTTTGACGACTCGGCGACCGTCTTCACCAACGAGCGCGGCTGGCGCATGAGCCGCGCCAATGTCGTTGCTCGCGAAGGCCGGTACTACTACGAGGTCAAGATCATCCGTGGCGTGCCCAGCGAAGGGCCGCCGGTACCCAAGGGACAGGAAGGAAATCCACAACCACACATCCGCATGGGCTGGGCCCGCCGGGAAGCTCCGCTAGACGCCCCGCCTGGCTTCGATGGTTACAGCTATGGCGTCAAGGACATTGGGTTCGAGGCCATGCACAAGTCTCGTCCAAGCAAATTGTTCAACGCTGCTTCGAAAGGCTCCAAAGTGTCCAAGGCAGCGGCGGGAAAGCCTCAAGTCGAGCAAATCGAGGAGGACCATGTTCGGGAAGGCGACGTGATCGGCTTGGAGATTGTCCTACCATCTATATCGCTCCATCGAAAGGTTGTCGAAGGCATCTACAACCCCGCTGTTGACAATAGCGATGGATTTGAGGATCCGATAGAGGGAGCCCATGACATCATCCGAGATCGCATCGCCGTCCCTTTCAAGGGCAACAATTGGTTTGAGGTGAATGAGTATCAGACAACCAAACCCATGGAGAGTTACGCGGACCGCGCCACATTCAATTCGGTGACTCCTAGCCCGAATCACAATGAAGTCCCGCTCAGGTCCCTTCCGCACTCCGCAATCAGGGTTTATCGAAACGGCAAACTCGTCGGAAGTGCTTTCGAGAATCTCATGTCGTTCCTGCCACCCGCGTCGTCGCCAGTGCCTTCATCCAACCCTCTAGTCAGGGCAGGACTTGACGACGGGATGCTAGGCTATTTTCCTGCCGTCGCCGCCTTCTGCGGTGGGATTGCTCAGGTCAACTTTGGGCCAAACTTTTGGTGCCCACCGCCCGGCCTTGAGGACGTCGACATGGGCGGTAGCGACAAGTCCTTGCCAGAAGGGAGGAAGCTGCGACCGATCGGGCACAGATATAAAGAGCAGATTGCGGAGGATATTGTCTGGGACATCATCGACGATGTGGGCTTCTACGTTGCAAACCGAGGAGATGATCAGAACAGCGGTCACACGGGGGCAATACAAGCGCCTCCGACTGCGCGCGGCATTACAAGTCTGAAAGAGGACGATGGATTCTAGAAGAGGAGGGTCGCTGTGCAGGTCCACTGTAAAAGTTCCAGCCGGCGGCATGCAGCACCGAACGGGCCTCTTGCACGCCCGAGCACATTGACTCGGTTGGCTCACCGCCTTGGTGCTTAGATAGGCGGTCTCCCTGATTGGGTGGCGTGAGGACCAATGACCCTCAAGAGGGTCCGGCCACGAATGCGGGGCAGCTGACAGCTGCTCTGACACACGGCTGGTGGTCTTAAAAGCTGGCTGCCTGCGTCCGTTCAGACTTCTTCCTACTCGCCAAAGATCGCATCCTCCAGCGCCGCCGATAGCCTGTTCAAATCCCCAAGCACATCCACCAACCACGCCACAGACGCCCACAACCATGCAGACCACCACGGTTCTCGTCAACTCTCACGACTCGGCCTGCCCCAAGTGCGGTGCCACGATCCAGGGCGGCGGCAAGACCTGCAGCTCTTGCGGAAGCGTACGTGGTACACTGAAACCCCCGGACTGCCCAGAGACTCACATGATTCTTCCTCGTCACGCAGACCTGCCCCGTCTAAGCCGCTCGCACTCCCACAAGTCAGCAAACGAAGACGAGAAAGAAGCATGGATAAAGCAGGAGTATTTTGGCGAGGGTTAGTCGCACGATGGCGTTGAGGCAGAGATCTGGGTCTGGTTCTTCGGTAGGAGCAACGAGGAGTAGTTTGATCACAAAGTTCTCAGGTGATGGCACGCAATGTAACACCACTGTTGATACTTGGGGCAATGAGCAACTGAGATTTTCGCTTCCGAGTACGGTGACATGACTTAGCATCTCATCTTGGCGTGATGTACTGTCGTAGTAGGCATGTCGCGTGCTGGTTGGCTCACCAGGTATCGTGACGCTGTGGAATCGTGTATAAGTCCGGTCTTCTGCCACGATGGTGAGTCCTACCTTTGCTATTGGTTCTTGGTTGAGGAGTTATTCCTTCGCCGTACGCCCTGGAGTTGCTCATGTTTTCTGAAACAGATCAGCAAAGGCACTTGAGTAATCCTGTCCACGCTGCGGATGATGCAATGCACTCGTGCACACTCCCCGACTCAGGAGCAGCAAAAACCGGTGCACAAAATCCACGTATGAGAAGTCTTGAAATTCCGCATGGTCGAGGGCCTCAGCGATAAGAGATCCTTATCGATAGATAAGGCGACGCGGAGAAATGGCGGAAAACGTGCGCCGGGCGGCAACACTTCCGCAGTCCCATTGAGCGCTGCGGCAGGTGAGAGCGAGTTCGACCATCTAAATCACTCTCTTGTCGTCAGCGTAGGGCGCGACTTGCCAACTCTCACGCTCCTTAAATATCCGTCTCTTGCGGCTACAGCTGCAGAGGCCTCAATTCCCCCCCAGCAGAAGCCTGAGGTGCAGAAAACAAAAATGGACTCGAGCCAATTCCGCGAGGCGGCCCACGCCGCAATTGAAGAGAGTCTGTACTCACTCACCCATTATTTCCCCCCAACCATTGCACCTCCAACCACGCTCCTACTGACCCCGGACCAACAGTCATCCAATACTATGACACGATCGAATCGCGCCGCGTCCTCTCCGACGTCTCGCCCGGCTACCTGCGCGAGCTGATCCCCCCGTCCGCGCCGCAGACGCCGGAGCCGTGGTCGTCGATCCAGCCGGACATCGAGCGCGTCATCATGCCGGGCCTGACGCACTGGCAGTCGCCCAACTTCATGGCCTTCTTCCCCGCCCACTCGACCTACCCCAGCATGCTGGGCGAGCTGTACAGCGCCGCCTTCACCGCCCCCGCCTTCAACTGGCTGTGCTCGCCCGCCGTGACGGAGCTGGAGACGGTGGTGCTCGACTGGCTGGCCCAGCTGCTCGCCCTGCCCGAGTGCTACCTCAGCAAGGGCGAGGGCGGCGGCGTCGTGCAGGGCAGCGCGAGCGAGGCCATCGTCACCGTCATGGTGGCGGCGCGGGAGCGGGCGCTGCGGAACCTGACTGCCGGTCTGCAGGAGGCGGGCAGGGAGAAGGAGAGGGAGGACAGGGTGGATTCGCTGCGCGGGAAGCTCGTGGCGCTGGGGAGCGAGCACGCGCACAGCTCGACGCAGAAGGGGGCCATCATCGCGGGGACCAAGTTCAGGTCGGTGCCGGCCGGGCGGCAGGACGGCTTCGCCATGACGGGCAAGGCCCTGCGGCGCGTGCTGGAGGACTGCGAGAGGGACGGTCTGGTGCCGTACTACCTGACGGCCACCCTGGGCACGACGTCGACGTGTGCGGTCGACAGGTTTGAAGAGATCGCCGAGGTGTTGAAGGACTATCCCAATGTCTGGGTGCACGTCGACGCGGCGTATGCGGGCGCGGCGCTGGTGTGCGAGGAGTATCAGCATGATCTGGCGCCGCCGCTCGCGCACTTTGACAGTTTCGACATGAACATGCACAAGTGGCTGTTGACGAACTTCGATGCCAGGTAAGCAGGCAGGCACACCACAGCACACTCAGCATTTCCCCCCAATCCTCCCCGTTCATTCATTCAAGAAAGAAATAAACCCCCCACCCCCACCAAACCAAAGCCCAAAAACCTAACCAAGCCACCCCCTCCTCCCCCCGGGGGCAACGAAAAAACAGCTGCCTCTTCGTCAAAAAGCGCTCCGACCTCACGGCCGCCCTCTCCATCACGCCCTCGTACCTCCGCAACAGCTTCTCCGACTCGGGCCTCGTCACCGACTACCGCGACTGGCAGATCCCGCTCGGCCGCCGCTTCCGCGCGCTCAAGATCTGGTTCGTGCTGCGCGCGCACGGCGCCGACGGGCTCCGCGCCCACATCCGCGCCCACGTCCGCCTCGGCGAGCTGTTTTGCGCCCTCGTCCGCGAGCGTGCGGACGTCCTCGAGCTCGTCGCCGGGCCCGCGTTCGCCCTCAACGTCGTCAGCGTCGTGCCGCGGCGGAAGTGGCTGCGGAGTCGTGCCGCGGGGGCGGCGGCGGCGGCGGCGAGCGGTGGTGGTGGTGGTGGTCGCCAGCGCCGCGTCAGCGTCAGCGCCAGCCAGCCCGATCCGGATCATGAGGCTTACCTGAATGATTTCACGTCCGATGCGGAGGAGCATGCGTTGCTGGAGGCGAACGAGATCACGAAGGAGGTGTATGAGACGATCAACAAGCGGGGCGAGATCTTCCTGACGAGCGGTATCGTTGGAGGCGTGTATGTCATCAGGGTCGTTGCCAGCACGCCGAGGGTGGAGGAGAGGCATGTCAGGAGGGCGTTTGATATCTTGGTGAAGACGGCTGAGGAGGTTTTGGAGGGAAAGGCTGGGGACGGCGGTGCCGTCGATGGGTCGGCGTAGAGGTTTGTGTTGTGTTGTAGATGGTAGAGCGCGGGTGTCGTTGTTGTCTTTGGCTGGAAGGCTGAAGGAAAATATGGGGGATGAGTAGATATCATGAAGGTGGATGTACAGTGTATGGAGCCTTTCTTTTGTATTGGTTCCTTCTTGGACATAACAACCGGGGTCTGCTTTTAATGGCTCCCCCCGTGCATTTCTTTTTCTCAGGGTGAATTTGGTGCTGGCACAATGACGGCACCGTTTTCCGGTATGCATGAGCCTCGAACCCCTTCTTCAGCAGCCAACGCAACCAGGATATAGTTCAATAACAACATCGTTGCCCGGCGATGATGCCGTCTTGCACTTTCTCTAACCACTTCGGTCGTTAGGCTACAGGACGGTGGCACCCTTTTTTGCACCCTTCTTTCTTCAGCCACTCAAACATCCAGGGACATACCATTGTGGCAATCGCTGAAGACTCCCTAAAGGATGATCTAACCTATCTGCCTACTCAAACAACTAATCCCCGAGGCCATCCCCCTCCCCCAGTCCATCACCCGCTCTTCCTCCCCTTTTCCCGTTGGGTATGCTTCCAGGAAGATGAGTTTGTCCGGTGATCGCAAGTTGGGTGCTTGGTCAGGTGTGTAGCCTGGAACGACTTTGGGAAGATTAGAGCCGAGAAGGGGCCCTTATCTGCTCTCCATTCACACTTCTCTAGAGATATTTAGTGGCCGAGAAGCGTAACCTTGGAAATGAGAAGTGGGAGGCTCGAGAGCCACCTTGCTGTCAAGAGGTGGCTTGGAAAACTGGTCCGTGAGGAAGGTTCCAATGAGCCACGATTACGGCGGCTAGTTTTGGTTCTGAGGGCATGGGGCCGCCGTGATGGTCACCCAATCTGCGTCCTTTTTTTTGTTCGATTCCGAGGAAGTGGTTTAATAGCTAGAGGGGAGTATATGCATAGTGATTGCTTTTTTTCTTTCCTTCTTTTTTTTTTAGTTCGCAGCAAACATTTGAGTTGTGCTACCATGCAAGTTGTTCTGATACACCTAAATCCACACCCGCGATTACACTACGAGGTATGGATCGCATGCAAGTTCCCCAGGTGAATATATATTCGGACGTCTCAAACAAACTGCTAGAGGTTCACGTCACACACAGGAAATCAAAGCATTCTGCGCCTCCCTGAGGACGGTCCGCTCTGCATTTGTGAGTGATAGGATCCAACATGTGGACGGATTTGTTCCGCGTCCAAGTCTCACGTCTACGTCCCATTTTGGGATTTAGCTACCTACGGCCGGGACATCCTCCCTCCTTGAACACCTTGCGTTTATTGTAGCCCTCCCTTTGTGTTCCCACAGCAAAAATCGTATAATGATTGCCCGCGCTTGAAGCATTTACTCAATCCTGCTCTGACAAGCCCTGACGAGTCGCCGCGGTCGTTTAACACCTCCGCGCCTCCACGAACCCAAGCCTCATGACACAGGCTTTCCTGTACTTTTTCCCTTTTTTCTTCCCTACTGCTTGGCAACTTTATTACGTCGGCATACCTCGACATGCGTGGCGCGGCCGATTGATGCTCTGGTTCCGAGTGCGCAGGGCTAGGCGTATCGCTGAGGAAGATTCCATTGCTTCTCTGGCAGGAATAGCTAGAGAGAGGGATGAATTGGCACCCTGACGGCCCGATCCTTGTCCTCAGTTCCGGGTGATTAGCGCTTGGATCCGCACTCAGTTCTCTTGAGAGGATTGTACGCAGTATCTGCGAGTGGGATGTGTGCTGGGAGCTGTAGTTCGCTATCGCACCGTAATTGAGAACGAGACTGTCTTCGATCGCTGGTTGCCATCGATGATATCATTGTGATTCCTTCGAGAATGTAATTTTCTGTTCGGTCATTGAATCCATGTCCTGTATGTGTGTAGCTGGCGCGATAGAGATGCTACTGACTCCAGCGCCAAAATAGAAATTGAGAAAATGAAAAAGTGGTACCGCGCTTCATTCCGTGATCTTCCCGTCCTTCTCTCTACTGTTGAAGTGGAAAGGCGGCGGCGGCGACGGCGGCAGCGGCAGTAGCGGTAGCAACCGGCTATGCTACAAAATACTTATAACACGCAAAGCCAGAGATCATCCAAGGGTCGTCCGCGGATCGATTTCCAGTCATCGAACAGCAATCACAGGCACTGAAAAACATGTAGGTCTCAAGACGCTGTCAGTTGGCCGGAAGTCCGATGACGTTCGTCGGATCTAACGTCGGAGCGCCTTTCTCTCCGTCGACCGGACGCTTGAAACAGTTGCGTGTGTGGGGCGTTCGGGCGGTCGAACATAAAGAGAAGCTTTGATGGAGACGAGTCAGTCGGTCACCCGGGTCGGCAAGTACCGAAGGCCTGCTACAAGGCAGGGTGTGAGAAGCGAAAGGGGGGTTAATGGAGACGAAAATATGGGGTGTTAATATTCCGGAGGCTTCGGTGAGCGCAGTGCTGCGATGGTTGCGTGCGACACTGCAAGCGAAAGGGAGAGAAATGAGAAGGCAGATCATGGCGGGCCATTACCGAGATATTGGCCGGATCCGTCTGCACGTACTGCGACTCAGCTGCTGCAGAGACGCCAATCAGTGCTAGGAGTCAATCGTAAACAATGTCCAGGTTATCGGCCTGAGACGTCGCTGCCGCTCCTTGGTGGCGTGCGTGATGCTGCAGCTTGCCGATGGATGAGCTTGCTAGAGGTCACAGGCCCAGGCCGTGCTCACCCTGAACGGATTCAAGACCATCGGGATCAATGCTATGCGCCAGTCCGTATTCTGCGAAACGGGATAAACAATAACTAATCATCGTACGAGACCGGTGGCCGAGCCCCGAAGCATATGTGCGTAGAGTTGGACTGGGGGTCATGTGCTGTAAGGTAGGCCTGGCTAAAGCTTCATGGTTTGCCGCCTGGACCTTGTCCAGGTGCATGTCGCGGTCAGCTAGTGCAAACATTCCAACAAGCAAAGACCGGACCGTACAGATGACTGCGACTGTGATCCGGGCAGTGTCTAAAGTCACCCGGACGAAGCCGCAGCTTCCCATGCTGCGTTGAAACGGAGTGTCCCGCAAGCAATCGCCCGCAGCGACTCCCTGTACATCCAGGGCGGAGGTGAGGTAGTCCTTGGCAGGCTGTGTTCATGCGGCACTAGTTGGATGCACAAGGAACATGATTTGCCACCACAGGCTTGTGTATCCAGGCTTCGGAGGGGAAGGGGCGGACCAGAAGGGGGTTTGGGCAATCGATGGCACAGCGCGAGTGTTCTGCTGTACTCTTTGGGGCGCAGGGTACGTGTCAAGCGAACGGTCGCGGCACCCAGTAACTATCAATAAAGCGACCGTCCTTGTCACAGCCACGGTGGACTTGGATGCCGTCGCGTGGATGGTGGATCTCCGATTCCACATGGTGCTGCATCTTGCGGACGTGCAGGCACGTACAGCCAATGCCGGTCCAGGGCTGCAAGGAGCAGGGGGGCCGTGGCTTGGGGTTCGTAGGATCGCTCAGCCGCGGTTATCAGTCTCTGTATTCTGCAGCGGGGGCGTGGTACCTGGGGGCCGTAGTCCGTAGCTCCGTGCTTTCATCACAGTTGGATTCACTCGTTTCCGATTCCCCGGCGCAACTGGCGCAGACAGGGAACAAAGCGTCGGCGCAGGCGGACTGCTGATGAAGGTGCAAGCAATATCCGCGCGCGTCCAGAGTACGTACTGCTCTGGGGCCTGGGGCCCGTCCTCAAACGGGCGCTCTGCATACGCACCAATGCGCCCGACCAAAGTCCGGCGTACGACGCCTGGACTCGGAGGTTGGGCACGACGAGACGATCCGTCTGAATGACTCCAGCTCACAGCGACGTCGTGGCCGGCACTGTGCGCGTTGCCCGAGTGGCCAGATGCATGCGGCGCAATAATGGGACGCGTGAGTGTGTGCTTATCGTGCAGTCCTGGCTGTCCTTCTTTCCGCTTGCTGTTGCAGAGTCCATGGCGGCGTAAGCGCGTGTGCTGAGATTCGAGCGTCGCGTGTCCAGTTGCAGATCGGTGCGGTGGCCAACGGCAGCTGGTGTGGCAATCGATGCTAGCCGGGCCCAAAGGAAGTCGAAGTGCTTAGTAGGATGGCTTCGTTCAAGTGCACTGCTGCTGCTGGACGTGGGAGAGGGCGGCGAAGAAAGTGCTGGCCGCTCGACAGGGATCTCGCGCCAAGACCAGCGCGACCGAACTTCTTTGCGACTACAGCGCAAGACTGCTTCGTGCGCGTGCCCACCGCCTTCGCCCACGATGCCGCCCAGACTATCAGCCCTGCGGGCTTTCAGCTCGCTGACGTCCAATCCGACCCCATGCCTATCCTTGTTCGCCCCGCTGCTCCAGCAGCCCCAGCAAACCCGCGCCGCTTCGATTCTTGCCGGCTTGTCTGACGCTCCCGGTGCCTACAACAAGAGGATACGGCGAGGCCGTGGCCCCGCCTCGGGGAAGGGAAAGACATCGGGTCGAGGTCACAAGGGTCAGAAGCAGCATGGGAAGGTGCCCGTCGGCATGAATGGTGGCCAGACGCCATACGAGGTGACGCATCCGGAGAAGGGTTTTGTCAACCTGTACGTTTCCACCTCGACGGTGTGCAAAACCTCGCTGATCACGGTGTTGCGCTAGCTTCTCCGTGGAGATGAGCCCATTGAACCTGGACCGTCTGCAGCAATGGATCGATCAGGGCCGCATCGATCCATCCAAGCCCATAACCATGAGGGAGCTTAACAACTCCAGATGCTTGCATGGCGTGAAGGACGGCGTCAAGCTGCTAGCTAGGGTAAGCGCTTTGAATTTTTCTTTCGGCTTTAATGGGGCCTCGGCCTGATGTGTTACTATAGGGCTCCGAGAAGTTACGCACTCCGGTGAATCTCGTAGTTTCGCGTGCCTCCGCAGCCGCCATTGCCGCAGTTGAAGCTGCGGGGGGCTCTGTAATCACGAGGTACTACTCGCCCAACGCCATCAAACATGTCCTGCGTGGTCTCAGCGACCCCATCGTCTCACTCCAAATGCCGAGTGAACTGGCCTCCGCATCCGGCAACTTCAAGTACAGACTGCCCGATGCCACGAGCAGAAAAGACATCGAATACTACCGTGATCCTGCCCACCGAGGCTATCTCAGTCACTTGGTTCCCGCCGGAGAAGGCCCAAGTTTGTTCTTCAAGACGCCGAACTCGAGCAAGGCCGTGAAGAAGAGTTCCACCAAGCCGAAGGGAGCGGCCGCCGAAAACCGGATCTGGTGAGCCAGGCGAGCAATTGCGGAAAGACTATGTATCATAAAAGGCTGCACGGTAGGCTTTCGGGCGTTTGTCATTTGGCACGTGGTAACGGGAAGCTTGAGCATCGAACAGGGCGGTGCGCCTAGGTAGGGTTGTGCACGCTTTGGCTGCACACCCAAATCTAAATGCAAGTGTTCATGTGTTGCGTCGCCATTGGCCATGTTTCTCCCGCAGGCGTGTTTGTCACTTTACCCTGATTGGCAAGTACATCGCAATCTATGAAGCAGCCAGGCTCTCTGCGCTGACTGGTAATCCTATCATCTCGTCATGAGACGCCAATGCATAGACATCACTCCAGCCAACATGCACGGCTGCGAGGCTATTTCGTCCCAAGGGATGCGCGGTGGCCACCACCAGGCTTCGTGCTATTGATTCCGGAGAAGCGATAATGGGGTCGATCATGGAAGTGGTGGCATGAAGAAGGCTGAACGCGCAAGTGCGCACAGGTAACTGCGTTTCATTCTCTGCTGCCGGTGACACTCCTTCTGGAAAAGCCTCCTGCAGCAGCAAAGCAGGTACAAGGTACAACACAAGCGCATCTGCAACGTTAGACGTGAGGAGCCAATGATGGCAAGGGGCACGGGGACCGCAATTTGAGCGGGTACCTCGCCGTCGTTGGAGTATTCCGCATTCCGCCTGCCGGCTGATGCATGTTGGTTCTTCCGTCGCTGACCTCGTAGAAATTAGCAGTATCACCGAGCCGGTCAACAAGCCTACGCTTGCTGGGCAGTGAGATTTGACGCAAGTGCTGACGGAAGGTGCCCAAGTAACGGAATGAGGCTGACCGACGTGGTGCGCACGTATGGGAATGCAGGAGAATTGCCCATCGTTTCCCGTGCGGGGCCACATGCAGAAATCCAACGAGGCCCCGACCGGTAGCACATGGTTTTGCAATAGGCCGATCTATGGAACCAGCCGTGCTCTGGGTGGTGGTGTACTGCGGTTAGATATTGCACTGCGGAGGCACGGAATGCACAGCCGAGGTCGCTTGGGCTGTGGGCGAAGGCAGCGGGGGGCACGTCTCGTCAGCCTGATTGCGGAAGCATCGTCCAGTCATGTCGAACATGGTTGAGGGGCCATGCTTTGATGCAGCAAAGAGGCGTGGTGGCCGAAACACAAACCCAGCCGCGAACCGGAGGTCGTGCATCCGGAGGTGGGCGTGGTGGCGAGAAGTAATGCAAGCGGTCAAAAGCAAGGCCCGGGGAGCAGTCGGACTTAGCCCCATCAGCGCGATCCGACCATCCACACGTACGTGGGAGCTACCTGCTGTTTCAATGTTGCCGGAGGCGGTCAACGTGACGACCGGGGATCTTCAACGCGGTTGGGCGGAGACGGTGACCGTACAGGGAAGTCTAGCAGGTTCAACTCTCGGCGCCGGCTGACGATGATGCGGCGGGTCGTACTGGACACGAACAAAGCTTCTGGCGCCAAGGGATATTGGATTTGAATCAGGACCCTCGCCAGAGGCAGGCCGGTCTGTTTTACGAAGCGTTGGACCCTTGGCGGGCGGTTGGGCCTCTCATGACCACGGCCCATAAAATAGCGGAGTATGGACACCCAAGAGGTGGTGTTTACTGAGACGGAACCAACGCCGGCAGACCGACACAGTGAGCGTTACGAGCCGTGCTGGGAAATGTGAGCAGCCGAGGACACGTCGAGCCAATAATAGCGGCATGACGACAACCACCGGGGCCGGGGAGCATGGACAGTGCCTTGCATGAGACAGACGACGAAGATATTTGCTGCGCCTCGAGGGCGAGAGCAGACGATCGTGACTCCATCAAGGACGTAAGCCAGCAGAGACGGCGCAAGACTGCATTCCGGCAGGCGTGTCGGGGGCTGCTAGCGAGGCGTCGCACATGATTCAGGCGGACAAGGCCCAGGAGGGCGCTGGCGGCGGGGCTGGCAGAAGCTAGAAGAAGTGGCCGAAGGAGCAGAGGGCGGCGATGCTGGATGATCGCGAGCCGTGACCAGGGCCCTAGCGGAGACGGCGAGGGCGCTGGGTGGGCGGCGGGGCACACGGAGCGAGCGTGTGGCGGCGCGGACTGCTGGCTCGGTGGCCTGGGGGCGCTGCTCCGCTGGCTTGCGTGCTGCTGGCCGCGTTGCGCTGGCGGCCGGGCACACGGCAAGCTAGGCGGCGCTCAGGTGCGAGCAGAGCGGCGCTGGTTGGCTTGTCGTGCGATCCATGTCGCGTCGCTGCTGGGGCGTAGTGTTCCATCGGACCGGCGAAACTGGCGCCCTGGACTCGGGTTCGCAAGACGCGGCGTGATGCATGCTGCGCGCTTCGGGCAACAGATCCTTGGGATGCGTCGAGAGATTTGGCGGCGAGCGGCGGCCGGAGTCTGGTGAGGACGAGTGGAGAGCGCCTGCTGCATCGGGACAGGTGTGGGCGAAGGGCGAGCAAACAACACCGGCAACCCTGTGGCGAGCGCTCCGGCCTGCGCCATACGTCCTTACGCGACCGCATTATTCGATAGTCGGGCGCCAGGGATGCGTAAGCTCAGCCTTTGCTCGCATCACGTAACGACGCCCGCGGCCAGTCGCCGTCAGACGCGCTGCTGTTTGCAGGCCAAGGCCAGCTCCAGCTCCAGCTTCAGCCCAGCCCCCGCCGGGCATGCCGGGCAAGGTGCCGCGCAGCTCGCCTCGCCGCGCCCAGACAGGAGCACAGCACAGTGGCTATCAAAGAATTGACCCTCCTGCGCCCCCGCGCAGGACGCTACGCGCTTCCTACGTGGGCGGTTGAAGCAAATATCGGGACGTAGATGCGAGTTTTAGAACTGTACTAATACATCCAGACATCCGACCTCACTACCCACCCTACTACTAGGGCGCCGCATCCCTGCCCGTGAGACGGACGGATGTAGGTCGGCTCAATTCTTCGCGGCCCACCACTGGGGCAGCGAGCAAGCAAGCAAGCAAGCAAGCAAGCAAGCAACGCAAGCTGGCAGGGCAGATCGCGTGCCGGCGCGGATGCAAAGCGCTGGGCGGCCATCCCGGTCGGCCGCCGCTGCCTGGCTCCGTCACCCTGCCTGCGACGCGCCAGCTGCACCAGCACGCGGCATGCAAAGAAAAAAAATATCAAATTATGACGATACGCAGGGAGGCACACGGTCGCGACGCACGCCCAGGCCCCGAGCCGCCGCCCATTACGCTTCCGCTTCGGGCCTGGCGCGCCGGGCTCCCCCTCGAGCCTCCTGAGTCGGGTGTGTTTACCCCGTCCGCGGTCCGCGGCGTGCCTCATCAGCAATAACCTCGCCGCGCCGGGCGGGCTCCAGCTCGTATGACTTGCTGCTCCGTCGGCCACAGGAGGCGCCCACAATCTCCGTCGATCTCGGATGACGCGGGTGCGCTCTGGACGGCGAGGCTGGAATTTGCGCGTACACGAGACAGGGGACGAGGCTCGCCATCCCTACCGCCTTGGAGCACCCCCACCGCGGCTGGATGGGTGGTGAGCGGTGCCGATCTGGCCAGGTGAGACTTGCCTGTTGCGGGTGGTCGTCGGGAGCTTTGTCGTGGCGGTGATTGGGCGGCGCGGGGCTGGAGCACCGCAGGGCCAGCTCCTTGCTTCGCCCGCTGCCTCTCTGGGCCTCCGGGGGCCGTGAGCACAGGCGCGGTTTGCGGCGCACGGGCGCTCGCTCAACAGCAGCGTGCGGAATGCCGAGTCGAAAAGCAATACGCAGGCGCGCCAAGGGGGCGGCCGCCGGGCTGTGGGCGGGTGGTGCGTCTGGCCGCCGGGGGCAAGAAGGTATTGGCGAGACGCCCGCAGACTCACCGAGCAACACCAGCAAATTTGCAGCAGGATTCTGCGAGGCGCGATCAGCGACGACGCGGCGCGGCAAGGTTTCGGCGCGGAAATAGATGGCTTTAGGGTAAGACAGCGAGCCACACGCCGGCGCGTTCGTATCGCGCAGCGAAACAAGGAGCGCAGCGCTGAGCGGCGCACCACACAAGGGTCGGGTGTGGCAGCATTCAGACAGAAGACGCTTCACGGCATGGGGGCGGCGCCAGCAGGCAGAGGCGGCAGAGGCAGCAGGCGGCTGGCAGCTGGCCGGGAGGTAGCAGGCCCGCCGCGCGCGCACAGCTGCTCCACCGGGCGGCCACTGCACACATCCACACGCGCGCCCTCGCAGTCACCGTTGCGCAGTGGCAGGCTGTGGGCTGGATCGCCGGCAGAGTTTAGAGCGTGCTGCTGCTGGCAGCCTCGAGCTCCACCCGCGGCCGGCCAATGGCGGGCGCTGGCGGGCGCTGGCGGACGAGACAGCTCATGACCTAATCATCCGCGGCCGGTTTGATTGAGCGCAGGCGTGACCGGGCGCGGGCATGGATGGGGCCGTCATCGCGGCCGTCAGGCTCGCCGCAGAAGGGCAAGCCGCACTGACTCTGCTTCGGCGGTGCTGGAGGATGCGGTTAGGGCGCAGCGCAGCGCTCAGCAGCGGCTGCACCGTAACCGCTCGAGTAGCGCGCCCCCAGTGCCCCCAATCTAACACCGGCATCCCATCCTCCATCCACCACGCGCGCACGCACATGCCCGGCCGGCTCTTTTTGCGCCTGCCCCAACCCCTGCCCGCAGGCTAGTGGGTGTCGCGCGCTCGCCCACGGCACGCCTGCGCCTGTCTGTCGCCCCGGGCCCAGCGCGACACGCTCTCTTTTCGGAATCATCCTTGTTGTGCTGCTGCATATCCACCGCGCTGGTCGTTGGTTGCTCTGACATCAACCACGCCGTGCTGCCGCTTCCCACACATCAATTTGGATCAGCCTCTTGGGGCTTGCTCCTCCCCAGTGCCCCCCAATGCCTGGAACCTTCCGCTCGAAGACGGCCGCAATCACGACGCCTGACTAGTCCTGAATAATGCCGTTTTATCAAAACCGGTGCCTCTCCGCCCAGGCGATGCGCAGCCTACGCAAAGCGAAACGCCATCATCCTCACTTCCTGTCTTGATCGTCCCGCACCCTACCGCTCGCCTTGTTCTCCTGCTGCCTACTAAACCACCTTCCTGCCTCGCCGCCCTCACCATCCTCCACCACTGCCCACCCATAGCGTGCCACCGCGGAAACCGCGCTGCATATTTGCGAGCATACCTTGGACCCGTCGCCGCCGCTCCTTGCTTAGCACCCCAGGGAGCCAGAGCATTTTCCCCTCCACTCATTCTGGCAATGTTGTGAAGCCCGTTGGAGCTCCTTCCTCGGCAGCCCAACACCGCCGGTGACGACACTAAATCCACCCTCTTCGCCTCCAACGCACCGCCTCCCGCCCTCATGCTGCAACTACAGAGACCGCAGTCAATGCCTCACGCCCTCGCTCTGGACCGCTCGCAGCCTGCTCCCGTCTACCCGCCAGCCCGCACCCACAAGCCCCAGCACGAGCAGCTGCCGCTGCGGGACTCCCGCTCTCTGTACGCTCCCGGCGAGAGTTGGCAGGCACGGCCAAGCGCACTTGGCAACCCTGCCGCCCCTCCCGTCGACATGACCAGCGTACAGCGAGGCCACAATGCCTTGCCGCAACCTGCCAGCAGCTATGCTGTTCAAAGACCCGGCGATGCCGCCTTTGTCACCAAGCCGCAGCATGTCCACCAAGCTCCGGAAGCAAACACCAAAGCCATGACTGCCTCTCTCAGGCCCGCCTACCAAAACGGCCCTCAGCCCGTCTACCGCCCGCAGAGTCCGTCCGCCCGCGGCAGCAGCAACAACACCACCTCCGAGGACTACCGCAATGCGAGGAGAGCTTCAAACCAAGCCATTGCTGCTTCACTGCAGATTCCCACGTCGATCCTCACCCCGCAGACCAGCATGCCTCAGCTTGCTGCTGAGGTGAGTCCCTGGAGTGAACTTCACCCTCGTTGCCCCCAAAACTGACTTTTGACTAGATTACGTGCCTCTTCTGGTTTGAAAACTCTTCCACCCTGCACCAGGCCCTGGATTCGTTAGCGCCGCCGCCGACTGGCCTCGTCCCTGACGCACAGCCTACCACGGGTTTCCGAAAATGGGTCACGACCATACTCTCCACTACGCAGGTCACGCAAAACGTGGTGATCCTCGCCCTCCTGTTCATCTATCGGCTCAAGACAATCAACCCTGGAGTTAAGGGAAAGCCCGGTAGCGAGTATCGGCTGCTTACCGTGGCATTGATGCTTGGAAATAAGTTTTTGGACGACAACACGTACACAAACAAGACTTGGGCGGATGTTTCCGGGATTTCGGTTCAAGAAGTGCACATAATGGAGGTTGAGTTCCTGAGCAACATGAAGTACAACTTGTTTACTTCTGCCGAGGAGTGGAGTGAGTGGCATGTTACGCTTGGCAGGTTTGGAACGTTCTTTGAGAGAGCTTCTCGGGCACCCTCGGAAGCATCCTCCAGAGCACTTGGCCCTCCTACTCCGACCCTTCGCGTGCCTCCGAACCTTCCGTCGCCGCCGCATTCGACACAGGCCTCGCCTCCCTTCCTCAATGGATTCTCGCCGAACAACAACAACTCGTACTCCAACACGCCGACACTGTTGCCTCAAATCAGCTCCGCAGCTGTTTCCCCGATCGGACCATTGCCCGAGCTCAACCTGCGGCCTGGCTCAAGAAAGCGTAGTTATGACGATCAGGCGCAAGAACCGGCACCGAAACGGGCATTGAGGCACTTTGCCCCAACTGAAAACCAGCCTGCATACGCAAGCGTTCCTCCCCAATCCGGCCCAACTCAACCAGCTGCTCCTCACCCAACGACGAGTATTCCTCCGATGCTGCCGCCTCTCCCCAACCTGTCTGTTCCTCAGCTTCCGCCTCCGAACACCAGGTCGAATTCGCTGGTCTACCCTCCCCCAATGCAATGGTCCCAGCCGTCGTCGATGCCTCCGGCTCCCGCCGCGACGCTTCCGCCTGCGCTCTCGATCCCGCAGTCCCAACCGTCTGCACCCGGGCCTTCGCGTCAGCTGAGCCCGTTGCCTACCGAATCTGCCGCAAGCTCACCGTTGCACCCTGGGTTCGGGCCGGGCGCTCCCAAGCAGAACAGGCTTTCTCCCTCTTTCTATCTCTCACAACGCAGCTCGCCTTACAGGCCCGTCAGAACTGTGAATACGCTTTTGGTTCCTCCGCCATCGACATCGATTAGCCATCCTCCACGCCTTGGCTTTGACCAGATGCAGTACCAGCCACTTGGCAGGCCGTCGAACGAGCGCCGGCTTGGTCCTTTGCCTTACATGAACCACGACGCCTGGCCCACGACGAACCAATTCAACCAATGGCCTGTTCTTCCCCAGCCGAATTTCTCACGATAGATTTCCTTTGGATTCTGTCAGACTTTCACGAACATGGATCCTGATCAGGGTCACAATTGCATTTTATTTGGCGTTCTAGATGGGTTTGCACGAAGTCCATGCCCTATACACATGGGGCAGACATTTCTTTTTTCTCGTTCGAGCAATTGCATTGCAAGGATGGAGAGCCATAATCATTTCTGGCTCCCAAGCTCTCGCTAATGTTGATGGTGGATGTTGCATGGGAACGGCGTTTGCAGAATATACCCAGACTTTGCCGCTGGCTTCGCCCGTAGAGGCTTCTTTTTTTTTTTTTTCCCCAAGTTCTGGGCGGACAATGGTCTTTCCATCAGTATTGCTGGGATGGCAGTTCCATGAGCTGACTCGGATGTGACGAAGGGTGGATTGCACTGCATTTTAGATAGGTATAGCTACACAGGAAGGAAGTTGCCGGTCGAAAGAATGCCGGTAGAACGAGTACCAGAAATCCAGATGTTGAACTCGCTCAATTCCTACGCTCATTGGCTGATGCAAAGCTCAAATCAACCCGATCAATCCACGTGAGGCACTGTGCCTGGAGCACTTGGCGGCTGGGCTACCGAGGTCCGGCGAACGTGAAAGGTACTAGGTACACGATCAAATACTGGAGACCAACAGAGCCCAGAGCTGTCCCTCGTCAGCTTACCTTTCCACGGGTTTCTTGATGCTCCTGACGGGCAGACTGCGTGTGACCCGGTTTCTCCACCTTTCAGCTCTTGACGCCATCCTCAGCGGGCCGCTACGCATCAGCTGGCCGTGTTCCAGTCTGGCTAGCCGGACCTTGTCAACGCAAAGCAACATCATGCAGGACGACGACGACTCGATCAACGGCAACCGCTACATCCCGTTTACCGAGCTGATCCGGCTGGATGATGAGACGGCCGCCGTCTCCGCGGACGGGACACGTTCGTTCAAATCCGTGGCCAAGGCATTTGCTCCCGCCGGCGGCACGGCGGCGTACGGCGGGCACGTGTTCGCGCAGGCGGCGTGGGCGGCGGCACAGACAGTGAAGGAAGGCTTCGTGGTCCATGTACGTGTGATGGGATAACCCCTACCCTGCCCACCGGGTGATTATTATTATTGAAGCTTTGAACGCGTTCGGCGGGAACCTTGTTCCCGTTTTCTCCCCTCCCCCCCCTCCTTCCCCCCCTCTCATCTGCCCTAACTCGGCCTTCCTCCTTTCTTTTTTCCTCCAGCACCGGTTTCCTGTTTTGGTCTGCGACGTTTCGATCCGCGTGCTCTAGTCTCGTGGGTGGCGCTGCTCCGTTTAATTGCTTTTTTCCTTCTTTCCCCTCTCTCTATCTTTCTATTGGTTCTGGGATGATTCCTGAGAGCATGCCGGTTGCCATCCCCTCGAATCAGCGGCCGGGGCTTTCGTACTCGTTTTGACCATTCGTGTTCGTCTCGAGCACTGCGGCAGATTCTGACGTTCGCAGAATGTTACTGGATACTTCACGCTGCCGGGCAACACGGCCTTCCCGTTCATCTACTCGGTAAGAGTGGTCCGGGACGGTGGGAGATATTGCGCGCGCACGGTCGAGGTGGTGCAGGAACACAACAAGGCGGGCGTCTGCTTCACGTGCACGTGCTCTTTCAAGAAGGAGGAGGCGGCGGGGTCGGTAGATTGCCAGGACCGGATGGATTTGGGGGAGAAGTACAAGGTAGCCCTGGGCAACAGACGGCCGGACGAATGGCCCGAGGCACCCGGGGTCGATTCACCCTGGTGAGTTATAATAAAAGTGCGGGCGGAGGAGAAGGAGGAGATGAAGGCTGACGTGGGCGGATTGCACAAAACAAAAAGGTACTGGGAATCATCGGCGCAGAATGGCAACTACACGGATCCGTTCCCGGGACTGTCCTTGCGGAAGGTCGACATGGAGGCGTACAACGCGCCTCGCAAACCCCTGGACCGCAGGCAATTGCAGTTTTACACGACCATCGGGAGCATGCCTCCAGTCTCGCAGAGCGCCAACTTGCATGCATGCGCGCATCTGTACGCGAGCGATCGCAATGGGTTGTTCGTCATTACGAACCATCTTGGCGCGGGCGACGATTACTCGGCAATGGCTTCGCTGAGCCATTCGGTCGTGTTTCACGTAGGAGCCAGAGAGCTGGCCATGGCGGAGCTAGATGAGAAGGAGGCGAGGAGGTGGTATTGCCAGGAGTCGTGGATGAGCAGGGCCGCAGGGGGAAGAGGCATGGTCGAGAGCAAGATATGGGATGGGAGCGGCGTGCACATTGCTAGCACGCATCAAGACGGGCTAGTGAAGATCAACAGCAGTATGCTTGGGACGACAGCTGCGAGAGGGAAACTGTAGAGACGGGGGTTTCGCCAGTTTGAGTTGTTGGGACAGCATAGCGTTGATGGTGTCGTTGGAACAGGGCTTCGTCTTTTATTGCTGCGCTTTCGCGTCGCCTAGAGAGATTTTTCCCCCCATCCCTGCTGTTCTGAGAGAATGGCTCCCGGCGCAGTGACTTCAGTCAGAGGCAGGCGGAAGACATTACCTCGGAAAAGGGCGCGGACATGCAGGCGGGTGTCGGAACAAGGCCAAATCCGCCGTGTGCGCAAGCTCGCCGTGCTAGGTACCGCGCAGACGGACCGCATCCAGAGCGTCGGTCCATGCTGGTGTGATATCAGGTCTCCTCGGTTTGGTGTTTGCATATAAGTGCCCAACGCCGCCGTCGCCCGGCGTCCCCAACGCTTCCGCTGGCCTCGCACGCCGCACGCCGCCCGCCGACATTCGCGCGCACGAGCGCAACCTCGGCCATTGTCCGCCGTTGTCGTCGCGATGGAACCCTGTTGCCGTTCCCCCGGACCCGCCCGAACAAAGAAGGCGCCTGCAGCCGGTGGGCCGTGAGGACCCGATGCATGCTGTCATACAAAAAGAGCAGCCGTCGCGCTCTGCACACGGCGGAGCCGCAGCTGGACCCTCGACTCGCGGACCGCGCTACGGATTTCCGACTCCGCAGTGCTCTGAGCGCCGTCCTTTGACCCGCGAAACACCATTCGTCCGCGGCCCCAATGCAGCGCTGAAGGCCGCTCCGGAGGGCGCAGTGGAAACAGGATCCTGCCGTGGACCTGCGGGGCGTGGATTGGCGGCGCGTTATCGGCGAGCATCGAGGGCAGAGCGGGCGGCGCGGGTGCTCACAGGACCCGTTAACGGTGCAGGGCCCTGCTAAGCAAAATCGTCATCGCGCTGCTGAAAAAAAGGCCCGCTCTGACTGACTGCATCGCCGTCCTCACCACCATCCCTCGCCGTGCCAATTCGACGTGTGCAATGGCACCTCCTGCCGCCCTGAGGCCAATGGCCCCAGCCGGCTTCCAGCACGCTCTGCGCTTCGCCCAGCGCCGTGCTTTCTCGACCCGCCCGCGTCCTCAGCTTGCCTCTCCCCAGCTCCGTCGCGCGCCCGCGCCCTCCCCGCTGACCGCGCATCCCGCTCTTCGCAATGCCTTCCGTCGCGCCTCCACCGCCGCCGCGCCGCCCAAGAAGAAGGGCTTCCGCCTGTTGCGCTGGCTCTGGCGCGCGACCTATGTCTCTGCTATCGTTGGTATTGGCTACGCCGGCTACGGAATCTACGACATGCGCAACCCCCCGGATCAGCTGCAGCCCGATCCCAAGAAGAAAACCCTCGTCATCCTCGGTGCGCTGCCCTGCCGCGAATCCGTCGAGAGCGCGTGTATTGACCCTTGGCCACAGGTACCGGTTGGGGCTCCGTCTCCCTCCTGAAGAAGCTCGATACGGAAAACTACAACGTCGTCGTCATCTCTCCCCGCAACTACTTCCTGTTCACCCCGCTACTCCCGTCATGCACTACTGGTACCATCGAGCACCGCTCCATCATGGAGCCGATCCGTAACTTCCTGCGTCACAAGAAGGCTGCCGTCAAATACTACGAAGCCGAGGCCACCAAGATCGACTACCAGAAGCGCGTTGTCTACATCCACGACGAATCCGAGATCAAGGGTGATGTTTCCGCGACCGAGGTTCCTTTCGACATGCTCGTTGTCGGTGTTGGCGCCGAGAACGCTACTTTCGGTATGTCGCGTGCTGGGCCGAATTGAACTTGTCTGACGTAGATCGCAGGTATCCCCGGTGTGCGCGAGCACGGCCTGTTCCTGAAGGAGGTCGGCGACGCCCAGAAGATCCGCAAGCGCATCATGGACTGCTGTGAAACTTCGATTTTCAAGGACCAGGACCCTGAGGAGATCAAGCGCCTTCTGCACATGGTTGTCGTCGGTGGTGGCCCTACCGGCGTTGAATTCGCCGGTGAGCTGCAGGATTTCTTCAACGGTGATCTCAAGAAGTGGATTCCCGATATCCAAGACAACTTCCACGTCACTCTTGTCGAGGCTCTTCCTAACGTGAGTACCCGGGAGTGCATCCGAGAGGCCTCTAGTATGACTGACCGCACCGTTTAGGTTCTTCCCATGTTCTCCAAGCAGCTGATTGACTACACCGAGCGGACCTTCAAGGAGGAAACCATCACCATTCGCACCAAGACCATGGTCAAGAAGGTTACCGACAAGTACATCGAGGCTGAGTCTACTGGTCCCGACGGCAAGAAGGTGCTCGAGCGCATCCCCTACGGTCTCCTGGTTTGGGCTACTGGTAATGCTCTCCGCGATGTTGTCAAGGACCTGATGTCGCAGATCCCCGCGCAGAAGGATTCTCGCCGTGGCCTCGCTGTCAACGAATATCTCGTGGTTAAGGGTACTGAGAACATTTGGGCCGTTGGTGACTGTGCCGTCGCCAACTATGCTCCTACCGCCCAGGTCGCCGCTCAGGAAGGTGCTTTCCTTGCTCGTCTGTTCAACAACATGGCCAAGACCGAGCAGATTGAGGATGAGCTGAGCAGTCTTTCGCTTGCTCAGGAGAAGGCTCCTTCCAAGGATTCTCGTGACGAAATCTTCGCCCAGATCAAGGATCTGCAGAAGCGCCGGCGCCGCGTCAACCAGATGGGTCCTTTCGAGTATTCCCACCAGGGCTCCCTGGCGTACATTGGCAGCGAGAAGGCTGTTGCCGATATCACCTGGCTCACCGGTAACTTTGCAACCGGTGGTACCCTGACCTACTTTTTCTGGAGGAGCGCGTACTTGAGCATGTGCTTCAGCAGTAAGTTTCGGCGATTCCGAAGTCCACTTGGGAACATAGCTGACCTGATATCCTAGCTCGCAACCGTGTTCTTGTCTTGGTCGACTGGGTCAAGGCCAAGGTCTTCGGACGTGATGTGTCTCGGGAGTAGATCCCCTTGAACATATCACCCTTACGCGTTCGCCCCCACACTTCGTCTCATATCTATGTACCAACGGGTCTGGCTGATGAAGACACATATCGCTAGAGGTGAAAGAGCAGCCTAAGACCGATAAAGACTCATTCCTGTTTGGTCTAGCTAATATTGTGGGTTGCTGGTCGGCTCGGGCTGTGACACTTTCCTATCACGTTTGATATCTCTAGGTTTGCGGGTTGGCACTTATCGTTTATACATAGATTGGATCGTTGGTTTTCATGTACAATGTCATTTTTATATTGATGTATTTTTCCAGCGCCAATCTGGGCCTACTACGTAGGTAGCTCCTAGCGGGTCGTCGTTCCCGGCGGAATCATCTCGTGACTCGGCGTTCTGGTTGCGCCGAGCCCTAAAGTCATGTGCGTCATACTACCAGGATAGGAATTCGAAACGACTACGTCAAGACTCGCGGAACACAGTGAGATTGCGGATCGATAGAGTACAGAAGAGAAGTGCCTGAAATCGATTCTCTGCTTGCAATAATGTCGTATTCAGGTTCTCTCAACTCAAGACCTGACTGACCATTGAGCCAACGCACCATCTTTCTATATATCGTCCTCTGCTGCCCCCAGTTCACCTCTGTACCTCCACCCTCCCATATCAAAGATTAAAGCAGCGTCGACGACGCGTCAGTAACCACGACACCACCACCACCAACAGCAAACAAACAACATCGCACCCCCCTCCCCTCCCGCAAACAAACATGGGCATCCCCTACAGCACGGCGCGGTGGGTGGCGCCGGCGTCGTTCCTGTTCGACTTCGCGGCGCAGCAGTACGGGATGCTGTCGACGCCGAACATGAAGGACGTGCACGACGCGAACCCGTCCTTCTTCAGCCCGCAGCCGTACGCCGTCGCGCTCTTCTTCTTCCCGCAGCAGCTCGCGCAGCTGTGGTGGCTGTGGCGGCTGTGGCGGCGGCAGGGCAGCGAGCGCGACGTCAGGGAGATGGTGGACTACGTGCCCGTGTACGCGCTGGGGAATGTGTGTATTGGGGGTGAGTTTTTTTGTCTTCTGGTTCTGGTTCTGGTTCTGGTTCTGCTTCGTTGTTGTCGTCGTCTTTCTTTTTTCGGGTTTGCTTTTCTCTTTCTGTCTCTCTTTCTCTTCAGCTCTTTTTTATTTTGCTGCTCCTGTCAGTTTCACATGAAGGCAAAGGGAAGGGTGGTTGTAGAAAGAGAGAGCGAGAAAGAAGAGAGAGAGAGAGAGAGAGAGAGAGAGAGAGAGAGAGAGAGAGAGAGAAGAAAGAAAAAAAGAAAAAAAGAACAGAAAACGCTGATCGCCTTCCCCCACAGCATGGATGTTCTTCTGGAACTCGTCGCACCTCCGCGCCTCCAACGCCTTCGTCGCCCTCAACACCATCTCCCAGCTCGCCTACCTCACCACCGGCCGCCTCGGGCCCCTCCGCACCTCCAGCCCCTCGTCGGCCCTCACCCACGTCGTCGCCAAGACCTTCGCCGGCATCGGCGTCCTCGACCTGCTGCACAACACCTCGGCCGCCTACTTCCCGGGCGTCCTGTCGCCCGGCGCCGCGGTGAGGGTGCTGACGGGCGTGGGGTTCGCGGTCGCGGGCGCGGCGAGCGATTGGATTTTGGGGGGCTGTTTGGTGTATGATCTTTTGGCGTTGGCGGTGGGGCAGCGCGAGGTGGGCGAGGGGCGGTGGGCGGGGTTGTTGGGCGCGTATGCGGTGGGGACGGCGGCGGTGGTCGGGTTGGGGAATTGGGTGATGTGAGTGTTTTGATCATCCTCTCTCTTCTCCTCTCCTCTCCTTCAGTTGGTTCGGTATGTGTGGGCTGGGCTTTGTGTGTTGGGGAGTTTTTTGTTCATTTATTTTTCTCTGAATGGAGGGATTGCTGATGTGTGTCGTGTGCGTTTTGTTGCTAGGCCTCGGTATACGGATGGTAAAGACGATTATGTCAGGGTTCGGGAGGAAGACGAAGAAAGTGGGTGAGGCGGGATGCCGCATGCTTATGTGATGTGTCTTATTCTTTCCTTTGGAGTTGGTATTGCGTGCATCGATGTTGTTGAGAAGACGAGTACTTTTTATGCAGTTTGATCGATGTGGAGAGAATTTACAATTGCCTCTCAATGTGATTTGACTTGCATTCCGTCCTGAACCCCGTGCACTGGAAAAGGCAGCAGTTGCCATTTCAGGGCATTGGATGACCCGTCCAGCGCTTTATGAGCTGAGTGTCTTTGTTGACTTACGGTTCACTAGCCTATAGTGACAATAGTCATAGTTCTTTGTGCGAGGTGGAGCTTTGGGACCGCGCCATGATGGACAATATCGCACTTCGATAAACCTACAGCTCTTTCTTGCCTTTTTCTTGTTAGAATGCCGTTGCTGCGATTGGATGATTCGCCAGCGTTTGCAGCCTCGTTGGGGGGGACCCACACGGTCCGGCGGGGATCGACGAGCGGGCCCCCGCAGACCCTGGTCTTCCAGCAAACGCAACCGTTGCGCAGGAGCAAGGCAGTGAAACAATATCAGGGTAGGTTTTTAAGTGAGACGATAGAGTGGCCATAGAAGTAACCAAGATCCATGTTCATTCAGAACCGAAGATATGCGGTGCGGACAAGAAGAGCATCCTCAAGGGCGTGGGAGTCGCGGACGTGGGGGTCACTCTCCAGTATGACTGCAAGGCTCCGGCGAGGGCGGGAACGGCAGCGTCTTACGGTCAGTTCCCCCGAGTAATCTCATCAACATCAAGGCGTGCAATCAATTTTTGTTTTTATTTTCCGACGGAGTTGCCACGGCCCCAGTTGCGGCGCGGTGTTGACAAATAGCTCGGTTCCATAGTACCGCCACAAGAAGTGTGCGCAGTGGATGCGAACTGTCGGCTGCAACAGTCATCTGCCCTTGGCTCGTACCGGATTTGGCAAGTGCAGTGTCACCGGTTCGGTTCCGGCTCACGTGCAGCCGGCGTGACACGGGAGGCGCCTCGTAATACCTCGAGCGCTGCTGGGCTTCGGGATGGCGGGTGTCGGAGTCGAGGACAGGAGAGCTGATGAAATGCAGGCGGGTCGGACTTCCGCATGCGGGCAGATACGGCGGCGGGACTCGGGAATGTGCGTGACGCAACACACGCGTCCCAAGGCACGCTGAGTGCCTTTATATCGTGGATGCAGGGACGGCGGGACGGGCGGGAAGAGTCGGTTCGATTCTCGAGCCATCCTTGCGCGGCGGACATGTGGCTGGCGCAGTCGGTCCGCGGTCAGCGCGCCGGGCCACGAAAAAAGCACATGGCGGTCGCAGTGCCGAAGTCGGGATCCACGATCAAGGCGGACAAAGATGAAGTAATGACTGGGCGGAGGCTGATGGTCGCGTGGGCTGGGGCGCGGGTTGAGCCTGTCACCGCGCGGCGATAAGAGCGCGCTGCTTTTAGCCTCACTCCCCGCGCATCACCTCCGGCCTCGCGCAGCCAAGCCGCTGGGTGGCAGGTCGGCTTATCAGCCGCGACTCTATCAAGTGGGCGGTAGTGTCCAGGAAGCGCCCTCGCATGACCAAAAGACGGCGCTGCCCTCGCGCACCCTCATCCTGCCGAGGCGTCATACGCCAGACAGTCTCAGTTGATATAGCCAGCTGCCATATCGCTGTCGCAACTCCCATCCCGCCTGCCCCTCTCCCCGCAGACCCCCATCCTCGCCCTCAACATGGCAGACTCGTCCCCGCCCTGGTTGGGCCTGCGCACCGTCTTTGAGCCCTCGCTCCCCGCCTACTGCGAGCCCGAATCCGACTTCCTCTTGCACTTCTCGTCGGCCTTCCACACCTGCGTCCCCACCAAGCTTGCCTTTATCTCCTCGCTTCTCGGAACCCTCAGCATTGTGTCGTGGCTCTTCGCCCAGCTCCCGCAGATATACAAAAACTACACCCTCAAGAGCACCTCGGGGCTCAGCATATTCTTCCTCGGCGAGTGGCTGCTGGGCGATCTGTCCAACCTGCTGGGCTCGCTGTTCACCGACCAGGCGCTGTGGCAGATCATCATCGCCTGCTACTATTGCTTTGTCGACTGCTGTCTGGTCGCACAGTGGGTGTGGTACGAGCGTCTGCGCCATGGCCGGCCGCTGGTGCGCGTGTGGAGGAGAGGCTCGCGCAGCCACCATCACGGCGACGGCGCCGCTGATATGGCTGAGTTCATCGACGGCGTGGCTGTCTCCGACGACGACGGCGCCGACGTCAAGCGCGTGCCGCACTCGCAGCCCAAGGACGTGTTCCGAAGCCCGCAGTACTCTTCTTCTCCCTCCAAGGAGCGCGAGGATGTAGACGACGACGACGCGGCCCCCGCCCGCTCGAGCCGCACCATCCATCGCCTCGGCCGCTCCAGCTCGCCCTATCCGTCTCCGCGCACTGTCCTCTATGTTTCCATGCTCCTTGCCGTTGTCGCCCAAGCCTCTCCTCTCAACGGGCCGAGCCCGGCATTCCCCATCATCGCCCAGCACGCGGATGAGTCGACCGAGACTGGCACCCAGGTGGCCGGTCGTCTGCTGTCCTGGCTCAGCACAGTCATGTACCTTGGCTCCCGCATGCCGCAGCTGTACAAGAACTACAAGCGCAAGTCCACTTCCGGCTTGTCGCCGACGCTCTTCCTGGCAGCCTTCATGGGCAACCTGTTTTACTCGTCCTCCATCGCTACGAACCCGTGCGCGTGGGGCACGTATCCGTCTCACGGAGCTCGCGGCTGGGTCGGGCTCGACGGGAGCCAGCAAGCCGATTGGGTCGGTCGAGCCATGCCCTTCTTCCTGGGTGCGGCGGGCGTGCTGCTGATGGACGGCGCCGTCGGCGCGCAGTTCTGGTATTACGGCGAAGGATCGCTGGCCGACTCGACCATCCTCGTGCCCGAAGAGGGCGGCAAGTGGAGATGGCGGAGAGTCTCGGGCTGGCTCAGGGGATGGATCCCCTCGGTCGACGGAGGTGCCGGCAACAGCGAGCTGTCTTCTCCAAGTGCGGAGCAGCAGCGGTTGCTGGGCGCTGGTGCGGAGGAGCGGTACGGCGGGGTTTAGCTAATGGCCCGCGTCCATCGCATCATCATCCCGGGCCCTGGCCTGCGCCACACCTCGACCGGTTCGCACGCATGTGCGCGTCACTCACGAACCAATCGTTCCGCGGAACCATTTTTATTTGTCTACATACTTTTCAGACAGCATCGGCATTTCTGGCGTTTGGGTCGTTTTCACGAGCATTGGTATTGACCAACATGACCACATCTACGACTAGGACGAACTGGAGAGCACGACACCATTGGCATTTTACGACTCAAGGTCTACCAGGAGTTCAGGAGTTGTTCTCGCCGGCCCTTAGAAGGGTACTGGCTTTTCTTGGCTGCATGTTATGGAGATCGCTAAGGGTATGTTAGACAGATTGCAAGTCCTGGCCCTTGATAGAGGGCGATCTCCTCTATGCTTTGAATATCATTACTATGCATCATCCTTGCAGCGTTTCTGGTGCTTTCCACGCCTTCTGGAACTACTCCGTATCCCCTGAGAACTTGACAGGTGTACAGAAAAGCCTCACATTGCGTCAGCAGATGAACCAGTCGTCATTTCCCCGGCGCGGGGGGAAGCACTTCCCCGCTCTATTCCTAACTACTAGTCCCTCTTCAACGGCGGCTCAATGGAGAAGGTCTGGCGACTCGCCGGACGGACTGACCGCGGAAGTTTGAATGGAAGAAAACTACTGGACACGGTGGCGCGACGCACTGCTGTGTTTCGACAATAACTTATGACCTATCGAAAACCGAAGACCCGCCACCACTGCAACAAAATGCTCGGCCGGGATGAGGCTGTTCCGAATTCTCCCTACCCGCGGAGCCCTCGCTTGCGGTCATTCGCCGCCTGCGATACAGCCAAACAGCAGTCTTGTGCGTGTACAGGGCTCACCAGCCACATCAGCAATCGCCCATCGCACGAACCAGCAGGCCATCAATTTCGGGCGAACGTTCCCACGCGTGCCACATTGGCGCAATCACAGGGGCTTGGCGGGCAGGTGACGGGGCCGCCCGAGCCTATGGGAAACGAGCCTCAAGCTGCGTCCAAGCTTCGCCGACAGCTCGAGATGCCGTTATCCGAGTGTGCTCGCTGCTCCGTCTTGCGCGAATTTACCCACAGTCTATCGACCGTGAGACAGATGGAGGGGGTTCCTCCGACCCCCCGGCTGCCCTCAGGTGCCCCGGATGAGCGCGCGACAAGTGATGGTGAGCGACCGCACAAGTCTCATCAGCGTACAAAGAGGGCATTTGCTGGCGCGTGCGGGGGCGGTGCTGCTCGCTTGCTGTGGGTAAGGAGGGGCACATGTGGCTGAAGCTCTCCGTGAGCGGCGCCCGCGGAAGCTGCGTTGTGCGTTGTTTGAAGCTTTCCCTTGCGGTGTGTGTGCGTTACGTGGAAGCGCTCCTGCCCTGCCATTACGCCCATCGTCACCGTCGAGCGTCCGCCATATAAAAGAACGCCCTCGACTGCACCAATTCCACTCCTCCTCTCTCCTGCTCATCCCACTTCAACCACCACCCCACCTTTTCACTCAACCTGCTGCCCCGCAGAACACCTCGCCATGTCGTTCTTCAAAAACCTCAAAAAGGACTTTGAGGGCCTCGGTCTGGGCGACAAGGACAAGGACAAGCACAGCGAAGGAGGTCAGTAACCCCCCGCTACGCCGCCTACACTCGACCCCATCCGCCAAACGCCACGCCCCGCATCCAATGCCTTCCCCCAGCCCTTCGAATCCCACACCGTGGCTGACACACACACCCCCCCTGCACAACAGAAGCCTCCCGCGGCTACTACGACCAAGGCGGCTACAGCCAGCCCCCGCCGCAGCAACACTACGGCTCCCCCGCCCCTCAACAGGGCTACGGCGGCCCGCCGCAATACGGCCAGCCCTACGGCCAGCCCCCGCCCCAGCACTACGGCTCCCCGGCGCCTCCCCAACAGGGCTACGGCCAGCCTCCGTACGGCCAACCACAACAACACTACGGGTCGCCTGCTCCCCCCCAGGGCTACGGCGCCCCCCCGGCGCCGCCGCCGCCCGGCTTCGACCCGGCCCCCCTGCCCGCCGGCTGGTACTGCCACTGGGACGCGTCGCGCAACCGCGCCTACTACGCCGAGCCCGCGACGGGGCGGACGCAGTGGGAGACGCCTGGGTTTGGTGCGGATGCGGCGCGCGGCGGGCCGCCAGGCGGCGGGTTCTACAACGAGTACGGCAACGCGGCGCCGCCGGCGGGGTACGGCCAAGGGTATGGGCAGCAGGGGGCGCACGGCGCGAACCAGCAGGAGTACTATGGGGATGTGGAGAAGAAGGAGAAGAAGGAGGGGCATGGGACGGGGGCGATGGTGGCGGCGGCCGGGGCGGGGGTGGTGGGAGGCGCGGTGTTGGGGGCTGTCGTTGGTGAGTCTTGCTTTGTTGCTTTATTTTTTTTCTTCCCCTTTTTCTTTGTTCGCGGGTGGCGATTGATCAGTGCTAATGTGTTGTTGTGTTATTAGCCCATGAGATGACGGAGGATTCGGATGACGAGAATGCTCGCGCTGCGCCGCCGCCGGCGCAGGACTCGGGCTACTATGACCCCGTCCCGCCGCCGACGGACGACTTGCCTGATGAGACGCGCTCTGGCGGCTCTGTCTCGAGTAGCGATAAGGAGGAATTGGAGGAGGCGCGCGAGGCGTATGAGGAGGCTTACGAGGAGGCCTACGACGACTAAAGTTCCCCCCCTAATTGCTTACGCTGATGGCGTCGGCTCGCCAAGTTGTTGACCCATTCGCTGGTGGGGAGGTAGGGGGGATTTTTTTCTTTTGATACTGCACTATTATCACACACAGAGCCTTGGACATGATGGATCCATTGAGCGAATCAAAATTTTCTGAGCGGCATTTGGACTGCGTGCATCTGTTGTGATCTGTTCGTGGTTCGATGGATGCCAAGGGGGGGCATGTCGTTGATCAGATATGCGGGGATCTTATTATCGCTTTGCTGTAGGTCAGTAAAAAGCCGCGGATCCCAGTCTGAGGTTACAGGGACTCGGTCTAAAATAGGTGCCTTTACTAAAGTAGGTAATGTTCGGGAACACTGGGCGAAAACAGGGAACCGAGGGGCTACGTCTGTCGCGTGCCGCTGAATCAAGCCACACAACGTGGACCCTGTCGAGTCGAGACCGAGTAAAGACAGCAGACATGTAGACCGGCCTTCCGCCCGGTCTACATCTGGATGGGGGATTCTGCAACCTGGCTCGAACCGTGTGAGGCTGCGATATTTGGCAATCCAGCGCCTCCTTGAAATTGACTCTCTAGACCCACTAATCCTCCATTCCCTCGCCACGCGGCGGCAGGGAGCCGCACCCTTGCAAGATGGTGAGACCAGCCGGCTTCCTTGCTGAGGCCGCGTTCGCGAATCGGGTTCGCAGCAGCCAGAAACAAAGGACTGGCTGGCGTGGTTTTCTGTTTTCAGGGGATTCGAGTTTACTGCTGTGTACGTACACAGTTGGGCCTGCTGTTCTGATGTTCTCGCTTATGCTCTCCGTGTGGGCCTCGCAGACCACAACGAGACCAATGGCTGGCTCCCGACGGATTATTGCGGCGGCCCCGAACGCACGTCTGCAGTTCTATTTCCTAAACCCGCCCGGGGGCCTGGTAGGTGCGGAGGAGGCTCGGAGGATTCCACTATATGGCGCATGAAGAATCGCAGCGGGATGCGAAATGACGCTGTTGATCAGGGAAACAGGGCAGGCCCGCGATGCAGCCTGCGGGGCATGCAGGCGGCGGCCACGCAACTGCTCGCGGTGTTGCACTTCGCGGCGCGTTGGATCGGCTGCTTCAGCTGGGCCGGCGCCGTATCGGCGGGGAGCTATTGCGATCTCCAGACACGGCGGGAGGGCGATCGGCAGGTGCTAGAGATCTGGATTATTCGAGAAGCGGACTCGAAGGCGCGCCTGGCGCCCATCTTTTGGGACGGCTGGGGGTGTTAGTACCTACGGCTGCTCGCCGAGGGGCGAGAAGGAACAAGCCCGCGCGCTTGGACGGCGGAGCTTGGCCGCGGAGGTGAAGCTGATCGCCGCCTACAGCAGCGTACACCAGCCAGCGCACGGAGGCCGTCGTCCACCTCCCTGCAACCTGCAACAACGAGGGGTTCTGAAGAAAGGCCGTCGAGTGTGCTTGCTGTCACCCGCCCCCCACCGCCGCCCCAGCACTCTGCAGCTGCGCTTGCATCAGCCCGCAGCCTTAGCGACGTCATCCCTGGCCGTCCTCCAGCCGAATCCTCCAAAACCGCGAGCCGGCACTGCCGCAACCCGCGCGCGCCGTCCACTCCCTCAAAGAGCCAGACCTCTGCCCTCGCACCCCGCGCCCTCCGTCGCCAGGCAATGGGGCCACGATAGCCCGAATTCTGGTCGCATAGCCCGGCCCCTTTCGCCCCCTCGAATTGAACGCGCGAGCCACCTATCCTCAACCAGGACAACCACCAACCCGCGCATGGCGGCTGACCGGGCGACACCATGGCTACCACCGTCTCCTTCTTCTCCGGCCTGATCGTCCTGCTCTACCTCTCGACCTTTGTCGTCTTCGCCCTCCTCCGCATCGTCACCGGCATCTCCATCCAGCGCCTGGGTTGGTATGGTCTGCGCCGCATTTCCTACACCCCAAAGGATGGCGTCCGCCTCGACCTCCGCGGCCTGAGGATATCGCTACACCGCCCGACTTTCGCCCAACCAACATACGTCAGCCTTGTCCTCGAGGAGCTCAAGGTCTCAGTCGACCTCAACAAGTTGGGGGCAGCCACGCCAAAATCGCCCGCCTCGAAATCTCACGCGAATGGATCCGCACACACAAAGGAGGGCGACAAGGCGTCGGGAGAGGCAGCCGGCGAGTTCAAGAAGGGACACAAAAGAAGCAGGACCTGGCAGAAGTTGACCGAGACCAAGGAGAAGATAAAAAAGTTGCACAGGAAACTCGACTGGATCCGTTTGGTCGACCTGGTCGCGACCTCGACGTCGCTGGTGATTCAGGATGTCGGCACCGTCCAGGTCGCGCAGTTCACCGCCGCCCTCGACACCAGGCGGAAGATGGTCGACCGCAGCCGACTGTTCCAGCACAGGCGCGCCAAGTCCGAGCACCAGAGCCCGGCAGAGTGGATTTTCACCATCCGGAATATCCTCTTCAGCCCCGAAGGCCAGGAGTCTACCGAGATCTTGGACCACCTCACGCTCAACGTCCACGGCTTATTATACAAGGAAATGGACGGACTACGTGATGCTACCATTGCTCTCAAGCTGGGACGCCTTAATGTGCCATTTGACGATATTCACACATGTTTAGAGAGGGTCAAGGAGAAAAAGAAGACAGATGCCAGCAACGAGGCTGCAGGGACAGGTGATGGCTATTCGTTCAACGACGTCATGGAAGAGTTGGAACGTCCAGGCAGTCGCGATGAGGAAATAGTCCAGACTGTGTCGGATTCAAAAGAGTTTGTCAGTTCCCTTCTGCGCGGAATACAGGAGATCCAATTCGCCGTCAGTTTCTTCGGCTTGACAAAGCGGATCCGGGATGGAAGCACAAAGGCAAGCCCCGTGTACCTGAACATGTCTATGAAGGAGTTTGGATTCGACCTTCTACGCCTGGATCCCCGGAGTCCGGCACATCTCATGTACTTTGCGCCTCACGACATCGCTCACCAGGCGCTCATTGCGGCTATTGCCATATCCGTGGGAATTGACCACGGACAGGATCATCCGGAAAGGCTTCTGTACATTCCCATGGCTACCATGACGCTCAAGACCACGCTTCCCTCGAAGACCATCCAGATCGACCGGGAAAGAGACGTCACTGAACGCAACACCAACATTCTGTTTGCCAATTTCGTTGTCACCTCTCCGTCTCTGGACCTTGATCCCAGACATCTGCCTTTGATACTCGCGTTACTGCAAAGTTCAAATCCCAAGAAAGCGCCCCGCCGGGATCCGCACGACAAGCGGCACATTGCGTCTCGTTTGTTGCCTAAAGCAAACATCAAGTTCTCTGTGCACGAGCCTGTAATCAGAGTCACTTTGCCTCCAATGGAGGCCGACAAGAAGGAGACCGGAGAGTTTGATCTGCTGATCTCCAATATGTCGTCTGTATCTCTGGATTTGGAGTCTTCACATTCAGCCGGCGGGGATTTGCACTATTCCCTATCGTCTTTCTTCCGCCTGGCGTCGCATGAACTGTACTATCAGACAGCGGCCGGCGAGAAGCACAACCTTCTCGCAACAGACGCGACTGAGCTCAAGGTTCAGCTGGATGCATCACCCGAGGTTTCGGTCGTTGTGGGATTGAACTTCGAAACATTCAGCATCTTCATGGTCCGTCCGGAGATTAGCGAAGGTGTGCGCCAGATCGTCGCTCAGTTGCGCACATACGAGGCGTCCAACGCGGGCAGATCCTCGTCGAAGAATAAGCCAAATTTCTTACGAAAACTGCCGAAATGGCTCACCCATTTCCAAGTGCAGGGAGCCGATTTCAATGTGGAAGTTGCTGGTATCGACCATGATGTTTCGGAAAACTCCCGTGGCTGCGCAATACACTTGGATTCGTGGACAGCCGAGTACAAGGCTGATAAGACGGAGGATGCTGGATCGAGGATATCTCGGCGCAGGATGACCAGCAGGACCGTACCAACTGAATCCCAGCTGAGAGCGACGTCCCCATCTTCGCCTCCGCTCTCGCCAGCTCCACGGAAAAGAAATCTCACCGAGACCGACGGGAGACGCTTGGCGATCCATGTCACAGGGCTGGAAGGGTTCGTCATCGAGTCCTCCGACTCGAGAGAAGAAGAGTCCTTCCTCAAACTGCCACGCTTTGAGGTGGCATTCACCACCTCGACCGACATCCAAGGACCAGTTTTCCATGTGAACTCTTTTGCCCAGAGCCTCTTGATTCACTACTCTTTGTACAGACACTTTGCGATTGGCGTTGCCATCATGGTGCTGCAGAGAGCCTTTGTCAAGCAGTACGCCGATCGAAGCTTCGCGGCTCCTGCTCCTGAGACACCGCAGACACATCGGAGACACCTGACTGTCCCAGACGCTTCTGAGGCCGCCGATACTGTGCAAAGCGTGCCTACCACACCATCCAAGCCGGAGATTGTTACTTTGGACTTCCGCGTTGGGTTCATCCAGGCCAAAGCCACCATGCCAGGGGACCCACCGCTGATGCTCCAGATCCAAGGCTTTGATGCAGGGCGTCACAGATGGGCATCGCCATTTGTTCGCGCCAAAATGTTCCGCTTGTACACGGGAGCTCCTGGTCTCAAGAAGATTTGGGCTCGCATGGTCAGCATCAAGACGCTTCGCGTTGACCTCAGGTCCTCCAGGCGCAAAACTGGAACCACTGTCACTGAAGAGAAGTCCATTGACGTTGCGACGGAGGCCGTTCGTATCGCCGTCCCGCATCAATTGGTCGTCCACCACGTCTTTGACAACATCACGAATACCATCAAGACCGTTGAGCAGCTCCACCATCGCTTCAAGACCCAATCCAACGAGTACGTCCTCGACAAGCCGCCGGAAGATCCGAAGAAGGTGCCGAGAATCTCAATCCGCAGTCAAGCCCTCCTCTTCGAGATCGAAGAGGGCGGGTTTGAATGGAAGCTCGGAACCATTTTCCGACTCGGCATGCTCGAACAAAGGCAGAGACTTGCGAGAGAGGAAGCGTTCGAGATCAAAGCCAGAAAGCTTGCGGAAAGCGATAGGCGTCGTGGTAACACCAGCCATCGTGCGAGATCTGCACACCCTCGTGGACGCAGCGCGCAAAGACGAGGAGCTGCTGATGTGGGGAGAAAGAGCCAAAGTGCTGACCGAGAGATCACATCCCCCAGTTCACGTGGACGCGGTATGCGATACGACGTGGACGGCGCGGCAGAATTGGACGACAACGCGAGAATCCACATCGAACAGGCCCGCGAGAAATTGAACAAACTCCACGCGCAGAGCTGGAAGAGGAGGATTGACCAAGGCATGCAGTTCCAGAATGCAGCTGTCAAAGACATCCGTTCCATGTTCTGGGGTATCGACGACATGCCAGAAGAGCCCGAGCAGACCGAGACAATCCTGGCCATTCCTCAGCGGCCCGCGCTGTTGGCCTTCCTGGTCAGCGACCTGAACTTCATCATCGATAAACCTAGCTTCCCCATGTCCGAGTTACCCGCTTACCTGAACCGGATCGGAAAGGGCATGCCTACCGACATGCAATACTCTCTGCTCATTCCCATGAATGTCCAGATCAACTTGGGCGAGGCGCGTTTGACCTTGAGAGACTACCCTCTTCCGTTCGTCCATGTGCCCGCGATTCGTACCGGACAGTCCACCAGGCTCCCCAGTCTGTCTTTGAAGACGGATTTCGTCATTGCCGAAGAATACAGGGACAGAGAATCCAGTCGATTGCTCGATGTCGAAGTGGTGCCGCCGGAGATTTCGGAGTCGGGAGAGAAGAGCGGTGGTTTTTCCGTCAGCGTCCGCCGTACCATTGCTCCGGTCAAGACCTACTCGGATATGAAGGTGGAAGTCAACACGAACTACCCCACAAGGATAACGTGGGGTACTTCGTACCAGCCTGCCATACAGGATATGATGCAAGTCATCGAGGGGTTCTCCAAAGCAGCGATGGATCCTTCCGACAAAGTCGGTTTCTGGGACAAGATCAGGCTGTCCTTCCACTCCAAAATCAACATTGCGTGGAAGGGCGACGGAGACGTACATGTCATTCTCAAGGGTTCCCGCGATCCTTACAAGGTCACTGGAGACGGCGCTGGCTTCACGCTGTGTTTGCGGAACGATGTGCAGTTGAACATCTGTCAAGAAGACGATCCCAAGAAGTTCCTCACCGTGGACAGCGGGACCGCCATTCTCGCTGTTCCGGACTTGAGTCACTACGCACGAATGGTGGAGCAAGAAGAATCCGACTCGGAGAGCATCATCAGCGGTTCCAGCTTCAAGCAAGGAGCTTCATTCCGCAAAACGGTCATGAAACTTTCTGGCAACGTCAGGGTGCTGATCGGTCTCGTGTTCGAGCGCGAGGAGGATGGCAAACGTTCGTTCGATTTCGGACCGCATTACAACGTCATTCTCAAACATCCGGATTACGCCAAGCCATTCGAGGGCAACGAGTACGATGCTTTCAGAGGCTTCCGCAGTCATCACATCCACATGTCTGTGGCCATCGCCGCTCCATACGACAGGGACTGGTCCGTCGCAAACACCAAGGCTTCTCCGAACTACAACAGTGTCCATCTCACGCCCAGGTTCTTCAGCCACTTCTACAGCTGGTGGTCATTGTTCTCCGGCGCCATGTCTCTGCCAGTCCGACAAGGTGCTCTTTGGCCGGGCGTGGAGAAGTCTGGCAAGAAGTTCGGTCGCCATCTTGCGACTATCAAGTACAGTATCCTCTTGTCACCGCTTTACATGAGCCACGTCTACAAGCACAAGGATCCGGACGACTATGGCAAGAGCGTGGTATCTGCAACCGGATTGAAGGTCCGACTGGACAGTTTCATGGTCGACATTCACCAGCGACGAGAGGAATTCAGGACATCGGCGCAGACTGCAAACAAACCAGCCACAACGACGGGAATGCGCATCAACCAGGTCCAGCTGGATTTCATTTCCGCCGATATCCGTGCCGTCGCGGCGACCATCAACGGCACGGAGCAAAGTGACATCGAGGAAGCTACGGAAGATACCCTGGCTTCCTACCAGAATTCGCACGATCCTCAAGTTGATCTTTCAAAATTCACCATCCCGGACAACGACCTCTCATGGGTAGACATGGATGACTTCGTCGAGCTGGATTGGATCCTCCCATCCGAAAGCAACCCCGAGACGAAGATTTTGCCTCTTGCTTTCGCGCCTCGATTCACTTACTTCCGCCAAACTGACCACCAGGACAACATCTCCGGGGACCCGCATAGGTCCAGTTCTTTCGGCAACGAGCCTACACACTACTGTGTCATGTCGAAGCAGAACGATCCTCGCCGAGTCCAGTGCAACCTGATCTCGGATCGCCTCAAGACGGTTTGCGAGCAGATCGAGCAAAGCCAGCGCGACATTGGCGAGCAGCAGCTCAGGATCCTTCGATCTACCAGCGAGGACGATTGGGAGCTCGAAGAGAGGTTGGCGGTGTACCAGCACCACGACGACAACCTCAAGAGGAAGCGCGACATTCTCCAGTCCATGCATTCCAGTCTGGTCAGTCGTCTGGAGCGGGATGATCGGTCCGCTGTCCCGCGATCGGAGGGCGAAGACCAATACCTCGAAGCTCCGGAGATGTACGATGCCACCGACAAGGATACAAAGGGCGTTGACTCGACGCCTCTTGCGGATTACATCAGCGACTTCAACAACCGATTCGTGATCCACAACGCTCAGGTGAAATGGAACAATGCCCTCAGGAACATCATCCTTCGGTATATCCATCAAGTCAGCCAGCGCCGCGGTTTCGTTTACTACATGTCGAGAAGAGCAGTCAAATTCATCCTCGATATTGTAGAGGAGCAGAACAAGGCCGATGAACCGCCAGAATCGCCAGGCCAGAGACCGCGGACCATGTCGACGCCGTTATCGCCCCAAGCCGATGATGATGTGGATGTCAAGGACCGCATACAACAACTGCTTGAAGATGGCAAGAAGTTCGTCAACGCAAATGATCCTGAAATGGCCGAGGAGGCGCAGAAGCCGAATGCGGATAACGCCAACGAAGACATCGCGCAAGAGTTCACCGCACAGAATGCGTATCACGTCCGCCTCATCGCACCCCAGATCCAATTGCAGAGCGAGAAGAACCCGAAGTCGGCTGTGCTGGTTGCTGCAAAGGGCATGCAGCTCAAGGTCATTGAGGTCATGGACAAAGAAAACGTCGAGGACGACGTCAGCGGCCTCGTCCAGCGTCGTTTCTCTGCTGCCATGGATAGCCTGCAGATCTTTGTCACCAGCACGAAGACATTCTCAACCGAGTATCTCCACATGTATTCCGGCAACAGATACGGAGCCGCCGTGGGAAGCTCCTGGCCCCCCTGGGTTCCCTTTGAGGTCATGTTCGAGTTCGACACAAATCCCTACGGATTCTCGAGAGTCGTGCAGAGAACTTCGGCAAGCTTGAGATACGACAAGTACAACACGCTGCGTCTAAAATACAATGAAGACGTCAGTGGAGAGGATTCCGGCAACCCGAACTGCATTGACAGTGCGGAGAGTCGTGTTGATCATCTCTGGGTCGAGTTTCCTCACGTGCGCGCCGTCTGCGACTCCATGCAGTACTACGCCGTGTACATCATCGTTTTGGACCTGCTCCTCTACAGCGAACCTCTTGAGAGGCAGCGAAGCGAGAAGCTTGAGAAGATCATGCTCGCATCCGACTTCAGCGATCTCGACGGTGCGCCGGAGCTCGTCGTCTCCCTTCAAGAAAGAATCCACCAACTCGAAGAGATCAAGAACCGCTTCCAGATCCATGAGCAGTATCTCGACCGCGAGGGCTGGAAGAACCGCATCGAGTTGGAGCGACAGCTGTCTGAGAACGAAGAGGAGCTGTTCTTCATGATGAAGGCCATTACGACTTCTCAGCGCAAGAGCGATGACCGTGCAGCCGAGGCATCGCAACCGACAGGACTCCTCCGCTACCTCATCACCGCCTCTGAAATCGTCTGGCATCTGGTCCGCGAAGGCAGCGAATCCCTTGCCGAAGTCCAGCTCGGAAATGCATCGTTTGACCGCACTGACAACAGCGATGGCTCGAACCTCAATTCCTTGGAGGTTGAGCGCATCCACGGTCTGAACTTGCTACCAGAAGCCGTATATCCGGAGATGATCGCGCCATACTTGGATGAGAAGGCAAACGTTGCCGATGGCAGAGACACCAAGATGCTTCGCGTGCACTGGTACATGCTTGAGGCCATTGCCGGCATCCCGGTCATGGATCACTTCGAAGTCAACATCTTCCCTCTCAAGGTCCAGCTCGAACGTGAGATTGGCAAGAAGCTGTTCGAGTACATTTTCCCGGGTGTGGGCTCCAATGCGTTTGAGAACGGTGACTTCTCACCTTTCATGGTCAAGCAAACGGCTCCTGGGGAAGAGGCGGAGAATGGCGTTGGAGGTGAAGGCGAAGGCGAAGTGGAGGCAGCATCGATCGGCCAAGCATCTCCTGAGGCACCATCCGTCGCACAATCGCACCGTGCCTCCATTGACGGATCAGGTCCTGGTGCGTTGGAGCTGCGCCTGCAGCCAACGCTTGCGCTTCCAGATGAAATCCGTCCGAAATCGTCGTCTGGCTTGTCCCGTAAGGGCAAAGAGGGCGGAGGCCTCGACTTTGGAGCCTTCAAGATGTTCGATGCCTCCAGCCGTACCGGCACGAGCCTATTCAGGAACTTGCATTCTTCAGCCGGCCCCAAGGATTCTTCAGACACTCTCACCATTGCCAGCGCACGGCCTTCGAGCCGCCGTTCTTCGGCAACCAAGCTGAGCGGCATGAACGACGAGAAATCCAGAAACCGCTTCGCCATGACGCGCGCTCCGAGCTCGAACCGCAAGGAGCGGTCGCAGGCGGACGACATCAGCCAGATGATGAAGCGCGCGTCGAACTACATGACGTTCGCGTACATCAAGATCCCCAGCATGGTGCTGTGCCTCAGCTACAAGGGCAAAGGCAACCGCAACTTCGAGGACATCCACGACCTGGTGTTCCGCATGCCGACGATCGAGTACCGCAACAAGACGTGGTCGAACCTCGACCTCGCCATGGCGCTCAAGAAGGACGTCATCCGCGCCCTCGTGTCGCACACGGGCGCCATCCTCAACAACAAGTTCTCGCACCACCGCCCCAAGGACAAGGGTCGCCTCAAGCAGTTCACCAACCCGTCCATCCTGCTCAACACCGGCGGCGGCGGCGGCGGCAGCGACAGAGGCGACACGGCGAGCCTGATGACAAAGGACAGCGACAAGGACAGCTCGCGCGACCGCAGCCCCGCCGACACGTCGACCCCCGACGAGCCCCGCCGCAGCTTCACCTCCGGCCGCGAGAGCACCCTCAGCCACGCTGACTCCTTCTCCTCCAGCGCCCGCAGCGTCACGGGCACGACGTGGACCGGTTCTGCCTCTGGCGGCGGCGGCGCCCCCAACAACGCCAACGCCAACGGCGGCTTGTCGGCAAGCGGAGGTAGGTTCCCCGGCAGCACCGGCGGCATGGACGTCGACTCGGCCGCCGGCAGCTTCGCGGACGAGCTGTCGCAGGTCGACGACCGCGACACGGCGAGCATCCGGCACGGGCCGAACACGCTGCATCGCGCCATCACGGCCATGAGCTCGCGGTCGCGGGAGAAGGACGGGCTGCAGGACGAGACGGAGGAGGTGAATCGGATGAAGAGCCGGATGTTGTTTGGGAAGAAGTTTGTGAGGGCTATGGGTGGGGGAGGTGGAGGTGGAGGTGGAGGTGGAGGTGGGGGCCAGGGAGGAGGGGGAGGTGGTGGTGGTGGAGGGGGGGCGTCGGGGAAGTAGTAGATGGGTGCTTGAGTTTTGTTGTTGTTGTTTGATCTTCTGCCTGGTGCGCCGCCCTTCGATTGATCGTTGGTTTTCTTTTTTGTTTCTTGGCTCAATCGGCGGCTGTCAGCCAGCTGTCGTGTCGCTTCTTCTTCTTTTACTTCTTTTACTTCTTCTTCTTCATCTTCTTCCTGTTGTTGTTCTTGTAACAACTTTATTTTTTTGCATCTTTTGGGTTGCGTTTGAGTCTGCGTTTCTTGTAGCATTTCCAGCGGCGTTTCTTGCTTTTTTTTTCCCTCTCTCTCTTCAATTTCCCATTGCATAAAAGAAAGGGGTTGTGGTGTGTGTATGTATGTGCGTGTGTGTGAGTGTGTATCGGAGAGAAAGTAGGGAGGTTCTTTTTTTTTTTCTCGTCGATAAAGTAAATAGACAGGCCCTTTGTACTAGCCGGGAAGGAGTTTTATCACACGGCGTGGCGACGAGTGGATGGATGGCATGTATCATGGGGGTTGCGAGCAAAAAGAAACATGGTATACATACTACTACTACTACTACTTCCACTACTACTACTGTTCCTGTATCGCTCTCGCCTTTGCTTCTTGTCGGGACTTCCTGATTCGGGGGTGGCACAGCCTTGGCTGCTGGCTACTGACTGGAAAATTTGCGGAAGCTCCTTTTGTTTGGATAGGTTCAGCGGTGGATAGAATGGTTGGCGGAGACGAGGGGGGTTGGCAGTGAGTGTCTGTTTGAATACCTAGAATGGAGGAAAGTGGGTCTTTTGTTGAGCTTCGGGGGAGGGGTTCTCAGATAGAGGTAGTCAGTAGTCAGTCAGGTCAGATATGGAATGGATGAACTCGAAAGTAGTGATGATCGTTGTGCATTTATGTCCGGATGGGCGCTTCGACCGCCCGGCCACTGTCTGTTGCTGATACCTAATTTTGCGAACTGTGAAGTCGGAGAAAAGAAGGGCGCGGCTTCCACGATCCGCAAGATTTTCAATCTATTCACGGACTTTGATGCTGCTTTTGCGAGTTTAGCGCCAATGATGGGTTGTGATTGAGTTGCCTAAGCGCGATAGGGTGTGGGTGGGGGCCGGCACGCATGCATGCATGTGCTGCAAGCGCCCGCTCGGGTGGAGCCGCTGCCGCTGCGCCGCACGCTAGGGTCCTTGCCCCCGGTTCTTCACACTCCCGTCACACGCCCTTCCCGCCAGCATCCCATCGTAAGTACTGCGGCAAACTGAAAGTGCAGAAGCATGAAGTTTCCTTCTGAAGCTTGAAACATGGATGCATCGTCAGAGGGATGGTGTCTGGCTTCAGGCTTAAGTGATATATTGCAGGCGCCTTCGAACGGCGATGCCGCTTGTGGAAGCTGATGCCGGTGCGCATTTTACCAAGCCTTGCAAGCGAGCTCGGCAGTCGTTTCAGAAGTCGCGGCTCGATGTGGCGAAGAGAGCCTTTTGCCCGGGCGTCAAGTGCCAAAAACAGAGTCGGGCGACTCGCTGCGGCACAGCAGCCACAGTGGGCGATCATGCCCATGGAAGCTTGGATGGCGGCTATTGGAGCACACCGGGCGGCAACTGCTCGATCAAGCACCTGTCCGTGCCGCCGTTCTCGTCTGAAGGCAGCCTTGGTAACCGATACTTAAGGAAGGCAGTCCCACGCCGCATCTCGTTTATAATCATCATCACTCTCTCACACGACTCCACGGCTGTTTCAACTTTTGTCTTCCCGTTCTCTCTCTTTTATTCATTCGCTTTCTGGATCTGGTATCCATAAACTGCCACTTAGCTGGACTATCCGTCGTGCTCTCGTACATACGCTTCACGGTCCCTACACTTGCGCTGTCTGTCACCGCCAGCCTCAAGACCCCCATCTTTTGCTTCACGAGATGCGCCTCCACACGTTCCCTTGGGTGCTACTCGGCCTCGCCGCATCACCACCGCCAGTCCGCGCGCACATGTCCCTGCGCCAACCCGTCCCCTACGACGCCGAGACGCTCCGCGGCGACCGCAGCCCCCTCTCCAACAACTACCCCTGCCACACGAGCAACTTCGCCTGGACGGGCTCCGTGCCGGAGATGGCCGTGGGCGAGAGCCAGCCGCTCGTCTTCTACCCGCAGGCGGGCGAGGACGGCATCGCGCAGCCGGCCGTGCACGACGGCGGCACCTGCCAGCTCAGCGTCTCGCTCGACGTGCCGCCGACGGCCGAGTCGGTCTTCAAGGTCATCAAGACCATCGAGGGCGGCTGCCCGGGCGTCGACTTCACGCCCCACAACTTCACCTACGAGATCCCGCCAGCCGTCCCCTCCGGCAAGGCCGTCTTCGCCTGGACCTGGTTCCCCGTGTCGAGCGGCGCGGCCGAGATGTACATGAACTGCGCGCCCATCGCCGTGTCGGGCGGCGCGCAGGCGGGCGACACGGCCGCGTTCGACGCCCTGCCCGACATGCTCGTCGCCAACTACAGCCCCGTCGACTGCGCGCGCGACGCCGCCGCGCCCCAGGCCGTCATGAAGGCCGTCAACCCCGGCGCCGTGCTCGAGCACGGCCCCAAGCCCGCGGCGTCCGTCTTCCCCACCGCCACGCCCGTGGGGAACCAGTGTCCGACGGCCGCGGATTCCGCTGCCGCGTCGCAGACGCTCGCTGCCTCTGCTGATGCCGGCGGCGGCGCGTTCGTCGAGGCCTCTGCGTCCGCGTCCACATCCGCGGCGGCGACTACCCTCCTCACGTCCACTGCCTCGGCCGCCGCCGTGCAGACGGGCGAGCCATCCTCCGCACCCCAAGGCTCCGTGGACACGCCGGTCGCGGCGACGGCGGCGGCGGATCCGGCTGCGGCGACTCCAGCGACTCCAGCAACGGCGGCGACGGCGGCGACGGCGTCGGCAGCGTCCGACAAGGCGTGCGACTCGGTCGAGGACGGCCAGCTCGTCTGCAACGGGACGGACCGGTTCGGCATCTGCAACTGGGGCGCGGTGGCGGTGTGGCAGTCGGTGGCGGCCGGGACCGTGTGCGAGAACGGGACGGTCAAGGCGGTGGATAAGAAGAAGAAGATGGCGGTGCGAGGAGCGGAGGAGGCGAAGGCGAAGCGTCATTTGCATTTTCATGGGAGGTATTCGGCTGGGAGGCGGCATGTCCATGGTTGATTGATTGATGATTGATTGATGTATTATGGGGAGTTTTTTGGTGGCCTCGTTCATCTGTGGCTGGTCCAGGATGAGGGGTTGTATGTAGCTTGGTTATGATTCATGTCGCTCTCTTTTGTCTTTTTTTTCTTGGAACGTCTGTCCAAAACACAAACCTTGATATGAATATGATGATGTACGCTGTACATATCTCTTTTTATCTATAGCGGACATGTTGAAGCTTTGCTCCCACATCTAGACTAAGCACTAGCAGTGCAAAAGGTTACTGCGGAAAGCATATCAGTTTCTGTTACCACGTATTGAATTCGATTGACTCACAACGCAAGCCGCCGCCTTCACCTTCAGGACGACAACGAGGACTTCTGCACCCTGTCTGATTTCCCTTATTAGTCTTTTCTTACCGTCCATCTGAGAGATACGCACCATCCATCTTCTCCTACAAAGACACGCTCTGATAGACGCCGGTCTACACTTTAGATTCCATGTTGCAAATGACGACACCTGTTGCCCCCTTTTGACCCATACACATGGTTGAAAGCTGAAACTTCCTGCATCGCACTGATCTGTAGATGGCTTCTCGCCGGTCAAAATGATGCAGTAACACTTGTGAGTGGAGGCACCGTCTTGATAACACCAATTGCAGTGGGTTGCAAAAGAATTGAGCTTACTTTACGTACGTGGGTATCTGATGCTCATACCTTTCTGCTGCCAACTGTGCACATGACCGCACGAAGTCCCGCAGTTTCTCATTCCACAAGACCGATGGCGGCCCGAGTCTGCAAACCGGACTGATGCGAGGCGCCGACCGTTAAGTGGCATCTGACACCATGCAGCATCTTCTGTGTATCATGAACCTTGCGCCCGTGTCGAGACTCTGAGAAAGTCTATAGTTGTAAATCGTACCAAGTTCCGGGGCCTTGATATCCATACATTGTCCAGTAGTGAATGTCGGGTGCCGGTGTAAAAGACGGCGGTTGATAATGACCATCAGGGGCAGAGTGTACCATGACGGTAAGAGCGACGATGGCGGCAACCCGGGCCACGTTGAGAGAAGACCTTGACTTGAAGTTGGCAGTCGTGCGTGATTGTTCTGTAGTTGTTGAAATCTGAGCACGAGCTTCGTATTAAACCATCCTCACTAGCATGGTAAGGTGCGTCGTTTGGGCTGCGAGGCTGGGGTCCAATGTCGAATCGAAGGCGTTCTGGTATGAAAGCCACCACCGTATGACGAAGATGGAGTAGGCTCGAATCCGTGCAATTCCCCGGCTTTGCAGGATGGTAGTTGCCATTTAGCGAGTGCTACAAATTGGCTTGTCGGCATTCCCCGTTGGTCGAGAATCCAGACGGCCAGCATCGAGGTTGCCCCCACAATTTGAACCAAGATGGCAAGTTACATGCGCAGAAATGCGAGCGGGGTTGTCGTGGATATGTAGTCCTCGACGACAAGCCAGCGCCCAGAGGTGCTGCTTCTGTTCTGATGCCCCAACCACAGGAGGATGAAGAAGCCGATGGTAACGCTGAGAACGAGGTTGCAAATGATGAGAACGGGCAGACTGCACCAGCCGATGCTATGAAGGGTGGGTGTTTGGTGGTGGGAAAGTGGTTGTTCCGTGGCCAACTGGCTAAGGCTTCGCGATGGGACTTTCTTGAGGTATGAGGCGGAGGACGGATAGTAGCGAGAAGGCTTTGAAGGACGAAACCTGAGTGACACTGGGACCTTCATGCTTCTCTGTTGGTGTGAGCTATTAAAATCTTGGGTCAGGAGGTGAGGGAAAATAGGAAAGGGGTTCGAGTTGTTAAGAAGAAAGAGCTGGTAGAGTGTTTGCGTAAAGGGAACTCTGGAGAGACTCACTTGGGTTATTGTACGTGTATGTGTTCACTTGAGAGCCGCTGCTACGCCACAACAACCGCGCAGGGCATTGTGAAGACGGTAGTCCCCCGACATATCAACGAATAATGCGGCTTGGCCTACGCAGCCGTTTGCTTCGCCGCAAAGCTTGCATGATCGTTCTCGGTTCTGAGAGTGTGCTTGGCTAAATTTAAGCATACCTGCCTAGTATCTGCAGTCAAGCGGGTTGTTGTGATGACCGGGGCTGTGCCGCAACAAGCGCGCGCCGCGACTCGCACTGGTAAATCGGTTATCGATAGCATACTGACGAGTGACAAGCTTCATGCAAGCGCCAATTGATAGCTCCTGCGCATAGTACTCGCATGTGAACAGCAAGGCCGATTCGCTTTACCCTACACAGCGATCGCTGGGGTTGAAGCGCTTGGCTCGGATCTCATCGTCATAGACAGCAATAGAAGCGATCGGGCTGGTCTTCGTGTACCGTGCGTCGTTGAGAATCGAAGCGTGTGCTGAAGAGGACTACCTCGTCGTTCAATCGCCAAGGCCGCAAGAATCGGAATTGAGACAGCGGACTGTGAAGAAACGGTCAGTTGAACGAAATCCTACGCCAAGGGATAGATAATGTGGAAAGACTTCCAGCGGCAGCCTGCTTAGGTTTCCATAGGGACAAGACTGGAAAGAAAAAAAGCAATATGAAGTCAAATTGGAAGAAACACGAGAAAGGAAAGATATGCAAGAATCTTGCGCTGCTCATGTAGGCTCTACAGGGGTCAAGGAGAGACAGTCCAGCCGATTGCTGGCGAATAGCTGCAATGGAGATGCCAGAGAGGTAGAATAGGATAGGATAGGATCCAGCGGTCCTCGAGTTATATCTTTTCGGATGTTGATGGATCCATTGATTGATCAATTGTTACCGTTACACGGCGAGAAACATGCCGGAGATGAATTGTTGAAGTGAAATGGATGATGGGAAGTCGCTTACAGCACGCCGTACTACGTGCTCGTTTGCACCATGGCATCAGTGCATGAGCAGGTTTGCCACCTGACGGTCTGCAAGCAGTTCCCAAACCGTCGACAGGTGCTCTCCTATGAATAGCTTGCGTTTTGCATCCCGATTGGTCTCGAAGCGGACTGGATCAGCCCGAAAGAAAGAGATATCATCAGGCCGACAGCGGCAGTCTGGCAAGAGTGCAGCGAGCAGCGGAAAGTAGCAAAGATGCAGAGTCAGTGTAGACTTATCTCCTTTCCATCAATAAAAGGTGGTTTCAGCGGAAGTCCGAAAGTGGATAGTCCCTGAATATCACGTCGAAACAAGCTGGACGCGAGTGCCAGCTCTCCGCGTCATGCTGGTGGGTTGAAACACCGACAGCGCCGATCAGTCAGCGCAGAGTCCCCACGGGAGCCAGTGGCATAACGGCGAAAGGGGAGGCCGCACGCAGTCCCGGTCAAGGAGTAACCGAGGGCAGTAAGGAGCAGACGGGATCGGCCTTTGAGGATGGACCAGCGTGTAGATAAACGGGGTTCGATGGATATGCGAGGGCCACATGTTGCGTGTCGCGGTGCGCAGGCCGAGCACCAACAAATAAACGGATGCCTTCGACGTCGCAGCGTGAGGCGGGCTGCATGTAAACTTCGTTTCGGACATGCGATTCCCCTCAAAGCTAAAACGAAGCTTTGACAGATCGGCGCGATCGTCGCTGGCAGCAGATGGCGGGAGCCAACCACTGCATGCACTGCCAGGGGGCCATTGGCGAGCGCCTGCAAGAATCCCGGGACAGATGGAGGTGGCCGTATGCGGGCGGGTTCATGATGACGGCCTCGTTGTTGCAGGTTTCATGGCGCGAGGGAAGGCGTCCTGCTTTGGGAGCCGGGGGTGCGCCGGGGGTGCGTCGGGGGTGCGCCTAGCCGTAGGGCTGACCTTAGCTTTGGCGACGCAATCTCGCTCGAATCGCCGGCGATCGCAGGCCTATAGCGCACACAGGTCGGCAATGCAGAGGCAGAGGGCAGCTGGCAGCGGTGCAGCTGCGACGGCAGCAGCGGGTCGATAGCGGAACGCGGTGGAAGGGCGGGGAGCGGCGCGCTCAGGTCGGAGCGCTGGGCGGATTATGCCTGCTGATGAAGCAGCGAATAGAGGCCCAAGCACGCAACCGCACGGGCCGAGGCCGGCCGGCCTTCCTCCACCCTGTGGTCCCTCTCCCGACTCATCTTTCCGTCGCCTCTTGTAAATATATGCCCTCAATTCGCCCGCCGCTTCCCTCTTCCCGTTGCTCCATATACCCCCAAGATACCCCAATTAATCCATCCCTCCAACTCGAACCATGGCAGGCACACTACCCGCCCACGCCTCGCCCGCCTTTGCGCCGCTCCACGCCCCGCTGCCCGCGCCCGCCCATGGCCGCCCGCAGCCGTCGCGCAACCTCTCCGAATTCCACCTCGAAGCCTCCACCCCTCCGCGAACCGACGCCAGCGACTCCAATGACGAGGACTCGCACCCGCCGCCGCCCTCCATCATCTCGCCCGCCTTCACCCCACCCGCCACTCCCGGCGGCCGGAGCACTCCCGCCCTGAGCCGGGACGCCGCCTCGGTGCCCGTCGACCACAGCGCCGCCGACGAGCACAAGCCGACGCTGGTGGAGAAGCTGCCCGAGGTGCAATGCGTCGTGCGCGCCCGCATCCCGACCACGACCGGGCAGGAGATGTTCCTGCACGTCTACCAGAACGACGTCGACAACAAGGAGCACCTGGCCATCGTCTTCGGCAACGACATCCGCTCGCGCTCGCTGGACGCCCCGCGCCCCGGCGAGACGGAGCGCGACCGCATGATCCGCGGCGCCTACATCGGCCGCCTGTTCCCCGGCCGCACGAGCAGCCGCCTCGAGCAGATCAAGCAGGAGGCCGGCGTCGCGACAACCCCCCAAGAAACAGCATCATCACCGGCAGCCGAGCACCACGAACACCACAACTCGCCGCTCGTGCGCATCCACTCCGAGTGCTACACGGGCGAGACGGTGTGGAGCGCGCGCTGCGACTGCGGCGAGCAGCTCGACGAGGCCGCGCGGCTGATGAGCCTGCCCAGCTCGTCGGGCGGCGTCATCGTCTACCTGCGCCAGGAGGGCCGCGGCATCGGCCTCGCCGAGAAGCTCAAGGCGTACAACCTGCAGGACCTGGGCAACGACACGTACGAGGCCAACCTGCTGCTGCGGCACCCCGCCGACGCGCGCAGCTACGGCCTCGCCACCGCCATGCTCGTCGACCTCGGCCTCGGCGGCGACGCCGGCATCCGGCTGCTGACCAACAACCCGGACAAGGTCGCCGCCGTCGAGGGCCCCAACAGGGAGGTCGTCGTCAAGGACAGGTGCGCCATGGTGCCCCTCGCGTGGAAACAGGGCACGAAGGGCAGCGAGGAGGTGGAGAAGTACCTCTCGACTAAAGTGAGTCTCATCGTTCCGGCAAGAGCGGGCGTCTGCGGTTTCAATGATGCTAACGGAGTTTCAGATCGAGAAATTTAAGCACATGCTCAGCCCTGCTGCGTCATGATCACCGCCTACACAAGAAACAACTGTAAATGATTTTAGCTTCTGAGCACATTCTTGCCATTGGAAAAGCATAACCCGGCTGGCGTTATCGGAGAACCTTGGGGAAAAGAGGCCGGTGGCCCTTTTCATTGTAGAACAACCAAGAAAGTCAGGGCGGAGCGCGAGCTCTTATTTACCACCCCATCGCCCAATATTTATCATTCGCTTTTTTTTTATGTAAAAAGAAGACACACATGATGGATCTGCTCAAACGACTTTGACGACGGGAAATCCGCAAATTGAATTCTTCTGCTTGGAAAAAAAAGACTTTGTCCGGCTGGTGATGCTCGCTCTCCTGCCCAGTCAACCAAATGACAATGTTTTTTGGTCCCCCGAAACTCCCCCCCTCTATGATTTGCCTCCCCAGAAGACCAGCACGAGCCCGTTGGTCCCGCGCTCCAAACCCGGAGTTCCTGTAGTAACAAAACCCAACGGGCTAGAAGAGATTTGGCCTTTCGTTTTTACCAGCCTCTAGGCGCAGAAAAAAACAGAGGCGGACCTCATATCAACAACAACGGCAGACAACTCTCGGGGAAATAAAGAAACCGGCATGGATAACTCAAATGTCGTCAATGTCGGCCTCCTTGAGGTTGTTCTCGTCGTCGTCGGAGCGGTCCTCGTCGAACTCGAAGCCGATGCCGCCCTCGTCGCCCTCGCCGCCGTACGTGTCCGTCTCGTTGATCTTGGCCGTCTCGGGCAGCTCGCCGTAGGCCTTGAGCGAACGGGCCTCGTCCGAGTTGTACTTGAGGATGACGTCGCCCTTTTCGTCTTGATATTCGCGGAGGGAGAGGAGGATGCTATTATTAGGCAGGTCAGCTGGATGCATCTGGCTTCGCCGCGTCGGACGTCGGGGCGGGGGAGATATATAGCTTCTGTAGCGAGAGGGCGGACACGTTGGATTTTGGGTGGGGATGGAGTAGTTTTGTAAGGGAAAAGCTGGGGGACTGGGAAAACTCACATGTCGCCCTGGTTGATCCAGACCTTCTTCCTCATCTTGCCGCGGATGTGGGCGAGGCGCTTCTCGCCGTCGAAGCACTGGGCTTCGAGGCGGCCGTTGCCAAGCATCTTGATGACCTGCGCATACTCCTGGCCCTCCTCCTTGAAGACGAGCTCGCGCTTGAGGTTGTCCTACATGGGGCGTCAGCGCTCTCTGCCTTGTCTTCTGCCTCGTCTTCTGCCTCGCAATGCACCACGACCCTCTCACCCTCGGCTCGTATCCCCAAGTGTTGCGCGAGGAGAGCAGATGCGAGGCGGTCGAGTGGCGGCGTCGGCAGGGCGGGCGGCCGGGGCGGGGGAAAAGCTCACGTTCTCGTTCTTTCCACGTCTGCGGTTCTTACCGCCCTTTCCCTTGTTCTTGGGCATGGCTGCGGCGCGGCGGGGGAGGCTGTCGTTGGGCTGCGGCGGCGGTGGGGTGGGTGAGAAGAGAGAGAGGCGCGGAAGCGTGAGACGTTACTTAATAAAACGGCCACGGCGGAGGGACCAAGGCCGACAGCAGCGCGCGCGCGTGCGACGCAGGCGGCATGGAGGGGTGCTTTGACGTCATTGGTCAGTTCTGCGATTCCTTTTTTTAATCTGCGTGGGGGTCCATTTTTATATGATTCTACTCGGGCCAAGTCGCGCAGCCGTTGCTCGTCTTTGTCCTCCTTCTTTGAGGCGCGACGCTGAGGCCGTCTTTTGTCCGTACCTCTTGCCTGCCTTTCGAGCCGCGCTTGTGGGCCCCAAAGTGCGCGGAGAGCGGGTTGATCCGGCGGCATGCCTCCTTGAACGTCATCCCGCCCAATAATGCCAGCCTTGCGTCCTCACAATTACTGTCCCTCGCTTTGCCTGCATTATTGGGACACTGGTCGAAGCAAACTGACCCTCTCGTGTCCAGAGCCCAGTATAGCCTTTTGCCTGAAGCTTGCTTGAATCCACGGTTGCAACAAATTCAGTTAATTCTACTTCACTTGCCCCGGAACGAAGCGAAGTAGCAACGTAGGTAACACGGCACCTTACTGAGATAAGTCAATAGAGTTTGCTTCGGAGATCGGAGAGGTGTCTCGTTTTTTTTAAAAAAAAAAAAAAAAAAAGGGAGAACCCAGAATGAAAGAGGCGAGCCTGACTGTTAGGATGGCACCCACAGACACACCCCAGACTACCATAAGCTCTCGGACAATCAATGCGGAAAGCCGAGCCCACCTAAATAAGCAGTATGGGCAGTTGAAGGTTTCCGGACGTAGATGCAAATGCTGAGACTATGCATATGCATGCAGACATGGGATTCAGCTACCCACGTAAAGTCAGACGCAATCCTTTTGCAACCCGTCGTTCCTTCGCTGCAACCTGCAGGGCCCCACACCAGTTGCCAAAAACCGGGGACCAATGACGTCGTCTCCCGGCCCCCCACCTCGGATCGGTTCTCGGAGACAACGCATATCCCCAGGACCCAAAACGTCCCCCCCACGCTACCTAATTTCTAATCAATCCATACCGGTCCAAGTGCCGAGGCAAGCGGAGGGGAATGGAGGCCATGTCCGGCGTCATTCACGCTCGTCGTCATCACCATGCTCTTTCGCTCAATTTCTAAGCAAGCGCATGGCCTGACTTCGCAAATCGTATACCTATCCACCCTCATATAACAACCCCGTACGCCGCTCTTCCCATACCAATCCCTTCCCCCCAACCATTCCCCGATACTCCGCAAAGAATCCCGACAACAACAACACCAACAACACCAACAACAATGTCCCCACCAACCCGCTACCCGACCCCCTCCTCCCCGACCGACCTCTCCCCCCTCGCCCAACCCCTCCCCTTCCCCTTCTCCGGCAAAACCGCCCCCAACCGCTTCCTCAAAGCCGCCATGACCGAACGCCTCTCCTCCTGGCACCCCTCGGACCTCTCCGCGCGCGGCATCCCCTCGCCCGCCCTCATCAACGTCTACCGGCGCTGGGGGCAAGGCGGGCACGGGGTCATCCTCACCGGCAACATCATGATCGCCGGCGACCAGCTGGAAGCGGCAGGGAACCCCGTCATACCCGCGGACGCGCCCGCGGACCCCAACGACGGCGACGGGCGGTTCGCGGCGTTCGCGGCGCTGGCGCGGGAGGCGAAGAGCGGAGGCGGGTTGGTCGTCGGGCAGGTGTCGCATCCGGGGAGGCAGGTGGCGAGCGCGATCAACGGCGCGCCGGTGTCGGCGAGCGACGTGAGGCTCGAGGGGGACGTGATGGGGATGACGTTTGCGCGGCCGCACGCGGCGAGCGCGGAGGAGATTCGCGGCGTGGTGGAGGGGTTCGGGCACGCGGCGGGGTATCTGGAGGCGGCGGGGTTCGATGGGGTGCAGTTGCATGGGGCGCATGGGTATCTGTTGGCGCAGTTTTTGTCCGAGACGACGAATAGGCGGACGGATGGGTATGGCGGGGGGTTGGAGAATCGGGCGGTGAGTAGTAGTTGTGTGTGTGCGCGTGGTGAGGAGTGGGTTGGTACGTTGGGCTGACGTTTTGTTTTCGTGTGTGGCAGCGGCTTATTCTTGAGATTGGCCGGGAGGTTCGCAAGAGCACCAGCCCGAGCTTCGTTCTCGGCATCAAGCTCAATTCGGTCGAGTTTCAGGACAAGGGCTTCCAGCCCGAGGACGCGAAGCGGCTGTGCGTGTTGCTCGAGGAGAACGAGTTCGACTTCGTCGAGCTGTCCGGCGGCACGTACGAGCACATTGCGTTCTCGCACCAAAGGTATGTGCATTTCACCACGGGACTGGCGTCGGCAGCCTGCTAACTCGGCCTGTGCTCAGGGAATCCACCAAGAAGCGCGAAGCCTTCTTCCTGGAGTTTGCGGACCTGATCACGCCGGCGCTGACGAAGACGAAGACGTACGTGACCGGCGGCTTCAAGACGGGTGCTGCCATGGTCGAGGCGCTCAAGTCCGTCGACGGCGTCGGCCTCGGCCGGCCCGTGTGCCAGGAGCCGCGCCTGCCCAAGGACCTCCTGGAAGGCAAGGTCCAGTCCGCCATCCAGCAGCGTCCGGACGACAACGATTTCGGCGCGACCACCGTCGTCGCCGGCTCGCAGATCCGCCAGATGGGCAAGGATCACGAGCCCATCGATATGAGTTCCGAGGAGAACGAGAAGGCATTCATGAAGGATATGGGTGCCTGGGCTAAGAAAATGGCGGAGAACTCGGATATGGTGCACTATGGCTATGTCGATATTGAGAGCGCGAAGCCTATTCCCTATGTCTATTGAGTTGGAGGAGATAGACGGTAGACAAAGAGATGGCTAGATGAGCACCTGTAGATGCGTATCGCGAACTGCTTGATCCTGTGTCGATACAGCTGAAGGGATATTCCGTCTTGGAAATGCGGTTCAAGAGGAGGTACGGGTCAATCAACCCCTTTGTTGGGTGCTGAGAAGTGGATCAATGAAGCAGAGGACAAGGACTTTGTCCACGCGGGTAGTGAGTTGGAACAAAGAATCAGTCTATTTTAGGGCCACTCACTCATTGTCTTCTCGTGCCAAATTTAGCTCGCAGCAGCAATGTGATGCCGGTATACAATGATCGTAGCCCCAAGATATAAAGTGTCGACAAGAGCCCGGAACTCATCAGCCAGAATCCCATCAGCGAACCCTTTTCACCACTGCCACCAACGCGTCTTGCATTGATTGCGAGCCAACGTCGACAAGAGTCCGGAACTCATCAGTCAGAATCCCACCAGCGAACCCTTTTCAGTACTACTGCCACCAACGCGTCTTGCATTGATTGCGAGCCAACGTCGAATCGAGAAGTATAAATCACAAACAAAAAGCGAGTAATTGACTAACATAATGGCCATGTTTGAGTTCCGCCAGATTGAAGGAGCTGGGACAGCGACCTTCGCGACGCAAGATATCCCGCGCGGCTCTAAAATCCACCAAGAAAGTCCGCTCATGGTCTATCCGACCGGGGAGGACAGTTTCCCCCCAAACCCTGACAGACTTTTCAACAAACTCGTACGGGGAAGCAATAACCTGGACGACTACATGGGACTGTTTGCCCTGGAAAGTTGCGTGAACACAGCACGCGAAACAATGGGCCCGGCGCCGACGGGAGCGCCGGCAGCGCTTGCGGAGGTCAAAGCCTGGGCTTTGGGTATCTATTGCACGAACTGCTTCAACATCACAATCGATGCAGAAAAGCCAGAGAATGCGGTGTACAAGGAGATGTCCCGACTGAACCACGTGTGCTGCAACAACGCAACGTGGAGTACCGGAACTAAGAAGTCGCTGGTAATGTCGGCCTCACGCGACATCAAGGCTGGTGAGGAGATCACCACCAGATACTCGGATGTCTGGCAGCCATACAGCCAGCGCCAGAGCAAACTGTCGTCCTCTTATGGGTTTCGGTGCCGATGTGCGCTCTGCGAAATTGAGAGCTACGTCGAAAACACCCTAGAAGCCAAAGTCTACATCTTCGGCCGTTTGTTGGTGCAGCAAGACCTCAGAGTCATGACAAGGTTTTTCCGAAAATGGTTCAACAGCATCCAGTGGCGAAACGACAAAGATCGTGCGAGCTGGTGCACTAAGAACACTCGGTCCCTACTCGACATCAACGAGGCAGTCGGCTTTGCTGAAATCGCGCTCGATGTTCTTGGGAAGATTGTTGAGAGAGAGCGCACAAACCATGGTCCTGACAGTATCGACTTTCAGAATGCGACGAAGAACGTGGATGCCTGGGGTAATGTCATTGCTGACCTCAGGAAGACGTATGGAGACAGTTCTGTTTGGCTTGAAAGCGTCAACGCCGAGGATCCGCGTTTTTAAGGTGGGTAAGTTTCAAACCAGCAGGCTGGTAAGTTCCGATCAATGTATAGACAGGTAAGACTCGAAGAATAGAAATTTTCTTTGTTGTTATCATAAGAGTGATTACTTTTGCTAGTTGTAATGTGATGTGAGTAAAAGCTTAAACGTGGAGTCTACCGGATCTCAAGATCGCGCAGCGGTATCTGGACTCCTCTTTCTACACCTGGCGGGCGACGGGAGGCTCGACACCGAGCTTCCAGAAGACCGCTGACGCCGAGGGGGACGGCATCATGTTCGAAGAGTACTCGGACGAGAACATCAATGCGGCGGGTGGAGGCGGCGAGGACAAAGTGGCGGACGGGTTCGGTTGAAGCAACGGGGTGCTGATCTGGGCGTCGGGCGTCTTTGGGCCGAAGTTGCAGGTGCCGGACCGCGGCAACGTCACGGCGCCGGCAGACAATGCAAGCGATGAGAGCTCGAGCGCGAGGAAGCGGCGCAGGGCTCGCAGCAGCAGCACCGCTATGGGGATCAGCAAGCGGGACCTGCGCTGGGTGAAGAGTTTTCGTAATGGCAGGGTCAACTGAGCGCATGCGATCATGATGGCTATGGCTGTAGATGATGATAATAATGCCGCTATTCGGTCGGTCAGTAGTGCGCCCGAGAGTGGTGGTATGTAAGTACAATGCGCTTTGTAAAACTAGGGCGGACAGCTATTCGGGTTGCGCCGTTTTTGGAACGCCCCTTCATGCAGCGGCCATTTCCGAGCGGCCGGGCCGCTGTCTTCACCTCTAGCACGCGGCTGTGCTAGCCACCATGAAACGCGATGCCATGGGTCAGTGTTCCAGCATCTTCTCCCAAAGACCGCGGTCGAGAAGCACGCCGCGTGACGTGGGCGACGGCGAGGGCAGGTGCCGTGATGCAGGAACGCCTACGGTGCAGGCAAGATCCCTCCTGGCGACGAGCGGCCGGTGCGCAGCGTTGTTCGTGGAGTGGCACAGCGTGTGGGGATTCGCGCCGCGAGCGTTTGAGCCGTTTGCTTCGCCGTCGCAGCGTGTGGCTTGGGGGCGTGGGCTGGCGCCGTGGGTTCCACGCTGCGGGCCTCGAGCTTCTTTGCCTTTGGGGCAGGCTAATGGCGATCGTCAGGGACTCGGGCAGCCCTGTTGGCTGCAGAGGGGCGTCATTGGGCGGCGATGGAGCCTAGGATGACGCGGGGTGTTGGGATGGCGGCGGTGTAGCTGGAGATTTCGGGGTCGGTGCAAGGAGCGATGACCGCACTGCGCAAAATGCGCACGGCGAAGCGGCGGCGGTCCCTGCGCTTGCCGACCCTGCGCCTGCCAGCCGCTGCAAAAGGCGCCGTCCGCACCCTCGAAACACCCGGCGCGGTGCAGAAACAACATCACATCCGCCGCTCTCTCGCCTGCTCCTGCCGTCGCCGTGCCTGTTCCTGCTCGGCGCAGAATGCACCTGGCCTCTCGCGCGCCTGCCGCCCTTACGTGAAGCTTGCTCGGCATCCACCGGCCCAAGGCCTGGCCCGCCAATATTCCTTAGGGGTCCAGTCTCGACCGTTGGTGCAAGGCCTCGTGCCCCGTGCCTCTCCAGCTTCCACGCGCTCTGAAAACCCTCCGATCCAAGGTCCCCGCCGACTGCGCGGCAAGCGACCCTTCCCGCCCACGCCCTAGCGACTCGACTTCCGCCCTCGCGACCGCCCTCGCCCTCGCCGAGAACCTGCTTCGAGCCGAAGCGCAACCTGTCCCAGTCGCGCTTGATACCGTGTCATGCCTCAGCTGTGCCTCGCCCAGCCCAACCGAATTTCTGCACCATGAACGAGACCGCTCCCCAACCTTGCGACCGCCCCTTCGTGGGTCGCAACCAAGCCAAATCCGCACCCCCCGTGCCGGACTCGACCATCCAGAGCCTCAAGGAGCTGCGCTTGGAAGAGAAGGACCGCCTCGAAGAGCTGCCTCAAATGCGCTCCAGCCGCCCAGAAACACCGCGTCGCTGCACCGACCCGTCGCCTTCCTCGCTGCTGTCGCCACACATGTCGCCGCAAACAAGGAACCGCTCGTCCTACGCCAGGCCTCACCTGCGCTCCACCTCGCTGAGTGCCCCCATCATGACCCGCGCCCACTCTTCGCCTACGCCAATGAGCCCGACGAGCACCATGAACAGTGCCGCCATCCCAAGACCTTCCAGCCCCATGCGCTCCCCCGCTCGTGTTCGCGCCTCGCTGAAGTTCGACGAGTCATACCCCCCGTCCAGTGCCCCGGCCGTCTCGGACATTGGCATCATCTCAGAGGAGCAGGAGCTCGACTTCGCCCCGCGTCGGTCTCTCGACGGCCCTGCGGCCATCACCATGCACGCCGGCAACACTTTTGGCCGCCAGCGACGTAGGCCCATGTCGCCGCTCCATAGCACCAACTCCCCCTTTAGCGGCAGCTCTCCATCAACGCCTTCGCAACCCTCGCCAACACTCTCTGCCACCAAGTTCAACGAGCCGTTCCCTGCCGCCTACCCCAGCTCCCACTCTTCCTCGTCGGTGCCGTCCACACCAACCTCGATGCGCTCCCGCAGTCCCAGCATCTCCAGCTTGGAGACGATCGAAGACTCGCCCGACGCCGAGGAGGCGGCCATTGAAGCGGACAAGATCGCTAGGATGGAGGCGGCGGCCAAGGCTGCCGAGCGCGGTGGTGACGGGATGAGACGGAGCAGCCTCGACGTTCCCCGTGCTCGGCCGATGGGTTTCAGCATGAACAGCCGCGACAAGCGCAAGCGCTGGAGTGTTTGCGGTGCCGAGAAGAGAGGAGATCTTGACCTGGAGACCATCTGGGAAGACTGATGACGAACAAGCACGCGACCAGACTGCAGTACGATGGAGCAAGCATCTGCCAGAGGCAGCACAAAGAAGCCACAGAAAAAGAAATTTGTAAGAATCGGCTTTGGACACCTCCTTTCAGCGAAGTTGGCATTGTACCACAAGCATACTCGGAGTTCTTTTCTTTCGGAGGCGCACACTCAGTTTCCTGCTTCTTCCTGTTTTCTTCTCGACTCTCTTTTAGCCTGTATTACGGCGTTGACGTTTATGGCACCCTTGTAACAGGCGTTCTTCTGATTTCGTCTGGCGGACAACCTCCGAGCGACAAGACAACAACAACACAGCACAGTACATGAGAGCCATGATACCCAGTCATTGTATATCTTTTTATGTCTTCTCTCGCGCGCGCACACACTCTCAGCCAATAGCCAATGCTACAAGACGACTGCATGACAAGCTCGATCTTTTCCACATGCGAATTGCTTCCTTTCAACTGCATGTGATGGTGACTGACCTTTGGCGATGCTTTGTGGGCAGTTGAAGAAAGTATACCGATGTAGAAGTAGGTTTAGCTGAAGCAGATATCCGGATGTAGATGCGAGTGTTGGAAACTGTACAATGCATCCAGATAGAGGATTCCGATATGCGTGGTTCCACTGCTTTCGTCAGCCGCTGTACCACTGAGATGGTGGAGTCCAATCACAGGCGTGTGGTGATGCGGTTTGACCGGTGTCGAAATTGGAAGGGGCGAGATGCAGCTCGTCTCTCGGGAAACCGCCATCCGCAGACAAGTTTTTATCAATCACCGCGCCCAAGGCTGTTTTCGAGCCTGATTGAGTCTCTGTTGGCGGGCGCTCTCGGATGCCGGGGCCTCGATTTCCTGGCAGGTCCAGCCGGGAAGGTCCCCACCACAGATGATGTAACGCCAAAGTGGTGGGATGGCGGGGCATTGCCCGAAGACGGGCGCGACAACTCTAATAACCGCCATCGCCTCTTTCCTCCCAAACCCTCCATTGTCCCCTCAAAGCCACGTCCAAAATGCTCAATTTCGCAGTCATCGGCACCGGCTGGATCACCGACTCGTTCATCGAGTCGGCCCACGCGACGGGCGCCTGGAAGCTCGTCGGCGTCTACTCGCGCAAGCAAGAGACGGCCTCGGCCTTTGCGTCCAAGCACGGCGCACCCTCGACCTACACGACGCTCGACGCGCTCGCCGCCGCCGCCGACGTGCACGCCGTCTACATCGCGTCGCCGAACTCGCTGCACCACGCGCAGGCCAAGCGCCTCCTCGCCGGCAGCAGCAACAACAACAAGCAGCACATCATCCTGGAGAAGCCGTCGACGTCGACGGCGGGCGAGTTCGAGGAGCTGCACGCGCTCGCGCGGGACAAGGGCGTGTTCGTGCTCGAGGCGAACCGGCACCTGCAGGAGCGCAACTTCGGGGTGCTGCGCGAGGCCCTGGGCCGGCTGGGCCCCGTGTACGGCGCCAGCCTCAACTACGCGGCGTACTCGTCGCGCTACAACGCGGTGCTGGCGGGCGAGACGCCCAACATCTTCAGCCTCGCCTTCTCGGGCGGCTGCCTCGTCGACCTCGGCGTCTACCCCATCGCCGCGGCGGTGGCGCTGTTCGGCCGGCCCGGGGCGCAGTCGTACAGCCCCGTGTTTGTGGCGACGGGCGCGGACGGCGGCGGGTTCGTGCGGCTGCAGTATGAGGGGTTTGCGGTGGATATCAACCAGAGCAAGATTTATACGTCGGCGGCGCCGAGCGAGGTGTATGGCGAGAAGGGGACGTTGATTGTGAACGGGGTGACGGACATCGACAGCGTGGTCTTTTTGGATGCGCGGACGAAGGAGAAGACGCAGCTGGCGGGCGAGAAGGCGAAGCTGAACTTGCAAGAGGAGGCGGCCGAGTTTGCGCGGATAATCGGAGAGAGGGACGAGGCGGCGGCGAAGAAGCTGGAGGAGATGAGCAGGATTGTTTTGGGCATCACGACGGATCTGAGGAAGCAGAATGGCATCGTGTTCGATGTCGAGAAGAACTAGGTGGGGGCTGGGAGAGTACTTGCGGGGACTGGCCATGGCTGCGACCATCATTGGCCGTGATGTACGGCAACGTCTCGTGGCTTGAATGGTTGACTGCTCCGACCCAGCAATCTATTTCCAACCGTTTTGGGAACCTTGATCCCCGGACGTTTTGAGGATCGACATGTGTAATACTCAGCATCTGCAACGTCTCCCCTTGTGGAGACTATGTCTACGATCGAGACTGGAATCCTGGAACTCCTTGTTCTGCGCATACATATACATACATATACCAACCGTCGCTCTCTCGGTCTGAGAGCGATCGAACACGACATATTTGAACTACATATTTGCGTTTAAACTTTGTTTTCTTCCGTGGATGCTGATGTCCTACGAACCTAACGTTGTGCTTCTTTCCAGAGACTTGCATGCTTATTCCACGCTCCTTGTGGTTTCCTTGATTCCTTTGAGCTTTTTTCTTGCCCGAACGATCATCTAGTCAACGGAGTAGATCTCCGAAGTTACACTACAGGGCCGAGATGCCGCCACATCCACCGTTAGCATATCCGAGGTTCATCCACACGAAATTTTCACACCCCTCTTTCTCTTTGCCGGGCACTAACAGACCTGAGTCGAGGTACGCTTTCATAATCAGCCCCGCGACGTCTAAACTGTACGGTATATATACGGTGCAAGATCGCTCTTTCCTCATCCAAGCAAAGGAGGTCCACCTCCTTCCGACTCCGATTCGGTGTCACGCCTCCGCTTGGTGTAGTTGGTTCATCACGTTCGACTGTAATATCTGTTGCTATCACAAGCTCTTCGGAGCGGCGATTCAATGCGATCGAAAGGTCCCTAGTTCGATTCTGGGAGCGGAGAACAGCATCTTTTTTGCCCTTTGGACGTCCCCTCCTATCAAAGAGCGATGCGGTGGAGTTCTTTTTGGTGTTTTTACAATGGCCGAGTATTGGTTGTGGAAGAAGGGCTTGCTGTTTTGCTTCAGATGCCCAGCGCCCCGCCACCGCCGCCCTCCTGGCCGCCATCCTCGCCGCCTTCTGCCCGTGGAAAAACACTCAACGCAGGGGGTGTATTCTCCTCCCTTTTCTTTTGTTGCTGGTCCAGGCAACCCTTGTGCGGACATGCCGACATCCTGCAGCAATATCTTTTTTGCTGAGGTGGCACCACTCCGCCCTTGTCGAACCTGCATCATCGCCGCACCTCCTCGCCATCGAAAGACGAGTCTCAGCTGTCGACCTCGCCACCACTGCCAGCATTATGAACTCGCACCATCCGATGATCAGGCTACTCTCTCGCAACAATGAACATGGGAGTGTACGCACAGCCACGTCAATGACGGCGTGAGATGGGGAGTACGGCACGTGCTCGTCTCCTGTCAGCAGTTGTGAACGGGAGGGTCATAAGGGAAAGAGCTCTCATGGACCGCAGCCGTCTGCTGCGACTTTCCAGGGACCTGAGTATTTCTAGACGTCCTGCTGATTGGATCTGTGCCTCGGATCAGCCTCGTGCGCATACCGATGACCGACGCCTCCTCTCAGCCACAGAGAGATGCACCAGCCTCATCCCGGAAGTTGAGCGAGGCGAAAACTGCATGACCGTTTGCAGACAAGGCGGGGACGCTGATTGGATGCAGACGTACAAGGACTCGCAGAAGTGTCACCGCCGCCAGCCGGTGTTGTTGTGGTGCTGAGGCCTGCGGCAGATAGACGGCTGTGTAGTGCAGGGCGAAGCACACACACACTCTCTCTCTACGCCAGCCACAGCCAACACCGTGATCTCGATCGGAAGGCTCATCTCCGCAGCGATTGCTTCAGAATTCCGGCGTAGCACGCGGCTGGCCACCAAGCATTCTTTCTCTGATCGCTATTCTTCTCTTGGCCAGTACTTCTCCGATGCCTTGCCTTGCCTTGGTATGTGTGTCAGCTGCGGCCCCCGCACCATGCACCAATGGTTGTGGCATGCATATGCATCTGCCTTTCCGCAGCGGCACGCACGGACACAGCCGCGTCTTTCCCCCTCAGCTCACCCACCGCGTCTGCCCAACCAGCAGCCGGTTTTTGAGCCTCATCTGCCAGCTGGCTCATGATAGAAGGGCGTGGCGTCTGGATTGGTCGGTCAAGCGCAGCTGGCTTCCAGCTGTGGGTTTTCATTGATTGAAACCGCTCTACACCTGCTGTACTTTGACGCCGGTCGCAATCTTGCGGCAAGCTGGGGAAACACTTAAAGGCGTTGTTGCTCAGCCTTGCCGGCCGCCTTGATTTCTGACAAGCCCTGTTCGACCATTCCTTGCCATTCACAAGCCGATTTCGAAAGCAGCGTTGCCTTCATCAGTCATTCGCCATGGTGCAAGACACCTTTTCAGCCTACAGGCTGGATAAGGACAAGCTGGAGGAATACCTCCAAAGCCTCTTCCCCGGTCAAACCATTACAGTCAGAGTAAGGCTGGATCTCCGATCGATGTCGATTAGATTCCGCCTCGGACTGACCGGTTCCGGTGTCCAGTTGTCAAACGATACGTACCACTTCAGCATTCCGAGGGTGCTGGACTCGGTAAGGCCGCGTTCTCCTTGTGATTGATGAGGAGCCTACTAATAGGACCAGAACGAAAGGGAGCACGTTATGGAGCTTCGTTGGTAGAAGACCGACCCTTTTCCGGATGCTATTGGATTAGGAAGGCTGTATCAGATGAAATGCATTACGCGACTGTCTCGTGTCAAGCTTCTGATATCAAATGATCCACTTTTGTTGGTTGCTATGCGATTTCTGCCTTGCGCTTCGCCTTCCGCAGTTTCATGCGTCAAGTCAGCCCTGTGTAACTCGGCTCCGCCCCAGAGGCGTCGAGGCTGAGGGGTTTTGGCCACAGAAGCCAGTTCAAAAGGGCGAAAAAGGTGCACCTCATCGCCATCAGACTCCATCAATCTCTCCACCCTCCTACTTTCCAAGATGGGACGGGACTCCTGCCTAAGAGAGTTTAGCGACTCCCTTGAGCAGGTGGTACAGTATCCAGTGAACCTTATCTCTACTGATTCTTACCCTCATCAATTGCAATCTTACCTCACTCGCCTCAACGACGCAGAAACCAAGCTTTGCTGTGTTGATGGTAAAGCGAAGCTTGCATTCTGGATATGCGAAGAGCAAGGATGTGGTGAGTTCCGTTACTCCGACTACTTACGCGATGCGATGTCTGATACACCATCTCTTGGCTCAGGATTCAAAACAAGCTGTGTCAGCGATGTAGATGAGCTTGGGAAACTCTACAAAATCGACACGAACTTTAACCCTGGCATCAAGGACCCCCGATGTTGTTTTACGTAAGTATCTGCACTTGTCTTCACCTGGAATCCAACACTAATCAAACAGGTTCATCCACGCTCGCCATTCAAGAGACAGGCTGTTGATCTCGCGGCCCATGATGTCCCTCCTTTTCACTTATCATCAGGTAATGCCCGCTTTTCTCGACTTTGTCCTGACGTTCGGAAGACGCGAACATGGCCAAGAGCTTCACTATGGCGGTTTCCGTTCGGAGTCCAGGTTACTAGACTCAAGCACGAGGATCCCCGAAATCGGACGTTCGGGAAGAGACTTTCGGCTCTGCTACAACCTGAAGTCGGTCGAGCACTCTCCCAAGCAAACAGACTGGCCATGGTCTGTTCGGCAAACCGCCATACATCACACCTTTGACATTGTGACAGGGCGCGCGTCATGGATCGTCGTCAAAGGCGATGGCCTGATGGAAAACAGGGTCAAGGAAGCCACAGATCCATCCAGCCGGGCGGCTGCCTCGCAATTCGATACTAACAGTCGGTCCTTCGCATCATCTTTAAACACTCATCTCATCTACATCGACTGGGCAGGAGAAAATTGGCAATCTTACATTGACTTCCTCGAGGATGAGGCTCAAGATAAGACACGACGAGTCTTGTCCGCCGATGTCGATAGACTGCCAAAGTCTAAGGTTGCTGCTCTGCCAACTACGCCTTCACCAAAGCTCTCTCAGCGATCATGGTCAGGGCTATCCAGCCTCGCTACCGAAAAAGGCTCACAAATGCTTTCGGGCTCCTCTCACTCATGGGCCAAACTTCCGGGCAAACTACGACAATTCGCGAGCACTTCGTACTACGCGCAGCGACGGACGCAAGAGAAAGTAGAAACGGCTGGTGGGAATGACGAGCTCAGGTTCTACTTTGCCGACTTGCAGAGGGCGCAATATCTCGAAGAGAAGACAAACGGCGCGATTCTGGTCATCAACATCAACCTCAGTGTGATCAGCGAGATGAAGAAATTCTACCAAGAACTGCTACGCGCAGACGAGTCTTCTGACGAAATCAGCATGAACTGCGGCGACGACGTAGAGAGGTTTCTCAGACGCGCTTCCAGCGCAGAGAACGACTTGCGGCTTCAAAAGAGCCGGGCAGAGTCCCTGGTCCGGGTGTTGGCCGACAGGAAAAACCTGCTCTTCGGCGCCCTCGAGTACCACAATATGGAGGCTAGCAGGCTCTCGGCGCAAAGTATGCATGCGGTCGCGCAGCAAACGCAACAAGAAACCGTCTCGATGAGGATCATCACGCTTGTCACGCTCTTTTTTCTTCCAGCAACATTTATCTGTGTAAGTGTTCCCGTAAAAGCTATACAGCATGTACTGACCTGGACGCAGACTCTTATGAGTACGGACATAATCAGGTGGGACTCAGGAGACGGAGACCCTCAGGAAAGAACTGTATCAACTGGTGCTATTGAGTTCTTCTTTGCAATCACGTTACCCCTGAGCTGCTGCACGTTCTCGGCCTGGTGGTATTTCAATCGCAGATTGACGCGTGCCCAACAGGCCAAGGACGCTGCAATGTGCCTTGTTTAGCGCCGCTGGACGATGATTAGTTTTTGTAAGATAAGGATGGCCTGGTTCTCTTCCTTTCGGACCTGGTGCTGTCCTCTGGTGTGGTAACTTTTTTTTTCCCATCGGGTCTACTTACATCTGTCTTACTTGCGTACGTAGTAGAATCAAATGTCCGGGTATACTTGTACAGTTTTGGGTCTCCCATCTACGTCAAGGCATTCGCTTCAACTCCCGATGGAAAATTGTAGTCTCTTTTGCGGGGCTCAAATCGTGGCGCGTGGAAAGAGACTGTGCCATCTGCACGTCTTCACTGCGCCCTTCACTGCGCCCTGCTGCGGCTTGTAGCAAGTAAGCCTCACCACTCAGCTGGCCAGCTACTGACATCATAAGTCGGAAACAATCATTGGTGGGTCGGCATGCATAGCCCCCGCACCTGCACGCATGCAAGGGTGGCCTCCGGCTGCAGCGCGATTCTCGTCGATCGTGCGCCTCGCCGGCACAAGCACCTTAGGCAGCAACCCCGTAGCCTTGCGCCCAGACCTCAGCCTCAGCCTCGTCAAGTTGCGGCAGTTCGAGAGCTTTCTGCCTTGGCGGCTGTCAGCCTCTTTAAAAGTACCTGCGGCGTCGTCCCCGCTTGCGCCGCAAATCTTTCGCCCCCCATCCCACCTTCCGCGGACGGTTGCGCGCGTCAAACCTTCCTCGCGACTACCCCGGACCAACGAGACCGACACACCGCGCAGCACAGCTCGTGCCTCCCGCGCTCGACCGGCGAATCGCGGTCCCACTCGGACGCCCCTTGCCACCGCATGCAGTCTCCAGTATGGTCGACTCAGAGCTCGACTCGGAGCTCCACCAGGAGTTTCGTGTCTGGATCGAGAGCCAAAAGATAAGGGGAATCGGTGCTCCAGGGGCAGCTGCTGATCCTTCTTACGTGCCCCAACAAAGAGTCGTCGAGTATTTCAAAGCCAGCAAGACGATCAGCCAACTTCTACAGCGCCTCAAGCCCGACGGAGGGTTGGAGGCGTATCAAAGCACCATCTCCAAAGAATACCCAAAGGTTCTTTGCGTCTTGCTCATCATCGGCCAAGGTCGTCAGATCGAAACCTTTGTTCGCTACACCAGCCTTTGCGATACTCGACTGCCCTTCGACCACAAGCCCGCAAACTTCCCATTTGCCTATGATGGATCTGATTTCTTTGGGCGGTTCAAGGAGGTTCAATGGCAGTTCTGCGCCCAGCCTCTTACCTACAACATGGACCTGGTCTATGAAGACGCTCGAATCCTACCCATCATGACAAAGGATCCAATTGGCAGAGGGGGGACATCAAATATCTTCAAGATCACTCTCCCACAGGCCTACGATGAGCTTGAGCCGCACGGCAGCTCTGAGAAGAAGGTATCCTGAACATGTCCCATACTGGCCTCGGGATCGACTCCGATGCTGATTATCCATTAGCACGCAGGATTCCGTCATGCCCACACCTACGTCGTCAAGACTTACTGCACAAGAGATGCCAAATCGTTATATTCCAACGAGATACGCGCCTTCAGACGGGTTCTGGCTGCCGGTAGCAACCAGGGTTTCGTACCTGGCTTGATTGGGTTCCATGGTAATTTCACACATGGCGGCACGCACAATGTGCTCCTGGAGTATGCCGATAAAGGAACTCTTGAGCAGTACTTCAACGATGTCCCGCCGCCTACAACAGAAGAGGACATTTTATCCTTCTGGCGCGGTCTCTTCTACCCAATCGTTGCCCTCCTCAAAATCCATAATCTCAACGACCAGGATTTGGAGAATGCGGACTTCTTCCAAGGGTTTGTCACCCACCCCCTCAGGACTGAGCCATACCTATCTGACAACGGGATCACAGCTGGCACCAAGACATCAAGCCCGACAACATTCTCGTCATCAGCAACGACAGGCCATCTGCCTACAAGTACGAGTTCAAACTCGCTGACCTCGGGCTTAGCCACTTCAGAAAACCCCAGTCCGCAACTGGTGAGATGACTGATACGGACGCATGGGGCACAAAAACATACGGTGAGTATTCAGTCTTTCCGCCTTTGCTCTGCCCAAGCCTGCTGATACCCATTCCAGGAGCTCCAGAAACTTACCGGAATGACAGCCTGGTTGGCCCTACCAGCCTGCGTGTCACCAAGTCCGTCGACATATGGTCTCTCGGCTGTGTCTACAGCGAGGCAGCAACATGGCTCGTTCTCGGTAAGGAAGGCTTGCAGAGGTATCGCGCCGACCGCAAGGAAGAAACGGACAAAATCCCGAATCACAAGGACGACGCAAGCTTCCATAATGGCGAGAAAATGCTCTCATCCGTCGAGCGCACACACCATCGCATTGTGGAAAGCAAGCGCAGGACAGACCATATCACCCGCGCTGTGCTCATTACCATGGTCCAAGAGATGCTCGGTGAAGAGAGTGCGCGCCCCACTGCGAAACAGCTGTGGGTGAAGTCACAGATGATTCTCAGGCAGGCCAAAGACGCAAGGCAAAGCTCCATGTGGAGCTCGTCTAATGGAAGTCCATCGTCGTCCAGGACCCCCACGCTCAAAGACGCTCCCCAAGAACCGCAGGCTGGAACTCGTCAAAACTCACGGGCTCAGTCGGCCTATGCGCCGATCTCGAGAGGGAGCATCCGGATCGAAACGGGAAACTCCATCACTGGCGAAAGGAGACGTATTGAGCACAGCCCGGAAAGGATTCAAGGAACACCGCAAGACGCCGGGTCGCCGCCACAAGCTCACTCACCATCCGATGCAAGGCATTCCAACCAGTATTCAAGCTCTACCGGACGACCAAGCACCTCTCAGCCCGAGAGGACGAGTTCCTACTGGTCTGTGGATGCAGCATACCTTTGGGAAAAGGCACAAAGAACACGAAGGCTAAAAGCAAAAAGCGACCCGGAGGGCGGGGAAAGATTTATGGAACTGATCAGCAAACGTGATCATGTAAGTTCCAAACCCTCGACGCCGTGAATAAACGGGGTACTGAGCAGACAAAACAGGTCTTCATAGTCGATGATTCCAACTCTATGCGAAGCGCGGATTGGTCTCTTGTGACCTCACGATTCTCCCTGCTTGCATACATCGTCAAAGTCGCCGATCCCGATGGCCTGGATCTGTATTTCTCCTCTTCGAGCAAGCGACTTCATTCCAACAAGTCATCCGAATTGACCGAAGCTGTCAAGAAAAGGCACTCACTGGGCGTGGGCCACGAAAATTTGAGAATGGTACTCGAGACTGTGTTCAAATTGTTTCGGGCGTCATTCTTCGGAAGCGGCAGTAGCAAAAGCTTCTTCGGGAAGCGAGTGTCAAAGCAAGGCAAGCCGATGACCTGCTACATCCTGACCGACGGAGCCTGGTGCTCGGACAGCAACTGCGACCTCGAAAGAGTGATCAGGGAGTTTGTGGATGAGCTTCTCAGGAAGGAGACTCAGCCAAGGGACTTTGGCATCCAATTCATCAGTTTCGGGAGTCACCAGGAGGGCCTCGACACTTTACAGCACCTCGACAGCGGATTGCGCTTGCCAAGGTACTTTGCCCCCCCAAACACGTAACACTGCTGCAACGCTAACAACGGCATTAAAGGGACATCGTCGACACCGAGTCTGCGAGTGGAGATGTCTGGAAGATGCTTCTTGGGTCGATCAACAAGATTTTCGATGGCGACGCGCAAGAGCATCCTCTGTAAGAGCATCTCAAGTCCAGCGATGCCCCGAGATCGCCGCGGTACGGACTTTTATCATGAGAAGCTTACGTGTCTCTTTCTACTCCACTCCTCCTGCACCTCCTCTCTGGGTCTTTTGGGAACTTCTCTTTTGGTACAGCTCTTTTTGGTTTGCAGGCTCTATGGAGCGTACCGTGCTGTGATGAGGCGGCCTTACCTTTGTTTTGTTGGTTCAGCAGTATCCCCAAAAGCAAGGGGTTTTTTTTCCCCTGGGTAGTGGCTTTTATCTTTATTTGTGATACCCCCTTATTCTTTCTAGTCATCGGAGGGGCTTAATAGCAAACCTGGTACACCTTGGTTAGAGCTTAGATATTGTACATGAAAGTGTATGTAGGTTCAAAATGTTCACTCTGTACCTTACGCCCTCAGATGGGCTATCTGATTTTCTCGGGTTTAGCATGCGCTGGACACGCACGAAGGATCCAGACATAGAAACAACGGCCAAAGTCCTTTTTCACTGTGCGACTCGGCTTCAAGCAGTAAGGACTTTCTGCTCAAATTATAGGCGCATGAAACATCCAAAGTGCTGGAAATTTGGGCTGCGAAGGGGACGGAAGATGCATCACGAAGGGGGTGAAGACCAACCAGCCAAGTTGGTACCCAAAAAGCGTTCCCATGACCTCTCATCAACACCCGCCCGCTGACGTGTGCGCCGAAACCAGCCGCACCCTACTCCGCATCGGAGTGTTCGATGGTGTCCTCTCCTGGACCGGCATCATCCATGGGAATGTCGCGGTCAAAGGTGTGGCGGCTGAGGAAGGCGTTCCTCACGTGATTGTTGTTGCGCGCGGCGGTGCCGGGCAACACTGGAAAACTGCGACCGCGCGAACGCGTTCCGCGGGCGATCGTCGGCTGCGATCGCTAGGACGGTGTCCGCGGAAACTTCTCGAAGTGATATGCTTGTGCGCAAATACTGGGAGCAGGAAAAGACGGCGTGCATACGCCCTTCGGTATCTCGAAAGCAAAATGACAGGGAATACAAGATGGAAAACGCAATGAAACAGAGATAAAGGAAAATAGAAACTCTCGTGCCTTAATTCGCTCGCCTCGAGGCAGGAAGCCTCTCAATTGACAGAAGAAAATGGTCCACCCGCATCTTCCTTACGCAGATACTGCATCATCACACTTTACATAGGCAGTTGAATACAAGATCCAGACGTGAATGTCAGTTTTAAATACGCAAATTTACATCGGGCTTTGTATTCAACTACCCACGGGTATAATGCACCGTGGGAGAGAAGACTGACGGCGAACGTCAGGGTTCTTGCTGTGCATGGTGTTGGGCTTGGCACAAAGTGTATGCTGCAACAGTAAGAGGGAAAGACTTGATCAAATCACCGCATCTGCACAGAACATCAGAGTAAGAAGTCGATGCATTCTGTCCACGAAACCCATCGCATCTCCCACCGTAGCCCCGGACCGATGACGTCGCCGCACGACGCGAGACCATGGCGCAGACTTGGTGGCGTCCAGGGACCCGCGTACCAACAACCAAAACGCCTGAAGCCCAACCATTGTTTTTGCATCCTCCCTCCGTCATCCCACCAGGTGTGTTCCGTGGTGCGAGTGACCTTTGTTGTGAGATGGCCGGTTCGAGGTCGATTCTGCAAGCGGAGGACGAACCGTGGGTCTGTCACGACGGCGAGAAAGGCGCTGAGGGTATAAAGAGAGGGTATCAGCCGAAGCTGAGTGGGCCCTCCCTCAGACAGCACGAAGAAAGTTGATCACCGCCGAAGCTCACAAAATCTTTGACAATGTTATCATCACCGGAATGGTACCCACATGAAACACAACCCCTTCCTCCGCAATCTCGTTGTATGGTGCTGAAGACCCTTAGTGCGAGCTAGCCGGTTCGAGGGGCTTCGGTTCTGCGAGCGGAGGACGAACCGTGGGCCTGTCGCGGCCGGGCAGAAGGCGCTGAGGGTATAAAGAGAGGGTATCAGCCGAAGCTGAGTGGGACCTCCCTCTGAGCGTAACAAGACTTCGATCACCGCCGAAGCTCACGAAGTGTCACTAAGTTATCATCACCGGAATGGTACCCACATGAAACACAACCCCTTCCTCCGCAGCCTCGCCAAGTATGTTTTGCGGTATCGCTGACCATTCGCCGAGGGTATAGGAGCCTGCCACCGTGGGGAAATCAGCCGAAGCTGAGTGGGGATATGGAAGGCCGAAAAGTGTGTGGCAAAGACCGATGATGAAGTTCTCCGCAGAACAGACTGCCTGTGTCGCCGGCAACCGCTCGCAGACGTGTGGGCTCGGTTCGCTGGAGGACGAGGCGTCGTGCGGGTCTGAGGTCCGAAGGAAGAGCAAGTGGTGCGAGGCAGGAGGGGTGGGACATGAGAGAGATGAAAGATAGTAGGTGACCCCTGAGGGGATGGAACAAAAGAGTGGATGGACGGTTGATGGGAGAGAAGATGGATCGAGGTTGTTTATAAATGCCATCATTGCCAGCATCTTGGAGCTTTCCTCAATTGCCGTGACAGTCCAGCAGCAGGAATGGGCGGTGCTTCTCTGTGTCCCGGAAGGAGAGCCCTTCGGAGAGGAAGCAGACTTCGGGTTCGAGGAAAGCAGAGCAGTGCCACCCTTTCCGGAGAATTGCAAGGGTAGGCGCCTTTCACGCAGAAAAAAACTCTGAGGTCAAGCACGTTCAATCGTCAAATCAGCTGTAGCTCATGCAATCGAAGCCGCACCTGGCTGCCACACCAACCCGCTTTGGGGGTGTCTTGTTGCGCGCAACAAAGCACCCCTAAAGCAGTTGGTGGTGGACCGTGCGAGGATGTGATTGTTTCCAGATTATATCAGATTCCACGAGCAGTGTAGGAATACTCTGCATCACAGGGAGCACTGCATGCCCACGAAGCAACAGTTGAAATGTCCGCAGCAGAGTGCACAGCGACGTAGAAGCCGCCATCTCGGGGTCGACGAGGACCGGGCCCCTTGTTGCAAGACATGGAAGCAGCGCTCGTCCGTCTCAGAAAATTGGGAATTATATCGAGGGCAGGCACACTCACGCAACAGTAACGAAGCATTTGAGCTCTGCACGCACGGCTGGCAATAGTACTTCTTCTTTGGCATTTCCATACATCCTTAGCGCCTCGTCTACCTAACCGTAGCTATAAGATAGGTAATCTTAAATATATACTTGGCTCGTCCCAGACACTATAACTCTAAAAGTCGTTCAAAAGAAAAATCATATGATTTCGCGTTTCTCTAAGGCTATCCCGTCCCGCGCGTCGCGTACCCCAACAGCGACGAGCGAATACCGCCACCAGCGACGAGCGAATACCACCACCAGCGAGCGAGTACTACCAGCAATAGCGGCGGCGAGCGTTTATCACCAGCGGCGGCGGCGGCGAGCGTTTACTAGCAGCGGCGGCAGCGGCGAGCGCGCGCGTTTACCAGCAACGGCGGCGGCGGCGAGCGTTTACCACCAACAACGGCGGCGGCGAGCGAATACTACTAGCAGCAGCGGCGGCGAGCGTTCATCACCAACAACGGCGGCGGCGATCACCAGCAGCGGCGGCAGCGGCGAGCGTTTACCAGCAACGGCGGCGGCGGCGAGCGAATACCCCCAGCAGCGAGCGAATACTACCAGCAGCAGCGGCGGCGAGCGTTCATCACCAGCGGCGGCGGCGGCGGCCATCACTAGCAGCGGCGGCGGCGAGCATCACCACCAGTAACAGCGGCGGCGAGCTCTTCTCTATTACTCATCCCAAGCGCCCAGCCATCCCCTGACATGGCGCCGTAACAAGAGGTGCCTACGTCTGTTCCGCTCTCCTCTTCTCTCCTCCTCCTGCACTTCCTCACCCGGGCCCTTTTGCAATCCTTCTGTCACTGCGGCCTTCTTCGATTCTCAAATGGGAGCTGGCGGAGCTAGTGAACCGAGTCCACGGGATTCATGGGGACGCCTTCGGCAGAGTCTCTGGTCAGGGATACATGGCGGAAGCGGTGGAAGGACTGTGGCGAGATTCTGAGGAGGTGACGGGTTTTGTCTTGAGCTGCCCGAGAGAAAGCGGCAGATACCCCCCCTTGACCATGGCGCCTTCGAACAGCGGCTGGAAACTTGGCTAAGCCAATCAGGCCATGCACTCCTCTGTCCCGAGTGATGCGAGAATAGAATCGATCAGGCAAGCAAAAAGACCGAAGGGCAATGCTTGCATCCGTATCTGCAAGAGGTCATCGGTTTTCTTTGCAACACGATACGGCGGGGCGTTGGCCTGAGAGGGAGAGCGCCACGGCGTGTCGACGTCTGCTGGTAAGCTGAGCGCCTCGTCCCGAAAATGGCTTGAGGCCATGGGGGATCTCGAGCGGTTGGGCTGGTAGCGAGAGGCGCAGGCGATAGTTGCCGAGCGGATGGCGCCGCATGGACGTGCGATTTGGCCTCCAGCGAGAGGCAAAGGAGGATGGCGTCCTGCTGAAATAGCTCGATTGTTGCCTGTTCGGCACAGATCGAGGCGCGGTGGCTTGTCTGGATCGGCCATGGTCAAGCCTTATGCTGCGCTGTCACTACCCGAGCTGCAGATCGAGTTCCTTCAGACAGGCATAAGGGAGAAAAAAATCTAGACGCACACCGCCTCGCCCCACAGACGATGGCGACAGCAGATGAATCTGGACCATGAGTGGGTCGTTGTGTTTCCCCAGGCGGGGAAATACGATGACAGGATCATTATGCGGGGGGGGCTTCATGCCAGGAGCAAGGAGCTTAGCTCCCACACATTCCAACACGCAAAGTTGAGCTACCGCAATACTTTGCGCGGGCAGTCGAAGTGAGTATGCCGACATAGGTCTATCATCATGAGCAGCTGAAGCACCTGTCCAGATGTGAATGCGAGAATTAACACTGTACATACAAGGATTCCGCAACCCATGTCCATCTTGCACGCACTGCATGAAATACGGTAGGCGAAGGAGCACAAGCGATGCCAAGGCGCCTTACCGGCGCTGATGGGACGCTAAAGACGGAGGTATGCAGAGGCGGCATTGGCGGCATGTCGCTGACCAACCAGACTCAGGTGGCCAGTACCTGCATTCTGCGCATGATGGCACGCCACAGACAGCTAATGCAAACGCAAAGCCCACGGAGACGGTGGCAGGGCGGCAGCAGTGCTGTGAGCTGTCAGCGGGGCGCGCGCGACGGAAGGCGGCCGACAAGACTTTATTGGTGGCGGTCCGGTCCAGCTGCATCTCCGCTTGCCTGCAGCATCTAATCTGGAACAGGTACGGCAAAGTCTGATGTTCGACGGCAGGAACGGCAGTGAAGGGCGTCGAGTCGAGAATGAATTTCGGCAATCGGGGGCTTGTCCGCGCAGAAATGCTAGAATAAAGCGTGGTTTGATTCCGCACCGGGCGTTTCGACGTAGTAGTGGTAGAGGCGCAGAATTGCGAGATTGGAATCCGTACTTGGGCATCACATGGGCTGGGGCTGAGAAGGCCGTGGCAGGCGGAGGATGCTTCGCCAAGAGAAGCGGCGTCCATGGGCTGAGGAGCTGAGATCTGCTTTTCCAGGCTGCAGGCGACTTTTTAATACAAGGACGGGCGGAGAGCGGTGGTGTGGCTGGCTTGGCATGAGTGCCAAGGACTCCCGCCTGTGCATTCAGCTGGACAACCTTCCCGATTGGGACATGGCCACAAACACTGTCAACGACAAGCTCTTGTAAGTTTCACTTCTTCTTCGCCGCCTTGTGCAATCCGTGGACATGTTCCCACGTAGCCTACCGCACACAAGGCCCAACGGCCGGCGAGGCTCTTCCACCAAACACTTGCGGTACACTAGCCCGCTGGTCACACCCGATTCCCGAACCACTGCTTCTACACAGCTTGCGCGCTTCTGATAGGCTCGGTCCCCCGTGCTTTGCATTCAGCTGCGACCATTGCACGAGGTTGCCACATGGTTATGCAACAAATTCGCCGCATCTGGACCAGAGCAGCCCCTCTGGACAGGTCCGGGACGGCTGGGCTCTGCTAGCCTTCCGCCAAATATTTGGAGAAGGCCCACGTGTCGGAAGCTACCGCACCCTCGTGGGAACAGGCTGCCGCCCGCTCAGCCCTAGACCCTGAGCCTCAACGGTCCAGCTGACGGCCACAAACGCCATATCGCCCCATGCCAACTCGTAGCAGCCATCGTGGCGTTTGCTGGCTTGAGCTTCTCCACGATACCGAGCATGGACTCCAACCCGCCCGTGGAGCGCTCCGGCGCTGCTTCAGCTTTGAGAGAGGGAGTTGAATATAAATCTAGACGCTCGTCCCACTCCCAGTCGAAGCATCCGAGCACTCAACCATCCTCAAGCAATCGCAAGAAGTCATCACTTTCAAGCTTCTCAGCCTCGAGTCACTCATCTGGTCTTCTTCACTGAAGGATCACTTGCTTCCTCAAACCTTCTCAAATCCTCTCGCCTTCAGTCGCCATGCTCTTCGGTTCCGTTCATCTGGGTGTCGGCGCCCTTCTCGTTGCCGGCACTTTCGCTGGTGATGACAAGTGGCTCAGCCCCGTCTATCAGAATCTATATTCAGTCCCACTCCCTACACCCCCGATCAAGCAGAAGAAAGCGTACGTCATGACCGGCCTTTTGATTGTCTTCTGAGCCGAGTGCTGACTTGCCCAGAACCTTCACCAACCCCAAGACGGGTGGCGCCATCGACTACTACGAGGTCACCATCAGCCCGCTTCAGCAGCAAGTCTACCCCGGCCTTGGGAAAGCGAACCTGGTCGGCTACGATGGAATCTCGCCTGGCCCCACCTTCAAGATTGACAGGGGAACCGAGACTGTCGTCCGCTTCATCAACCGGAGCGGTGGGCTTGCAAACAGTGTCCATCTGCACGGCTCTCCCTCTTATGCACCATTCGACGGCTGGGCAGAGGATACCACCGATCCAGGCTCCTACAAAGATTACTATTGGCCCAACATGCAGCGAGCCAGGACTTTGTGGTACCACGACCATGCGGTTTTCCATACGGCCGAAAATGCATACTTTGGCAATGGTAGAGGGGGGTGATATGGCAAGCTCTACTTCGATTTTCTGAGCGTGATTGTCGGCGAATATAGCCTTATATTGTCTGACACACCCCCTTACCGGTGGCACGGCGGAGTGGTATCGGTAGATATTCGTGCTAAATTCTGACATTGTTGATTCTATCTATCGGGCGCCACTCGCTGATGGAGGCGGCTGATAGCATGGTTCGAACTGTGAACTCTTTGATTTGTTAGGCTGTTTTGCCCCGTGTCCTTGTTGGACTAGTGGTGCCTCTGATGAAGCGAAGATGACTTTAAATGCAACGGGCCACATGGCGAGAACCGGGCTCATAACTATCGCATTTGTTTTCAGTGCTGGCTAAAGGCCTTATATTGTCTGACAAAAACCAATTCAAGCCATGTTCCCTAATTCGCCTTTCATGACTGGCTCGTAGTATCGAGCTACGACCAGCTTTTACTCCAGAGTTGCTTTTCTCCTCGCTCTCATTCCAGACTGTTTTGAGAGATATTACCTTCCATCTCGTGTGGTAGCGTTTATGCTCCCTGTATGTGTGAAATACAAGCAAGCTCCCGGACGTACATGTGGCTTTCGCCTAACGGCACGGGAATCTACGACAGAGCAGACTTTTAAAAAGTTGAAGTAGTCTTTTGTAGGACACTCTGTCCCATGAATAATGTCTAGCAGTACTGATTTCCCACCGTACGCCAAAACTCCCTGCTGCAGCAAACAAATCCCGGAAACCAACTGCCCTGTGAACAACAGCAGCACCCCCCCACACGTGTTATCCCGGTCCAATTCTCGGCCTACGAAAAAACTCGTCAGCTTCTCCATCCGGCCCCTCCCCATCATCGGGTGAATGCAGCATCACTTACATGTCATGGTGCTCACTCAGCGTGCTGAGGTACTTGTTCAGCTCCTCGACGCGCTCCTTGTGCGTCTTGACGCCTTCGCGCTTCAACCGCTCGTCCAACTGTTGTGCACCGCGAAAGACCCACGTCAGCTCCAAAAGAAAAAAAAAAAAAAAACAAGAACCGCGGCATGCACTCACCCTCTTCCGCCTCCTCTCCTCGTACTTCCTCTCCGCCTCCGTCTTGTGCCTATGCGCCGCCACCGCCCTGCCCAGCCGCCGCTCCCGCTCCCCCTCCTCCTCCTCGCCATCGCCACCAGACCCCTTCCTTCCCTTCTCGCCGTCCCCGCCCTCACCACCGGCCTTGTCCTCATCCTCGTCAGCGAGGGCGCGCTGCAGTGCCGATCGCTGCTTTTCGTCGTCGTCGTCTTTCGCTGCTGCTGCTGTAGAGGCTGTCGGTGTCGGTGTCGGTTCAGTGGATGATGATGACGTCTTCGGCTTCTTTTTCTTCTTCTTCTTCTTGTCGATGCCGCTGCCGGCGGCGGGCCCGCCTTTGAGCTTGAGCGCGCCGCCCGTGACGGCGGTGTACTCGGAGCCCGGCATAGCTGGGAGGATGGAGTTGTGTGGTTGTGGTGTTGGCGCGGCGCAGAGCACGACGCGTTGGGTCGGAGGTCGTCGCGAAGGAAGGGACGATGACGCGCGCCGGTGGGTGGTCCGTGTGCGTGTGCGTGGAGAAAGTGGTTGCCGCTGAGGTGGGGTCGTCGTCGTCGTCTTTTTTTTTTTTTTTTTTGATGCGGGCGGTAGGGCTTTTTTGCTTCTCTTTCTCTGACGTCGCTGGCGGGAGGTGAGAGCCACGTTGAAGATGGTTCTCGTTGGGTTGTTTTGTTGATGGAGGTGGGTTGGGGATGCTGTGGGTTGCCAAAGGTATTTCGCTGCCGTTCGGATGTATGACGTCAATTGCATCCGGCTGTTATAGTGTCACTTTCAGATTTACATCTTCGTCCTGAGATTCGATTCAGATGGCCAGTAGCGTGCGGCTGTCACATCTGCCAAGAGCTAGAGCCGCATATACAGCAGGCTATAGACGAACTTAGCCTTCCATGACCTGCGAAGGATGCTACACTTTCAAAACAGGCTGTCGAAAACATCAGGATAGATGTAGATTCATACAGCAATCTATAGACGTTTGCTTCAAGATGCTCTTATTAGGAAAATCTTATGGCGGAAAATATTTGGCGAAGTAAAGTTCTTTGGTGGCCCGCTGTGTATGCGCTGTCAGCCCCAAGCCTAAACCACACCTACTGTGACAATACATGCCGAAGGAAAGTGAGAAAGCGAGCGTGGACAGCCGGCTGAAAGCCGAAGCATGTTTATACGCACTCTTCAGCACAAAGATATCGTTCATGTCGTTGAGACCTTCGAATGCGCCGGTCACTTAAACTTCCTGATGATCCCAGAAGGCTATCACAGCTATCAAGGATTCTTCGTCAATTCATAATCGGGGACGAACGACCCAGACATAGTCCATCCCTTGAGATCCTCAAAGGATGGGTCTCCTGTCTCACAAGGACCGCTGCCCGCCTCCACAGCGAGGATATCGAGCACGGAGACCTTCAGCCATGCAACGCAGTGATCACGGACAACATCCGGATATTCCTTGTGGGTCTCGTGCAACAGCACGTCGAGTGATGTAGGTTCAAACGAGCGTTTTCTTCATGAGGAGGCGGAGCAGATATCCGGACGTAAATGGCAGTGCTGAAAGTATACAAGTGCATCTAGACATAGAATCCTGCTACCTATGTGAGATAGATGCAGGTGGGGTCAGTTTCGTTTTGTGGAGACCTGTCTCTGCGAAGGGCGAGACGTTGAGACCACTCGCAGTCAAGTGGAAGAGAAGAAGCAGGTAAGTGGGCTAATGTCGCGCCTTGGTCAACCCTGCTGTACAACCTCGAGGCCGTGCGGTGTTGGGACGTCGACGTGCCCGTCTAGCCACGGGAGATGGTCAAGCTGGATGCCTGCGCGGATGGCGTCACAGACAATGCCGTCATCTAGGACATCTTGCAGCCACTGTACGGGTAGTGAGGAAGGGAGGGGCACCTCGCTCCCTGACTGAGCTGGCGTGATAACAGGGTAGTCTGTACTCGGTCAGCCCACATGTGGAGTCTGCTTGTGGTCCCGGCGGCTGGAAGCTTCTGGGAGTCAAAGCGAGCAATGATGTGTAGCGTACTCACGGAATGACGCAGGTACATACATAGCTCCAGCAGCGTTTTGAGCAGACACATGTGAGAAGAATCAGGAACTATCTCGGACCTACGACACGGTTGCAGATCTTACGTCCTTGCTCGTGGAGAACAATGGCATAATTCGGTCAGGCAATGCGGTACAGTCACAATCACTTCGTCCTCATCCGTGACAGCCGTTACCTTTGGTATTGAAACCGAATGGTCAGTAACCAGTCATGCTGCCATAGTCAGCAGAGCTACCGCAAGCCATGGCAGATCGATATCGAACAAATCTCCCGGGGCGAGGCGGGTGAGGCATTGCACAGTTGCGCCATCGCCGCATCCCTTAGTCATGCATTCGTGCTGTGACCCTTTGGCCTCGGGCAGGCCCACCGTTTGTTCAAGCAAGGTACATGGTCCACACCGCAAAAGAGAGAAAAGCAGTTAGTACAGTGGCTAGGTGGGCGGGCGGGCCTCCGCAAAGCGCGCTGGCGCGGCTGGCCTGACATCCCCCACGGGGAAATTCGGTGTGGGAGAGCAGAGCAAAGGATCAGGGCAGATGGTTATTGGTGAAGCTGGACCGACAAGCCAATCGCAAAGGTTCCCGGAATGGTGGAGGTGCACGACGTAGGATCTGTGCCCCGTATGTACCCGACGACACCTCCGCATCCGCATCGGGGGCGTTCGGAGCCGCTCGCACATCATTGCTCCAAGGAGACGAGAAGATGGGGGAGGGCGACGATACAACGATATGGGGGAGTCATGTATCGGCCAGCCAGCTCTGTGCGATGACAAAGCGGGCGGAACGGGAAGCATCGAAGGGCAACGAAAGCGGCGGGCTGGTAAGGTAGATGGCTAGCGGCGCGCGGCGAGACGAGACGAGACGAGACGCGACGCGACGCGACGATCGCAGCTGGAAGAAGGCAGCAGCAACCAAGCTCCCCGCCGCCACCACCACAACCACTCAACGGGCGACTCTCCGTTATTTCTTGTTTCACAATTACGCGCAAGGCAGACCAATCCCGGCCCGCGCGTAGAATTAAATTCCACCCAGCCATCACCCATGGCCGGCCAAGGCAGCCCACTCGAATCAGACCCGCCGATCTCCGCAATCCTGCTCAGGAACGCCACGGGCATCCATGGCGCGGGGCACGAGGGTGTGAGGGAAAGAAGGGATTCGGGCCCGTGTCGCGTGGCGCTGCGCCTCTGGTGCCAATGCTCGCACCACGAGGCCCAGGCAGGCCGGCGGCAGCACAAGGGCTCTTCCCGTGCGTGCCGCGCCTCCCAAACACCGGTTTGCTCACTCGGGGTTGGCGGCGAAGGACGGCGCGCGACGTAGCGTCCGCAGCTGCATCGTCGGCGGTCCTCGCAACCAAGCCTCCTCTGACTACTGCCCTTGCTCGCGTGGCTGCACGCTCCACATTTGCGGCTCCGCACGTTGGACCCAAACCCGGGGCGTGCGCTGCGGCTAATGGGGAGGATCGCTATCGTTTTGCTCAGCTAAACCTACTGGCTGCTGCTAAGCTAGCTTAGCTATTGCGTATTCTTTCTACCTTCCTTCTATTTTCACGCACACACGCACTCAACACACCGCTTTCGCGGCTCTACGCGTGAGCCCCCCCTCCCGCCCCCGCGGTCCAGCGCGAGATGGGCCATGATGATGATGAGCACTGTCGCCCAATCGAATCCTTGGAAACCGGCGCATTGCCCATCTGCCTACCAGTCTCGGGGGCGAGGCGCATAAAGAATAGGAGAAAGTAGATGGCAGCAGCAGCAGCAACAGAAGCGAGCGAGTCGTGTCTAGGCCCCCCTCTACTCTCACATCAGCCCTCTTATCCTCTCTCGAGGCGCGCGCCAAGTCAGAAAGGAAGGGGTTGGTGCGCACCGGGTACCCGGAAGGCGAGACCGCATCGTGCATTGCATGCATGCAGCAGCAGCAGCAGCAGCAGCACGAAACGGCCAACCCTGCAGCCGGTCGCTAGGTAGCTAGCTATCCCTCACTCACCAGTAATAGACGAGTCGCTGTGGTCTTGTGCGCACTTTCCCCATCGTTCCCCCACGAGACCGCAATGGTTTCCTTTCGCTCGCGTCCTCCCCAACGATTGACGCAGCGGAACCGCACAAAAAAAAGGAGCTCGTGAGCGGGACGACAGGCCCTCGTGCGAGGTCGGTGATCGTGCATCTCCGTCCGCCGCCCAGCCCAACAACGCGCGTGCGGCTGTATGTATGTACGTACATCGAGCAGCAGCAGCAGCTATAGCTCTGTCAGCAGTAAAACAAACCCGTCGAACAATGATTGCGTGAAATGTTCCCCTCCCAATAATGACACTCCGACGCTCATGGCTGCTGCTGTCCAGCCAACGTCGGGGGGCCGATTCGAACAGGCCCCAGCCCCAAGCCCCTCCCCCCCGGGCGCCGAACCCTTGCGGCTGTCAGCTACCTACCTACCCCGAGTCAAGCAAGCACTTCCTACGCCTCACGCACGCCCGCAGCAGCCTACCGGTATGCAATCCCTGCCCCATCACTCGCGCGAGACGGGATGCCCCCGGTCAAAACGAGAAAAAGACACACACACACACAAGCCCATCCTTCCTCCTCCTCCCCCTCCACCATCCAGACCCCACGCCGCGCTAGCTACTATCTCTGCCACAAGATGTGCCACGTGTCATGCGCCGCCTTCCTTCCCACACCGTCCCTGCTTTTCCGGGGATGGAAGGATTTCCTGGGGGACGGATGAGGAGGAGTAGGAGGAGGCGAGGAGGAGAAAGTGGTGGTGGTGGCGGAGGCGGAGAGAGAGAGAGAGAGAGAGGGTCCGGGTGGGGGAGGGGTCGATTCGTCCCGGAAAGACCCCTCCTCCCTCCCCCACCTCCTCCTCCACCCACCAGCCAACCAATAATGCAACTCAACCAGATAGATACTTGGAGGTTGAATGCTGTAGATTGTAGCCGAACGCTTGGAGATTGCTCCGGCCAGCATGCACCAGCCAAGGGAGGGTTCTTTTTTTTATAACCCCCGAGCTCATTGTGAGGAGAGCGGAAACAACAATGTGACAGAAAAAAAATTGCTGTTGTTGATGAGATGGATGGGCGGTGGTGCGATAGCCACGTGCCTCGCCGCCCGTCATCCTGCGGTCTTCTTCTTCGCCGCCGCCGTCGTCGTCGCAGGAAGAGCCAATGGTGCGATGAGGGGTGCTGGCCATAGATGCCCTATACCAATCAACATCGCGCATGTCATATTTTTAAACGCTTGATATGCGAGGCCAGGAGTTTGCGGTAAAACCTGCAGCCTTAGGCTGCAGCTAGGAACATGCGCGGGGAAAAGAAGAGATGCCAACTGCGGGGTAGCGAGAAAAAAAACTGCCAGGTCTCACGCTTCGCAGACGTTCGATCGTGGTGTGGTGTTTTAAGGACAAGGGCTGAGAATACTATCGAGGTGACAGGCTGGGAAACTTTCCAATCGACGCCAAGTTGCTTGTCAGCCCCTCTCCAAAAGCTGAAGATCTCGATGCTGTGGGTTGTGATATCATTTACACATCACCTGTGCTGGAAGAAACTGTGTAGCTTGAAGATCGTAGAAGTTTTCATGTAGCAACTGCTGTAGAATATTGTATGTACTTCGCCAAAAACTTGCTGATGAAGAAATGCTTCCTGTAGACGCCGCGGCAGGTATCAAGAGTATAGGGAATTAAATGACCAAAAGATCAAAACGTAAAAGGAGCCGCCAAAGGAAACGTGAACCGCTGTGAAAACAGATGGTGGCAGGCATGTCCAGAAACAAAAAAAAAACGCTTCAGAGTTTTCTTTCCCAAAGACCCCAGTCGTCCCAAAAACCAAGTTGCATGCATAAGCGATGCGTGGAAATCATATCCCATCCGAACCAAAACACCCTGGCCGTTCCGATCCCAACGTTTCCTGACCGAGTGTCCAACTGCAACACCGAGAATTTCCCGTCGCTGAACTCCGTCAATTCGTTTTCATCACAGTCCAAAGGTCCCATCGAGAGCGATGCCATTGGCCGACGGACTTAGATCGGGAATCACAAGGCCCCTATACGAGTCGGAGCTTGCGGATCCGAAGTCACAGTCAAAGTCGTTGCTGCCGCTCGTGAGGCTCTCGTCGGAAAAGCTTAGTACGCTTTGCGGTGGCTGCTGGTCGGGCGGTCCCACCGTCCACACGCTCGGCGACCACGCCAGGTTCGCGTCCGAAGTCGCCGACAGGGGAGGCACGTCGCCGAGCGCATCCACGGGTGCGCCGCCGTAGATGCTGTCGTAGATGTTGGTCTGGCCGTTGTCGATCCCGCTGAGGAGTCGCTCCCAGTCACCAGGCGAATGCGTTTCCGATTTTAGGTGTGCCGCCATCGAGTAAGTGTTCGACTGTGATTCGGTACCGAATGAGAGATAGTCAAGGTTAAGAGTGGAGCCGCCGGCGCTTGGACGCCGAATTTTGATTGACGGAGTACCGCCGAGCGAGGCACGGTGGGACAGGGGTGACATGGTGGGTTCCGAGCGGGCGTGGGATGGTTCAGAGTGGATCGAGCTGATGCTGACGCCGCTCTGGTTGCTGTGTTCGGTGGAAAGGTTGGGAAGCGTGGCTCGTCGGATGTCATTCGAGATCTCCTGCTGTCTGTTGGGGGAGAAGCGCGAGGCGATGGCCTTGAGGTGCTTCTGCGTCGAGCGGAGAACATCTTGGGGAGCCTGCATGTTGTTGGGAGCGGGGGATGGCTTCGACGGGCGCTGTTCAGCATTGGAGCTGACCGTCGACTTCGCCACTTTGCGGAATACGGCGGATCCGGGAGACTGAGAACGTTCGAGGAAGTTAACGATGGCGGCCATGAGCTTCTGGTTCTCCTTGATGAGTCTGCTGTCCTGGTCAAGGTCGAGGCTCTGGAACATGAGACCGAAGCCCGAGGTCACGAGCATGTCATGCTTGTTCAAGCAAAGGGCGAAACACATGCTTCTCTCCTCCAAAAGCTGCAGGATTTGAACGGTAGCCTTCGAGGCGCCAGCCACAGCAAGCGTAGCCGCGGATGCTCGTCCTCCAATGTTGGCGCAAACCGCAGGGCGCCAGATCAGAGACCTGATGTACTGGTATGCAAGAGACTGAAAAAGGTTAGTTGGTTTTGAACTTGGGTAGATACTTGTATGGACATACCAGAATGGGCGAGCGGCTGCTGATGATATGAGTGCTGGGCTTGTCCTGCACGAATTGAAGCTTCAAGTGAGGGGCCAAGCTGTTGTTCCACTCATCCAAATCATCCGACTGAGCAGCCATCTTGCGAAGGGAGATCTCATGGGATGTGGCAGAGGGGTAGCTCTCACAGAGAACCGTGCCAAGAATGCGCGCGGCGCGGAACAGAGCAAGGGCGCTGGACAGCTTGGTGGACTCTCCGGGGAGAGAAGGGAGGAAGCCTTTCTCCGTGATGTACTCATCATCGGCATCCACAGGGAACTCGCAGTGAATGTCCTCCTCGCGCAATTGCTTGGGCTGGCCAAGTTGAGCGGCAGTAAAGCTATGGCTGTCAGTAGCAGGTCTTAATGGGCGGTTCGTAGGAGACATACCAGTCAAGAGTGTACTGCGTCCAGAAAACCTTCTTCCTTGTCTCGCCGGTAAGAACGCCAAGTGTGAAACGCTTTTGCGACTGATGGAGACCTAAACGGTGCGACAGGCTAATGGCGATGCCCTTGTACTTCAACAGACGGTTGTAGTCCGCCTTCTGAAGGCAAAAGATCTGTGCGAGGACAAGGCATTGCAGGGTAACGAGGGAAGTGTCATCAATGAACGAGTTCAAAGCAGCGTGCCATTGTAGCTCGACCGATTCCACGAGCGCCTTGTCGGGGCACTAGTAACACGTGAGCAATTTGTCTTGAACGATTTTGTAGCGCAACTTACGTTGTTTGCAAGAGCGGCGATGCCAAAAACAAGGTTGAGCTGCGCAAGAGCCTTCATGTCTGAAAGGGGCTCCGAGCTGTTGACAAATTCATCGTACAAGGTGAGGAAAGCCGGTCGGTGTAGCACTGGGAAGAGAGGCGCCCATTCTTGGAAGAAGATGTTGATTAATTGATCGGACACAAGGCGCGGAGGTGCTTTGAAAGAGACATTAGACGTGTCCCTGGTCTGTTGGGGTTTTGAGTCGGTCTCGAGGAATGCCTCAGGGCGGACTTGAGGGAGTGAGCGGCCGGTCTCCTGGACGCGGCGATAGAAGGCATCTGCTCCTGTTAGTGGCGCCGACTGTTGACTCATACCAAACACATACCGATCAGTGTCCTGCCGCTCGACGTGCCAACGAAGTAGGAGTCTGAGCCGCCGTCCTCCAGGAGTATGGGCGATTGCTGGATTTTGAAAAGGTCGTCCTTGTCGGGCGCGTCTTCTCTCGGAGAGACCGGGGTGGGAGACGGCGAAGGTCTCCGGCCGATGGAGCCAGGGGAGTTGGAGTGCATGCGCGACAGCATGTCGATCTTCTCGTCCTTCTCGTCCAGCAGTTCCTTCAGCTCGCGGATCTCGGACTCGAGCAAGCGCACGCGCTCTTCGAGCGACTCGGTGTAGCCACGCGGAAAAGCGCGGCGGCTCAGCTTGTCGCTGGTCTTGCACTCGAAGCCGACGTTGGTGCATTGGGAGCAGGAAGGCCGGATGCCGTCGCAGCGTATCTTCTTGCTGCGGCAGCGGTCGCACGCCTGGGCGATGCGGGTCTGCGAGTTGGACCCGACCTTGATGACCTTCATTGGGAGGATACCAGGCATGATGGGCAGAGGGCGGCGCAAGGGGCCGACTCTCAATATATGGCGCTGGCGAGGTGCTTAGTCTCTCGTGGTGACAGGCGCTGGACAGATGGCAGGAAGTCGAGTCAGGGTCGCAGGAGTGCGCTATGGTGCGGAGGGATCGGATCGCAGTGGGTTGCAGGCGCTGGGTCCGCTACTGGCTGGCGCGTGTCGAATAAGTAGGAGAGCGGAGGGGGCGACGGTTCGAGAGGGCTGAGAGGGCTGAGAGTTGGATCGGGAGTTGGGGGGGTAAAGTGCGGGAGCGACGGGGGAGACGAGTTTGGCGTGTCGGTCTCTTTTCGAAGCCGCTAGCGGGTCTGGGGTTGGGAGGCGCGGATTCGAGTTGGGATGGCCGTGCTGAAATGCGGGGATTGTGCAGCCAGTGCGGACCCGGCGCTGGGCGGCAGACACGCGCCCGGCGCCCAGCGTGTGGCTGCGGTCGAAGAAAATGAAACGGGACCGCCCCTACCCTGGCCCGCGCAGCTGATCGCCCAGGACCGCCCAAACTGCCCGCGCTCAAGCTTCTGCGCAGCCGGCCCGACACCAGCACTCACTCCTGCCGGCGTCACGATCGCCGCCGGATGTGCAATACACGCTTCCTCATTCACCGCATCCCTTGCTCGCGCGCCCAGCTCTGACCAGCTCTGACCAGCGCTGACGTCTGCTCTGAGCACCGCCCTCCCCACATCGCGCCGGCACGCCTGGACACCTTGACACTCGACGCGCCCGCCATTGGAAACACGCGCGCGCCGCTGGTGCTGGCGCCGCCTCTGCACGATGCCTCGGTGGGACCAAGCACGGCCAGTCCCTTTTGCTAAAGGCCCGTCATTCGCCGCGCACGCCCCCTACCCACCGTCGCGGCGCCCTCGCACTTCACCGGAATCTGGCTCGAGGCACTGTGTACCTCGCAGCTCAAGCCAGAGGGTCCCACAGCGGTGGGAGACGTGTCTCTGGGATACCCCAGATGTATGCCCAAATGCGGCAGCTGAGCGTGCATATCGCCTCCGTGCGAACGCAGATGCCGACTTCCAACGTCCTTTCTAAACAGAGTGCCCGGCCAATCCCGAGAAAAGAGCGCTACCGGTGCGCTATCGTCGTAGGGCTCGCTGGCGCGGGCACCCAGTTCCTGCCATGTGTTGATTGCCATTCCCGTAGCATGGCATCGAGCCCGGCCCCGCGCGTTCCTGCGTGGCAACGCCAAAGGGCCTGGTTATTATCTCGGTATCGCCCTGTGAAATCCGCCACATCTTCTAGAATCAATGGAAATGACCTGACGGTTCGCGCGCAGCTTAGCGGTACGAGCCAAATCCTGTGTGGATGGGCCACTTACTGTGCCCAGCTAGCTCCTCTTCATCGTTACTTACATAAACTTGTTATGATAACTACGCCTAGAGCCGTATCGCCGTGCCGTTTTGGGTGCTTCGTCCTGGCCATGCAATTCGAACGCACCAAGTCGACCACCGTCTGCAGGGCGAGCATTAGCAGGATCTGTACTAGGAAGTATCACTCATGTCCCTGGAGTCATAGCCATCGACGATGAAGACCTACCCCCACCAACCACCTGACTCGATGCTGGTGGTGCGCCAAGGAGGCGTTGGCCAGGTCTTGAGGAAACGTCATCTTGTCGAGGGTTGCTAGCCTGCGGGAAGCCTACGTTGCCAATCCAACCCTGACCTCCACCTTCCGCAGCTACTGTACCCCGCATATCGTTAGTAGACGAGTCAAGGGGAGCTAGCTCTGATATCTGCCGCTTTCTTGGATTCATCGACTTACGCGGCTTGCTTAGAACCGGTTCACTATTGGAAATTGGGGGAAAACATACTGATCGTATTGTACTCCATCACCCTCACTTCCTCTAACTTTGACTTCGCTCTGTCACCGAGTCATGCGATTTTCAAGAGCTTGTATCCCTTCAATAAATTTCACAGTTGTGATTTCACTTTCCAAAAAGAAAACCCCGCCGTTGACGAACAAGCAACAGAGTGTTTGGCCAACTGTTCGATCGATGTGGCAACAGAGCACTACGCGTCACCCGATTTTGGTTCCGTTGAACTACAAATCAGCTAGTGGCATCGTGTGGAACGCGCCGATCTCTCTCTGAGCGACCAATTCTGTCGAAACTCAGCCCATACGCGTAGATCCTGCTTCGTTCGGGAACCAGTGCGTAAGATCATGCCGGGGATCGCGATAGCTCTTCCCCCCACCATTCCCCGCATTTATTTTTTCTTTTCGATGCGCCTCGACTACGCCTCATCAAGTGAAGTCCTCCTCAGGCTCTTGCTGTGCCATGGCTTGCAGGTACTGCTGCACAGTCTCCGTCTCGACGAGTTTTTCCTTTTCCTCCTCGAGATCGCCATAAGCCCTCTCTAGTAGATCTCTCTCTAGGTCTCTCAATCGGGTAGTCAGTGACCACACACGTTCCCGCATGCCAATACCTTCCCCTCTCACAGCCGATTTCACCTCATCGTCAGTCCCATACAGCGACCGCAGCTGCACCTCAACCCTGTCCTGGACGAGAGAGACGGCTCGAAGCCTGAAGACATCCCATAACTGGTGTGTCTTGAGTGCTTCTACCACTTTGTCGGGCTCTTCGAGCACCGATCCGTTCCAGTAAACGCGGAGTTCACGCGCGCCATCTGTGGTTTGCGCAACCTCAAACTCCAGTCCATCCTCCTCGTTTACCACTACAAGCCAAACAAAGTCACTCTGCCAGCCTGTTGACCCTGCGGGTGCTTCGGCATCATCGGAATCAAATAGACGAACTCCCGGCGCCGATTTGTTCACGTGCAACTTTGCGCGTTTGAGAGGATCGTCGTTGGGGATTTCCAGGTCCAGGAAGAGTTCTTGGGCTGATGTCATGCTGTCTTCAATGAAACCATAAGAGAATAGCATCTCACATGCGCCTTTTTTATCCCCGTACCTAGACAAACGTTAGCGTCGCTGTGAGAACCAAGCTATCCGGTAACCACTGACGTGATGGTGATTTCGTCGCCCTTCTTGAGCTCTTTGCCATCACGCAGCAACAGCGCGGCATTTCCATCCGAGTCCGTCTCGTAAAGCGCGACTGTAGCATCGCCGCTCGCGTGGTTGGCCATGTCCACGCAAGGAACCATGCAGTCGCCAATGCCGGGGAACTCCAAAGCGCGAGAACGGTACATGGCGTCCACTTGGAGCCAATCGTCAAAAGACAGGAGGCCATCCTCTTCGTCCCACAACTCTTCGGCGCACCACTTGATGTGCTCAGTTGCGGATCGCAGCTGCTCGAACTCTTTATTGAGGCTTTTGATCTTGGCTTCGATTGCCGGTTTGAGCGAGGTGCCGGTGAGCAGGTCACGTTCAGCTTCTGACCAAAATGTGGGCAGAAGCTCCTCGGGTAGGAACTTGATGTATCTGGATGGGTTAGCTCGCGCACGCCTTTACATTGAACGCCACATTACTCTTTCAGTGGATTATGCACTCCAATCTTGGTACTCATGTTTGGGCAGCTTGAGATTGCTTGCATGAGTAGAAATACTAAGATTGCAATCCTAGGGCTCTGCGAGTATATCAGCCGCAGTCCAGTCTCGAGAATGTGCTAAATATATCTCGGATCAAACAGGCAGTGAGCTCGCATTGTATGGAATTCCAGACGGGACCCGTTAGCAAGCCGACACGCGAGCAGCCGACACATGGTCGTGCGCCGGTTGGACCCTTGTGCAACAAGAGAATACGGGGTTGGTAGCAACGGGTTGCGCAATGGGCGGGTCAACCAGTGACCGGTCGGGGGGAATCTGGGGACACTCCGTTCCCCCTTTTCTTTCTTCGCGCGGGAGGAATATGTGGAGGGGGTTTGTTTTGGGGGCAAGGCTGGTGCAACCTGAGAACCGTGTCTCAAGACTTGTAGGGGTGGCGGTAGCTCTGCGTGGAGAAGCGGTAGGGCACGTCCGGCGGGCTCGGCATGATGTCACCAGCCGGGCGCCTCGAGGCTTGGGCAAAGACGGCTTAGGCGTTGGGAGCGGTTGCTGTGGATTCATCACGCGGGCGGACGGGGCTGCGTCATGGAGAAGAAAACATGTTTCGGGCACTCACCCTCCCAAAGTCGGCCAGCGCATCGACGAGCTCGCGAAGATGCAGGTCGGATTTGGCGTGCATGCGCACGGCATCGAGCGACAGCACCAGGTCGCGCGGAATGATCATCAGCGGCTCTGCATTCCCGGCGGACAGGCTCCCGTCCGCGATGACCGTGGAGCCGCGCTGCTCAAAGCCTGGCAGAGGCCCGACGGTGATGCCTTGGAAGGTGACGTCGTGCGCGGCGGCCCAGACCCTGAGGGCGGAGACGGGCAGCCTCAGCCACCCTTCCGTCCTGCCACGCGCGACAAGCATGCTGGGCGCGAGAGTAGGGCGAGTAGGGCGCGAGCTGGGCGGGTGGGCGCGCGTGAGGGGAGGAGCGGTGTGGGCTGGTCCAAACACGCCCCTTGCGCAGGCCGACGTGGGTGAAGAAAGCAGCAGCTTGGGGGCGTCAGTCGACGGGGCTCTATAGCAACGCGGCAAGCAACAGGGGCTGGCGCTCACAACAATGCCGTGCTGGCTGGGCCAGTTGTTGATGCGGGTCTCGGAGGTGGCAGGGCAGGCTGCAAGATTGCTCGTTCGCGCTCCCCAGCAACTGCGCAGCAACCGCCCGCACGGGCCATCACAACAAAGCCGAAATCCACATCTACCTCGTCCACCGCGCACGCCGCTCTTCTCACAACAACCCCATCCCATCATCGCTACCAGTATTTCTTCGCGCTTCCCCGCCCATCCCCCGGAGGTCTCCAGCCGTCCGCCTCCCTCTCCAGCCCTCCCCCAGCGCGCCCGCCACGCGCACCCACCCCGACTCTCGCCGATCCATCTCAACCGGCGCGGCGCATCCACTACTGAGTCGCAATGCCTTCGCACCACGCCCACGACGAGGACCGCCATGCGCCTCAGCACTACGGCCAGATCATCGAGTACATCCAAGGTGCGTAAACAAACACGCCCGCCCGCGCGGGGCCGCCATGATCTAACCCGAGGCCCTCAGACCGTCTGTACCTCGCTTCATACACCTCGACTCCCAACGCCCAAACTCCCTTCCCCTACCCCGCCTCCAGGGAACGAAGGTCTCCGAGCAAGCGCTCCGCCAAGGCTCAATCGGGCCCGACCTCGCCGTCCAAGGCACACCCGCCGCCCGTCTACTTTTCCGTTGAGCGCACCCTTCTGTACAACGCCTTCCACGCAGACTTTGGCCCGTTCCACATCGGCCACCTCTACCGCTTCGCTGTCCAGCTCCACGAGGTCCTGGGCGACCCCAACAATGAAGACCGCCCTGTTGTCTTCTGGAGCTCTGCCGATTCGAGGAGTAAGGATCCTCCCTGTTATCTTGCGATCCATTGCTGACATCGGAATTCCAGGTCGCGCTAACTCGGCCTGCCTTCTCGCGTGCTACATGGTCCTGATCCAGAACTGGCCCCCGCATCTTGCGCTTGCGCCCATTGCGCAAATGGATCCCCCGTGCATGCCATTCAGAGATGCAGGCTACAGCCAGGCCGACTACGTCCTCAACATCCAGGACGTTGTTTATGGCGTGTGGAAGGCAAAGGAAGAGGGCATCTGCAGCCTGAAGGATTTCAGCCTTGAAGAGTACGCCCTATCCATCATTCCCTTTACCCGCATCTCTAATCGTCATGACAGGTACGAGAAGTACGAGCGTGTCGACATGGGCGACTTCAACTGGATTTCGCCAAACTTCCTTGCATTTGCGTCGCCGCAATTCGCACCAACCCACGTCATTCCCCCTTCATCGCCGATCTATGCTACCATTCCGAAGACAGTCGCGGAACTGCAACAAGCTAAGATCCCGACTCCCTTCAAGAATGTCCTTAGTCATTTCTCCACCCGCAACATTGGTCTCGTGGTCCGTCTCAACTCGGAACTCTACTCTCCTTCCTACTTCACCGCTCTTGGTATCCAGCACCTGGACATGATCTTCGACGATGGCACATGCCCGCCTCTTAACCTTGTCCGCAACTTTGTCAACCTGGCTCACGAGATGATCACTGTCCGTAAGAAGGGCATTGCCGTGCACTGCAAGGCTGGTCTGGGACGCACTGGCTGCCTGATTGGAGCATACCTTATCTACAAGCATGGTTTCACCGCGAACGAGATCATCGCTTTCATGCGTTTCATGCGTCCTGGTATGGTCGTTGGACCTCAGCAGCACTGGCTGCACCTGAACCAGGGGACTTTCAGGGAGTGGTGGTTCGAGGACTGCATGAAGGAGAAGCTTGCCGCTCTGCAGCCGGCAACTCCCACCAAGGGCTCGGCGAGACAGCGTCTTGCCAGCAATGGCCAGACGCACACTCCTCCCAACAACAGCCCGAAGCGTTCTGCTCTGGGAGAGATCTCATCGAACGACCAGCGCGCGACATCCATGTCGGGAAATGGAGTCCACGACGAAAATCTTCCCGCACCTACACCAGGTCAGCCACGAAAAACAAGCAAGCTTTACGGCACTGGTAGTACCAGGCACAAGTCACCGCGGCGAGTACAGGAGGAAGAGCCATACATACTCCCGGATGTTGAGGCCGAATCCTCGCCGACCAAAGGAATCTCGCAGGACGGACCTGAGGAAGACGAGGAGGCGCAACTCCGACTGTTGGCCAAGCGCGCCGCCTCAAGGTCACCGAGCGCGAAGTCACCCAAGTCTGTAGGGAGCAATACCAAGAGGAGGGCTGTAAGCTGCACCACCACGACAACAACCTCGACAACTACGACTACCTGGAACGGCAACGAGAGCGATGTCGAGAACCGATCTCTACGTCCAAAGACACCGTCAGGAAAAAGTGGCAGCGGGTCTGGGGCGATCAGCGTCGGAAAGACAAGGAGCACTCCAGCAAGACGCAGCACCGAGGCCAAGACAGGTGTACGAAAGACGAGCGGCAGAGTCGGGAGCTTAGGCAGTGCAAGGGTCAAATGAGTTGATCCGGTCGACAGTTGTGCATGAGTTTCAATTGTTGACCGATATCCTCAGAAATTCCGAAGTTGGCGGTGTGCACGGCTCTGGAAGTAGCATCGTACAGGATGCCTTTCTTCGACGGCGCGCGATTGTTCACTCTGTACAGAGCACGCGTACGAACCTTGGGAGGGTTGCATTGGCTTACTTGGTGGATGCGGGTGAGCCTTGCGTTTTTGTTTCTTGATGGGCGTTCAATTATACAGAGACGCGAGCTCGTCTAGGCGAAGATGGGAAGCGAGCAAGTTCACGGTTGGCTTTTGGGTCGTACCTGGGTTTCTTTGGGCGATTGGGGGTGCACTGGCAATAGGGCTTTCGACAGGCGTTCAGTGGGAAAGGACAACGAGGGGGTTTCTTTTCTCCAGTGATGGTAGGCGTTTCACTTCCTTGAAATCTTTTCCTGCTAGGGGTCACTGCGGGGTTTACGGGCATTGGGAGTTCGAATCTTCGGCTTCTGGTTTTATTGTTTTGGAGCGTCATCATGATACATGACGAGATAATGATGATCGAGGATCAACTTTCGACTATTTCAATGTCAAAAAGAAGTTCAATGAATCTGGTCCATTGCATTGTGTCACCCTCGGCAGTTCTTGATGCTCGAAGATTTCTGACTTGCAGATTCTAAATGCACTTGAATTTCAGCTGTTTACATGGCTGCTAGCCTTAACGCGTGGCCAGTTCACCGGGTAACCAGCACCTTTGTAATACACACACGTGAGTGGCCGAAGCTCAGACATGTCTCGGCAGATCTCAGCTCACCGCCTTTAATTTCATTGGACGACACGCCGTCCGTCGCCCTCTCTCTGCCTCTCCGGCGAGCCGCAGCAACCACCTCTACCTCAAGCGTTCCCGCCGTCCTCGCGCGACCACCCCATCGTTCTCGCCCCGCTCCCGCCAGCAACACCCTTTTCGGACCGCACCGCCGCCGCCAACCCCGCGCCTCCTCTCCGTCCCACCCCGTCCCCCTCCGCAGCAATGACCGTCACCGAGACCATCAAGAGCGCCGTCGGCCTCGGCGGCAGCAACAGTGAGTCGGCCCCAACCCACCCACCCTAGCTAGAAGCAAGCAAGCACCGGGTCGGAGAACAAGTGCGGGCTGCCGGTCTGCCTGCCTTCTCTCTCTCCCCCTCTCTTTCTCTCTCTCGACCCAATTGGCCATCTACACGACACGACGAACGGCCCCAATGCGGCCGACCGACCACCCCGCTATAAACGCCGGCATCCGCATTCAATAGGGGACAAGAGAGAGAGAGAGAGAGAGAGAGAGGGAGGGAGGGAGGTAGGGGAGGAGGGAGGCAGAAGGCAGTTGGAAAAACGAAAAGAAAGAAGAAGACGCAGACCCGGGCTTTTCGAGAGGAGGAGGAGGAGGAGGAGGCGGAGGAGCAAACATTCGGAAAGTCAAATCGTCGACCAGTGCGGGTGGTGGGCTAATTCGAAATGCCTTGGTTGGCTTTGGAACGACGCACAGGCGCCTCCCGCGAGGAAATGACGGCGGCCAGGCTGCCGCTCGCGTACCGCGACAGCTGCGCGCACCTGCTCATCCCGCTCAACCGTTGCCGCCACGACGAGTACTACCTGCCCTGGAAGTGCGAGGTAAGGATGGATGATGCGTCTCTTTTTTTTTCCTGGTTCGATCTGCGGGGGTTGGTGGTGGAGGTGGAGGGGGGAAAGGGCCGCTGCTGTTGTTGTGGATGGTTTTTTTTTTCTTTTTTGGGGGAAGATTGGTGGGAAGGGCTGAAGAGATGGGGGTTTGTGAGATTGGGGAGATGAATGGTTGGGACATCCATCTGGGATCTGTCATTGCGGAGGAAGGGGGGATGATGGATAGACTGGGGACAGGGCGCTCATTGCGAATGGCATGGCTGAGCAGACGTTGACGGGCAGCAGCGGCTTCGGATTGGATAGGGAAGAAGTCGAAGTGAGGGAATTTTGGTGACCGAACGAGGGCTGACATGTTTTCCGCTCCGCAGGATGAGAGGCACACCTACGAGAAGTGCCAGTACGAGGAGTTCAAGAAGCGGGTTGCGAAGATGGAGGAGCTGAAGCAAGCTGCTGAGTACAAGAGGCCTAACTAGAGAGTTGGTGGACGAGTGATCAAAAAGGAGGCTATCGGTTGTTGAAAGGCATCTGACGCGCTTGGGACGAGAGATGAGGGAAGGGTGCTCAGAGAACCAGGACAGACATAGATGGGATCTCGGTGGCTACCGGTCTGCTACTACTACTGTATATCACCTCGCGGAATTGGTGCCCTGATGAATTTGAGTTGAGATGTTTTTCTATCTGGTCCGTAACTCAGAGAACACAGAATCAGGGGCAAGGGCTGGAGTGCATATTCAAGATCGTCTGTCTCAATGTCATAATAGAGTAGGCGACACGCTGAGAAAGAGAAACGTTCAAAAGCAGCAAGTACGATCCATTGTCTTCCGAGTGCTTGTCTTTTTGCGTGTTGTTCGAACGTGTCTGCAATCAACATTAAGGTGACGTTGCTGACATTCTGAGAGGAGCAAGTGCTACTTCAGTTGTTCTGAAAGTGTGGGTCCTGTCGTCGTCGACGTTAAGCGGCGGCTTTCCCACGCAGCCCTTGTCGCTGAGCTCTACTGCAGGGGCCTCTATCGTTGCTTCGTGGATATGTAGCGCTTCCTTCGATCCAAAGTATTCGTGCTCCATTCGTAGTATCTAGTACAACTCTGAAAAGGTCCACACCGGTTGTTTGCGTGCATAACAGCTGGATCAGTGACTAAACGTGCTTGGCTTGTAACCTTTATTTCTGCTTGGAAGACGCCTGTCCATTCTGGCTCTGGACTGTCAGCGTCTTCGATGTTTCCCATTCCGTCGCGCCCAAGATGACATTTATAAATCTCCTCGATTCGTCTTCCTTTCCAAGAACCATTCCTCCACTCTCTTACCCCTTTGTCTCTATGGTCGACCACGCGCGAACCTTCTACTCTCCATCTAAGCCTCCACACACTACTTTCCTCTCTTGACTTCGTCCCTCTGTGTCCCGTCCTGGAGCCGCCCACAGTCGCTTTTCGCCCCACACCTGCCTTCGGGCCTCTACCTCTCCTATGGCTGAAGCTGTCTTCGACATGACCTTACCGTACTGGTACCCGCAGAGAGCTCTGGTCACTGTTCGCACCGCCATGTCAATCCGTAGATTTGTCCTAACCGCCAGTCTTCCTCTATCCACTCTTTTCCTCGTTTATCCTCGGCTCCTTCCCATCTGGGATATCTCCTCTGCTGCCGTTCGATCTACCAACCCCGCCGCACTATCTCTCTCGAAAACGCTACTAGCTGACCTATACAGATGGACATGTGCCGATGAAGCACAACAGTACTGCGCAAAAAAGAAGCAGAAACATATCACACACATATACACATATTACGCATAGAACCTTCCGATCAACAACACACGGATCAGCAAGACAAGACAAGACACAACGTACGTTTTTGATCTCGTTTCATTAAAATTTCCATCCCCAGTTCATGACACGCTACCTAGCGCGGCAGGCTTCTGGATCTTAAAACTAGGGGTGGTCGTGATGCTGATACCGCCATTGCCATTGCCATCGCCCTTGACCAGCGACGACGCCGCCATCCCACCTTTGTCAGTTGCTGCTGCCGCCGCCGCCGCCGCCGCTGCTGCTTTCGCCGATGCCACTGTGCCGCGGGCCCCTCCATTCTCTTGAGGAGTAGCACCGTTAGCGGTGCTATCTTCAGAGGCTCTGCGGGAGTCATTTGGAGTTCCGGGGTACCTGAGCAAAGCCCTGAAGCCACCCGCCTTCCTCGCAGGAATGTCGCCCTTGCCGGCGGTGGCGACGTAGAGGAGGTATTTGAGGTTCGGGAGCGTCTGGCGTATGTCCAGAAGCTTGAGGCCGAGCTCGTTGGAGAGGAGCTCAATGTTCTTGTTGAGCAAGAAGACGCCGTACTCGAACCGGTACCTGACGGTGCCTCTCATGAACAAGGGATAGGTGCGCGGCCCGGTGGTCATGGAGATGGGATCTTCGATCGTAGAACTCGATCCTTTTGGCTCGATGGGATAAGCCAATGGAAGGGAGAGATAGACGGACAGATGTGCAACCACTTGAGCCACGTAGCCAAGAGCGGCGCCAGTTACATCCTCTCTGACGTCGTCGAATTCGGAATTGGGCAGTGAAAGGCCTCGGATAGTGAAAGAAAGCGAACGGCCAGGTATGGGCTCAATGGGGTAGATTTTGGACAAATCCTCACAGACACGCCGTCTGTGCCCGAGAATCTCGTCCTGTGTCTGCTGGAGAGTGACTTTCCGCTCTTCAAGCTGCTCCTTGCCGTGTTCGATGTCTTCTAGAGTTTGAGCTTGCAGGACTCGTCCTTTTTCCATGGCCTCTCGACGATACTTGATGCTGGCTTGCAGATCGTTGCGCTTCTTCCTTGCAGCTTCGAAACGTCTCCTTTGCGAAGCTACTGCCGCCTCGACCTGCTTTAGCCTCTCCTGAGCCTCAGGAACGCGGTTCGCCGTGGAAAGAGATTCGTCGTTGCTCTCGATTATGGCATTGATTTCTGTTGTTAGACGGTCCCGGGTGGCCAAGGCATCTTGAATGCAGTCATCCAGTGTGGAAAGCCTCATTAGTTGGTCGTATGAGGAGGTTGACTGAGGGGCGGCGGACATGGATTTAGCCGGGGTGGCAGCAAAGTCGAGGCGATAGTTTTCGGAAGCAATGTCCATAAAGCTGGTGTATATGCCGTCGGTAAAGTGGAACAGAATGCAGTTCTGAGGAAAGGGGTGATGGAAGCTGTCAAGCTAAGACACGAGTCACTCAATCAAGATCCGGCACGATCGATGGCGAACTTACTGATTTGCCAATGAATTGCAAGGAGCGGAAGTTCACGGCGATGTCCAAGAGGTGCTGGTGCTCGGCCATGGCCTCGCTCTTGACCCAGACCTTGACAACGAGCTCGTCCAGCCTGGTCACGGCCGGCCCCCACGAGTGCAGGTCGAAGAAGCGAAAGTCGGGATTCATCGCCTTCTCGACTTCCTCGCTCACGTAGACGGGCTGACCAATGCCGTCGACGTGCAGCGAGAAAAAGGTATTGGCCATGCGTCCGCCGGTCACATCCTCGAGTTTCTTTTGGCGCTCCAACGGACTGGCTCCCGACCATTCCATAGTGCTCCGGCGCCGCATCCTGCTAAAGCCCGGCCTGAGAGACACATCCGAAGCAGCAGCATCCTTGCTATCCGGGCGGGGGGAGTCATTCACGGCAGACTCGCTGATGGGCTTGAGGTCGTTGGATCGTAGATCGGTGGAAGAGCGAGAGTGCTCAAGCTTGCGGCTCTCGCGCTGGGCCAGGGCCTTGGTGGTGGTCTTTAGAGACGAAGGAATGGCGTCGTCGTCAATCGTGCCTCGACGTGGGCGGCCGGCGGCTTGGACGAGGGCCAAGTTACGGATGGTGATGCCCTGGAGATGCCTGATCTTCCGGTTCTACTTCATCTCAGCGGACAGGCAACGGCTGGAGTGGAAGCACGAGGGAGCATACGTATGGGAGCAGCCATGGGCGGTCCCGGCGGCGAAGATCCTGTTGCTCGCTGGGGCCGCTCGAGCTGCCTGGCATGGTTGCTTCGGCGGACGCGTGTGCGGGCGTAAGACCAGGAAGGCGGGTGCAGAGAGCTGGCGATGGACGCAGAGGGGATCAAATGGCAGACGCTGAGCTGAGCTACCCCGGGATCGCAATCATCCCGCCGTGCATGGCGTTGTCGGAGACGGGGGGAGGTGTTGTGCAGGTGTCCCGCATTCCCGCGCGCTCGCCGTCATCACAAGCGCGCCCGCCCGGGCCAAGCCTGCAGGAAGTTCGCGACTTTTCCTTCCCGCTTCGTCAACCACCTTCCGCACCACAGCCCTCCTCCCCCCTACCTCCGTCCCCGCCCAACGCGAGCCGCGGCCTTCGCCATGGTGCTGACACGGGCCACGCGCGCCGCGCAAATCGCGACGAAGCGTCCCCCACCTGCGCAGAAGACGGCAGAGCATGGCCGGCACATCTTCATCTACAACCACATCCGCACCAACCAGACCGTCTACTCGCTGCACCGTAGCTTGAATGTAGGCATCAATTGCCCCGCCGTGACGCCAATGGGCGGTAAGGGTCATCAATCGCTAAATGGCTGACCAGAACGCCGATGCATTATCGCAACTCGCCTACGCCGGCAAGAAGACGATTCCCGCGAAACTCCGCAAAGACGTGTGGCGTCCGCTGGCCGTGGTCACCTTCACCAAAACCGTACATTGCCTGACCACGTACCGGCAGCTACGCGAGTTCCGGAAGCTGCACGAGCTACACTGGGACAACAACAAGCAATACCCCAAGCTCGCACCAGAGAGGCAAAAGGAGATCGAACAAGGCAGGACCGCACCAACCAAAAAGGAGAGGGCGAGGATCATCATGGATCAAAAGGCGAATAGCATAGCCGATCTTGCTGCCCTGCTGCAGAAGTACGACGAAGAAGCTCGGCGCCGCGTGGAGCAGATTGAGGCCATGAAGAGGAGCTTCCTAAAACCGATGGCGGCAGCTGTGTCAGAGCGCACAATCCACCGGGAAATGGTCGACAAGGCAATTGCAGAGAAACAGTCTGCGCTAGATGAACCAGGGCTAGATGATTCCACCAAGGCGCGCATGCTCGAAGAGCTCCGGGACTTGGAGCGCGAAAAGACACCACTCGTCGAGGCTGAGGCGGCCGACAACGCAAAGACGTCGGCCTTCGAGCTAGCGATCGAGGCAGAGGTTGGCGGCCTGGTGGAGATCGAGAAGCAAATCAGAGAGGCGAAAAGCAGCCTGGCCACGAAGAAGGGGAGGCCATATTCGAAACAACGCGTAAAGGAGCTTCAGAAGGAATATGGCAAAATGTGCAAGGCGGTTCAATCAGTGTGGAATCCGGAGGCTGAGACAGACAAAGTGTTTATCGGGAAAAGGAGCACAGGCGTTGACGGGAAGCCTCGATGGCTGGCGGAGGGCGTCAGCATCAAGTGGGCAGACGTGGTCGATGCTAGCTACGCTAAGCAGTGGCCGCCCAAGGTTAAGCACACGGCGCTAGAACCGACGAGGCACTCGATGCCAGTGTCGGTCTAAGGCATAGGGGACAATGGCAAGCAGTATGGTATTTCCCACATGTTATGGTGTAAGATAGCGATGTATGTGCACGGCGGTGCTGGCTGGGGCGCATCACATGTTGGAGGCGGCCCCCGGGGCGGTGTGCGGGCGACCTAACGCGGCGTCGCGGACCCTGGGCGGCGCGCGGAAATTGCGGAGGTCGAGTCGTGTGCTCTGCCCGACCGCCCGACCGCCGCTCCACGGCTCTGCCAGCTGATTTTCTGCCGCCGCCGAGCTCCATGTCCTCCACCGCAACCCTTAAGCCCTCGACCCGCCCATCTGACCCCCCGCCATCCAGCCCAGCATGGCCCGCCCCGACCAGACCGAGCCCTTCCCGCCCCTCAATCCCCTGCAGGAACCCTCGGCCCTCAGCGGCGGTTCGCGCCGCCGTCGAAAGAGCAGCAACCTGGGCGATGACCCCAGGGGAGACACGGGCACCGTGAGCCTTGCGACGGCTTTCGACGGCCAGTCGCCCACCGAAGAGGTACCAAGCCGCTCCGTCCTGCGCCGCAATGGCTGCCGCTGACCGCTGGCCTGCAGCGCTTCTCGAAGCAACACCGCCCCTCGAAGCGCCGGAAAGCGAAGTCTCTCGTGCGCCGCTGGCTGAAGCTCTCGATCCGCCATACCTGGCTCAATCCGCTCATCCTCATCGTCCTCATCCTCGCCCTCTATGCTGCCAACCCCACTGAGTCCAACCCGTTGCATGCTGCCATCTTCCTGTCCTACCCTCTTCCCCGCGCTTCCGATGCCGACCCGTCCGCCCCGATACAGTATGGCAAAGGAGGCCGGGACTTCAGCTTCGTCGCCTTCTACATCGTCGTCTTCTCCTTCACCCGCGAGTTCCTCATGCAGCGCCTGCTGCGGCCCATGGCCATCCGCTGCGGCATCAAGTCACGCGCCAAGCAGGCACGCTTCATGGAACAAGTCTACACCGCCATCTACTTTGGAATCTTTGGTCCCTTTGGCCTCTACGTCATGTCGCGCACTCCGGTATGGTATTTCAACACCAGGGGCATGTACGAGGGATTCCCGCATAAGACCCACGAGGCCGTGTTCAAGGCCTACTACTTGCTCCAGGCCAGCTACTGGGCCCAACAGGCCATCGTCTTGCTTCTGATGCTCGAGAAGCCCCGCAAGGACTTCAAGGAGCTCGTCATGCACCACATCATCACCATCGCCCTTATTTGGTGCAGTTACCGCTTCCACTTCACCTACATGGGCGTGGCTGTCTACATCACTCACGACATCAGCGATTTCTTCCTTGCTGTAGGTTTTGGTTCGCGCCCGAGGCTCCACGGCCGCTAACAGTCAACAGACGTCCAAAACCCTAAACTACCTCGATTCCCCCATTGTCGGACCGTACTTTGGCTTGTTCATCTTTGTCTGGACTTATCTCCGCCATTTCATCAACCTCCGCATCCTCTGGTCCATGGTCAACGGCGAATTCTCCTCGGTCGGACCCTTCGAGCTCAATTGGGAGACGCAGCAATACAAGTGCTGGATCTCGCAGTACATCACGTTTGCTCTGCTCGCCAGTCTGCAGGCCGTCAACCTGTTCTGGCTGTTCTTGATCCTGCGCATTGCATACCGCTTTGTCGCGAGCTGGGGAGAAGTGGTCAAGGATGAGCGTAGCGATTACGAAGAGAGCGAGAACGAATACGAAGCGCAAGAGAAGGCGGCCAATGGCAAGGCCATGGAAACTGCTCCTCAAGTCCTCCTCAACGGCGAGCCCGTATCGCCTGTGGAGGAAAAGGCGACGACAACGGCCATGGCTGCTGCCGCCAATGGAAAGCAGAGGAAGGCCAGGTAAGACGTATGGATGATGCGTCGTTTGTAACCGACGATCTGGTACGTCACTTGCGTGGTGAAGTGACAAGACCGCCATTTTCTGTAATATGCCAACGTTTTCACGTCCTACGACCACTGTCGATGACATGGGGCTCCATTCTCCTGTACAATATAGCCCGTTCGCTTCTGGATTGTTTGGGAGATCAGGCTCTTTCGGCCCTCAGATGGGAATCCTCGGCCGCATCGCACATGGGTCCTTTGAGATTTTGGATTGAGGTGGGCGGCGTCTTGCGTTGGTATCCGCGCGTTATCTCATGTTGTAATTAGAGGACCGCTTCTTTCTTCCCTTTGAAGCGCTCGAGGCATCAGAAGTCCATCGTTGGGGATTGAATCGTTGAGGGACAGGACAGACGAGAAACGGCCTAATGAGAGGAAAGTGTAACATGAGAAATTGTTGTACATACGCTACTATAACGAATGACACGAAAATCACAGAATGCCTCGCGTCGTGGAAGTATGATATTTTGTCACGAAACTATTTTGGATAGCTGCCGAATGTCTCCACATGCGCTGCTCGAAGACTACGTTCTTCCATGCCCATTGATAGACATACTCAGTAATGATGCAGACAACAACCTCCCTTGCCTTCGAGCCTCGGCGCTGTCATACCATGCTGCGCTTCCCAGTCCCCGAAGCTATCTTGATGAAAGCAAGGCCATCTCCCAGCCACTCGCCAGGCAACGCAATAATCTCTCTCAACACAGTCAAAGCTCAAACATACGTGGCCTGCAAAGAATGACACGACGCGCACGCCGCCCGTCTATAAGTCCCCAACCAAATTCATCGCACCAACACTTCCCTATTCGGCCCACAACAACGAACAGGCAGAACGTCTACTCCCATCTTCGCGTCGTACGGTAACCAAAAAAACATACCCCCCATCCTACACGTAAAACTAACCGCAACAGGCAATATTGCAGCGAGGGAAAGCCGAACCTGTGTTGTGCACGGCTCCCCCACCGGCCCTTCACTCCCCGCCTCAACTCTCGTCCGTCCAGCAGCCGGTCGAAAAGAAGACTAGCAAGAGGGAGATTGGAAAAAGAAAGAACCGGCCGTACCGCGTCCGGCCCGTTGCCGGCCCGGATCCTCTTTCTCTCTCTTCTCCCGCTCGACGCGCGCCCTCTCTATATCTCCGCGTCTTGCTTTCTCTTAGGTACTAGTTAGTTCGGCTCCATCGCCCTAGAATCGTTCCTTCCCACGGTAATTTCCTTCCGTGCAGAATTCCGTAGCGGCCCCGACTCCGGCTGGCGGCGTATTCTAGAAAGCTCGGTTGCAGCATAGTACACAGATGGATCCTCCATGTTCCGGAACTAGCACGTCCCGTTTTTTCCGTTGCAACCGTCGGTCTACTAAGTGGTTCTAATTATTCTCTCGGCCGCATTCTTCTCCGCGCCACACGACGATACCACTGCCAGGTAGTCGTGGTGCCGATGGAACATCGTACGGCGGGGTGACACGGCTTTTTTTTTTTTTTTCGCCGCAAGACTAACCGGCGATTTTACGTAGCCGCCAGGTGATAACTGTGCAACAGCGGTCGCCTGCAGGCTCGACTCTGACCCGAGTTCCACTTAGTTGAATTAGATTGAACATGCTGTCGAGGAGCAAGCGTGGTTGATTTAACTTTGTAGAGTGGGTGAATGTCGAGAGCATAAGGTGTACACCACTCGGTACAAGGCGCGCGTTGATATGCAACGCCTACGTCTGATGACTTTGTCGCCGTGATAACCACCTGCCGTCGACCTCCACGATCACCATCATAACCACCTTTAGGAGTCTAACGAAAGAGTCTTTGGCAATTTCTGACGGAAAGGCAACAAAATACGGATTTGACGCGACCAGTCATATCACTTCGCCTACCCGATCACGCGTACATATCCAGCACCAAGCATCGCAGCGCTTCGGCCATACAGCATCAGGGAGGCAAGAGACGACAAAAGCTAACAATTAAGGCAAGAGGCGGGGAGGGGACCACTGGGCACGAAAGAAGGAATGGTGTGGAACACGCATCAGTGGTGGCTGTACGGAGGGGGAAGTGCCGCCAGTCTCTAACGCCGCACTATCGACCCTTGGTTGTTTCACCTCTCAACACATGACATTCTTTCTTTGCCACATGATTGACTTGTCCCTGCGCTACCGTATGGCGGCGAGCGATGGAGTACAAGCTCCAGTTCGTTCCATCGGCAATTCAGCTCGGCACTGATAGCTGTAGCAACCATGTCCACATGTTTGGGCAACGTGGATCCACATGTAGCAGGAAGAGCAAGGAGGGTAGAGAGGAAAGAGCTTACGATGAGCAACTCGTGGTAGCAACAGCCGTACTACGGCCGGCAAATATACACACACAATATCCTACGCGGCAGGTGAGTGAAGGCGATTATGTGGTCAACATTTGACACTACTCGGTCCTCAGCCAAACCATTTCACACTCAACACTTTGACCAGGACCAGAAGACCATCTCAAAGGTCACCGGTAACTGACACGTCATAGCCGAGACATCAGTAGCCACGCTGGCAGGGCAAGAATAATAAGGCGGGAAACCAGATCTCGTTGGAATATGGAGGCCTTGTCGAGAAATGAAAGCGGCTGTTGCCTAAGAGCCCACAGCTTTCGTAGCCAGCATAAGCATAAAAGGCGCATATCGGCCCGTTCAGTTCTTGTAACAACACGTTGGCAAACCTCTTTCTCTTGCTTGAGTCGGAAGGCAAGCCACAGTGGAGGGGCATTGAAGATGAAACGTGCCTTGAGCACGGCCACAGCATGAGGGTTTCATCTCATCTCTCAGCGGGGATTCCATTCAAGACAATCAAAAACCTTTGGCGACAGAGCGATAACAATGAATCGGCGGAAATGAAGAGGGTGATCAAACAAACCAATTACACCAACAGCACGATAATGTGAACGTGGGAGAAGAGGCATAAACGAAGTAGCTGACTTTGATTAAACGAGTGTATTTAGTTTGTTTGCGTTTCATTCGTCGTCCTCCACACTGTGCATCCTCCACCCTTGTTCTTCAACAAGCTGCATGTCTACTTGGCGCACCGAAATACGCATACACACACGCGTGCAGTCCCCATCCCACATGGCCCTCTGCTCAACACAAAATCCCCCAAAACATTGCCTCCCAAGATATGCTTTTGATAACAACAAGTCCGTCGTAACATTTCCGAGGATGAGAGAGATCTGCCGTCGAGTGGAGAGTAAAACGCGGAAAGGTTCGTGGCCGGCGGGTCCAAAATCAAGACAAATGCCAGGTACTTCGAACAGTGGAAAATGCGACAAAAAACTCTCAAGCCACCCAAAACAAAAAGCAGAACGAAGAACTGATCAGCCAACTTTTAACCCGCCAAACACCCAAGCACGCATGCTCGAGATGCAGGCTGATCTTTTCGTTCCTTGACGAAGTCAAAACAAGAGGGGGAGAGATCGCTTCTGCCCCAAACCGCCTATGCGAAGCAATGTCTTCCAGATGTCCTCCTATGCTGTAAAACTCTTCTTGCTGCTGTCCTTGGTTTGTGCTGTCCTTTCTGTATGCTGTAATCAACGCGCGTGTTTGCCTGAATCTTTCCAGGAATAAAACGGACAAATCCCGATATGCTCGTCCGTTCCGAGGGCGCCCTTAGCTCCAAAACGCAAAGTGAAAATAAAAAAACACCGTGTCCATGAATGAAATCGAAATACTATCACAAGGTATTTCGTTCGCGGGCTAAACACCCAAAGAAGTGAAACAGTCGTAACGTGCCATCAACATGAAGGCCGGCTCCAGAGGTCGGCCAAAAGGCTACATTAGTCCAAATATGGATATTACCAGGTCGCGAAGAAGCCGAGGCGAGAGCGGGATAGGCCGTGTCGATATACATTTATGAGCGCAGGCTTTGCTTATTCTTCCAAAACTGCATCATCTTGCTGAGCCGCTTAGTCTTCTTGTGCTTCATGTCCTGTGGCTTGTCGGCGTGCTCGGACTGAGGTCTTTGCTCGATGGACAGCTTGCTCCTTTCTCCAAAAGAGCTGCCCACAAGTCTTGAGAGACTGGCGATACTCGTGCGCTTCCGACGTGTGTCGTAAGGCATGCTTGACATGGATGACACAGACCCCACGCGGTCACCGGGGCTCCGAGGCATGACGTAGGGGAAGTTTGCTTGTTGAGCGCTAGTCATGGTAGACCTGCTGCTTGTCAACGAAGGGACGTCGTCCACCGAGACACGGCACTCGGGTCCTGGCTCGCCCATCTGCATGGAGCGCGTGTCAGTGACGGAAGAGGCCGCAGTGCCCATCCTAGGCGTGTCAAAGGAATTCTGGGCGCGGCCGAAATCAGGCGAGGAGAATCCAGAGGTGCTCTGTGAATCAGGAGAAAGGGCAGTCGGGGTTTGTGCTGGTACCGCCAGGTGCAGAGTCTGCTCTGGCTCCCTAGAGCCATCACCGCCTGGGGTTATTGTCGAGTCCGAGGACCGAGTTACAGAGGATGTGCGAGGTTCCTCAGGCTCATCGGAAAGCTCGAACGGACTGGGGGCGCGAGAAATTTCGAGAGGGTTGGTGCCAGGAGAGATGGACGCGATTGTGCCGTTTGGTTTCGGGGAAGGTGTAAGGAACTCGAGCGATGACTTGCTCTTCGAGAACGCGTCACTGAAGTTCCAGTTCATCGTAGTCCCGTCGTGGGGCTGATCGGTCTCAACGACCTGGATGCCAGTCCCGGATTCATCCTCGTCCTCGCTAGCAGAAGCCTCGACAACGGACGAGCTTTTACCACTAGCCGGTGTTGCCGCTTGGTCTTCCTCCTCTGATTCTTCCTCCTCCTCTTCCTCGAAGACGTCCGCCATGGTAGGGCCAGTAGCTGCAGTATTCCGAAGCTCGAAAGGAGCAAGCTCTGGCGCACTCTCCGTCCTACGGTGACCAGACATGACACCCATGCTGCTGTGCATTGGTCTCCGCTTCGCAGCCATGCCGCGCGCTTGCGCACGTGGCGGTACTGGACCTATTGTGGGGGTGTTGAACGGACCGAGCGCAGCATCGAGATCGATAGCTGGGCTCATGGCGTCGTTTTCCGGGCCCTCAAATTGCCTGGGCTTCCAGGAAGCGATGGTGGTATCCAGTTTTGGCCTAGAATTGACAGGATGCGATGTCGGATTCACGATGGTTACAGTGTTGTCGTCATCAAAGTTCGGGGACAGATCGTCAAGATCGACTTCGATGTCGTCGTCCGCAAAGCTGGATTGACTAGGGAGAGTGGGGGTCGATCCTCTGCGGGGCATCTCCTTCAATTTAGAACTGTGGCGCTTCGCCTTGCGGGTCATGATGGACGTGGCCCACGATTTCACTTTTCGCGGCTTCTTGCCATGCGATTTACGAGGGGGAGTCGATAGTGCTTTGATTTGGACGTCGGAGGGACTGGGCTCAGCGGGCGAAGACATGGGAGACTCCGAGAGCACTGAAACGGAAGCCTCGGACGTTGTTGTGGCAGACGCTGCAGAAATAGAAGAATCGCTGTTCCGCTGCTCGGACCAGAAGAAGCTCCGCTTTTTGGCATGGCGGGCGGGGGAGCTGTTAGCAGGTGGCGAAACTTGCACGTCTGGAAAGATGGCAGATCGTGGGCGCCTGGAGTTCAGCAATTCCCCGAAAGTTCCCTTGCCGGTATCCTTTACGTCTAAAATCGCGCCGGCCGTGCTGGGCCGCCCGGACTTGCTCTCCATGTCAAAAGCGATGGTGGGATTCGAGCGACCCATCCGAGCGCCGGACGGACTCGAAGCACCGCTGACAACGGAGGACAGGCTGTTCGAGACCGAGTGCCCGCGGATCGTTGACATGGTGCTCTCCGTCTCGGAGGAAACGGTTGAAAGCGGGCGGATGTACTCAACAGTTTCGGAGAATCCAACGCGCGCACGGGACGGAGGTCGCTGAGAGAAATCTAAACCAGCCTGGTATGGGGTCGAGTTTGCGGAATCCGAAATGTTGATGGCCGGGGGAGGAGTCTGGGTCTTGGGAAAAGGCGAAGGCTTCAATTCCTTCTCAACAGGCGTCGCCGGGGTGTTGTCGATACGGGGAATCTCAGGCATAGGAGGCGCGTCCGCGGGGTTAGTGGTTGATGGTTGGAGTAGGAAAGAGAGATCATGCGATGAAATGGCGCCAGAACGACGGTGTGCATGTCCTCTTCTCCCTGCGGGAGGGCCAGGCTTCAGCGTTGAGAGCTGTGGAGGGAAGCCACCCTCAATCTTTGTCGGGCTCGAGCTCATGGGAACCATGGTGCCGCTTCGTCGGCTTCCACCACCGATGAACTCACTCGCACCGCGCCTGTGCCCGAGGTTCTTCGACGGCGTTGTGGGAGAGTTGGACGTTGGAGTGTGTGGAGGAGTCGTAGTCGACGGAGCCGGAGTGAGGTTTGGCGTGCCAGGGTTGAAGCTGAAGTCGGGTAGAGCACTTGCGGAACGTCGCTTGCTGAAATCCGGGTTAGTGCGCCTGGCGGTCGGGAGGACTTGCAGTGAGCTAGGCCGCCGTCCAGAGGGTCGCTGATCATCAGAAGGTGGTGAGTCCGGCGACGGCTGCGGGAAAACGAAGTGCGGGTTGGGGACCAGCTCGATGTGGTCGGCGGCGGCCGGGGCACGTCTCTGGTACAGCGGAGCGCCCATGTCCGAGGCGGGAGCCTGGGTAACAGGCTGTCGCGGGAGGGCGATTTGTGCCATGGCTCAAATGGTGGTGGTGGCCGCGGTTGCTGCAACGGATCGGCGGCGCAACGGGCAGAGTTGGCGGCACAATACGATTGCGTCGAGGTGGGAGCCGGACGGGCTCGGACGGGCGAATGCAGGACAGTTGGTGGTACAGCGGGTTTACGGAGCGTACGGCATAGGACGAGCAGAAACAGAAGGAGAAAACAGCAGCGCGAAGGAAACTGGAGGAAACAATGCGATTAACTGCAGGGCGGGTCAGCGGAGCGGACGCGGCTGGGGTCTGGCGCGGTGTTGCGGCGTACACAGTATAGGCGAAGGACAGAAGCAAGCAGATTCTCCGGGTCACCGCCGTGTCTCTCGTGTCGAAGATGGTAAGGGAATGAATGTGGTGTCGTAAGGAACGGACGCGTCGACGGGTGCGCGGGCGCAGCGACCTATCTCAGCATTTGGTTGGAGAGTGGTGTTGTTGGCACCTCGGTTTGGACGGTGCGGGAGAAGATGGAGTGGGCGATGCGAGCGACAGGCGGAGGAGGCCCGGGCAACATCAAATGGGCCAAGAGCAGCGCACGGGGCGCGCGCCATGCCGCTTCCAGCCCAGGTTATCTTTGCGCCAGCCAGCGCGACCCAGCGCGACCCAGCGCCCTCCGCAGCAGGTGGGCCCGCAACTGCGAGATCACCACCAGCACCACGCTGAGCGCCGCGCGACGCTCGCCCTGTGCGTCCCACGGGCAACGGCCTGCCAGCGCCCACGCGCCGTTCGCACCCATCGCCCGCGCAGCGCCGCCCGGCCTGCCAGCCTGCCAGCCCGCCAGCCCGCCAGCCCGCCAGCCCGCCAGCCCCTCGTGCCGTCGCCGTCACCGGCTGGCAGAGCCCCAGGCCCAGCAGCGCACCCCCGACCGCTCGCAGCGGCACCCCTTGCAAGCAGCAGGCAGCCCCCGGCCAGCGAGCTCGAGCCAGGCAATTCGCTGAGTGATCCGCTCGTATCTCGCCAATCAGCGCCGCCTGCCCGCATCGCTGCAGCCGCGCGCAGCTGCGCCACCGGCCGGCAGCTGCCCGCCAGACAGCCGTCCCTGGCCAGCGGCCAGCGGCCAGCGGCAGCGCTGCGCGTCCAGCCCCCGCCAGCTCGGCCTGGCCGCACGAGCGCTCTGGGTGTGGCTGAGGCTTGCGTGCGCCCGAGGCGAATTCTTGCGCGTGGCGGCCGCTGCGACAGTCGGACCGGCGCGGAGATGGATATATCGTGCGCGCCTGGCTGCGCCGGCGCAGCGCTGCCGCCGCCGTCCGCAGCTGGGAGGCCGCCGGCGCACAACGGCGACCATGGGCAGCGGTGCCTCTGGCGTGCCGGCGGGCGTGACCGGGCGGTATTGTGCCTGTTTCAAGCGTGCTGAAGCTCGCTAGGCTGAGGCCAGGAATAGCAGCGCACAGGCCCGTCTCCTGCTTCATTTGCGCCAGAGTTGCCCCTGTGCTTGGCGGGCAGGGCGTTTGCTGTTTGACAACGTACCCGAATGACGTTCTCCCAGCCTCCCGCAAATCTCCTTCACCAGCACGCGAAATGAGCTGTGCGGATCGATTCTCAAATCCGTCGAGCATGTGGAGATGCTACGCGCCCTGCGCCCCCCCGCCCAGCAGCCGCCGTCGCCCGCGTGCCAGGCACGCAAAGCAGCACCGCACTGGGAGAACCCTGAGAGAAGATTCCAATGCCGCCTGGCCCGGGCCGCCTGGCGGCACCGCGAGCGGTGGTTTTTCTTTGCTGCCATCCGCTGCCATTCGTGCTCCACACACGAGCCGGCGTCTCTGGCCTGACCTCACAATGCCTACGCGCCGGGATCTCCCCACTACTGCGACCAGCGCCAACAGGCACGGAGTTGTCTCCACACGCTCGCTTGCTGCTGCACGTCATCCGGCACAGTTGTCAGTTCCAGCTGTCCAAGGCCTTCATCACCGCAGGGCTCACCCGCGAACTGACGCGCAATTAATTGAAATCTCTGCCTGGCGCCCGGCTGGTTGCCGAAATGCGCTCACTAGCCACTCCGCCAGGCCACCAGCCCGCCAGGACCCTGAAGATCCGGGCGTCGAATCGCCATAATTGCGCGCCCGTTCCGGTGCTGTGCTGCTCGCGACCTTTATTGCCATCATGTCGCTTGCTGCCTCGCTTCGCAACTCACCATATATCCACGGCCTCGATTGTAATCCGCAGCCGCTCTTCTCTGACTCTTAGCAACATCCCTCGAATCAAACCAAGATGCGTCGCAGCCGCCCGTATGATGACTACTACTACATGTCCGTAGGGCTACGGCTCTGACCGGCCTCCTGTGCAGCCCGTCTCGGTGCAACCTCTTGCCAACAATTAACCAGAGACCCGTCCTTACCTCTGCTTCGGCAAAAAACACTTTGTCGCCCCAACCACCCGTCGCACCGCAGCTTTACGGTCAAGGTCGTGGCCACTGTCTTGCTCACCGGCGACCGAGACGCTGCCGTACCACCCAACGCTGTTGGCTTTCTGGAAGAGGCTGCCTCAAGACCTTGTACAAGAACACGAAACCTGATCTTTATTTTCGAGGCGCTGGCCCTAGGGCTGGCATACACACCGCATCGTCGGGCTGCTGCAGCAAGCAGCAGCGCGGCTCCGCCTGCCGTGCAAAGTCCTGGACGTTGCAGCCTCTTCCCAGACATGCTCCAACACGGCGCACGAGCCCACGAGCTGCACCAGATCTCCACCGCATGGTTGCCCAGAAGGATCACTGGGAGGGGGAGGGGGAGGGGGATTGGCGTGAAGCCGGTCTGGAGCAGCAAAAGAAGGATTGCCGGGAGGGTATATCCAGACGAAGATGGGTGCTCTAACATGAGGTACGTGTCCGTGTTTCAAATGACGCGGAGGATTGACCCGCTGTGCATATTAAATGCGCAGTGTATTACAGCAGATCCGAAGGAATTGGCCCAAGAGCGCGCGTCCACGTGTGCGCGCTTTGGCGCATCACAAAAGAAGGCCGGAGAGCTCTTGCCAAAGCTCCTAGACAGGAGGCTCACGATGAAACGCAATGCTCGAGCTTGCCAGACAGCTGCGGGAGATCCATGCGGCACATCTTGCCCGCTTTGACGGAGCCTGAGCCTGAGCCTGCTGAACACCGCCGCAAAGCGCTTGCCAGCTGCAAGCAGCCACGGAGAGATGGATCGACGCTGTCAATGTTTCTCGTCATACCCCTTGTGGTAGTTGTCAGGGGCGGCAACATTGACAACAATAGCGGACTGTTCGCTGCGCGGACCCGTGCCCCTACTGTACCCACCCCACAGAGCACAAAGGCGGATGGGCGCTTCGGCCCATAGCCGCGTGCGGGCGCTACCTACGCCATGTACGCGCTCGGGATCCTATGTAGAGACTCGGATAGCTCGAGAGCGGGCTGCTTGCGGTATTTCCAACGCTGATACCGACCTCGATGCCCGTATCTGTTACACATCTTCAACGCAGAGGTCAACCGCGAAAGAATAGGAGATGAACACGCGTCGATCATATATCAGGTGTCTCTTAAACACCGTTTTATTACGCTTGCTCGTATACCTCGGCGCATGTTGTTGACAATACGAATCGCTCGCTCGCGGTCATTACACGTACAGGCTTTCCGGGCACGCAAAGAGAGCGATGATTGGCAACCTCGAAGCAAACCAACCACCAGCAAGGCGCAACACCACGGAACGCTCTTAGGTTTCCCGCTCCTTGTAACAGGACTTGGACACGACCATGGCCGTTGTAACTTGTGCGTGCCTAATGACGCGCCTTCTCGGATTCGCACAAGACGATACTCGCGCGCGAGATTACGATCGGCCAGCTGTATAAAACATAGCGAGAACAAAATAGTGACGTGTATGAGTACAGCCGCATTTCGTCATCTCGTCCAAGGTGCCTACTTTTGCTCGTCTATTTTTGTGTCATTTAGTCTGCCCGGGCCCCTCTCCGCGTCTGTGCGGTGTGTGTGCATCCTGCGTGGCTTTCTCCCTAGCTCTCAGAGCGAGGGGCGAGTGAGGGGTAGGTAGGTAGGTAGGCACGGCGGGACCATCCATGCTGCATGCCCCAGGCAGGCAAAAAAGCAACTGCGCAGCGGCCCGGCACACACGTCCGGCTGGGAAACGACCGGTCAAAGGTCACAGGGGCACGGGACGGCTCGCCCCAAGCAGACACTGTTTCAACGCATTTCGATGAAAGGAAGGTGATGTGGCTACGGCGCATCGAGCGGGCTAGATCGCGGGCGATTTGGAAGGACGACAACCTGCTCAAACCCGAATTCGACACGGGAGCGGCGGAAGGGGCATTGAATTCACGCTGTGGCTTTCCGCGCGCTCTGTCTAGACGTGGCCTGGTCCAAATGGTAAATGCTGCCTCCGGATCGCTCCGTTTCCCTTCAGTATTGATAATGATGGGGAACTTTCGACAAGGTGCGCAACAGCAGCGTGCGAATTGGCACCGGCCGCGAATCATCACGACAGAAGCTTCGGCCCACGGCAACAGTACTGTGTAGGTACCTAGCATGAGATACGTGAAAGAGCGACCGTCAGGCACGCATACGAAAATCGGCGGGATGCTCGTATGAAGAGCCCGTCCGGCGAGCGGAAGCGCTCGCGAGTCAATGCTTCCGCCCATCCTCACTACCGCATCCTTCCCCAGCCTCCCCCCCCTCCTCCGCGCCACGACTCCGAACACCTCTCGGTCTTGCCATCATCATGACGCTTTTTTTTTTTTTTCTCTTCCGTCTTGACGGGCGCTAGAGGCATGATAATCATACGTTTCACATTGAATCTGAGCTGAGACTTCGCTTTGCCCTGCCTTGCCCCGGGTGGAGGCGGCGGCCCACCACGCTTTGCCGCTGCGGATGAGTCAACACGACAACAAAATGCCGTGCGATGGGGTTTTTCACCAAATGCCGCATGGCTCGTCTCGCTCGCTCGCTCGTGGAGAGTGTTTCGCATAGGTAGATGTGGGGAAGAGGGCGCGCGTGACGAGACAGAGCACAGCGCTTCGACGTATTGCCGGCGACTGCAACTACTCACCTAGCGCGGCCCGGAGCAGGCTGCAGAAAACAGCAGGTGTGGGCGAGGACGAAAGAGGATAAGAGACAGCGAGCGTGCTGTTGTTGCTGCAGCAGCAGCAGCGGCAGCAGCATCGCTGGATCGGGTCTTGGGCTGTTGCCCCGTCGGCAAAAAAACACGCAGATTGCACCGCGCAAAGCAAGCCGAGCCGCGAAATGAAGCGCATGAGTAGAGTTTCTCCGGCCGGCGCCTGCTGCTTCCCTTTTTCCGCTGCGCTGCGCTGCGCTGCGCTTCATCAGGCCGTGTACATACATACTACGTACGCGCATCCGTCTCTGTTCTCGCATGACTTGGTCTTGCGCAGAGGGGAGGGAGAGGGGAGGGGGGCCCGGAGCTGTGCGTGCGGCACCGCCGGCTGCAGGGCGAAGCGTGGGTTGTCACATCGATTCGCATGGGTGTGGTGTGTGTGGTGTGCCTGGTCGGTGTGCCTGGTGCCTGGTGCCTGGCAGGGCAGAACGCACACACACACGGCCCTTCTCCCCGTGAGGTCCGCCCGGCCCCCGGCACGGCTCGGCATTTGTGCCGTCGCCTTTCCCTTTCCCATGGATTCTTCGCGACATGGGAACCTGCACGAACAACGAGGAAGAGTACCTAGTGCTGGGAAAAAATAAACAAAAAATAAAAACTGGATCCCAGATACGGGCGAAAGACTATTGATCTCCGTATACGCGCGCGCCCTGTTGGCCAGCCGGCTACTTCGGGAGATGCGCCGCAGCGACCAAGCAACGCCACCTCTGGGAGGCCTGAGCTCCCCAATCCGGCACTCCAGGCGCTATAGCAACGAAAGTTAAGGCTTCAGTAGCGTTCGAAATGGAAGTGCGTTTCTATTTACGGCCGGCCTGCCCCTCTCCCTCGGCCGGTTTGAGCCCTCACGGCCGCACTGCTTGCGGGGCGCGGCCGGATTGGACCGTTGGTGCCGGCTCTCTACAATGACGCTGTTCCCTCTCATGCTTCGGCGAACCAGCCTGCAGATGACGACTCGTCGTACATGTAATAAGAGCATTATGCAGCACCGACCGGCCGAATTCCCAGCCGATCGCCTCATTCTGCTCACCATCGTAACTCGGAGACACCGAAGACGAGAGGGCGGCGGGATAGGGGAAAGGAGAGGAGAGACACACAGCAGGGTTGGAACGCCCCTGCTGCTGCACTCGCAATCTCTCTTTTCAGGCGCTCATCTCAGACCTCGAACTCGCTGAGCCAGTGCTTGACCACAAGCTTGCCCTCGGGGGAGGGGTTATTCAGCTTTCGCACGATGATAGCGGCGTGGCTGTGAGGGGTGAGAGAGGGTTAGCGCTCAGTATTTGGCTCAAGAGAGCATAGAGTCGTGACCCACCTGTGTCGGTCCTTGTGAATGTAGACCGGGTACTTCCTGATGCCAACGTCATCCAATGCTTGTATCATGGCGAACTGCGCCGGTGTCAGCGCCAACGTCGGGAACTCCAATTGCCTGTTCTCAGGATGATGGGGCGCCTCGTCTTCAGCCTCGCCAGACTCTTCCAGAACAAGCTTCTCCCCTGGGTCAGACTTGGTGCGTACGGCCTTTGGTGCATTGGGCTTTGAGTTTGTTGGGGTGGCGAGCTCTTCGCTGCCGGAGGGCAGATACTCTTGGTTGTGGTTCATCCCTTCAAAGATCTCGTCCGCTTCATGGCGCACTTCATCCATGAGCAAAGGAATGCTATAGGCGCTAGTGTTTATGCCAGACTTTCCCTCCGCATGCAACCGAATCCGCCGACTACTTCTGACCGACTGGATCGCAGAGTTGAGGATGAAGAGCACCAAAGCAATTGGGATAAAAACCACAAGAAACAGCATCAGAGGCAACTTGGCCAGCACCGAGTAACTCTTGCCGGCAAACCGCTTGTAAAAAGTAGGCAGAGCATCATCTTGGTCGTGCTTTGGTACAACCGGGTGGTCGGGGTCGATGACTACGTCCTCGTAGCCCTTTAGATAGTTGATTTTCACTGCATCCGGGTCGGAATAGGGATCGATGCGAGAGATGCCGGCGCTGTAGTAGACAACAGAGCGGTCGTTGACGACGTTGCAGTACAGCGACTTGTGCTTAAACTTGGCCAGCCCCTTGATGAAGACGCTCTCGGGGTCGGCCAGGTTAGCGAGCAGTGGCCGGCCGGTGTTGCGGAATGAATCAATGGTAAACAGCTGGCGGCCAGAGGCAGAAAGCAACCTCGCGCCGAGAACGTTCCACATGTGGTTCCAGACGCCGATAAGAGGCGTGCGCACGCCCAGATGCGGCGTGGCGAAGGTGGTGAAATTCTACCTGCACGTCAGCCATGGATTACACGACATGAGGGCGCACACGTACCACAGGCTCGATCTTTTCGAACCACCCCTTGTGGTACATCAATCCGATGGCGTATCTAGCGATAAGACCGCCGAGCGAGTACCCGATGATGCTAATCTTGCGGATCGTTTGCCCGGCGTGGGCCAGGCGATCCAGCTCTTCCTCGATCTCCTGGGTGATGCGCTCTCCTCCCAGCTCGATTCCATCGTACGTCTGAGAGCCAGCGTTGCGGGCGACAACGAGGATGTGGAGCTCGTCTTCAGAGAAGGCCTCACGGAGGGAGGATGTGAGATAAGCCAGATGATTGGGATTCCCCCAGAGTCTGCAAAGGCCAAGTCAGTCCGGAAGCTGCAACGAGCGGACGATGCGACGAAATCCAGAAGACGAGGTCGGTTCCATCAGAGTTGCAATATGAGGGCACGACGGAGCTGTCGCCGAATACATATGCGTCCGGGTATTTGCATCGGCTCTCATACATGATTGCAATACCACTGAACCAGATCTCACGCAGCTGGACGGGCTGGCATTTTGTGTCTGTCTCATCATCTTACCCATGCACAAGGACGCATAGATGGTTGGCGGCAGCGCCAGGGGGCGAAGGCTCGCCCATGCCGGACTCGTCAGCGGCGATGAAGCTGGAGGCGATGGTGGAGAAGTTGAACGGGAGCATTATCGAGCGCAATGGAGCGCTCGCGGGCGGTGGCTTTTATTAGCAAAAATGTGCTGGTGGTGGACCGCGACGGCTGCAGGGAGGAGCAGCAGCGGACAGCGGGCTTATCGCCAGATATTTAGTCGTCAGAGATGTAGCGCACCTGCCACCGGCTGCACCGTGGGCGGGCCCGTGGCAGGGATCAGCTGGCTGTTCGAGAGCCGCCGACGACGTGCCAGCACCACTTCCTTCAACATCTGTATCCGCCACGCGCACCCGCGACGTGACAACAGGGCAAGAAGCGGGAAGTGAGGCACGCGCGTTGGAGCGGACCACCGCCTTCGCCGAGCCTCCTGCGGCACCAACCCTCCTTCGCCAATCTGCCTCCCGTGTGGCTTATCAACGCCGTGCGCCTCCACAACCCCTTCCCACCACCCTGGCCTGCAGTCAGCTCCGCGGATCCCAAACACTGCGATAGCGCGCCGCGCTGCATCCCAGCCGCGAGTCCTCGCAAACCCCACCGGTCCGGGTAGGTTGAATGTTGATGCCTAGCCCCCACCGCGCTTGCTCCCTTTGTCCACACCCGCCGTCTCACCTCATCTCAGTCCCTAATTACTGCAGCCTGTTGTCCCGTGACCAACACCAACCGCCCGCTGCATCCGACTCAGCCTCACACCGCGCCATCTTCTCACCAAAAGAGCTGCCTGCCCGTGTCCGTTTGCCAACATGTTCACCAGCAAAGGCCTCTTCAAGCACATCATCTGCCCCAATGGCGCTGCATGCCGCATGCCCAACTGCATGTTCGGACACGAGTTTCCCGGCACCACTGCAACAAGCGAGTTGCGCCAGGTCAGCCATGCACCCCAGCCCCCACCCACCGAGGTAGGCCACGAACAGAAGCGCCGCAAACTGGACGATGGCACCAAGGCTCCAGAAACGGAGAGAAAGGCCTTCACCGGGGGTTTGGTTCCGGGCAGGACAGCTGCCAGCGCCAAGGCTGGAGCTACCAAAAGCCACCCCCAGAGCACAATCGCCAGCCCAGCAAATCACTTGCAGTCAGCTAAACGGCCCGTGTCGCCCCCTCCAAAAGCCGCTTTGACGGGGCAGAAAGCGAAGCCCGGCTCTGCTGCGAATCAGACCATGTCAGCTGCAGCAAAAAAGCCTCTGGAGGTAAAGAAGGAGACTTTGAATCCGCGTCGTGTGGCCATGGAACCTGAAAAGTGGGGCATTCGTACAGCTCTTCTGGAGAAGCTTCACGAGATGATGTTGCCGCTGAACAAACAAGCTGGTGAAAGCTCGGATCCTGAACTCAAGGCGTTGCACTTGGATGACACTTCACTGATCAAAGCAGCTCTGGATGAAGAAGAAGGGCTTGCGCAAACCCAAGGCAAGGTCTACAAGAACATGATCAAGCTCCGGATCATGGCATACAAGAAGATGAAGATTGAAGAGTGGAAGCAGCATCGACTTGCGGCGACGAAGAGCGCTGCTCCTGAAAAGACGGAGCCCAAGGTCGTTGACACGGGACTTAGTCCAGAACAAGAAACCATGTTCCTTCAACGTCTCATCGCAAACCAGGTAGGTCTGGACAAGCACGGCTATGTTACCGCAGTCCCTACCGATGCAGAGATCGAACAGGCTAGGCTCGGTGTCGAGATGAGTGCAAATTACGAAGTATGCGACCGCTGCAGGACCCGCTTCCAAGTATTTCCTGAGCGTCGTGTCGAGGATGGTGCCCTCACGACGGGTAGCCACTGCACATTCCACTGGGGCAAAACCTTCCGCCCCCAGTACAAGAGGACTGAGGCAATCACTGGTCGAGCAGATATGCGCTACACCTGCTGTCAGGAGACCACAGGTAGCCCAGGCTGTTCGACTCTGGACACTCATGTCTTCAAGATATCCGAGACGAAGAGGCTGGCACTCGTCTTGCCTTTCATTGCAACCCCGCCCAATCCGAATGCGATCAAAGGTAAAGCGATATGCTTCGACTGCGAAATGGGCTACACCGTCTATGGCATGGAGCTCATCCGTCTTACGGTAACGTCATGGCCTGACGGAGAGCCTCTAATCGACGTGCTCGTTCGCCCCCTCGGGACCGTCCTTGATCTGAACACTCGATTCTCTGGCGTTACTCCGGATCAGTTCTTCAACGCCCAGCCGTACGATCCAGCCGACCCTGCCTCGGCGAATCCAAGGGCAGGTAATGGTGAGAAGCAGCCGAGTCTTCGAATAGTTTCGAGTCCGGCTGAAGCTCGCTCGCTCTTCCTTTCTTTCATTGCGCCTGAAACCCCGGTGCTTGGCCATGCCTTAGAGAATGATTTGAACTCGATTCGTCTAGTTCACCCCACCATTGTCGACACGGTTTTGCTCTATCCAATTAGAGGAGGTCTGCCGTCACGCCCGGCCCTCAAGGGGCTGGTCAAGGGATTACTTGGGAGGGACATTCAGACGGCGGGCGCAGCTGGCCACGACAGCTTGGAGGATTCACGGGCGACTGGTGAGCTGGTACGGGTCAAAGTCGAGAGGGAGTGGCGGCAGTTGAAGAGCACAGGTTGGACTGCGAGAGATGATGGCTTCTACCCGCCACATCCCGAAGACGGCCAGGAGGGTCCTGCGACATTGACCCCGATCAACCCGAAGGCGATGAGCAAATCAAAGAAGAGAAAGGGCTCGGCGAGCAACTCGGAATAACGACTGGGGCTAAAGAGTCCCTTGCTTGGCACCTTGATGATGGTCTCAGGACAGGGGTCCAGATCTGAGTTCTGGCATTATTTGGCAGGCATGCAATTTCTTATCGTTCCCGGATGCGGCTGTGGCCATTGGGTAAGGGCTGAACATTTCAGCATTCAAAGGTATGAGCAGGCTGGGTTTCGGGATTTCCTTGGTGGGTTCCGGGCTCAAACGCTCAAACCTGATCAGACAGCGGCAGCAAAACAGCTGCAAAGTGCAATCTCGTCAAAACCGGTAATGGGATATTGCGCATCTACCCGGATGCTTGCGAGCTTCCGCGGGGCTATTTAGATGCAGGGCTGGACCCTAATCCTGGAGCCGATCCCGAAGTGCACGTGACTGTTGCGACGCCTCGACGTCATTCTCCAGGCGAGAAGTAGGCGCCCACCAACGTCACACGGAGCTCGCAAGGCAGGAGCGAATCTAAGCGTTTCATGCCGGCCTTGCAGGAGACGAGTCTGCTGTGCCGCCGGCTCGCTTTGGGCCCTTCCGATCATTGGCGCTTCTCCCGTGGCGCAGGCAGTAATCTAACAAGGAACCACCCAGGCAGAATCCAGCTTTGTGTCGTGATGTACGTAGGAGCCGTGCCGCAGCAGTGCCCCGCGCGTAGTGACGTAGGGGCTTCCAGCTCTGGGCCAGCCTTGTTATCCCTACCCAAAACGCCATAAGTTGCCCCGCGCTCGTTCTTTGCAACTTTGCATCCAGCCCAACCCTTTCGCAATTAGCACAAAGACCCGCACACCCCAGCAAACACGAGACGCAGCCACCCCAGCATGGAGACCATCAACAACATCGCCAGCAGCGCCAGCAAGCTCATCTATGGAGACCCAAAGGCCGAGTCGGGCCAAGAGCCCATCTCGGGCCAGTCGGGACGGGGCACTGTAGACGAGCCCTTTGACAGCGGAAACCTTGAGGGTAAGGCTGTCGATCTTTTGTTGTTCTGTCTTATCACGTTTCGTCTTACCACCCTTCACGGATCCTTCTTTCGCCAACCCGAGTCAGCTGCCTGGCGGGGCGGGGGACCTTGCACCCAGCAGCCAGCGCGTGTGCGGCTGCAGACCAACCATTTTTCTTTGTCCCTTTTTGATGAAGGCATATAAACTGTCTTCGTCCTACCCCGCTCTGCCCTGAACAAACGGCAACACGGCTCTATCCTGATATCCTTCCCATCTCGAATCGAACGAGTGCCACTGCCCAAAACCTGTGTTCAGTACTAACATCGAAGTTTGAACTTCAGGAGTTCCCGATATGTCTGGCAAATCCGCAGCTGAGAGACGTAAGTCCCAAACCTCCCCCCATTCGTCTGCCCAACCATCCCGGTGGCATGAGAAGCAGTGCCTTCCGGGCCTCCGAACAACATCAACCGCACCACTCCATACTCCTTCGCTGACACATCCCGCTGGAACACAGAGAGCGGCACTGACCACCTCACCGCGAACCCGGCGTCCAACCCGTCTGAACCGGAGAGCCTGGCCGACCGCACCAGGAACTTTGGCGAGAGCACGGATGCGCAATTCCCGGGTGGGGAGAGCAACAAGTTCACAAGCAGCACCGGTAAGGACACGCCCGATTTTCTTTTTTTCCCCATCTTTTTTCGTACCCGGCAGCTTCACGACCCGCTCCCCACAGAAGATCGAGCACCTCAACGGTTAGCTAACATTGGGGGGAGAAACTACAGGCCCAGACACCACCACCTCCACCACGGACACCCCGTCCTCGACGTCCAACCCGCTAAGCAGCGGCGGCCTCGGCGGCGGTGACCCGTACTCCACCCCCAACAACACCACCACCACCTCCACCTCCACCTCCAACCCTCTGAGCAGCAGCGGCGGCGCCATCACCGGAAGCGACCCGTACTCCACCCCCAACAACCCCTCCTCCTCGACGACGACAGCAACACCCGCGCCCCCAACAACCGGCACCAGCGCCGCCCAAGGCGGCCCCATCCGCCCCGAACGCGACACCCCCGGCACGGGCGTGACGTCGCTGCACGACACGTCTTCGTCCTCCCCGGCATCTGCATTGCAGGACGCGCGCCCGTCGGAAGCCTCGGCGGCGGACCCGTCGACGGCCAAGGCCGGCGGGTTCGGCACGGCGGAGCCGAGCGTCGGCGCGGCGCCGGGTAGTGGCGGTGACGCCGCGTACGGGCAGAAGCAGCAGGGTGGGGACAGGCCGGCGGAGGCGCCGACGACGGGGGAGCAGGTGGAGGGGGTGAGGGGGAAGAAGGAGGTGGGGGAGGAGGTTGTGGCTTCGGGAGGGGCGGGGGCGTTGGGAGGGAAGGAGAGGAAGAGGGATGAGGAGGACGAGGACGAGGACGAGGAAAAGTCCAAGGGGACGGGCGAGAAGGTGGTCAAGCAGACGGCGTTCAAGGCCGATGGAGGCGATTTCGATGCCAGTTTGCCGGGGGCCGGGAGGGAGGCTGATCGTGAGTGTTTTTCCTTTCCGTTCTTTTCCTTCACTTTTTCTTTTTTTCTTCTTTTCTTCGCCTGTTTTGGCTGAGAAGAGAGAGAGAGAGAGAAAGATGTGGTATTCGGTTTGCTGACTTTGATGCTTTTGCGCAGGGCTGCTGGAGCAAAAGGGCGTGCACAAGGGGGATGACGTGTCGCCTTCGCGTTCCGACGACGTCGACGAGAACGGCAACGGAGGCGGCGGGAAGAGCAAGACCAGCATGGGCACCAAGATCAAGGAGAAGCTGCACATTGGCAGCAAGCACAAGGAGTGAGTGAATTGGGTTGATCCTGTGCGCTGCTCATGCGTACAAGTAAAGTTCGAGGGCTGCTTCGGTTTTTTGTGGTCTTATTTCTTGGCTCTTTGATATGACTTCGACGATGACTACCTCCTTTGTTCTTGGGCCGCCGGCCTTGGTCGTCCGGGCAGTACCCAGCCTCTTATTATTTATTATGATAATCGATGCTTGATTACTTGGTTGCTCGCTTGCTTTGCTTTGCTTTTTCTCACGGTAAGCATTCTGCCGCATTTGTAGTCTCTGTCTGCACTGTGTCGGGATATTCATTCATTGCGTCCCTTCTTTCTTGGGGGGGTTTTGCTTTTGGCCATTGCCGGGTGAAAACGGACACGAGAAAGAGACGAATCTGTCAGGTCTGCGTAACAAAGTGACGAGATGTTGCCCTTTTCGAGTTGCCAAGAAAGAAAGAGAGAGAGAGACAGAAACAAGCGCTCGTGAGGGGTAGACAAGATGACATGGAGGTGCGGGGGTAAAGGACGCGAGGCGGGGCCATGTGGGTGCGGTGAGCATCGGACTCTACTTCGGAGTTTGGAGCCGCGGCCGGCCGGAGAAGCGATGGGTTGAGCTAAGCAAAGCGAGCAGTAGTAGTAGCGGCAATGTCCACATCCGGGCTCGTACTACTGCTGCGGTACCTACGTACTTGGAGCCAGCCCACCGGCAGAAGTCTGTTTGTGAGATTGACTTGATTGCGTGAGACATGCAGTTTCTCTGATGGTACATGTGTACGCACGCGCAAAGTATATTGTGCGTGATATCGAGCATTTGGAGGAGCAGAGACTGTCGACATACAATGACACAGGGCAAACATGTATCGTGACGGCCATGGTTCCACGGGCCGGTGGCTGCTGTCCAGTTAAAACAAGCTCAGCATGTGCTCTTGGCATCAGGACCGAGGCAGCTGGGCGGATGTGGATAGGCAAGGGTTGCATGCAGACTGCAGGGGAAGCCTGGATTGAGCGACAAACTGGCTGAGGGGCGGCTGATTTTGGACAGCAGCGGCAGGGTGGCGGGCGGGGCGGGAGCTTGAGAGCGGGAGGCTGGCAGCGTTGACAGGGCGTGCAGCAGCAGCGAAGAGAAGACGGGCGTGCCGTGGGCTGACTCGTGCGTTGGCGACGATCCGGGGTGCGAAGCTTGTGCCACCACACCGTGACCAAAGTCATCAGGGCAGGAGCAGAGACAGAGACGGCAGCCGCGACATAGGGCCACCGCCGTCCACTGGCGCCCACTGGCGCCCACTGGCGCCCACTGGCGGCGCCCGCCACCCGCAATGCACCAGCAGCCCCAGCAGTCCCCCGAGCAACCAGCCGCCGTCTGACTGCGTTCCTGGCCCCATCGCGCCCGCCGCCTGCTCACTCTTCGCCCATGCCCCACAAAACCCCTCAATGCCGCCTGCCGCCCCGCTACCCCGGCCGCCGCCCCACTGCGGCGTGCGTGGCGCTGCGTGCCGCCAGCCAGGTTGCCTGCTGCCCGCTGGAGCCGCACCTCTCCGTCTGCCGTCTTGCGTACCACTTCGCCATGGGCGCTGCGCTTCTTGGCTGCCAATTTCCGCTAACTCACACACTTGCATTCCGTATCCTGGTCCATCATCATCGTCCCACACTACTGTGCCAATCGATCACCACAAGGGCTGCAGCCCGGGATGCCAAAGCTTAGTTACATCCGAGCCCCCCCGCCCCTCCACCATGTGCCGCCCACTATATAGCCCCATTGACCGCCGCCTGCTGTCTTCTGTCTTCTTTCCGCACCCTCTCTGTCGTTTCCCCCCTACCATCCACCCATGTATGCATCGCTCGCTCTGCTCCTGGCCGCCTCCGCTTGCGCACAGTAATTGCATTCTACGCCTCCCTCACCTGGCTCCCGCTAATCCCCGCCCCAGGAACAGCGAGAGTGATGCAAGTAATGATAGCAATGACCCCGCTGTGGTGTATTCCCCGGCCCGCCCACCTGCCGTCCCTCTTGCTGTCCGCTCTCCTTACACGAGCGTCTGGTCCAGCACAGTGAACAATGGCACCCTGAACACCAATGGCGTCGAGTTTTGGACCGGCCAGAAGGTTGGCTGGGAGGGCATCATTGTAGTCGACGGCATTTCGTACGAGTGGATGGGCACCAGCATTGCCGGCTCCGAGCTGCCTCAACTGGCCAATTTCCAATCCGCCACTCCGCTGTCCGTCAGCTACGACTCACAGTACTCCAACTTCACCTTCACCGCAGGCCCAGTCCTGCTTACTGCCACATTCTTCTCGCCTGTCATTCCCCTGGATCTTTGCAGGACCAGTATGCCTCTGAGTTATCTTGAGGTTTCCTACGAATCCCAGGACAATGCAACCCACGACGTCAAGCTTTATACCGACGTCGACAACTCCTGGAACAACTACCAAGCCTCCGCCGGCGTTACCGCTGGCTTGAATGTCGATTCTGCCACGTTCGATCCTAACACCACCGTGACAACCTCGACTCTTTTCACATGGTAATTTCTTGCAACGCAGCACTGCGGGACACGCCTGGTTGCTGACCCGCGAGCAGGTGGTACCATCTTTCCCAGGAGTACTACTTTTCTGAGCTCAACGACTTCCCTCAGTGGGGCAACATGACCCTGTCTACCCAGCCCGCCCAAGCCAAAAACTTCACCTTCCAGTCTGGCAAGGCCACCAACGTTCGCTACAACTTCATTCAAAATGGTTACCTCTCAAACTACATTGATGTCGACGACGGCAACATTTATGCTTTCTCACATGACATGAAGAAGACGAAGAAAGGCAGCGTCCTGTATACCGTCGGTGTCATACAGGAGCCCGTTATCAACCTGCTCACCAGTGAGGGCCTCCAGTCACTTAACCCCTGGTGGAGTAGCGAACAATGCTACGGCCCCGGATTCGCCCACATGGTTGCCGCTCATTACGGCGACTTTGCGGATGCCCAGAAACTGGCAGGCGCGTGGGATCAGCAGCTCCGAACCGATATCCATGAGTACTACGCAGCAGAGCTCGGGAACGCCTCAAGCACTTCCACGCCGTCCTCGAATAATGCTTCAACTTCTTCAGACATATTGTTTCCAGCCGACTATGAAATGGGTACTGATCAATTCGGGGAACATTGGATCTTCAATTCCAGTAATGGTTATGGCTATTTGGATGCCGATAACAAGAGTGGCGTTGCCATCCCTGATGTTCCCGAGGATCACTCGTACTATTCGATCGTGGCGCTCTCTACACGACAGGCCATGGGAGCAAACGTACTGACCATCCCTCCGGATTTCGGATGTGGGAATGCGTCATCTATCTACAATTCTTCAGAGCCGTTCATGTTCCAAAAGGGTAAGGTTGTCGATCATTGTTGTTTTGTCTCGTCACATTCCATTTTCCCCCGTTACTCACTTTATCCTAATGTCTTTCTTCTCTCAACTAACATCGTAAAAACCAGAAATCTCATCAGATGGAAATATGAATACGGTTGACGTTCTGGTAAGAACACAGTCGCTTTGCGGGAGAGAGTGAGCTGACCGCTGGAACAGTACCCCGCTATGCCATTTTACCTCTACGCCAACCCGAGTTTACTGAGATATGCTATGAACCCACTCTACTTGAACCAAGAGTCTGGCTTCTACCCTCGTTCGTATTCGATGCACGATTTAGGAGCGCACTTCCCCAACGCCACTGGCCATGTAGACGCCGACGACGAGCAGATGCCAGTAGAAGAGTCCGGTAACATGCTGCTAATGACCTACTCATATTACAAATTCACGGGAGACAGCGATTACCTACGCGATCACTACACGAAGCTTTTCCAATGGTCACAGTTCCTGATCGAGTACACATTAATCCCCTCAGACCAGCTGAGCACAGACGACTTCGTCGGCTCCCTCGAGAACCAGACCAACCTCGCCATCAAAGGCATCGTCGGCCTCCAAGCCATGGCCGGCATCGCCGCCGTCGTCGGCAACGACGCCGACCACGCCAACTTCACCGCCACCTCCTCCTCCTACTACGCCGCCTGGGAGCAGTTCGCCATCGACCCGACGGGCACGCACACGGTGCTCGCGTACCAGTGGCGCAGCTCCTGGGGCCTCCTCTACAACGCGTATCCAGACAAGCTGCTCAACCTCGGCGTCGTCCGCCGCGCCGTGTACGACATGCAGTCGTCCTTCTACGCCACCGTCTCGCAGCTCTTCGGCGTGCCCCTCGACTCGCGCGTCTCCCTCACCAAATCCGACTGGCAGCTCTGGGCCGCCGCCACCTGCGCCCCCCGCACCCGCCGCCTCGTCGTCAACGCCATCGCCTACTGGCTCAACCACACCTCCACCGACAAGCCACTCACCGACCTCTACGAAACCATCGCCGACGGCGGCTACCCCTCCGACGCCACCTTCATCGCCAGGCCCGTCGTCGGCGGCCACTTCTCGCTGCTGGCCCTGAAGCGCGCGGGGAAGGACAGCTTGACGGGCACGGGCGACGGCGGGGCGTTCCCTGTGAATGGGACGGAGCCGCTGAGTGCGAATGAGACGGCGGGGTTGTTGCCGGCGTTGGCGGAGCCGAGCCCGTCGAGTGCGCCGACGGTCGTGGTGGAGATGGGGACGTTTGAGACGAGCGGGAGTGTGGTCGTGTCGAGTACGGTTGCTGCTTGAGTTTGGGGTGGGAGGTGGGTGGGGGAGGGGTTTCTTTTCTTTTTTTTTTCTGTGGTCTGATCTTCTTGCTCGCTGTCGTCTCTCTCCTGCGTCGAGCGAAGTATGGGGGATACCCTTTTGCGGTGCGTGGGGAAGGATTGTTGTGTTGAGGGCGAGCGAGTAGTGTGTATGACGATGATAATGATATGATGTCCGCTATTGAACGTATTCTGCAATCATGTTCGAACAACTCATTGGATTGCTCCCTCGAGGGGCCACAGAGAAGAATGAGCTGAACGGCATCGAGGACAAAGCTACACTAAGCCCGTCTTGGAACTCCCAATAAAGCTATCCTATCTGCTTAGCGATGCTGGGAGGCGCGCAGCAAAACACTACAATGAACAGTGCACCATTTGGAGCTCTTCAGGATAGTAACAACTTAACAAGCTCAAGAATTCAAAGTATAAAAGGATGTTTTCGCTACTCCACAAGGAATGCTAGCCGGCAACATCCGGCATGCATCCTTCCAATCTGGCAAATCTTTCTCGAGCATTCTCCGAAGCTGGCTCCGGCATACACGATCGATCCGTGGACCATTCACCCAGCGCCCTAGAGCAAAACGAGAATTTGAACCAAAAGCATTCCCCACATGAACGACCGAACCCAACTGCTTGCACGCTGACAGCCTTGCATCGTCCTCTTTTTTTGTTTTTTGTTTTCTTGGAGGGCGCTTTCTCCCCGACACGCAGTCCCACCATCTCTCCACGACGCCTACCCAAAGGTCCGAGTCGGGTCGGCAGGGCCAAGCAAAGACAAGGATCTGGAGAGGTGTGTTTCGGGTAAGGTAACGTATCAAAGATTGGCTGCCGGTAATTGCAGGATCCGAAGCCCAATGATGACGTGTACGTATGTAGCAGTTGATACACTACTTACGGCACAGCTGCACACAGCAAGCAAGCCGCCCGCCCGCCCGCCCCGGAATCCTTCGCTCCCAGCGGCATTTCCCCCAATCCAGCAGGTGGCAAGAGAACCGAGCTAGCCCCCTCCCCAGGGCAAAGCAACGGGGTGGGGGGAATTGTATTTCGCTGGCGAACGGGAACACCCGATTCGCGTGTTTGCAGCAAAAAATCATGCTGGGCCGTCGAATCACAACGGTTGCTGGCTCGCAACTTCCAACGTCGTAAAGAAATTAATTGTTTTGGTGTACCGTCTTGTGGCTCTCTCTCTTTCTCTCTTTTTTCTCTCTCTGGCTGTTTTCATGTGCGTAAGGCTGCTTTACACCGTATCGTTGGTTGTTTACTTTTTGTCTTTTCCTCCACACTCTCTCACTCCCAACATCCACCTACTTAAGATCAGGTAATATGCACCTACACCCATCTCGTTCCCTTGTCTTTCCTCCCTCCCCCCCCTCCTCCTCCTCATTCATGAGGGCCCGTTTGGCAGTCTCGGACAAACACGTCATGGCCGACCACTTTCCGATTGAGAGCCGGCGCACAGTGTCCACCGTCACAGGACGTGGCCCCGCCGCCAGCTCACCTGCAGCACGTAAAATGCATGTTTCCGTGGAATTTGTGATTATTATTTCGCGCGCGAACGAACACGAACACACTTTGCCAAACACACACATCTCGGGGGATCACCGTGGGGGGGAAGGAAGGATTGACTTGCAGCGCCGCCTCCTCCGATGCGGACGGATGTCGTTCGCGGGTCATCGTGGGGCCGGCGGGCGTATTTCCCCTTTCGGATATGGGAAAGAGAGAGAGTGACGGAGACAAGACAAGAAGAGGATTTTTGGGGGTTTCCATGTTCGACATGCCTTCTGCGTTTTTAGAAAGGTGCGAACAGTCCTTTTTCCAGGTTGATGATGGGAGAGGGGGGGAGGGAGTTGCGTGGTCCACGGGTGTTTCGTTGCGGCGTGGCTGGCTGGGGTCGGATAGTCATCATCATTCCCTCCGTTCCTTCGCCCAGCCAAGCCAGCGCCCGCTCGGGAATCGGATGTACATCCGGAGTGACGACGTAAGAGATGTCGTAAATGCGTGGGGGGTTCAATCCAAGCAAATTGCAAACATGAGCGGAGGGAGGGAGGGAATGGAGCTAGACAGAATGGAAGACGCCGGTGCGAGCTTGAATTGTTTGCTTTTACAAATTACTGAACGACTTACAAGAAGCCAACGAATAACTTGTAGTCAATCACCACAACTTTTTTCCTCTCGACGTCCACCCCTCCATTTCATCGCTTAGCGAGTCGTCGTCCTAGACGAGTAAAAGAAGAGAAACATAGCACTCGTGAACCCAAAGTATTTTCCCGTACCATGCCAAAACACCTTCTCAAGAAAGCCCCCGACCATGTTTTAATCAAACATATCATATACACTTTGTACACAAGAAGCAGAACGGAACGCCACGAATCCCCCTTGTCGCAAACACCCTTCCATCCTACACCCTCCCCCAACTGCCCCTCGAGCCCGTCGATCCGTGCGGCTGATGCACGGGTCCCCAGCTCGGCTTGGGCCGCTCCAGATTGCGGAAAAAGGCGCGCTCATCCCAATGCTCTACGGGCAACATGTATGCGGCTTGCGGTTGGCTGTGCGGCGGCCTCGGGACGTTCTTGCGCGCCTTTTTCCATGCTGCTGGCGTGTCAGCGGTGGAGCGCTTGGGTGTGGTCGGCGAGAACGACCCGCCCATTGCCCCCTTGTCCGTCTTGAGGCTCTTTATGATTTCGACGAGCTCCTTGTCATCTGCCGTGATTTGCGCGCGCAGGAAAGGGATGCTGGCTGCGCGCTGGATCGAGGCCATGACCGGCTCGCGCCGCTCGTACCCGACTCCTTCGGGCTGAAGTGCGATTTTGGGAGCAGGTTTTTCGGGATCGTGAAGACGGGCTTCGTCGCCCTTGTCGAGGAGAGCGAGGATGTCGATGCTTTCGCCGGGAGGGATGGGTGTTTGATGTGATGGGGTGACACAGTCCATGTCTACCTCCTTCCGCAGGACGTGGTCGATGTCTACAGCGCTGAAGAAGGCGCAGGCCTGCGGAAGATCTTCGATGCCGACTTGCTGGCTAAACATGGCGCGAGTCCAGATGTTGGAGATTTGCAGTGCCAATGCTGCGCGGTATTTGTCTTCTTCCTTGACGATGTAACGGATCTCATCATGCACGGTAAGCGCAAGGCGTGCATGTATGTTGAAGTGCCGAGTTAGGTAGTCCATGGAGACGATGAGGAGGTGGAGGTAATCTACACCAGAGGACTGGATGGCCCAGTTGATACGAGATGTGATGAAGCTGCCCTTGGTCAGGTATCGTTTCGTCAATGCCTCGGTAATTCCCGCCCCAAGTACTGGAGTACAAGGCTTTTCCTGCTCAGCAAAGTCCTCGAGCTTGTTGAAGACAAACGATTCTGTACCGCCGCGCCAGAAGCTCCTCTCATTAAGGGCTTTGCGCGCCGTCTTTTTACCCTTTGTCTCCTGGTAGAGCCTGGAAGCTGTTTCTGTGGTTTGTGCCTCTGTCAAGCTTGGGTTGAACTGCCTAAGCAGTGTAGAAGCAAACTTCAAACCAGCTCCGTAAATGCGGCCGTAGTTGAAAACTTTGGCATCGTTACGCGATATGCCCAGAATCGATGCAGTCCTCGAATGTAGATCTGTGCCAGCAGCCTTGGTACCCTCAAGTGTCATGAACCCGATCGCATTGCCACCATGCAGCTTGAACTGCGCATCTCCAAGGAGGCTGGCAATCCAGAGCTCTTCTGAATCAACATCCGCACCAACAAAGCAGTAGCCCGGGGGAGCCCTGACCATCGACTTTAGCTCCGAACCAACCCTGTTCTTTTTCGCATTGCTCGCGGTTAACCAAGTGTTTTCGACAGCTCTTCGCGTGATGGTCCCCATGGGAATGACCTGAGGAAGAATGTACCCGAATTTCGAGCCAGGCCCCCCGTCTCCACCTTGTCTACTTGGTTGAGGTTTGCCATTGACCATTGCCTCGCCTTCAAATACCGCCATTTGCGACCTGATCCGGTCTCTAGCGCTGATCCAATACGAGCAAGAGGCATTCATCTCAAGCGCCTCTTTGGCGTATGTGAATTCGGAGGTAAGCCGGCCGTTTTCGAAGTACTGCTGGTAACTCTTTGCCAATGGGTTGGTGCATCGGGCTGATGGCCCGTCTTTGTGCGGGATCTTGATGTAGTGGTGTTCGCGGTCGAGGCGAAGGGTTAAATCCTCGTCCTCGGAAAAATCACAGAGAGCGGCTTTCCTTTCGTCGGAGAGTGCAGCTTCACTGACAGGAATACGATATGTCCAACCGTATTTATCGGTCCAGAAGAGAGGGTAGCCGTCCCATGATAACCGCAGAAACAACGGGGCAACTCGTGTCCGGGTGGTCAAGGTGATGGGGCCGGTGGTTTTTGGATAGAGGTCCTTATACCATTTTGGCATTCCGGGCATCTTTTGACGGGCAACTGGTCTCGGTGGATCGCCCTTCTTCTTCCCCTTGGCCATCTTGATATCCTGACCTGACCAGTCCAGCTGGCTCAACCATGGATCATTCTCGTATTTTTCGGGCTCCCCCTTGACCTTCAATGCTATGTCGGCCAGATGGATGAGTCTTTGCTGGACCTGATCGGATAATGCTTGATACTTCTCTTCGGCGTTCTTGATGTACTCGTTCCATGTCTCGTTGATAGGCAGGATCTCGGTCCCCATGAACCGCAATGCCGCAAAACTGACCGGGTGAGGGCAGACATCACGGAAGAGCGGAAAAACCTTTTGATAGACGCGGTGGGTGACTTGTACATCGGCAGCACAATAATCCAGCAGCTCGTCCAACTTTTCCCTCACGCCTTCGCGATCAAGCTCTCCAAAGTATTCTCGTTGGGCCTTTGCGATGGTGATGTTGCAGTGGAATTTGGCGACATCCCGCAGGGAATTGATGGAGCTTCTCCCTATCCACAACTCCTCTTCTTCATCACTAAGCTGTCCAGATTGAAGCAACGAGTTGAGATCAACGTTTTCGTCGGATGCGGCAATCTTGTCTCTCAATTCCTTCTCTTTCCTGTGCTTCATCCACTTGGGTCTTTGACGTGAGCACATGCCATTGACGGCAACGTGCAGCGACATGGTATCCATGAAGAAGTTCTTTGAATGGCGCAAGTCGTACTCCTCAGCAATTCTCGCCCTGTCATAACCAATGTTGTGTCCGACAACGATCCGCGGTTTGTTCGGATCGCCCAATGGAATGAGGTGGCGATCTGTGTCGGATTCGCCCAACAACCAAGGTGAAATCCAGGCATACCAGGCAGTGGGACTTGCAGCACAAGCCATGCATGCATAGGATGTCTCTTTCCACATGACCTCGACATCGAATGTCAAAAGCGACTCATCCGGCGCTTCTACGGCCTCCGACGTCCCGTTGACGTATTTTGTCCAACCGCTCCTCTGGATCCACTTTGGTCTCGGGGGAGGCTCTTTCTGTACGAAGTCGTTGGCCAAATCCAGATAGGGATGAGCGGAGTCCATGCCCAGGCGGTAGAAATGTTCGTCCAGAGTCTTAGAGGAGCCCTGAAGTGGCGGCATGTCGAAGCTAATGGGTGGCGCCGAATCTGAGTTCTTGCCGAACAGCTCATGGCGCTTGAGGTGATCGATTGACAAGTCTACCAGCTCCTTGGGCGGTGGTTTCGGTTCGGAAGCGAAAATTTGGCCGTAGGCATGCGCGCTGAGCTGCTGAACCCCGACATCGTTGAGGCGGGCATCTGAGGAGACTTTTTTTTTTTCAAGTCAGTCGAGGAGCCGGGAGCTGATGTGAAATTGGAGCCGGGCACGTACCGAGCAGACTCTGAGAGCGCGGCCTGCCCTCGCCGGTGTTCTCTGACTGTTGCGCATAGCAACGGAGGGCTGCGCATGCGATTGAAGCAGATGAAGCAGTAGGGCGCGGGCGGATGCGCAGGAGCGGCGAGCGAAGGGCAGGCTGGCAATGCGCGACACGGCGCGAGGTCGCAGCGAGCATCATCCGGGGGGCATTTCGCGACCAGCGACGGCGGTGGGCTGGCGGTGGGACGAGGAAAAAGCAGCGTTGGGTGTTCGCAGAAAGCGGGCGGCGGGTGGTGGAGCTGTCTTGGGCGCGTCATGTGTGGAATCAGAGGCCCGGCCGCGGCGCGAGCTGTGCTAGAGCCCGCCCTGCGCGGCCGCTCTCGCCTCCTCCAGAACCTGAGCTCTATCCAGTGCAATCCCAGGGATTGCCAGGAAAGGAAGACCGCGAGGGCCGAGGCTGGCCCCTACTGCAAACACCGCCGCTGCTCTCGTGTGCCCCATTGCCTTTCTGCGACCGCATTCCATAACTTGCTATTGTATCGCCGCCATGTCGGGCAGTCCGTTCGCTACCAACAACCAGTCCTCTCGCCAGCAGCCCCCAGGCCTCTTGCGCGAACACTCTTCATGGTCCTGGCCCGATGCCATCCCCGACACTCGCTCGCTGCCCGCCCGCCAGGACGCCGTCCAGCACTTGACCCTGCCGCCCATGCACACCCATTACGACCTCGACTCCGACCTCGACAACTCCACCTACGCCTCGCAACCCAGCCGCTCCAATTTCCTCGCCCAGGTCCTGAATCGTGGAGACGACGGTGCAGCTACCCAGCGAACCGCCAGTCGCCATCTCCACGCGCCGTACAGTCTTCCTCGCCCACCACAATCGCCACTTTCCCACTATCCTCCGCGGATGCCCTCACCGCAGTCTGGTCGGAACCACGGTTACGTCGACCTCACGCGCGAGCAGACCCCGCCCATCAGCCAGGAACGTTCTACTCTCCGCACCCTCCACTCCCGTCAGCAACCCACCGCCGAAAGTCCAACCTCGACCAACTCGCCCACCTCTCCCATGCCGCCTCGCAGCCATCGCAAGCGTGAGGCCACCTCGCCTCTCTTCGTCCCCCTCAGTCCATCCCCAAAACGAGCCAGGCGAAACGACGGGAGCAGCAGCAGCACAGCAGGCGGCGGACGAGGCAGCGGGCCGAGCAACGCCACGGCCCGGAACGAGGTCGAGGAAATCGAGCGGATAGACCTGATAGACGACGACACACCTCTGGCGGAAGCGCTGCAGAAGCAACGCGCGGAGCAAGTAAAGGCCCAGCAGAAGTCGCAAAACGGCGCCGACGCGCCAACGACCCTTACGAGCATCACCTGCGTCATCTGCATGGACACGCCCACCGACCTCACGGCGACTGCATGCGGTAAGGTTTTCCGTCACTTCCCCCCCACGTCCCTCCCCCATTCCCCGGCCTTTCCCCAGTTCTACCCCCACGGAGCTGTAGCTTCCTCGGGAACCGACCGACCTTGCCCATCAACGATCACCGCGCGGCCTTTGCCGGCCGCCGCCCCAGCTCAGCTGTACCCTTTCCCTCTCGGCCCTCACCACACCAAACATGTCACTAACCCCGCGTTCGTCACATCTCGCAGGCCACGTCTTCTGCCACGCCTGTCTCATGGAGGCCCTCATAGCCGGCGAGCAACGCGCCGGCCCGGGCGAACCCAAGCGCTCGCAGTGTCCCGTCTGCCGCAAAGCGCTGTCGCGCACCAAGACGGGCGACATCATCCCCCTGCTCCTGATGCAGAGGGGCCTGGCGACGCAGCCGCGCCGTCAGCGAGGAGCGGGAGCAGGAACAGGAGCAGGAGCAGGAACCACCGCCGCCGGCAGCGCCACCAGTTCTGCGTCGGCATGATAATAAGCGCGTCCTCCCCTCGACGGACGATGCCCATTCATCAGCCCGGCCCTTGGCCCGGCCCCAGCTCCGCGTGGATGGGGGGGAGGGGCAAGGAACGGTACTTGAGCCACTTCCGTCACGCAATCGGCTGAGGGCAAGGTCGAACCGAGCCGGGGCGAGGAAATGGAGTCCCGCTGCTGGGTACGCGCCGCAGCAGGAAAAATAAAAAAGGCTGAGGGTAGGGGCGGGCGTGGGGAAGTGGGTCGAGTTTTTTCATGTGAACGAAAATAGAGCATTCTGGGGTAAGACGAGTGCTGGAGAGAGATGGCCCAACCGTTCGACGGTGGTGGCGTGAGCGTGGGCGGGTTTGCCGGACTGGAAAACCCACGACGAACGACTTGACTTGGGAAGTGATGAGATGCGAGGAGACTTGGCATGGCACCAGGACGTTCCCCATTGTTTTCATTCTTTTTTTTTCATTCTTTTCCGTTGTTTCCCTTCTTCTTTTTTTTTTTTCAATCTCGCGTTGCATTGCATAGCCTAGGGCGTTATAATGGGAAATTCTGGGCGGCGCAGCATCGGAGCCAGCAGCGGCAAACGCGGGCGACGGCACGGCGGATATATTGCGGCAATTGGGAGCGATGGGGTTTTGGCGTTACCGGTTCGTTTTGGGAAACAAAGTCGGCGTCCGGCATCGTACGCGTGGGCGTGTATGCGTGAAAGAGAATAGAGATCAAAGCGGGTGTGAAGGCACCCACAATTTTCCGCAGCCCATTCGTCCGTCTTTTACCGCGTGCATATCTAGCGTTACAGCGCTCATACGATCGTTCCGGCCACACAAGGCAAAGAAGCAGCAGCTGTAAGGGGAACGGTCACGGAGAAAGTGCGGTCGTAGGAAAGGGTAGCCATACGTCTTCGAACTATCAATTCGCGCAGAGTCAATCTGGGATGTGAATCTTTTGCCCACTGATGTCCGCAGCATGTTGATAACCGAAGCTGCAATAGCGAACAAGGCCATGCCATTAGTAGGCGCTAGCCGCGCAAGACGGGATGCGACCAACCGCAATCATCATCATCGTCATCATCATCATCCTCAACGGCGGGAATGTTGCAGAGAAGCACAAGAAAAAGTTCAATTTCCCATCTTTGAGCCGACGCTTTCCGGCTCTCATCATCTTGTCTTTCGCTTTCCCGAACGTGTTGCTCGGACGTCCGAGATCTACAATGCGAGGTGGGGGGAGGAACATGATGGCGGTGCATTATTGCGTGGCAGGACAGACAGACAGGGCAATGAAGGGACAGGGCAGGACAGTGTGCAGGGCAGGGCAAGCAGGACGAGCCCCACTAGCAGTAGCGAGATAATAAGCAGTCAGATTTTTCTTGGGTTGGTGGCGTTGTCCTCGACCGACCCTGCTAATACATACAAGGGCCTAGTTTATGCCCCCTCAAGCCAACAGAGCCAGAAGAGGCAGAAAAAGAGAGAGAGAGAAAGAAAGAGAGCGTGCAAGAGGGGCGAGTGACGCCACGGGGCGAAACCAGAAAAGGGCAATGCGATATGATCCCGGATCGTCCGCCCGGATCGTCGCTGTCCGACCACTGTTGCTTTCCCACCAGCGCCCCCAACCAACGCATCCCATCCCGCGCCGTCTTTTTCTTGTTTTGTACGTCCGTATGGTATAACGATGATTAATTAACGGCCCCCCCAGCATCACACTCACACTAACTACCACTGCTGCTACCTTGCCTAGCCCAACCCCCCCACACCCCACGGCCTCGGCCCAACAACAATGCAACAACGTCACTACTGACTTGGCTCCAGCCACCTGTGACTCCGACACAGTCAGGATGATTTGCCTCTTTCCCTAGCGTTGGCGGCAGGCTGGCGTTGGGGATGTGATTGTTGCGTCACAAGCGCGGATGAGCGGGTGGCAAAGGCTCCGGTAGAGGAGGATCGGAGCGCCGGCGAAGCGGGAATAACAGAGAATATGCGGAAGGGGAAATTTGCAGAGAGAGAGAGAAAGGACGGCAGCATTCGTGGGGCGGAAATAAATCCGGCAGCAAAGGAAAAGCAATCGTGAGAGTTTTAGCGGGTCCCGTGCGGTGACGGATTATGGCGGTATGTATGTACTGTGTACATACATCACTGCATGCCTTGCATGCCTCGGCCCCCCGTCATTCCCGACCACGGCTTTGAACCGAATTCATTGGCCAGCCAGAGAAAAACCGCTCACCTTGTGCCATGCGGCTGCTTAGCGTTTGGAGAAAAAGAAACTGGACTGCTTGACGGTAGCAACGGTAGGGTAGTGTGCATTTCGTAACATTACCTCGGTGGCTGGACCGGTGAGGTTGGCTCGCGTCGACGAGAAATGGTTTCTAGACCTTCGGAGGCTGAGAATGGTGTGCACTAGTGGTCGACCAACGGCGTCAATACAGCCTCTTGACCAGCCGGTTCGGTAGCGTCACGAACAATGGCATCATGACGTAGCAAACAGCTTACCGCATAAGAAAAGACTGCAAATTGGAGTGAAGAAGGAAGCTTTCGTTTCATCATGGCTGTCTGGGGCCAGCTATGTACCGCTACCAGCTAACCACTCCAATTACTCGTCGCTCACCTCGTGTTACATACCGTCCCCCCCCCTTTTTTTTTCTATTTTTCTTAAGTTTTCTATCCTGCTTTGCCTCTTCATTCCCCTCTTCTCCATTGAAGTAGAATCGGGATAGGATGGACAAACAGGCGAAAGCTTTGCATAGGAAGGCATCGGTTGAGCGAATAGTTGGCAACTGCTTCATGAGAGTTGAAATAACAAAGCCCTTACAATGAAATCAACTCCATTCCGTACCGTACCCATCGTGTTACACCTCCTCCTACCCATCCTGTAGACGCATCCGAGCCTTCTGCGCCGAGATGGGACATCTTGAGCAAAGCGTCCGCAGAGGTGTGATGAATGAAGAAACTGTGGAAACTGTCAAGTGAATAAACCAAGCTCGCAAGCATATGAAGAGAGCTCAAGACAGTAGCCAAAACTAAGATCAAGAAGCTGCAAAGAGAAGGAATCCAGCCATTTTGCCCGTGGACTGGTCGTGGCCGCGTGATATTGCAGGCGCGAGGTAGAAACTTGAGGAGATCGGAAAAACACCAAACTTCAATTCGCATGGAACCTCCTCGCGTCCCACCTTTTGCTTTCTCCTTCAGTAGTTCACTACAACTTTTATCCGCACGCCGAAGAACGGCAGAGCCAGTAAAGACAAGAATGGCTGAATGTCCGACGGAAAGAAGCCGTCCGCTCAGAAATAGTGCGTAGAAAGAACCAAAGCCGCCCAGAATGGAAAGAATCGTTGGCAGTGAGCTGAACGGTGCAGTCAAGCCCACAAAAATATACGACAGCGAATCGATAGACATTTTTCAACCAGGTAAAATTGACAAAGACGTGTCCTGGTTCTCCTTTCTCACGGCGCTTGGCGTTTATCGTCATCCGGTCATGAGCGTGGTGTATTTACTTGGACGAAAGACCGTTATTCCGGAGCCATACATATACAAGGCGTTATGGGGTATCCAAAGTGCAAGATGGTCCGATGAAAGTGCGCCTTTCCCTGATGCGCTCGGAAGCCGCGATGCTGGCCACGTAAATACGTGTATGCGGCTGCCCAAGGCTACCCTGTTGTTCATCGATGCATTAATCGTGAAAGCGGAACCATACAGATTTTTTATTTTTTTTTGGCGTGACCTGGGAGTGATTTGCAAGCAGCCGGTAATCACCGTGTCGCTTTAGCAGTGATGGAACTCTCGGCTCTAGCGTGCACGTGATTGGCGTGAGCTTCGAGCGCGCGCGCCATAACATGAGTCACTAAAGTCTGTTAGCAATCAATCGATTAACGATCCACTTTGGCGGGCTTACCAGGCCAGACGGCAGCATGCTCCAACATATAAGCCGTGACCATGAGGAGCTTGCTTCCGTAACCGTAATTAGTGAGGGCCGGGAGGCCGATGCCGGCCGGCGAGCCCATGTTTCCAGTATCGAACGTAATCTTCATCTCCGCGTTGTTCAGGATCTCCTCGATCTTCTGCAAAAGCTTGGTGTCTTCTTCTTCCAGAAGCATGATCGCTGGAACTTGATGTAGGTCGATTTCGGTCTTGCCTAGAATGCCCATGTAACGACCAACACGCTCCTGGACTGTCGCAACCCACTCTGCAAGCACTTGTGCGCAATCAAACGTGCACATGGCAGACTGAATCGGCAACTCCCGCGATGTGAAATCTGCGAAGGTGACACCGAGCTTGTCTGACATGGACAGCGAATCGGCAGCATAGAATGCAGCCTTGCGAAGGTGGCGCTCACGCTTGGAGGACTTGGCTGACGTAAAGCCACCGTTCGACATCACCTCTGGCGCGGCGGTATTGATGCCGCCCGGAGAGCTATTCGGCACCGTGTTCCGGTTCGAGTGGGCGTCGGGCGAGCTGTCTGAGTCCGTCTCTGCGTGCTGGATGATCTCATCACCCCTTGCCAACTCCTCTGCCATAGCGTCGAAGTCGCGCGCCCAGAAGCCTTCTTTCGACCGAGCAAGGCTGACGAACAGGCGTACGTAAGCAAGATCCAGAAGAGGGATGCTGTCAGCTGGAAGAGGACCGTAAGGATTTGGTCTTTCCAGGCTGTGATGTGGGTTCGCCTTCCAAGAAGCTTGCCACGCTTTGAGCGCGGGCTCGATCTGATTGTGCATCTGCTCCGTCTCGGCCGTGGTCCATTGCCGGCCATTGTGGCGCTGCCTCGTCTCCCAGATGTAAACGTGGAGAGCATTGATCAAAACGTAGCAACCAAAAGTGCTCGGCTTTAGAACGCTCCCACGAAATTCATCGCGACAGGTAGAGCTACCCTGCGTGCTTGATCTCTGGCGCTCACTTGCTGTAAGCAAATGAGTCAGCGCATCAGCGAAGGCGATACCTTTCTGGGTAGCGGCTTGTTGGCCACCCAACGCTGCCCATGCTTGCGCGTTGTCCGCAGCCCACAAATCCTCCTCACACGGAAGATCCAAGTGTAACTCCGAATTCAAAATCCTAGGAGCGTGGTTGTACCCAATGACCGTGAGACTTGAGAGCACGAACACGGCGTACAGCGTTCGCTTGCGTTCTTCTTGTGTCTTCCACCGGATCCACTGTGCGTGGTCGTCAAAATTCGCCCAGTGATTGGGAGTTTGACTGTCGTCGCTCATGTCGATCTCATCGCCGTGGTTACGCGCGTTGGATCCATTGGCGTTGTCGTCCATGGGCTGGTCCAGATTTGCGGCCTTCGCTAGGCTAACAAGAGCAGCGCAGTGAGTGTACGCGACATCATTGGCTTGTTTATCGCCGCACTGGTGGCCGTAGATGAGGTTGAGCAACATCGACTGCACAAGCCAGAGGGGGGTTGTGTGATTGCTCGTGTCGTGCATCGGATTGAGGCCGTTGATAGCTGCTGCCACATCTGCCCGGCGACGCTCATCGAGGTAGAACAAGATCATTTTCTTCGCGGCTTCGAACAGTTCCTTGCCCGCAGCATGTTCGAATTCGTAGAGCGCCCCGATGGCAGCCATGGCCAGTATCAAACATTCGCCGCCGCCAACGCCACCGCCGTGGCCGAAAGTCGCAGCACGCGGGTTGGTGGAATACAGAGAAGAATCGAAAGAAAGAGTCGGAATGTGCAGAAAGGGCATGTGCGGCTGGAAGTATTGAATGTAGGCGTTGACGAACCGTTGGAGGTCACTGGTGGTTGGCAGCGAAAGAAGCTGCGTAGATGACGTGGGAGGGGGCCCAGGCGATAGAGGTGAGCTGACAGCCGGCTGCGAATACTTCCGTTGATTGGAATTATAATTCATCGCCTGCGACAAGCTCATGAGGAGAGACTGTCGAGTGGCATCAGTGATTGAATCTGTTGAGACGGACGTCACCGAGCTCTGGCGAGCACTGCCGTTGACTGAAGAGGAAGCTATACTTGTGCTATCAGAGTTGAAAGTCGGTGGGTGGAAGTATTGATTGGGCATTCCAGGAATGCCTGCAGTCGGGCTCATCGAGTTCAACGGCGGTGGCGAGGAAAAGTACATTTCCTGCCCGCCGTTTTGGTCTTGCAGCTGCTTTGGAGAGACGGTGCTCAACGGATCCATGAGTTCTGGAAAGACGGCGTTCATCGCATCCAGCGATATCGAGCTGGTGTCAATCATCGAGGTTGCGTTCAACGAGCCTTGCCACACAGAGCTTGTGGTGTGCGCAGGCTGGTTCGATCCGTCGAGCATGACCTCGCTGAAACCGCTTTGGCTTGCGGTGCTGATTGCCGAAGGGGACGACTCATCCACGGCGGCCTCATTGTTGGAGCCAGCATTCAGGTTGAGGGAGGTTTCCAAGCCGACCATCCAGTCGAAATCATCTTCCTCGATGCCAGCACTGGCCGAGAAAGGGGGGTATGTGCCGAAGGGAGAGGCCGGCGTACCCAAAGAACCGCTGAAGTGTAATTGTGCGGGGTTGACGGTCGAACCGGACGCAAATAGCTTATCCAGATCCATCATGTGATCAAAGCCTGGAATAGGGGCCGTTCGAAGGCCGCCGCCCATGCCCATGCCCAGATGCGTGTCGATCTTCGGCAAGCCGTGGTGGCCTGAGTGGTCCATTGTGGTCTGCATTCCGCGGAAATCAAAGCTGTGGGAGCCAGGGAAGCCCGAGAGGCTTGGGTGGTGGCTATGGCCATGACCATGACCATGGCTCATAGGCATGCCGGGGCTTCTCGCAGATGTGGTATTGTGCGTGGCCAGCAGATTATTCAAAGCACCAGCATCAATATGGCTTATGGTGTTTGCTCGTGGGCGTGCAGTCGGTGCTCCGCCTCCCACAGCTCCATTCGCGCCATTTGCGATTGAGTTCTTACGCACTCGGTTCGCGGCACCGTTGGGCGGGATGCCCGTTGTGCTCTCGCGGCGACCATTTCTGGGCCGGGAGGAGGCAGCGCCAGCCTGGTGGAGCTTCTGCTGGTGCCTTAATAGCAAATCGCGCCTGGCAAAACATCTTGTACATTGTGGACACTCGAAGGGCTTCTCTTTTGTGTGGGAGCGCTCGTGGCGCTTCAGATGCTCCAGCCTCGCGAACGAGCGACCGCAGGTACCGCACACGTGTGGCCTTGGCTTGTCGGTCTTGGGAGGCGGGAAGTTCGCGTTAGGAGCAGGCTGAGACGAGTCGGTTTTGGCATTAGGGGACGACGCTGGGAGGGGATGCGAGGTTAGCGGAGCTCAAGGGCGCCGTCGGACACCGGGTGTGCCGAGTAGGGAGAGCTTACCTTTCACGTCTGCAGATGCGTCGCCAGCACTATTCGCAGCGTCGACCGTGACAGGGGCAGCCATGGTCGAATCGGGGGCCGTTTCAGGTATCTCTGTCATGTCTATGGGTGCGTCTCTCTTCACACCGCCAACTCGGTCACGGTTGGTGCGGGCGCGTCCACCGGTGTTGTTCAGCGGCTCGCTGGAAATCGTGTCGCAGCCAGGGTGAGGTCGCTGACGGGTGGCGGTGGGCAGCGCGCGAAGCTTTGAGCGCAGTGACAAGTACTCGGTGGGTACAAGTAGCTTGCTGGACGGGAGCTGTGCTCGCGGGAGAGCCGGGACGTGCAGGGCGCGGGGCAGGGCGCTGCGGGCAACAGGCGGACAGCAGACAGAGAGCGGGCTGCGGACTAGCATAGCATACGGTCAGCGCGGGCATCAATGCATCGCAGGCACAGGAACGGTACCTATTCGTCGTTCGGGCCTTTGGACGGAGAGCTATGCACAGCTCGCTGCGGCGTGACCCGGAAGGCGGAGTTAAGATCGGCTCGAGGGCGCTTCAACGCCAGCGGACGGTCGAGCGCAGGGCGGAGCGGCGGTCATGCACCGTCGGGCGGCAGGCAATTGAGAGAGAGGGTAGAGGAATTGCGCAATGTGGGCGCGGTGCTGGAGCAATTGTGGCGAGTAAGCAAGTGTTGCAGAGTTGCAGGCTGGACGCCGGCTGGGGAGGTGCGAGGCCGAGCGAAGCGCAGGGCCAGGGTACAAGCCGTCCGGAGCCCAGCAAGTCAGCTGCGCAGCCGTCTGGAGACGGCGTTTAGACTTCGTACTGAAACTAACCGGCCTATCCGATGCGGGCTGCGCGGACAGCCGATCCTGAATTGCGGACTGCTTCCAGAATTTCTCGATGCGTGAGTCGTCGCAATTGCACTGCTGCGACCCGGATTCGAGCGCTTGCGGGCCAAGGCTGGGGCGAGCGCTGCGTTCGGCGTCTGCTACGAAGCTATGGCGCGCAGCAGGCTGTTGCGGCGCGAGAACAACCGGGCTGTGGCACTGCGACACAGCGTCTGGGGGCGGGCTAGCAGCAAACAACGGCGAGCCCCATCCACGGCCGGGCAGAGTGGGCAGAGGGCAGGTAGGGCGACGGCTACTGGGTGAATTGGCTGCAGAGGGTCCACCGATCCCGAGCTTTGCGGCTGCACGGCTGGCGACGAGATGGAGGCGGGAGTCTCGAATGCGTAAAAGGGGAGGGCGAGTGAGGTAGCAGGCGCCTTAGTCAAGAGCAGTGCGGTGCGATGGAGGCCAGGCGATCTTCTACCATCGCGAGAGCGTGTAAGCGTCGAACCAGACCCTCGAAGCGCGCGTTGCATGACACAGCCAGAAGCTTTGACGAGTGAGCATGGGTCGACTCGGCGCCGCGTGCTGCGGCAGGGCCATGCACGATCATCCGGCGTCGGGTTCTTCGATCAGAACGGTACGGTATTTGCGTACTGAACGGCCGCCTGCAGCTGCCTGGCCACCGACAGACCTCGTCCAAGCCCTCACGCCTGCGGACCCTGTGCCGTCTCTATTCCTTGCGTTATAGCGCGCGGCCGACGATTGCCCGCGCCTCAATGCCGCACCCTGCCCGCCGACGCCCGGCCCAGAGCAGAGAGCAGCCTGGCAGCCTGGCAGCCCGGCAGCGACGGCCGTGGCCAGCCCGCGCGCGTCCTCGGCACGAAGCGAGCCTGTCTCGTATCATTGGACAATACCTGCTGTCATTCTTCTTTCCCCCGTTGCAACGGCCATCTGTATCAAACAGCAGCATGGATTCCCCATACAAGCGTCCCGCGGGCAACGGCGCGGTGGCTTGAGGGCAGGCACGGCTTACCCAACACGCGCGCCATTATTGGCCGGAGCCCGCGCCGGCCGTCCCTGAAGCGCGGCAGCTACCTCGTGAACCACGCCCAGCCTGCCTTCATCACTCCCTTCGGAGATAGAGGCCGTCCAGGCTTCCGAGAGAGATCGGGCTGCGCATGCGGAAAGGCAGACGCAGGCATGCACGTCTCCAGCGCGACGGACCCGCATGCGCTGCTCCCTCAATGCATCCTCGCCCAGCGCCATGGACGGCGGCGCCTCGCGAGAGGCCGCTACTGCCGCAGCACGTTCTCCTGGCGCTGCCCTGGGGTCGACGTGGAGGCTGCCGTGTCAATCACTTGCCCCGTTCCGCACTCTCCCTAGGGCGGCATTGGGACCCTATGCAGCGGTGACGATGTGCTTGCCACTCATCTGGGCAGAAATCTGGGGTAGACGGGTACGTATCGTAATGATACGCGGAACACGAGCCAGACACGGAGGCCATGCCCAATCCTGCCCATGGCTCCGCTGGCGGATGACCCCAGATTTTCTGGCGCCCGAGCCAAAGCGTGCCGCCTGCGCCGCGCTAGCCCGCGCCCCCTGCCTGATGCCGGTCGTGGCCATTGGTGTCGCTTGGACGCCCATGCTGCAGCCGCTAGCGCTCCGCCTGTCGCCGGCGGGCTTGAGCGACCGAAATTGGCGCAGCTCTCCCTGGGAAGGCGCGACTGGGCTAAGGATCCGGTCCAGCATGGCACCTCGCGCGCGCAAAAGATGGCGGGCTGAGAGAGCAGACCTAGGCAGGCACCTAGGCTGGGTAGACGTCGTGCGAGCGTCGGAGCCGGAGAGGATAGCCGACTGACGGCGCCCCTGGCAACGTTGCAGCAGCTCCTGGCAGCCGCCAACTTCAACCACGGCGCCAAGCCGTGGATAGACACGGCCGCACGCTAGCACGCACCGAGGGTCGCTGTGGGCCATTACGCAGCGCAACGCCGCACATGACCTGACGAGCGAAGCACCCCCAAGGGCGTTCGGAGAAGGCTCCATTCGGCGCCGCGACCCACGCGCTCTAGACGACGTGGTCAGCAAGATTGCCAGGCACGCCGTTCAGCAGCCTGCGCACCACACCCTCAACGCTTCTTTGGGGTCGCTTGGACCTGCGAAAATGACGCAGTTGACGCAGGCCAGGCGCGTCGCCAGGGCCCCCAGGCTCCGCCCATAGCGGGCTCGCTATTTTATAGCGGCAGCGGCTGCGCGCGCTGGGCGAGGCTGCACAAAACCCGTGATGCGTCGACGGCCAGAGAGCGCAGATGCAGGCTCGCCGTGCTGATCGCAGCCGCGCCGCCACCGCCATGGCTGCTAGAACAGCCTGCCAGCCTGCCAGCCAGCCAGCCTGCAGCAGCGATCCCGATCAACGAGCAGTCTGCCAGCATCCGGCCGCCGATTATTGTTCTTCAATGTTGAGCTTGTCGGCGCGGTCTGACGTACCCAGGGTGCGCGGTGGCCGGGAGCGCAGGACGCGTCGGCCACGATGGCACCTGCCTGCGCGTTCCACGGATGAGGCCGTGGCCCTGCACGCCAACAGCCACAGCTGTTTGCATTGACGTCAAGGACTGCTGCGTCCGGTCGTCCGCCGGCTCGAGCAATGGCGGTGGCTCCAGGACAGTTCATGCGGCAGCGCCGATCAGGGTTTGCCGCCGGGCGGAGGACGTGGGACGTTGACAGACAGAGAGCCCGTCCACAGCACTCTCGTGCAGCGTGGGGACGGGTTGATACGTCGGGCCTGGCGGCGGGGCAGCGCGCGGCGGCGAACGCGCTCGATGCAGCTGGGCGCAATTATTGAGGGAGCGCCCATCTCACGGCTCTGCTGCAGGATCAGGTCCTTTGCGCACCCATCAAGGACGATCTCCGGCGGCGCAGGCCTGGCGAAAACAAGGGATAAGTGCCCGACTGCACGTCAATCGTCAGCGGGCAGGAGGATCGCCTTGTCCGAGGCTAGCAGCAACGACGTTATGGCACCCACCGGGGCGCATCTCAACCGTTTATCACGGCATCGCCACGCGGATATCCTTTTGCGCCGTGCTCGCGTCTGGTGGCATCCGACTTCCGGGTGGGCCTCCAGGGCTGGCCTCGGACGACATGCACGAGACAAAAGCGGGACGGCTCGAGAGGGCGAGAGGCTCCATCGCTAATTTCCGCCGCTTGAACCACAGTTTCCCCGGCGTGCAGAAAGATGATGCACTTCTCAAAATATGTACAGCCCACTTCGCGCGAAACGCCCCACTTGCCGCCTTTGGAGCGATCTTATCGGCTCTGCCTGCTTGTGCCGTAAGCGCGCCCCTTGGCCTGGGCGCAGCGCCCGCGGCCAAGTTGGGGCCGGGGCCCGTCGTCGCAGGTAGGTTGGCTGCTGGCTCTCCCGCGCCTGCCTTCCACAGTCTGCGACCCGCCAGAGCCCGCCGCGCCGCGAGCCATCGCTACAGGAGACAACGCTCGCCAGAGGCCACGTCCACCCCTGGGGCTGAGCCCGGCGTGCCTTGAAACGCCGCCTGCCTGATCCATGTCCTCGACTGACACCGAGCAGCCCCATCGCCCTCGCACTTTTATGGCTCGAGCGTAGCTTCACGCCCGCTAGGACTCTCCCTGACTTCGCTGCAAACATCGCTCTCGCGACCTGGGCCGTGGGACGCGGAGAGGGCCTCACGGGCTGTCGGATCGCACCGATCGAGCCTAACCGAGATAAAACTTTCCACTGAGCCTGGTCGACGAGTCCAACGAAGAAGAGCACGCGAGCTGAGCGGCCCTCATCAACGTATCAAGAGCCTCTGCGAGAACCTTGGGCCAATCCGACTTTACTAGCAGCCGGTTTCAGCTGCAGGCTCTCAGCCGCGCATGAGTGAGCCGTTGTTCCCTGCGCCAGCATGCGGCAGCAGTCATCAGAGTATGTGGATAGAAAATGAGGTATGCGTGCTTTCCCTTTGGAAAGCCACTCGCGCCGCGTTTGAGGTGGGCGCAAAGAGGCCGCCCTGCACGAATCAGAGAGAAAGGACTTGGTCGATGACATATCAAATCCTCCACCACGCGGTCTGGATTTAATCCTCTGAGGGCTACGAAAAAAACGTCTTCATGCCTGCATCTCTGCGATTGGCCAAGCGGGTGCTGCCATGTTGCGTACCATATGCTGCCGTGGCACCTCTTGCCTGCATGAACCGCCCGTCTCGCCTTTCTACACTTCAACATTCACTCTTGGCATCGTATGTCCCCATTGCGCAGATCACCAGAAAAAGATCCCTTGCTCTCATGACGCGGACAGAGCATGAAGACGCGCCGGGTACTGTTCATCTTTCCTGGCTCACCTCAGCCCTAGTTCGAAGCCAGAACGACCGTATCTATCTCCTTGAAACATGTCACTAGCAGAACCCATAGTAGCATTCACAAGTCACTCCATGACACAACCGAGGACTGTAGTAGAACGTCTTGATGACCCCGCGACTCAATGTCGCCCTAGCAGCGAAAACAATCTGCAGCCTCTTGCTCGTTTCTTTTACACACACCATCGGCACCTGCCAGAAGAAAGCCAGAAGGCTGCGCCAAGTAGTCTTACATCCTGCAGCGATCGCCCGTGCAGCTCCAGATCGCTATTGGACCCCATTTGCGAGAGATGTTGGGAGGAAAGAGTGACGAGAGCGGGCCGGCCGGCAGAAGCAGAGAACACGCAAGCCGGGTGGTGAGCGTGAGCTGACCACCATCCAATCGACGACAGCCGTCATTCTGAAACAAGCAGCGTGCAGCACCCGCACCAACACGTTCCCCAGTGGCTGCGGTAGATCCTGTGCCACCCGCACGGAGAGATGACATCGAGCTGCAGTCAACTACCACGAGGGAAACTCCGGCGGGTGACCAACAACTGCAACGCCTCCCGTCATGACTTTCCATTCGTGCGACGTGCAGTCCACCTGTCAGGTGCGCTTGCTATGGAAGTTTAGCCTTCTATTGCCTTCTTCAGCTCACACGTGGTGCTTTGCATCCGTGGCTTTGTGGGTTTCCTGTTTGCTCAGCTGTTGGTAGTGTCGTCTGTCTCATAGGTCAATGGCAGCTATTCCGAGGCGGCGTAGAGTTGCCCTCCCTTGTTCCATCTCACCTCTGTCGTGGAATCCTCCGGCTTGCTCTTCCCGTTCACCTTACTTTCTTGGTGGTTTCCCGATCCGCAACGAACAAGTCTTCTTTGGATGGTCGTGACAATAGAACCCCGGGCATATTTGGTGAGATATAGTCAGCGATCAGGCTGGCAAAACAGATCTAAGAAAGCCTGAGCAGGATCGACATAGTCCAGAATGAGTTTCATACCTCGCAGCTTGCATCCGCCTCCCGTCATACTCTGCATCTCCCATCCACCCCGGTAGTCCTCGAGAGCCCGCTGAGGAAATAAGCCTGCACGAATCGACTCTGCGGCTGCGAGTCTGGCGCATATTCACGGCTGCAGAAAAAACCAATGAAAACGGTCCTTCACTGGTCAGGTTTGAGTCCGTCAAACGATTACATGTGCCGTGGCTTATTGGTGCGTCTCGTACGAAGAGAGTTCAATGAATGACCGAAACTCATAACGAACCAGGTGCATGAACGCATGAAGTCAGTAGAGGAAGGAATTGCAACTGAGCTTTTTACTCTCAAACATTTTTGTAAGGGGAACAAAGGCGCGGAAAAGATCGAAGTTACGGAGCTGCTGTTGCACAGATCTGAAAAAAGCATTGTAGCATCGACCAAGAGAAACCCAGCAAACATGCAAAAGCCCAATGAGCCAAAAATCCAAGCCAATCTGGAGACGTCCCCTGCCAATTGACTGAAGATAACCAGAATTCTGTCTGATAAGGCCAGTACTTATGATAATTTCTTCCTTCTTTAACATCACTCGAACGCCATTCTGCCTCTGAACGCCAATCCATGCAGAAAACTTTTTCTCTCGCAGTCCTCAAACCCCATCACTCGCAAATCAAATCACCTCTTGCCGAGACTTGCGCCACTTCTCAACCCTCCTCTTGATGTCCGCGGCCGTCTGCTGCATCGGGTTGAGCTTCATGTCCCTGCTCATCCTGCCGTAGTCGTCGCCGTACTTGGCCACCAGCCGCTCGAGCCACTCGACCTCGCGCCCCGACTGCTTGCGCGGCGCCTTGCGCTTCGCGCCGGCCGTGGCCAGCTCCTCGAGCTGCCTGACGACGGCGTTGGCGCTCTTCCCCGCAGTCGCGGGGTCGACGGCGGGCGCGTCGTGCTGGGTGATGCCCTGCCACTCGGCGCCCGCTTCGTCGTCGTCATCGTCGTCCAGGTCGTTGAGCGGGTCGTTGAGCGGGTTCGGGCGCGTGCCGTCGTCGACGAGGCGCATCTCGCCCGTCTGCGGGTCGCGCTCGAGGCGGGCCTCGGCGGTCTTGACGCCGCCTGCCGACGCGCGGGTCTTGGGGTTCACGGCGAGCGGGGCGGCGACGTTGTTGGGCGTCTCGAGGGAGGTGGCCGTCTTTTCGACGCCGCCGGTTACCGAGTTCAGCTTGGTGGTGAGGCCGAGGCGGCGGTAGTTCTGGGTGAGGGTTTCATGCTTGTTCCTGGAGGGGGAAGGCGGTCAGCGGGTTGGTTTGCAGAGGGCTGCTGCAGGGTGGAGGTCGTGTCGTACCAGTTGGCGGCGATGATGGGGTTGTTCAGGACTCTCTTCTTCGACTTGGGCTTCTTGCGGACCTTGGAGATGGACGAGCGGTTTTTCCGCTTCTGGAGTTCGCGACCCATGGCTGCGGCAGTGTGGGTGTGGTTGGCAGAGACAGCGAGTGACTTTTCCCCAGAACCCTCGAAGTTTTGCGCTATCGATAAGGGCTGCGGATTACATAAGGACTCTACCTGTCGTATCTCCGAAATGACGCTCGGCAGCTGGGCGGGCAGCTTACCCTTCAGCTGCGATAGCGGAGCGCGCTCACTCTGCGCACACATCAACTCCAACAAGATGCTTTCGCGGAGGTCATTGGCAATTCTGGCGGCGCTGGCCCTCTTCGCCTTCTGCCAGGTGGCTGCAGACCTGCACGTCGAGACGGCCGACCCAAAGATCCCCGCATTTCAGCTGTCGCCTGCTCAGATCGAGCATAAGCTCCAGGTACGACCTCTTCCCCTCGCAGCGTGGCCAAGAGTAGCCAAAAGTGGTCAATTGCATCCGACAGGTGTCTGACGCTGAAGTGTCTCCAGGAGTGTCCCATTGTGGAAGAGCTGAATGCGCACAAGACCGCGACCGCCCCGCCCACCGGAAGCTTGACCTCGCGCATTTTCGCCGTTCTCTTCCCCGGCAGCCCTGCCGTCAATGCCCTCCTCGCGACCCTGTACATCTCGGGTCCCCCGAATTTCCTGCTGGCCCTATGCCCTCCCAACATCGACCCGTCTTCGCTCAGCGTCATGGTCGCATTTGCTGTGGGTGGGCTAATGGGTGACACCTTGTTCCACCTGCTGCCTGAGATTTTTCTTGGCGAAGATGAGCCTGACAGCGTCAAGTTCGTAATGCTGGAACCGAACAAAAATCTTCTGCTGGGCGTGGCTATAATGGTTGGCTTCATGACCTTCGTAGCCATGGACAAGGGACTCAGGATCGCAACTGGAGGCGAGGATCCCCATGACCATTCTCACGGTCACGGCCATGCACATGAAGAGAAACCCGTCGCGTCTTCCAGCGGCATCGAGGGCAAAGATGAATCCACACTTCGCTCCCGAAGGTCCGAGTCCAACTCAGCCGTCTCGGCGCCAGCAAAGAAAGAAGAGCCGTCGTCCAGCGTCAAGCTCGGAGGCTATTTAAACCTCATTGCTGACTTCAGTCACAACATCACTGACGGGATTGCGCTGTCTTCATCCTTCTACGCTTCTCCGACGCTCGGAGCAACCACTACAGTGGCCGTGTTCTTCCATGAGATTCCGCACGAAGTTGGTGACTTCGCACTCCTGGTCCAGTCCGGCTTCAGCAAGCGTGCCGCTATGGGTGCCCAGTTTGTCACCGCCGTCGGGGCTTTCTTGGGCACGCTTATTGGCATTGCTGTCCAAGAATTCGGTGGTTCCTCTACCGGCACTTCTGCCGGAACATCTGGCGGTCCAGGGCTGTTTGGCACTAGCCTTCAGTGGGGAGACATGCTGCTTCCTTTCACCGCCGGTACTTTCTTGTATGTTGGTACCGTCGCCGTCATTCCGGAACTGCTGGAGACGGGGCCCGACAAAGGCGCAGAACTCAAGAAGATTCTGACGCAGTTTGTTGCTATTGCTACGGGTGCTGGCATTATGCTTGCGTAAGTGTCTTTTCCCCACCTGATCTATTAAACCTAATTACAGCATGTGCTGATGTCTTGCAGCATCTCTTGGTCGTAAAGACTCAGGATTTCCCATTGCAAAGCATTATTCGACTCAGAAAAGCAAGGCTAAAAGCAATTAGCCAATGGTGATGAACGGCCTTGTAAGTTATTGTAGAGCATTATCCATATGTAGAGAAAATCAAGAAGATACAACAGGCGATACCAACAAATTTGCAACATTGGGCGTTGACCACGCTTTAGCGTGAGATGCGAGCAATTTCAAAACTACCTTTGAATTCAAATCTGCTCATAAGCTGTATAGGCATACAAGCCCTGCTGAACAGCGAAGTCCTCTGTATCACCCTCCTATGGACGACCTTCGCAGCCTTAGTTCCCTGACCGAAGGTACGTGTCGAACATCGTCGACACGACGTTCCACGCTCGAATTGGAGGAGCCCAAAGACCTGGGCTACTGACAGACTGAATGTTCGTATCACAGTGAGTCGCAAAAAGTCATTTCCTTCCATGTCCAGTGAAAGACGCTACACTCCTCGCGGGGGTTAGGGAAAGCAGATATCCGGGTGTAGGTGTATGGTACATACATCTCTTCCCGATGTAATCATCGATTCTCCATTCCAACAATCCAGACTTGAGAGAGGCCACATACTTTTGCAACCCACTGCGGTACGATCAAGTCCGGTGGTGGGGCCAAACTCGTTGATCTGTCGGGGCAAACTTTGAGGCTGGCGGACCGCTGAGCCGACTCACCGAGACAGGAACCGTTGTTCACCCACCCGGACTTTTGCTGTAAGAGACCTTATGACGGTGAGGAGATGTTGCAAGCGAATACGAGCTTGATCGATCCATGATCTCGCGTGAGGCGGAAAATTTCCTGGTCATCGTCGTCGACCGATGCAAAGATGGTCCAAACGCGGGGCATGATTGGACCGAAGCGGGGAAGCATCTCCACAGATCGACGAAATGCAAGCCGCTCCCGCACGCTTCCGAGTTTATCTTTCAGGCTGAATGGGCTGGAGAGCTTCCTAGACGTAATTGTGCATGAGGCACGATCTGACATAAATTGGACGAGGATACAACATGGCACTACAAGCGAGTCTCGCAGCTTCACCACATCATCGTCCTCCACCATGTGGTCTCCGCTCACACCTCTACTGTCCAGTCTTGCACTGGCAGTGACAACTTCTGCCCAAAATGTCAGCTCTGAATACCTTGCACCCAACTCGACCGGCTTCCTGATGAGACATGGGTGGGAAAACGTCCTTGTCCAACCTTTCGGTTATGACGGATTCCGCGTCCGAGCATGGCCCTTTCGGCCTCCCAATGGCAACGAGATCAGTTTCCTATATGACCCCCCTCTCGAGGGCCCGGAAAACAACCAGGCTCGCGGCTTCAGTCATGACTTCACCGTCAATGGCAACCAGAGTGCCATCATCCGGAACGGGAACATCATTGTAAAGACGTACGGCCTCGAAGGCGCTCACTACCGCCTGGCCTTCTACCGTATCGAGCCCGACGGCTCAGAGACGCTGCTCACCAACGAGTTTAACCCGGTCAAGGCGCTGAACCCACGCTACTACTCCTGGACCAGCACGGGCTACGAGTTCTCGGCGGCATTCTCCTTCAGCACGACGCCGGACGAGCAGATTTTCGGGACGGGCACGCAGCAGGACTTCATGCTCAACAAGAAGGGCTCGGTCATCGACCTCATCAACTTCAACTCGTACATCCCGACGCCGCTCTTCATGTCCAGCCGCGGCTACGGCTTCGTGTGGAACTCGCCCGCGCAGGGCCGCATGGAGTTCGGCGCGCGCCGCAACAAGTTTACGGCCGACTCGACGACGCTGGTCGACTACGCCATCGTCTCGGCCCCCGAAGGTGACTACGACGCGCTGCAGCGCAAGCTGACGGCGCTGACGGGGCGGGCGCCGGCGCCGCCGGATTTCTCTCTGGGCTACCTGCACTCGAAGCTGCGGTACGAGAACCAGACGGAAGTTGAGCAGCTGGCGCAGAACTTCCACGACCGCGGCATCCCCGTGTCCATGATCGTCGTCGACTACGAGTCGTGGGCGCAGAACGGCGACTGGGGGCTCGACCCGGCGCTGTGGCCGGACGTGGCGGGCATGGCGGCCGTGGTCAAGAACCTGACGGGGGCCGAGATGATGGCGTCGCTGTGGCCGGCGGTCGAGGACGACAGCGACAACTACGCCGAGATGATGCAGGACGGGCTGCTCGCGGCCACCATGTCCGGGCCCGGCACGACCGACTCGTGGAACGGCAGCTACATCCGGAACTACGACGCCACGAACCCGCGCGCGCGCGAGTTCCTGTGGAAGACGCTGAAGCGCAACTACTACGACAAGGGCATCAAGAACTTCTGGATCGACCAGGCCGACGGCGGGGCGCTGGGAGAGGCGTGGGAGAACAACGGGCAGACGTCATACATCCAGTCCATTCCGTTCCCACTCCCTCAGGTCTTGTATCATGCCGGCACCCAGGCTTCGGTCGGGAAGCTCTACCCCTGGGCCCACCAACAGGCCATCGAGGAAGGAACCCGCAACGCCACCGGCAAAGAGATGGGCGCGCCGTACGTCCCTCCTCAACCCCTCCCCTCCCCTCCCCTCAAACATCTAACCCCCCCATCACAGCTGCGACCACGTCTCCCTCAGCCGCTCCGGCTACATCGGCTCGCAGCGCTTCTGCAGCATGATCTGGTCGGGCGACACGGAAGCCAGCTGGGAGGTGCTCGGCAACCAGATCCCCAACGCGCTGTCGGCCGCCAGCACCGGCTGGTCGTGGTACACGACCGACGCCGGCGGCTTCCAGGCGGACCCGGCCATCGACTGGTCCAACAACGTCGACCGCCCGCAGTACCGCGAGCTCTACGTCCGCTGGCTGCAGTGGGCCGCCTTCCTGCCCTTCATGCGCAACCACGGCGCCCGCGACTGCGACACGCAGCACGCCTTCACCTGCCCCAACGAGCCGTGGGCTTACGGCGACGAAAATACCCCCATCATCGTCGCGTACATCAACCTCCGTTACCGCCTCAGGCCGTACCTGCGCGCCGTCTTCGACGCGTTCTCGCGTTCCGGCCGCCAGATCATGCGCCCGCTGTTCGTCGACTTCGGCCGCTCCGACCCCAGCGTCGCGGCTTGGACGCGCGAGAATCGCAACGTCACAACGCAGCAGTACATGTTCGGCCCGCGCCTGCTCGTCGCCCCCGTCGTGCTGCCGAACGTGACAGAGTGGCCGGTGTATTTGCCGAAGACGCCGGGAGAGGGGGACGGCGGGGAGGAGGTGAAGCCGTGGACGTATTGGTGGACGAACGAGACGTTTGCGGGGGGCCAGACGGTCAATGTGAGCGCGCCGTTGGAGCATATCCCGCTGTTTCATTTGGGGAGTAGGGAGGATATCTTCGCTGGGAACGTGTTTTGAGGATGGTGGGTGGAGTGGAAGGTGGTGGCTGTTTTTGTCCGGTGGTCCGGTGGATGATGGGTGGTGGGTTATGAGGGCTGGGGTGGAAGCGCTCACGCTGGGTTAGGTCTGGCCCAGGTTGGTGATGATGATGATGATGATGATGATGTTCGTGTTGTGGATACTGTGCTGATGTTAATGCTGAGAATGGAAAAAAGATTCCCGTTTTTAAAGACGTACGATTATTGTAGCTGATCGATGAAGCTATATGTTCTTCAGTCCATGGCTATTTCTGCCCGTTTTTGCTGTATGGGAAGAGGTGGGCAATGGTGGTAAACATGACCTTAGGAAAATGGAGAGTACGATAGATGGGTAATGACGTAGTGGAGGGGAAGTCGAACCTGTGGCTTGAGCCCAAGGGGGCTTTGAAAAGAGTTGATCCTGGTACCTCGGTAAGATAGGTGTGGGTGAGCTCAAATCTCTTACAACCGGCTATGAACTGAAGATAATGACCTAGCCGAACCTTCATTCCGGTAAAGTCAATGTCGGCCCACTATCGCGGTGGTCACTCGTTTGACTGCCCTGACACCGAAGCTCCACGAGGAGTAGAAAGAGACAGACGTTCCACAAGACATACCTCACCATGATGTTGCAGCTTTTTTTTAAAAGAAAGTATGAGTGAGGTATTATTAAGTTTACCTTTGTAGCAGCATTACGAACACACGCACACCAGCTTCTGACTCAAAGAAAATGAGGACACAACAAGAAGCAGTCCAAAATAGCATATACACGATCACCTCCTTTTTGCCTTCCTCCAGCCCCTTTGCGCGCCCAGCACGCACCTAAGATTACCAAGAGACACCAAACGATTACAAAGGAGACCTGCCCGGAATCGTATCGCAAAGCGGCCATTATCGCTCCTCCAGCGGTGGAGCTGAAGCAGCACGTAACCGAAATCGTCGCACTCACAGCTTTCCCAGAATGCCGCGGGCGAAGTGGCGCTTGCGGAGGTTATACTCGACAGCGCGCTTCTTCGCAGCCGCGCTCTGCGTGAAGGCGACGGAACCGCCAAAAGGGCCTGCACAAGTCGTCAGTCAGCCACGGTACATCCACACAACAGAACAACCCATCAACAACGTACCAGCAGGTGTATCATTCCTAATCCTCGCCACACACACGTTCTTCACGCCCGCGACCTCGCCCGCGCACGTCATCCCCTGCGGCATCTGCACCTTGACGGGGAAGTCGGTGGTGGTGGTGCCCGACAGCCCCAGCGCGAAGCCCGGCACGTCCTGCGTGACCTGCGCCGGCTCGAAGGCCGCCGGGTCGGTGCCGCCCGACGTGGCGTCGACGTCGGCCGCCAGCGGGCCCGCGCCGTCCTGGTTCACTTGGTGGTACGTCACGGCGATGGTGCCGTCGTCGGCGCACGTCGGCAGCCCGGAGTTGGCGCCCGCGCCCGCCGCTTTGGAGACGCCTTGCTCGGAGGCGCCGTCGAGGGTTTTGGTGCCGTCTGAAGTGGTGGCGGCGTTGCCGTTGGAGTTGGAGTTGCTGTTGCCGCCGCCGAGGAGGTTGGAGAGGAGACCGCGGCGGTGGCGGCGGCGGCGCGGCTTCGACGACGACTTGCTGGAGGTGGATCGAGCGGCGGCGGCGGCGGCGGCGTTGTTGCCGTTGCCGTTGCCCATGAAGGTGGCGATGGCGGCGGCGGCATCGACGGGGCCGGCGCCCTTGGTGCGGCCGAGGGCGCTGGCTCGTTCGCCGCCGAGCTCGCGGTCGCGGATGATGGAGGTGTCGTCTTCGGCGCCTGATGCGGGGCTCGGAGAGTCGCGAGGAGTGCCGTCGATGACTGAGGAAAAAGTCAGCTTGGATTCTGAAGTGGGTATCGGTTCAGGACATACCGGAAAGACCGGGCATGTTCACACCGTTTGCGCCCTGGATCTCAGTGACGACACCGTGAGCGGTGGTCTGGGCCGCCAGGGCAGCGAGGAGGACAATTGCCGAGTAGTGCATTTTGGCTGGCGGAACGAAGTGTGTTGTTATTAGAGAGAGAGGAGGCGTTGGATTAGGGAATTACTAGGAATGGGATTAAGGTGAATATGGTAAGCGACCTGCGCAGGGAGGATTGGAGTGAGGGTTTTGAGGATTTTAGATGTGATGCTGCTGCTGATGACCTTCCAGCGGAGAAGACATGTGGCCTTTATATCCCTCTGGGCTGGCTTAAGAGACACAGGTCGAAGGTCTAGCTATAGTCTCTACTCAATCCATGGGGTAAGCCAGACAGTCTGGAAAGCCAACGGAATGCTCAGGCCGAGCGGCTATGATGTCCGCAGCGCTAGCGGATTGAGGAAGCTGTGCGAGAAGTGGAGATGGGTGAGACGTCAATTGACGAACCAGAGGAGTTTCGAGCTGCAGCGCCCAAAGAAGGTGAGCATCGCGAGGATGGTGGATAGTGTAGCGGACACAAATCAGCTATTGATGGCTGTGCTCTCCTCGGCAGCGTCCACCCCGGACACAAGTTGAAGCGCAGGTGCGGAAGGCGAGATCTCCACAAGATGGGTTTCGAAGCGCAGTCTTTCGGTCTCAGGTGGTGGGCCGGCGTAGGGAAGATGGCGGTCTGACCATTCAGAGATAGTGGAGGCTGTCAGCATCCGAGGCACCTCTAGAAAGCCGGCAGGGTTCACAGGGAGCGTAGTGCTATTGGATGCATCAAGATGTCTTGCAGCCAGTGGCACAGCAGTATCAAACAGTAAAGTCTGAGGCCAGCTACACGACCATATCAAGCCTCGGCCAAGACTGCGAAAAATAACGTCAGCCGGGAGGACGGGTGATCTCCCAGTGCAATTTCGGTTATCTTTTGCTGCCATGCTCTTCATCTAGACATGTTCGCAAACACAATGACTTGTCCATCGCTTTTCTCCCACAACTCTGTGGTCCCAAGCGTCACAGTCGAGGCTGTTGGGCTGGACAGAGCGGCAGGAGCAGACGTGTCGGAGAGGCGCTGGTGGTGCACGCTAGTCCGCACGAGGAAGCAGCGAACTGACGGAGGGGAAAACCGGCGGGCACAAAGGAGGCGCAGATGTGGTTCGAAGCAGAGCGAGGGGAGGTCCGACGCCGTGTGTCTGACGTCGCGCACGGAGTTGTCGTGGCCGGCCAAGATGAAACGGCGAAGCTTGCACCGCTGAAACACCAACTCGCTTACCTCGACAACATCGCCTCGCCCAAACCGGCCACCAACCCGACCCGGCTCCCCTTTCCCGGACCACCCGCTCCATCCGTCGCCGTGATGTTTGCGCTATATGAGCGGGGCCACGGCGCTTGGCTGCTCTTCGTATCGTGACCAACGCTCGTCCGGCCGCTATGACATCTCTTCAGTCCCCGTCCTCCTGATGCTCGCATCACCCACCTCTCCCGTCCGGTCAGGCCTGCCTTGGCCGCCAGCTTCCGAGCGCCAGATGGCTCTGGTCTGTCGGTGAAGCTGAGCCACGTCCTCCCGGGCTGAGTCAGGCCTTTCTGACGAGCCAGCGTCCGGCGGTGCACAGCCTGGCTTGTTACCGAGTTGCACAGATGCGTCGAGCCATCACCACCCGAGGTTGTGGTGCCAGCCGTTTCCAGTAGAGATCTCCTGGCCGGCGGTTCGTGCAGAAAGGGCGGCATGGGCAGCCACGACTTGGCCGCCATGAGCCTCGGTAGCAGGACGGCAACCGGCGACTACTCCACACTACTCCACACTACTCCACACTACCCCCGCAAAGAGGCGCTCGTTCGGCAACCACCCGACTCCACCTTAGATGTTGCCGATCTAGGTAGCCAATGCCAATCAAAAAGGTCCGGCAAAATGTCCTGTCCCCCTTTATCTACTTGTCCCCCCGGGTCACTTCCTTCGCCCACCCTATCTCCTGCCGTCCAGTACTATCCCATTAGTTCCGACGTTGCGTACTACCCATCCGCCTTGTCTCCAGAAACGAGCAGCCAAAGAGCCCTCCCGCCTCGGTTTTCCTTGGCAGTCACGACGAGCACAAGAGATGCCCATAAAATCACGCTACCAGGTTGACATTCCGGCCGTGGACCTGGCCACATACATCTTCCAGTCGCCCACGGCCTCCATCTCCAACCACAAAGCCTTCCTGGACGCAACAAGCCCCGAAAAGTACTTCCTCAGCTTCCCGGACTTCCGGCTATGGTCGCAACGCTTCGCCGCCGGCCTGCGCGCCGCCGGCTTCCAGCCCGGTGACCGGCTGCTGCTGTTCTCGGGCAACACCATCTTCTTCCCCGCCGTGCTGATCGGCACCGTCATGGCCGGCGGCATCTTCACCGGCGCCAACCCCACGTACGTGGCGCGCGAGCTGGCCTACCAGCTGCGCGACTCGGGCGCCCGCTTCCTCATCTGCGCCGAGCAGAGCATGGCGACGGGGCTGGAGGCGGCCCGCAGCATCGGCATGGCCGAGGACCGCGTCTTCGCCTTCGACGACGGCCGCGCCGCCTTCGACGGCACCGGCAGCGGCGTCGCCGGCACGGGCGTGCGCCACTGGAGCGCGCTGCTGGCGTCGCCCGAGGCGGGCGCGCGCTTCGCGTGGCAGCCGCTGACGGCGCCCGACGACCTGCGCCGGACGGTGGTGCTCAACTACTCGTCGGGCACGACGGGCGTGCCCAAGGGGGTGGAGATCACGCACCGCAACTACGTCGCCAACACGCACCAGACGCTCTCGTGGGCGCGCATGGACCCCGGCTTCGCCGAGAACGCGGCGCGCGCCCGCTACCTCGCCTTCGTGCCCTTCTACCACGCCATGGGCCAGACGCTCTTCTGCGCCCACGCCCCGCTCGTCGGCATCCCCGTGTACGTGATGCAGAAGTTCGACTTCGCCCGCATGCTCGACTGCATCCAGCGCCACCGCATCACCGACCTCACCCTCGTCCCGCCCGTCGTCGTCTCCCTGGCCAAGCACCCGCTCGTCGCCAACTACGACCTCAGCAGCGTCGAGCGCGTCGGCTGCGGCGCCGCCCCGCTGAGCCGCGAGATGTGCGCCGAGCTGGAGAAGAGGCTGGAAGGGCCGGGCCCGGAGCCGAACGGCCAGCAGCAGCAGAAGACCAAGCTCCCCCGCGTCAACGTCAAGCAGGGCTGGGGCATGACGGAAATCACCTGCACGGCGACGGGGTGGCACCCGACCGCGCACAGCGACAGCAGCTCCGTCGGCGAGCTGGCGCCCAACGCCGAAGCCAAGATCGTGCCGGCCGACCACGATGGCCCTTCTGATGCCGTGCAGGAGCTCCCGCGCGGCGCGCGCGGCGAGCTGTGGATCCGCGCCCCCAACGTCATGAAGGGCTACTGGGGCCGGCCCGACGCCACGGCCGAGGCGCTGACGCCCGACGGCTGGCTGAAGACGGGCGACATCGCGTACGCCGACGAGGCCGGGTTCCTGTGGATTGTCGACCGCAAGAAGGAGCTCATCAAGGTCAAGGGGAACCAGGTCGCGCCGGCGGAGCTCGAGGCCGTGTTGTTGGAGAATGAGGGGCTGGCGGATGCGGCGGTCGTGGGGGTGACGACGCCGCGCGGCGAGGAGGTGCCGCGGGCGTACGTCGTCAGGGGAGAGGGGGGCCGGAGGTTGACGGAGGGGGATGTCGTGGCGTGGATGGATGGGAGGGTGAGCAGGAATAAGAGGTTGGCGGGTGGCGTCAAGTTCGTTGAGGCTATCCCGAAGAATCCGGTAAGTACTTGAGTGTGAGTGTGAGTGTGTGTTGTGTTGGTTTCTCCTTCTTCTTTTTTTTTTTGTTGATGTTGTACGAGTGAGTGAGTGAGTGAATTCGTGGCTAACTGGACTTTGACGCAGAGCGGGAAGATTTTGCGGAAGGTGTTGAGGGACCAGGCGCAAGCCGAAGTGTCCAGGGAGGCGAAGCTGTAAAGACACGAGGCTGTACGAAGGTGGGGGTGGGGGGGTTGGCTGATGGAGTAGAAGGAGGAGACAGACAGACCTAGATGGTTGGGATATATGATCTTAGACCAAGACCGAGATATCAGAGCCTGAAATATATCCGAATAGTACTTTCAGATACCGTTGATGTTCAGAGCAAGCTGGAAGTGGCACTTTGACAGTGCTTCAGAGAATCGACTGCTGGAATCGTGTTAAGGGGTGAACTTGCTTCTTGATCATGTTGCTGTGAAAACGCTCACCAGTTTTATAGCAGTTCGGAGTAGTATTCCCTTGTTGAATTGAAAACAGTGACCATGTCAATGTATAGTCGGCGTGCAGACGGCTCGGCCGTTCTGTTTGGTACTCCCTTGATCTACTCGATGTTGACTTTGAAGTGCTGTTGGGCTTCGTTGAAGTCTTCTGTCGGGTAAGTGGCGAGCGTTCTCGCAGGAGAACCCTAGCAGACCCGGCCCTCGGCTCCTGGAGGGTTTGATAGCTCTTGATGGCATAGTCTCAGATACGGTCTTTGCTTACCAGCTGTCTTCCTTCCATTCCGGTTGTTCACAGTCGTCTGGCTCGGCCAGCCCATACGACTCATCGCCCGGCTACCCCACTAAGGACATGGATTTAACAGCTACCCAGCCTTGCCCGTACGTCATGAGCGTGGCTGTGTGCATTGTAGCTCGTGTGTAAGTCAGAACTAAGGAACACAGTACCCTCTAGCTTCTCTCATGGACGACGTCGAATTTTCAGTGTCACGGACACGAGGTGTATGTGATGTATGCACATCGAGGCGCTTGCGAAGACAGAGGGGGAGGGCGTAGAACCCCGAGTACTCTGCGTTTCTTGCCAATCTCGCGTTCACGTCACTCGGCGGTCACCGTTCGGTGATCAGCGCGCAAGTGATGCAAACGGGAAGGCTGATTAAGCGACATGCCTTGAATGGCTACTGGGATCCTTCACACAGCCCCATTGCTCCCTGCACCATTGGGTCGGCCATGAGAACCGCCCCCCCGTGCGCCGAGGATGGAGAGTCGACAGACCGGGTTGAGGGAGGAAACGCTGCTGCGCTCACGGGGACAGACGAGACTGTAGCCATGGCCATATTTCACGCCACCGACGTGCGTGTCACCCGACTTTTTGATATGCCCGCCGTGCTTGTCCCCTTGAAGAACATGGCGAGCGAGTCTCTCGTTCCCCCGAACGCTTTCGGTGTGCATGGCGTGACCGGGACACGCGCTCCCAGCACCAACGACATGGCGTTGTTGCCCGCCTCCCTTCCTAGGAGAACTCGCCGCCCGTATTGTGTCCGAGTGCGAGTGAATGAGAGAAAGAGAGAGAAAGAAAGAGAGCGAGAGCGCGAGAGAGTTCAGCCGAGGCATGATCGACCGACCATGCCATTCGCCGCGCCCCCCCACCCCCACCCCAAGGTCCGGGGTAGCAGTAGCAGACCCGATACCACCCTCTCACACGACGTAGAAAGGGTTGGAACGTGCGGACGCACCCACCAACAGATCGTTCAGTGGGGAAGAAGACGGTGTTGGCTCGGTTATCACGTCCCGTCGGCTGGTGTTGCCTCTACGCATCTCAGCTCGCTGCATGTGAACCATCCCAGTCCATCGCCCCCAAATCAAGCAGGAACAGAAGAGATTGAGTTCCCCACTGCCAGCTGCCCACTGCCCACTGCCCACTGCCCCTCCCACCACCAACCCGAGATTAGTGAGAAGGAAAGGGGAGAGGGACGAGGACAAGGACAAGCCTGCAACGGTACCCCGTGAGCGACAAAAAGTCAGATCCCCGATCTCCCACCTGGTCGAGCTGACGGACAGCGGCTGGCGTTGCGGTGTTGCAGCGTTGCGGCGCGGACCCGGAAAGACAGGACAGGACTGGACTGGACAGGAATACAGGGAGGGAGAAAATGGTGCGGTGGGCGCAGCAGCACCACTGCACGTGCTCTTTTTTTTTTTTTGGTCGAGCTCAGCTACTCATGGGTAGGCCACTCCATGGCAGGCAGCACGACAGCAAGTGGCCAGCTGAGCAACCAAATCTAGATTTTTTTGCTTGTAAATCCGAAAGATGGTCGGAGTTACGACGTCGTTAGCCATCCTTTCTGGTTTCTCTGCTGTTGTTTGCATGGGTGCACGCGTCTCTTGTTAGTTGGTTGCATGTCTACCCCTCCATTCGTCCCCTCGCCGTGAGAGAGTTTTTTCTTTTCTTTTGTTTCGCAGCTGCACCTAGAATGCGATATGGTATACACTGTTGTAGTCCCTATACCAGGTTAAAGACACGGCTTCTCCGTGCGTGCCCTGGCAGGCTGCCTCTCGACCAATAGCATCCACGGTTTTGTTCGGGTCTTCCAGCCGGGTCAAGAAGAGGGGAAGGGAGGGCGCAGCGTCATGGCGACCTATCAGAAGACGGGCAGAAAAAACAGACGGATCCGGGACGCGATATCGGCATGTCCGGCAACTTCGGCCAAACCAACAGCCAACAAGACTTGCAGGGAGCGGGAACAAACAGGTTGCGAGATTGATGGCGCCGCCCGCCCGCGATCGCCCGACGGGGAAAAGAGAAGCGAGAAAGCTGACTGGCAGGAAAGCCCATGACGCCCAGGTACGTAGCTTTGAGCCGCTCCCAAATCGGTGGACGGGGTGGGGCGATCGTGGGGCGCACGCAGTGTGGGAGTGTGTGCCCGAGGGCAGGGCAGGATGCTTTGTCTGTTCTGTGCCCCTCGCCTGGTAGGATTTGGCCGTAGGAATCTGCCTTTTTTATTTCAAATCTCCTCTCCACAGTGGGCGACAGAAGAAATGAAATTGAGCTGCGGCGATCCTCGGAGTGGGCCGTTGGAGCAGGTAAGTTTAGACGACCTTTCTTCATCAGTAACTAAAACAATACACATGCCTCCAGAGGTAGGATTCCGCTGCCCATAGGTGGGTCAATATCTTCCCTCACCCACTGTGTCTCCATCGTCGGAGCCGCACGCTGGTTGCTTCGCGTTGTTGGTAGCGTTGGGCAATCAGGGCGAGAGATGCTCCGTGGATGACGAAGACACAAGGCAAAGAGGGGCGAAGTGCACGGCACGAAGACAAGCAGCTTCCTGGAACCATGCAAAGCCCTGGAGGCAGGCAGGCAGGCAGGAGAAAGCGAGGGCCGGCTCGCAAAACAGAAGCAAACAAAGAGACAGGAGGAAGGGAAGAGAAGTAGAATGTGAGGGAAAAAAAAAAAAGGTTGCCGCAAGAGGGCATTGCGCTCGGGAAGTGCGACCGGCAGCGACGAGGCGCCGCGGCTGGGCCCTAGCGGGGCGTGTGCAGCGGGACGAGCGGCCGCAGTCCATTGCCCGCACGCCCTCAGCCCTGAACGTCACAGCCCGCCCCCACGTCTATCCCGCACGCCTGGGAGAAAAGTCTGGGCCCCACCATCGAAAAAGGATCTCGGCTGGAACGACACAGAGATCCAGACATCTCTGGTCCACGCCGGCCCTGAGGCCGAGCCGCCCGCGTCGCCTCCCACACCCTAGGTGCTTGGCCCGCCTGACGTCGCCGTCAAGCATACGCCTACCTACACCTACCCCACCTGCACATGTTGCGTATAAGCAAGCGCCACGATTTCCCCCTTCGAAGATAGGGGTCTGCGACGCAAGCTTGCTGCTCCGCTCTTTTGCTTTTTCCCCCTCCGCAATATTGCCCACATCGGGTAGCCGCACCTTCGGCCCTGCTCCGTTTCGTCGTCGTGTTCGTACATTGCATGCGTGTGTAGAAGGCCGTCTGTCCTGCCCGGGAAGACTGGCAGATGTCGAACCGGCGCCAGGCCGAGACACGCCCAAACGCACGCGCATGCGCCTGTATGTATGTACACCAAATGCGCAGACGAAGACGGTGAGTATGAGCATGGGAGACAGCTAATCGGGCGCGGCGCGGTTCACATTGCCGGCACACAAACCCGCGACCAGGTATGTACTACTCCAAACCACCCTCCGTTTTGGCCTCAGACAAGGCAAACTGCCGGACCGGGCACCGAGGAGACAGAAGTGGAGAACCGCCACGCTAGAATCGTGGCGGCATCCCCGACCACAGGCACCGGCAGCCTGGCGCCAGGGACAAAGCAAAAAACAAAACCCGAAAGGGAGGCGATCGAGCAGAGCAGAGCAGAGCAGGACGTCGGCGGCGGTAGAGGCAAATGCAAATGCAAATGCAAATGCAAATACAAACCTCATGCAATCCAGAAGGGCGGTGGGAGACCGGCATGTTGACGCGGCGCAGCAGCGCGCACAGCACATACATACATACATACACATACATACTACATACACCCATACACACATACCCAACGGCGCCCTGTCTCCTGCCCTCTACTGTAGCGTCTCCTGCCCTGCCCTGCCCTCTATCGCAGCGTCTCCTACCTACCTACCTACCTACCTACCTACATAGCCCGCCCCACCAACCGACCGACAAGAAGCCAGAAACCAACAAGCTTCGGTCGACAGTTAGTAGTAGTGGCCCTACCCCCAAAAAAAACACGGGGAGGGGGGAGGCGCCGGGGACGATGCGTAGCACCGGCGGCGGCGGTTCCGTCACTGGGCCCCGGTCCCAGCAGCGGACCGCCAGGCGCTCATGTCGCCCGGTTCCGACCTGTGCTGCGGTTCCGGACTGTGGACTGCGCGGGGCCCTCCCGTCCCCCCCGACGTCATCGGGGTTACCGCGTGGTGATGAGAGGAGAGAAGCTTTTTTTTTTTTTGGTGGAGGAGGAGGAAGAGTGGGTATGAGAGATGGAGAGGAGGGGAAGGGGGGAGGGAGAAAAGCAAATAACAGCTTGCAGCAGCAGCAGCAGCACCCGCATCTTTTTGGACGCCCGACGCCGGTCCGAGGTGATGGGTCTCTTGGGTTGCGGAGCATGGCCTAATATGGAGAATGGGGAGGGCCCGAGGGAGTGGAATCATTGAACGAAAGGGGAGAGGGGGAAAAAAAGCATGGCTTGGCGGTGTAGAAGGTGTATAGCATAGCAAGGAAAAGAGAGAGAAAATGTTGACCAGAACAGCGTCGACTATATCCTAACGCACATCATTCGGCCTTGATTGTTGCAGACGGCAGGGAATAATCATGTTACAAATCATGTCATGGTGAGATGGCAGCTTCTATTGCTTTTTCGGCTTCCGCCCTCTGTTCATTAAGGGCCAAGCGGTGGAGGCGGCGGCGGCGGCGGCTTCGAGGCTGGGAGCGTTCTCCAAATGCCGCCACGAATCAGAAACAGTCGATCGGCGGGGGGAAAGCGGAACGGCGGTTGCGTGTAGGGATCGCGAGCGGCAGGCAGCGGGGCCCGCGTGTCCGCTGCTCTGGAACTAGGGGGGGGGGGGGGGGGGG